AATTTTTATTTCCACATAACCTAGACTTAAAAGACAAATGCAGTCCAAATTCACCTCCACCTCCTATTTTCACCAAAAAAAAAACCACAGGCTCATAAAAAATCCAAATCCTCATCCCCATCTCTACGGAAATCGACTTCCTAATCAATCCTTTCTCCACAATTAAAAAAATAAATAAATTCCTCATCAATCATCAATTGAGAGTATGTCGTGAAATATACTCCTTTCCTATTGGCATGTTCAATATTTTCATTAGTGATGATCAACTACATCCTAATCGGATAAAATTTCAACTTCAAAAAATATTCTCTTTACCTCTCTATATAAATACAAAGGAAAAAAAAAATCTCATTGATCTTGCTTCGGCCATGGTGATGGTGGCATTACAGGTATTAAAATTTAAACGATTTTATTTCCACAGATCATTAGTTTAACTTTTATTATTTTTTATTTTTTCCATTTAGGATAGCGTTATTACCATTATTTTTATGCGTCCATCCGTTACAGCTACCGTAGCCATTGTCAGGTAATATAATGTGCTTTCTTATTCGGTTAGTTAGCTTAGAATTTTTATATGATTTTAGTTATGTTGGATTGAATTGATTAATTGGGTTTTTATTACAAAGTGTGGTTTTTTAAATTCCTTTTTTATGTTTCATTCAATTAGAGTGGTTTTCTTTTTTTAATTATGGAGTCTCAGATTTTTTTTTTCGTATATGGCCAGTTATGAAGTGTGTTTTTTCTTTGTTTAATTGCTTTTGATATTGTTTCATACTCCCAGTTGACCAATTATTATTATTATTATTATTATTATTATTATTATTATTATTATTATTATTATTTTATTTGCAAATGAAGCGCGTTTTTTTTGTGTTCAGGGTTTCAAGAATATACTTTTTTGGATTTGGTTTTTGGACTTTTTTTTTTAGTTTCTCATCATATAAATAGTTCAAGTCGTTTCTTCTAACTAATTTATGGGGAAGCCTTTTATGAATTTAAGGTGGAGAGGGAAGGGATGATGTTTCTACGTTTATTTGTGTTTTTATACATCATTTTTACCTACAGAAAAAAAATCTCAAATTTTAATGGGCTATCTTTTACTTCTTTTTTTTTTTTATTTGCCATGGTGAGATGAGTTCTTTTTTGCTATATCTTGAAACCTACGCAAATTTACATTATTTTCATTCTCATATTTGTGATCAACCAGTTTCAACAATTAACCAGTTTCAAAATCATATTTTTGATATTTTACTACCTATAAACTTTTGGAAGAAATAGTTCCAACAATTAAGCGTATACCCGTTGGAGGAAGCTAACTACAAAGCTATTATAAATCTCCAAAACTAAGTATAGATTTGGCACAACCAATGGAGAACACCAATAAATTATCTTACTAATATTTAAACTTATTAGGATGTTTTTATATTTTGTCTAGCATTTACTTCAAGACATATATTTGATCAATTTTATTTATATTTAAGAAGTAACACTTATAAAATATTTCTAAAATCTTTCAAATATTTCTAAAACGTACCGGACCAAATACAATTTATTTTTATGTCAAATACAAACATCACACTTATAAAATATTTCTAAATTCTTTAAATATTTCTAAAATATATTGGGCCAAATACAAAATATTTTTTTTTTCAGATACAAACATTTCTAAAATCTACAGATATAATGGGCCAGGGTCGCGCATTGCGCGACCAGACATCACTAGTATATATATATATATATATAAAGGAACTAAACAAATAAGAAAGTGGATTGCAAACGGATTGCCACTAAGATATATATATATATATATATATATATAAATGAGACAATTAAGTAGGCGATATTAACCTGCTATATTTGAATTCATATAATGCATAAAATAAATAAAAAATTTCATTTAGGCACTTATAAATCTGCCATTTTACAAAAGTTTATTCATATATTTATTTGAATATATATATATATATATGACATATTATATTGGATCATAAAGTAGGGGTTCCCTTGAAGGAGTACTGGAATTAAAGATAGAAAGAAACTAAACAAATGAGAAAGTGGGTCGCAGACAGACTGCCACTAAGATTAAAAAAAAATGTAAAGACACAATTAAGAAGTAAGCAGTGTAAACCTGCTATATTTGGATTTATATAATACATAAAATAAATAAATAATTTAGTTTATGCGGTTATTCATATACATACGTACATATATATATATATATATATTTGTATAAACGAGATTTCAAATATAGATATTTCCAAACACATACACAAACACACACATGATATATATATAGAGAGAGGGGGGGTCATAAAGTAAGGGTTCCACGGAAGAAGTATCGGTAAGATAGCAAGGAACTAAACAAATAAAGAAGCGGATCGCAGACGGATCACCACTAGGTTTTTTTTAAAAAAAATGTAAAGACACAATTAAGAATTAAGCGGTATAAACTTGCCATATTTGAATTTATATAATACAGAAAATAAATGAACGATTTAGTTTATGCGGTTATAAACCTGTCATTTTACAAAGATTAATTCATATATATATATATGTATATGAATATATATACATATATATACATATAGTATAGATATATGTATTAGACATTTATATATGTATACGTAAACGAAAATATGTATATATATATTCAAATACATATTATAAAGGATTATACATGTACATATTATATTCTGTCATGAAGTACTAAAAATATATTAAACTCATAACAAATGAACAGGGAGCTCAACAATATTAAACTCAACGTTGTTTTTCCTTTTCACAATTAACTATAAACGAACCGTCAAAAAGAATGAAAGAGTCCGTACAGTTTAATTTTTTATTTTTATTTTTTTAAAAAAGATACATCTTTATGATCTGGTTTACTTAATTTGTCTACAAAACAAAAATTAATAAAAACCACAGTTACAATTGAAATGCAAATAGCTTTCTTGGTTGAATATTTTGATGTAAGAATACGACAAAGGATCAGGCGACGTATCTTACTCTTTTAGCACCTGCCTGTGCGAAAATATTAAAAGAATTGCCATGCCGCAACCTACGTCAACCACAACCTGGAAATACAACCACAACATGTTAGATAAAAAAAAAAAAAAAAAAATCGAACTTGATACTTGGAAATATTTACCCGGATTAGGAACATAGAGGTAAACTGTGGTGATTCTTCTACGGCAGAGATGGGGGAGAAAAAGCACAACCAGAAAAGAACAAAAATGTTTGGCAATGATGACTATAACATATATCGTGATCATATGACTTCTGAATTGAAATTCAAAAATTCTAATGTAGTCCATGTAACTACTACAAATAAAATTAGACAATTACCTTTGATCATTTTCTCGTGAATACCCACGTGAGCATAGCAGTTGAAGTAAGCCATATCGAAGTCCATACAGGGGGGAGGCGGAGGAGGAGAATCCGGGCCGCGCGCTGCCGTCCTCATTGTCCTGGGGGTGGTTGGCCCGGTAGGAATTAGAAACCCTACTGTGGCTACCGCTACCGGTACTAGTACCGCCAATTGGGTGGGGACTGTGGAAGCCGTTGCCGGCGTAATCCACGTCACTCGGTACGTATTGGAACTGTTGAACGACTCTTCTCTTCTTTCAAAGAGAGAGAAGATGCTTTCCTTTTCTTTTTCCCTGTTTCCCTGATTTTCTTTATAATTATTTTGCACTTTTTCCTTTTTGTTACTGTAGTTTAAAGGGTAGTGGTGTAAGAGCAACCTCAATCCCCTCTTACTCATTTTGGTAAAAAAATGTGGTCCTAGTGATGGAGAAGCGTTCTTGAAGATCCAACCACAGATCACGTACAATTTCTGTGTGAGAAATCGTTGAGCGAAGAGAAGGCTCAATGGTATTCATGATCCATGAGACAAGGAGAGAATTAATCGGCCCCCAATCCTCAGCATCCGGCAAAGAAGCAGCCGGTTCAGAGATTGATCCGTCGACGAAGCCCAGTTTCTTCCGAGCCCGAAGTGCTGTCATGAGAGCTTTGGACCATTCAGCAAAATTGCTGTCACCACGAAGCTGAACAGTGGTGATAACGTTGTGAGGGAGATCGTTGGCTGAGAGATCAAAAGGAGATAGCGTCCGGTGGCAAACCACCATTTCAGTGCCTTCCGTGGCCGGAGATTTGTCAGTAGAAGCTTGTGTGTTCGTCATGAGAAGCGGACGAAAACAACAGATGCAACAGGAAGAATTTCAATGATACCATGAAGGAAAACACAGAGCTATGAAGAAGACGGCTCAACCTGATGCCGTAAAACTTTCATTAGGGTTTGTACATATACAGGAAAAACAGAGTGATCGATTCTCTAATTTACGGTACACAAAACTTATCTATGGTAAATACAATATACACAGTAAATGTCTACATATATACCATATATATACACCATAATAAAATTTGATTTTGGACTATTATATGGAACCAATTGAGAGTTTACTCTTGAACTTAATTGTGTTATTTTGGAAGCGTATACATTTTAAGTTTTTGTTAGACTGGTCATTGTTAGAGACTTTAATATTTTAGATGTAATTTGTTTTTTTTTTTTTGATCTACAAACTTGATGAGTTTTGAGCTCTCCTTTAAATGGAATAAAAACCAACCCTTGTTAAAAAGAAAAAAAGAGGGAAAAAAAACACCACAATGAGATCATGTATTTAATTATACATCTAATCTTTTTTCTCTTCAGGCTTTGGCCACTCTCTTTTTTAATCATATGATACATGTTGAATAATGCCGTAATGCAAAATTTGAGATGATTCCAAAGTCAATGAAAAGAAAGAAAAAATACTTAAATTCATGAGAATCCAATCAAAGGATTTGGCATTTATTTTCACGACATTATTTTAACTACAATTCAATTCTAGATCTTAGCAATCATTAGAAACAAAAAAATCCCAAAATAAAAACCGCTGCCCAAATTGTGGGACGCATTTATTTCAATTGCTGAATTCTACAACAATATTTCTTGCAATCTATGGAGCGCCACTGCGCTTGAGCAGCACGAACAGGTTTCCACCGGTCTCAAGTAGTTCAGAAAAATGGGGTGTTTTCACGAAATTCTCAAGCTTGTCAGGATATCTTTTGAAGATTTCATCAACAACCTGGGGACTGAAATGTTGGCACAAGGCAGGTTCCACTGCAGCTCTCACATGGGAGCAATTCACATTCTTATCAAAGTTTGCCAAACTTATGGGAGTTGGATGGTAAACTAGCTTTTCAATGCTCAAGTGGTTGTTACATGAAGTTGCGATTTCCTTCATTTCAGAGGCCGATGGAAAGTAGAGGGGCAAATTGAATGAGTCGATAACATCTTCACTTATTATTCCCTGAACCAAACCAATCAACATTAAATTCGATATATTAGACGACTATGAGATTCATATACATTAACTGTTAGTGAAATGATGTAGTCATACCTCGTTTGCCATATCTGCAAGTGCATCTGCTAAATACTCAGGGAATTGTATGCCAATCGACTCGGAAGGCGAAGTCCCCTGAGGCCTACAAGGCATCAGTATTGTTAATATTCCTCCGGGTGCAAGTTCTTCCGATCTCGCATTGAGGAAATCTTTCATGTCATTGTAAAATTGAGATCGAAAAGCTTCGACAACTTGAGCAGAACTCCTCGCGTACGTGATTCTCCCTTTGTTCCAAAATGGAGTGTCCCTTTTCTCAACATCCTCAGGGACTTTTCTCAGCCAATGAAGTGAGAAACTCGAATTCATCAGGTTGATCGATGATTTTGGAAACAGACGACCGTAAAAGGATCCGGGAACTCCAGCCGCCATGTATTGTCTGTCGCAAGGAAGCGCTTTGAACAATGTATTGAAATCATTGTTAACTAAATCATTGAAGAAGATATGGAATTCAGGGACAGGGACCCCTGTTCCACACTTGCGCTTCACTGCTTCCACTATGGAATTCACAGATTTAAAAGTGTTAGGACCAACAGAACATCCCAAATCAGCTACGGAGAAGACCTGCAACTCTTTCTGCAATTCAAGTGAATCCACAATTCCATCAATCAGCAGGCTCTTAATCTGGTCTATGGCATTCCCCTGCATTACAAATCACTTTTCCATTACAAAAAAATAGAAAGAAAGAAAGAAAAAACGCTAAGATTTGTATATGCACTCTATATAGAAATGAAAATCAAATGAAACCCAAATGGAACCTGCATCTTGGAGTTCCTGAAATAGCTATCTGGACCATCTCCTCCTTTCATCACTCCAGAGTTCTCCATGATATATGCTGGACTATCTTTTCTCTGTTCAATTATGATTTTCTCTATTAACTGTTGTTTGTTTGTGAGAGCCAAGAAGCTATATATAACCTTTAACCATCCAATGCATCAGATCAAGGTTGTAATGCAAAAGGATTGACTCGACTATTCCCTTTTAATATCACTTCACTTGGTACCTCTCTTTTGACTACTCCCAATAATTACTGTAAACTTAATACAGGAAAAAAAAAAAAAAAAAAACTAACAGAAATAAGGAGGAAGGATCTATACCTCTGTGTAAAACAGGAATCACACGACTCAAATGTGTTTGGTTCCTTGCATTTTAAAATTAATGTTTCCTTTTTGTCGGGACTCTTAGGTTCTCAGCCGTTTTCAGAAAATGATAAATTTTGGGGAACAGCATTAAAAATGAAAGGAGGGGAATGTGTCGTATAGAGGGAATTTTTAGTTGGCATTACAAGTTTGACTCAATTTCTTTTGGGCAAATGTGATTGAGCTTTGATTTTTTCAATTTTATTTTCTCGTTTGAAATAATTGAGCTCCGATTATTTGAAAGGAAACGAATTAAAAAAATGCGACTTACCAACGTGTTTCTTAACAGCCATTTTAAAAAGCCTATGGTGTGAGCTTGTTTTTCTCAATGTGGCTTGCTCATGCTACTCCATTTTCAATTAACTATAGAAATTCAGTAAACAGCACACCATCAAGCCAACAACACTCGCCGGATACGGTTACAAGGTTTAGGTGTTGTTCACCGGATTGTTTGAAGTTTATTTTTATTAATCTCTCCGTCTTGAAATTATTGTTGTGTTTAGATTTTCATTTTTAGTTCATATTGTGCCAAAGTAAAAATTTCAAACTGAATAATCATTTCAGGACAAATGAAATTATCATTATTATTATTATTATCACTCATTGAAAGAGACAATGCAATGTATAATTACATTACTCTATTAGCTAGCAAGAAATACTGACAACATCGTATTTAATTCACATACATAATTTCAATTGTAAATAAAATGATTTTAAATACCTCCAAAACTCCCAATCAATGACAAAACCAAAAGTATTCCCTTATGAATTCGCACATGTAAATACATGTTGTCCACCCACAGTCTCTGATACTTGGGCTTTTTCTTCTGGGAGAATCACTAGTATTTTTGTCTTGGTCTTTATTAATTTATATGTCCCCTTGTTTGATTCACATTTTGTTTTTCGGAAACGCGTTTCCCACCGTTTTCTTCACGCACAAATGCAGTTATGAAAATGAATATTATTCAATTTGTGTGACCTTAATCTTAAAATCAACTTTGACTAACATCAACATCTCCTCAATTATCGAGATACCGTTTGATTAATTTAGCCTTTGGTGCGCTAACGTTGGGCCAAAATGTAACACCCGGGCTATATTTTATTTTTGTTTGGGTTTGCTAATTGCAATATCTTAAACTCATCAGTAAGTATTTAATGAGATGCGATCAATCAGAAAAATCTCAGGAGTGATCAGCTGAGCAACTTTACCTCTCTAGTATTTGTGCAGTTCCAAAAAGAGAAGGTAATCATTCTGTTTGCAGCCATGAAAATGAACTTTCTGTCCATCATCTTCTCCATTTTCGTTTCATCCATTATTTTGATTGCCTTCATCATAGCCTTGGTGACTGATTTTTTAAGACGGAAGAAATTGCAGCCACCATCTCCATGGAAGTTACCCTTATTAGGTAGCCTGCATCATTTGATGGGCAATTTGCCATCCCATCAAATCCTCAGGAACTTAGCCCACAAGTACGGACCTCTAATGCACCTACAAATAGGTGAAATCCCAACTCTGGTTGTCTCATCCTCACGCGTAGCCGAAAAGATCTTGAAAACTCATGATCTCGCCTTTGCAGACCGTGTGGAGTTTCTCGGTAACAAAATCACAATGTATGATTGTTCGGACATAGCAATGTGTCAGTACGGCGAGTACTGGAGACAGATGCGCAAAATCTGTATGATCGAGTTACTCAGTGCTAAAAATGTCCGTTCCTTCGAGCACATTCGAAATGATGAGGCTTCGCAGCTCATTTCATCTTTGAAGGCGGCTGGCGGCGGCGCCGCTGCCTCTGGTGGTGCTGTTTCAGTCGATTTAACGGAAGAATTGCGCAAATACTCGAATAATATGGTTTCCAGGGCGGCATTTGGTAGAGTGAACGAAGAAGATAGAGATGCATTTCTAAAGTTACTGGCAGATATGGCTTCCAGCGAGGCTACACTGGATGTTGTTGACTTGTTTCCGTCACTTAAGATTCTTCATCCCATCCTTTCGAGAAGGAATGAGTTCATGAAGATACGAAATATTTATGATAGAATTATGGACAGAATTATAGATCAACATTGCAAAAACTTCGCCAGGACAAAGCAGGGAATGGGGGAGTCAGGCCAAGAAGATCTTGTTGATGTTCTGTTGAGAGTCAAAGGAAGTGGTGATCTTCAAGTCCAGATCAGCAACGATAACATCAAAGCAGTCCTCATGGCAAGTACTTTACTCATTATTTGCTAGTATTTTACTCAATGTATATCTTAATCGACATTTTTCTTTTTTCTCGTTACAATAATTCTCAATTCGTGGTGCTACTTGATCTCGAGATCTTTTCTAATGACACTTTCTTTATCTATTTTTTGAATTGGTGCAGGATGTATTTATAGGGGCAACGGAGAATCCATCTGCAATAATGGAATGGGCAATGTCAGAGATGATAAGACACCCAAATGTGATGGCAAAGGCACAAAGTGAAATAAGGAATGCTTTTCGAGGAAAAGAAAAGGTCCGAGAAGCTGATGTTCAGGAATTGAAGTATCTAAAACTAGTAATTAAGGAAACTTTACGCTTACACCCCATTGTCCCACTCTTGGTTCCCAGGAAATGCAGAGAGAAATGCGAAATTGATGGATATGAAATCCCCATCAATACCATGGTGATGGTGAATGTCTGGGCAATCGGAAGGGATCCCGAGTATTGGAAAGATCCCGAGAGCTTCAAACCAGAAAGATTCGAAAATATTTCAGCAGAGTTTTCTGGGACGAACTTCCACTATTTACCATTCGGCGCAGGAAGGAGAGTTTGCCCTGGAATTTCGTTCGGTTTAGCCAATGTCGAGCTTGCTTTAGCCCTTTTGCTCTATCATTTTGACTGGAAACTCCCAAATGGCCTAAACTGTGATGAGTTGGACATGAGTGAGTCTGTTAGAATAACCGTGATGAGGAAAACTAACCTTCAATTGTTAGCTACCTTACGTGATGATCCATCACTTGATATTTGATAAGTGTGGAATGTCGATTGACATTATAATAAACACCCTTGTAGTAAATTGTAATTCTGCACATTGTGCTTTTGATGTCATCTTCTTTACTTGGTTACAGTTTTTACAATAAATTGATTTGTCATGATCTTTTTTTTCCCCCCTCTCCATTTCCTTTTAATTCGATTATTAGAGGCTTTGCCTTTTAAATCATTGTTTGCTTGAAAGATTATATGGTTCTTGAGAAAACAAGAGGTTATCAAAGGTTTGTTTTCTCCTTTTATTCGGAAATGATGTATAAACTCCATTCGGTAGTGGAGTAGTATGTAGCAAGCTGAGCGCATAGTTGTTCTTTCTGTTCTTCTATCAGTCTCCAAAAAAGAATCATGCTCGTCGAAAACTACACAACCAACATAAATTTCTTCTTGGAGAGCAAAATTAAATTAATTCTACATACGTACAAAAAAGAAGTTTTAAGTTCAGTTGAGAAAGGCCAAAAGGAAGCCTGGATGATGGACCACGACAAGTTTGAGAACCTCTAATTTAAGCAACTCGCTTTGTATTTTCGATTTGGTTTGTATTTTACAGAGTTTGCGGGTTTCATTTACCTTGCTTTTCCCTGTGATCTCGTCTTGTTTGCTTTTTTTTTTTTTTTCTCTCTTGCTTAATTTTTGGGTTGATTACTTCCCAGATTAACTGCACGCTTCGCCTCCGGAAGTTTTCTCTCTAAAAAGGATATAAATGTCGATTGCCTTGAAAGTATGAAATGAAAGGAAATAGAAGGAAGATTTCAGAACGGCGAATCTTCTTTTGCCGGTTTCTGTATTTCATTTAGGGTTTTATAAACATGTTACAACAATACACCGGAGAAATCATCTCCGTAAAATCTGGATAATTAACCCTAACTATGGTAAATAAATCATTACATCAATTTACACACATATATACCATATATACATCTACAATACCCCCCTCAAGTTGGAGCATGAGGATTTCGAATGCCTAACTTGCCGGGAAAATAGCCAAACTGAGGTTTCCCAAGAGCCTTGGTAAAAATATCTGCCAGTTGCACGTGAGTGGACACATAACTCGGAAGAATAGTACCCTTCACCACCTCGTCACGAACAAAATGACAGCCAACCTCAATGGTTTTGGTGTGCTCATGAAAGACTGGATTGGCTGTGAGATGCAAAGCAGCCTGGCTATCGCAATAAAGACGAATAGGCTGAGAATGAGGAACCCCAAGAAAATGCAGAAGACCTTTTAACCACTTTAACTCAAAAATTGTGGAAGCCATAGAATAATACTCAGCCTCTGCAGATGAACGAGCAACAATTTGCTGTTTCTTGGTCTTCCAGTAAATAGGAGAAGATCCTAACTGAATAAACCAGCCTGTAAGAGAACAACAAGTCAAAGGACAGCTAGCCCAATCGAAGTCGCACCAAGCAGATTACTGTAGATCAGAATCAACACGGAGAAGAATGTCCAGGATTACCTTTCAGATATCGGACAACACGAAGGGCAGCATCCCAATGAGCCTGAAGAGGTTTCTGCATAAACTGTGCAAGAGTATGAACACAATAAGAATGTTCAGGCCGGTTGAGTGCATGATAGATCAAACGACCGACCAAACACCAATAACATTCCGGATTAGAAAGAGGATACTTAGTGCCCAAGGACAGCTGATGATTCTGCTCCAACGGAAAAACAGCTGGTTTAGCACCCAACAGACCCACCTCAAAAATAATATCCAAGGCATACTTACACTGACAATGAAAAATACCAGAGGGATTACGAGCCACCTTGATGCCTAAGAAATACTTAAGAACACCGAGGTCTTTCATATGGAAACAACTGCTCAAGTAATCCTTCAAGGATTGAATGGCAGGTCTATCATTGCCAGAAATAATAAGATCATCCACATACACTAGAACAGTAAGCTGAACTAACCACATCCGAAAAGAAAAAAAGAATAATTAGATGAAGACTGTTGAAAAATATACCGGCGTAGAGCATTAGCCAACTTGGCGACCCAGCAACGAGGAGCTTGGCGTAGCCCATAAAGAGACCGACGAAGCCGACAAACACCATCAGGGAGAGGGGAAGAAAATCTAGGAGGCAATTTCATATAAACCTCCTCAGCAAAATCACCATGGAGGAAAGCATTGTGAACGTCCATTTGATGAAGTTCCCAACCTTTGGCTGCAGCTACCGTCAGTAAGTGCAAACTGTCACCATCTTTGCAACGGGAGCAAAAGTTTCGTTGTAATCAAGACTTTTGACCTGTCGGTTGCCCAAGATGACCAAGCGAGCCCTGTATCGCTCAACAAATCCATTTTACACCCAATAGCCCGTTTCCCAGGCGGAAGAGAATCAATCATCCAAGTGCCATTGGATTCCAATGCTTGAATCTCCTGGTGAATAGCATCACGCCACTTGGAATCCTTAACCGCCTCCGAAAAAGACTGAGGTTCAACCCCTGCAATTATGCTAGCCAAAAATGCGTGATGTGATGAAGAAAAAGAAGCACAATTGACATAATGATGAATGAGATAGGACGCACCCAAGAAAACTGATGAAGAGGATAACGCAGGAGCGGGGCTTAAGGAAGTAACAGTAATGCCAAGAAAAATCATTCAACCGAGTGGAGCGATATATAATGCGATGCCTATGACCCATAAGTTCTTCCTGTTACTCAGAAGATGGTGAACCCCTCCCCCTCCCCCCCCCCTCCCCCGCGGCAGGTGAGGGGTCAGAAAGAGAAGCAGAGATAACATCATCAACGGAAGGCACTGGAATGGGAGATGGAATAGGCACCACTGAAGAATCCATAATCGGGCCAGGAGAAAAATAAAAAATCATCCTCATCATCAACAAAAGACGGAGATTCAATAGATGGAGACTGGGAAACATCCGGAGTCAGGTTCACATAAGGAAACTTGGACTCAGAAAAAATTACATCCCGAGAAACCAAAAAATCACCAGTCTCTAAATCATACACTCGCCAACCTTTCTTGCCAAAAGGATACTCAACAAATAGATACTTCCTACAACCACTAGAAAATTTATCACCATTCCTATCCTGGTTGTGCACATAACACAGGCATCTAAAAACACGTAAATGAGAAAGAGACGGCGGGCGATTATACAAAATTTCAGCAGGAGACTTGCCACGTAAGACACTCAAAGGAGTGCGATTAATCAAATAACCGGCAGCTAAACCACATTCTCCCCAAAATTTAATAGGTAAGTTAGCCTGGGAACGTAAAGCACGAGCCACATTTAAAATATATCTATGTTTACATTCCACACGACCATTCTGTTGAGAGGTCCCCACACAAGAGGTTTCATGTAAAATATCAGTGGTACGGAAATAATCAGTCATACAAAGGAATTCAGTACCATTGTCACTACGAACAGTTTTGACTGATTTCTTAAAATGACGCTCAACCATAGCAAAGAAATTGGGCAAAGTAAGAGAAACCTATTTCTTATCAACCAACAAATAAATCCAAGTAGCTCTAGAATAATCATTAACGATAGTAAAAAAATATCACCCGAAAAAGTGGAAACACAATACTGACCTCACAAATCACAATGTATTAATTGAAACACTTCAATAGTTTTAGTGGAACTAATTGGAAAAGAAGTTCGAGACTGTTTGGCTCTAAAACAAACATCACAGGCCTTATTTAAAAATTGACTATCCTTGGAAGAACCCACGAAAGGAAGCAACTCTAGCACTTTAGAGGACCGATGCCCAAGACGTTGATGCCAGAGATCAAATGAAGGTACCCCAATAGATGACAAAGCAGCGACAGTCTCCACATCTCAGAATAAATAAAGCCCCTCCCGTTGCTCACCCGCTCCAATCAGCGTCCTCAAAGTGAGGTCCTGTATAACACAAACACTAGAAGTAAAATGAGCAACATAAGCGGTATCTTTTAATAATTGGGAGATCGAAATTAAATTACACTTCAAACTAGGCACATAGAGCACATTATGAAGAGTCACTCGACTACTAAGCACCACGGTTCCCGCTTTGGTGGCATAAGTATGTTGACCATTAATCTGAAGCGAAACCACAATAATGTCACGAACATCATCAAAATAATCAAGAAAACCGGTCATATGCCATGTTACACATCATACATCCATAAATCAAAGATACGCTTACCAGACAATTTTTTTTGGGAACCGAACTAGACTTGGCCGTATTCAACAACGAAATTAAGACCAGTGATTGTCGGGGCTTATGCCCCATTATCAACACCATTGTGTCTGCGGAAACGGAGGAAGAAGCAAAGACCACCGCAGCCACCCAAACTTGCAATACTGCCGCGACCAGAACCCCTATTGCCACGACCGCGACCACGCCCTGCTCCACGACCACGAGAAGACCATCCCTTTGGGTAGCCAATCAATTTATAGCAGGAATGAATTTCATGACTCGGGCGATTGCAGTGTGAACAAAACAACGACTAACCGCCAGAACCTACCGTAGCTTTGGAGCTGCCACGATCCTGGGATTTACTGCCGGATGAAGCTACAAACACCATGACTTCAAGAATAGAAGTCACCGGAGGAAGAGGGACAACGGGAGTCTGTACCGCGAAGCTCATTGTCTTAAGGGGAAGCTCCTTGGATTGCGAAATCAGCCGCATTCGCTCCTCTTGGACGATGGTCGAGCGCACCTTTTTTAGGTGAGGCAACGGATCCTGGGCGAGGAGATTTGATGGGACCGTTACATAGACAACATCATCAAGCCCTTAGAGGAACTGATGAAGTTTTTCCTCCTGCACCTTGCGCTCAGCCGCCGCCGCTAGATTACAAATACAACGGCCACAAGAACACACCGGAGCATAATCATATGATGCAAGTTCCTCCCAGAGCTTTTTAAGATGGGCATAGTAAGCCATAATACTAAGACCCTTTTGTCGACAATTGGCCAGATCGGATTTGAGTTGTTGAATTCGTGGCCCATTCATAAGCACATAGAATCCTTGATATCAAGCTATATATCACGAGCCACCTCCATGTGAGAAATCGTAGAACGAACGGAGGGCTCGATCGTGTTCAGAATCCATGAAATAAGCAATGAATTGATAGTACACCAATCTTCGGACTCCGGTGATGATTCGGCAGGCTGAGGAATTGAGCCATTGATGAAGCAGAATTTTTTCCAGGCATGCAAGGCGGTCCTCACAGCTTTCAACCATTCTTCATAGTTACTTTCACCACGAAGTTGAACCTGAGTGACCACAACATCGGGATAATCATTAGCGGTCAGATTGTACGCCGAGATCGTCTTACGACGAATGACTTTCTCATTGCCCTGAAAGCTGATGATTTTTTAGAGGGTTTCCCGACATCTGTTTGAACCATGATCAGAAATGAGCTACAGGAAGATGAAAAATCTCGTCGATTGATATCATGAAATGAAAGGAAACAGAAGGAAGATCAGAACAGCAAATCTTCTCTTGCCGGCTTCTGTATTTCATTTAGGGTTTTATAAAAGTGTTACAACAATATACCGGAGAAATAAGCTCCATAAAATTTGGATAACTAACCCTAGCAATGGTAAATAAATCATTACATCAATTTACACACACATATATACCATATATACATCCACAATAAAGTAGGTATTGATTTTAGGAGCTGCTTCTCCTCACGTCAACATCCGTGTATGTGCAGCGGTTTGAATTTTACCCGCCATATAATTGTAGGATCAATAATTTATATATCCCTAGCTCCCTTCTTGAGAGACACAACATTAAGGAGGTATTTGTTAGGCTGGAATTGGAATCAGGAAATGGATTCACCACCTCTGTTGGTGTTTGGTTGTTGAGAATCGGAAACAAGGAATTGGATTTGGAAATGAAAATCGAATCCTAACTCCCCCCTGGGATTTGAAGGAATCGGAATTGAATGATTTGTCCTTTTTTATTTTCTTTCGACCTTCCTTCCCTACCCCTTTCTTCTTCCTTCTAGCACCACGTCTCTTTCTATCTCCTAGTCCCATCACTGCTGTATCCACAATCAAGATGCGATTATTGTGTGATGATGTCGTTGAATCGCTTCCCTAGAAGAATATTTATAAAACTACTTAAAACTATTAGCTAGTGGTAAGCAGGGTCTTTCCACAGGGACGGCAGTCAACCGCTCAAAATCTGATTAAAGTGTAGAGAAGAAAGAAAACAGTTTGAACAGATTGTCAGTTGGGAGAGTGAGAATAGTCACTTGAAAGAGTGAAGAGGCAGAAGGGTCAATCACCTTCCTACCTTTATGATCTGGTTTTGATTTAAATATTCTTGTAGTGTATGATTAGTTGTTCGATCTGGCACCTATGTATCTTTATAATTCCTTCCAGATAAAATAAAGAGTCCTAGATTATCAACCCTGTCAGAGTGTTCTTTAATCTAAGCCATTGAGTTTTTAAGCCCTTTATGATCGCCTACGCCATCCACCTAACTTCCGTTGACATCTGGAACCGCAGGGTAAATTTTCTCCATTGTCATAGACTAGATTAAGCAGTTCTAAGGTTATGCGCCCCCTTCCAAATTTTCATAACCATGCAAGCACTTTTAAGTAATTGATCAAGTTAACTAAAAGGTTAATTAAATCAGTTATCTAGGCACAACACCTCATCAAGGAAACTGAATCAAAACCTTCACATAAAGATAGTAGGGATTGAACCTTTAACTGAGTTAGCTACTCATACTTATTGAGTTAAGCATGAGAGCTACAAAGTACAAAAGATAAGACATAAGTCTATACCAAAAGGTTAGAGGAAAGAAATGGATGGTAGCAGGGACAGTTTCTTGCCTGTTCACTATGGCGAGTGGTGTTCGTCACTTGACAGAGTGACAGTCTGCCTTGATCCTGCTACTACCCTATTTCTAACTAGCTAACTAACTACCTAACTATTGTCTTTTGGACTAAATCTAACTACCCAATCTGTTGTTTTTCTAACTACTATTGGCTGGTTATTTATAGAAATTTTGGAGAGGTTTGGATTGGTGGAGTTTTGGCCTTCTTCTCTGCAGTAGAAAGGTGAGGCAACAATTTGCAGTAGAGGAGATTTGTAGGCAAGTTGCAGTCTTCTCTTTGGCTGCTCCTTTTCTTCAGCTACAATTTACCACCTTCCTCTCATCATTGCCTTCTTTTCTTACGGAAAAATTGGCAGATCTACCCTAACCTTTACCTGCGTTGTCAATTCTACCCTATTCTTTTTCGATTAGCCAATATCACCCTAAGCTATTCAACCGTTAGCCGATTTTGTCCAATTTGCCAATTTCCGTTTAAATTAACGAATTTTCTGTTAGTTTTAATTACAAATATATCCTAATAGTTTTAAAAATTATAAAAATGACCCTAACAATTTATAAAAATAACAAAATAGTCTCTTTTCACTTTTTATTTAATTTTTTTTCTGTTTTCTATTTCTTTTTACTATTTTTCATAACTATAAAAATATACTATATGATCTTTTAGAATAAAAATTTATGTTTAAAATATACTGCACAAATTTATAGATATACATATTTGTAATTCATGGTTGATTTACATAAACATATTAATTTTTTTAATACTATCGCTAGAAAATAATGATATTAGTTTTCGAATCCATTTTTTTCAATTTAAAGAATAAGATTTTTTTAACTAAAATTAATTTTTTTACAAAAAATTAAAAAATTTAGCATAGATTAAAAAATAATCGGCCAAATTTTCTGTTTCATGAGAGTAGATATAAGATTAAGTCTCACCAAGGGATTTCTAACTGGGAGAGTGATTTTATCCATATTTAAGCGGGGTCCACTAAAGGCGAGAGGGTTAGATGGTCTGGTGATTTAGGATGTGAAAATATTAAAAAGAAATAAAAAACAAAAAAAATTAAACAAAAATTGAAAAGAGATTGTTTTGTTATTTTTGTAAATTTTGGAATTATTTTTATAATTTTTAAAATTATTAGGATATTTTTGTAATTAAAACAAATATAATTCCGTTAATTTAAACAGAAAAGAGCAAATTGGACAAAATTGGCTAACGGTTGGATAGTTTAGGGTAATATTGACTAATCGAAAAAGAATAGGGTAGAATTGACAACATGTAAGCTTAGGGTAGATTAGCCAATTTTTCCCTTCTCTTACTCTTCTTCTCCGGTGCAGTTTTACCATTTCTAGCCACAAACTCTGTTTCTTCATACTTTAATCCTCAGCAACCCAGCTAGCAGCAGTAGCAAGCAGCAGCATCAGCATCAGCAGCATGTTTCCTTCCATCATTGTGTTTCAGCCCCCAATTCAGCCCAAGTCGGTCTGCCTTTTCCTTCCGTGTTTCCTATGATCACTTGCAATACCATTTCTCACCTAACTGCAGCAGTCAATCCATCAATTCAGCAGCAGCAGTCACAGCAGGTAAGTAGCAGGTTGTAGCTACTGTTTTCCACACATATGCTCCCACTTTTTCTTCTTCAACTTGCAGTGATGGCGAAGTAATGCTTTCCTTTGGCAGCAAGAATTCTGCCTTGGCTCTTCCTGATTGACAGCAGCAATAGCTACTGCAGTAACAACTTGGCAACAGAGCAACTACCATTCTTCTTCTCAATTGAGTGTGCTGTTGCAGAGTCTTCCACTTGCATCCATCTGCATCAATCTTCCTTCCCCAGCAAGGATTTCTCCACTTCAGCCCCGATCATCCTTCCAGCAGCTTCCATTCCAGTCCTTTTTTACGTTTTTTGTGCAATTTGGCCCTCATTTATGCTGATTTTTCACATTGACCCTCTGAAAAACCTAAACTGTAAAATAATCTCAAAAGTAAACTAATCCTAACTAATTGACACTAAATTATGAATAGAAATGAGTAAAAAATACCTGCATAAAGGGTATATATTTTTGTGTTATCACCACCATACTACCTCCTCGTATTATCTGTGATTGCTCAAATCTGAGCATCATTGAATTCAATTTTTCAAGAAATTACAGCTGCCTACTATCATCAAATATAAACACCACCTCCTGCTATCATATGTAATTGCATAGATCTGAGCCATCATTGAATTTCATCAATCAGAACTAGTCAAAGTTTGATGTTCGGAATTGAATTTGATTTTAAATTGATAAGTTTTAATTCAAAATTTTGAGATTTGCACTGTTACAATTGGTGCATATAATGAGGACGGTGATGATGGATGGAGAACGGTGGCGGTTAACGAAGAAGATGGAAGATGGTGGTGGTTCTTGGTTGGGAAATTGGTGGCCGGCGGTGGGAGGACGGGCGGCGGTGGAAAGAGGGGAAAACTCAAGGGGGAGAGGAGAAAGGGGAAAAGAGTAAAAAAAACAATTTTTTATTTTTGTATTTCTTTATATATTACGTAGATAGGGGTAAAATAGAACTTTCAATAGATTTTTAACAAATTATATAATCAATCTATATTATAAACCAAACGCATTATTCGAATTCATGAATCCGTGATCATTCGAATCCAATCCGCCATCATTCAAATCCATTTCCGGTTTACAAAACAAATGGCTCCTTAGTGTAACATCAACTAGTTCTTAAAGAACTGTGTCCTTGCAAAGTAAGAGGACACTTGATTTCTCAGGCAATTCTTTTTTGCAAATTCCCTTAACTATTCCAGCTTTGTTCTTACTCACTTGCACGGCAGCTTGAAGTATTACATGTGTTACTCGGGAAGGAACACATATATGCCTGACAGAGTGATAGTGTACATCAACTAGTTCTCGGGCAAACAGTGATTAGTCTTATCCTTGGAACATTAAAGTAAAAATAACCAAATTAGTTGAAAAATGTAAATATAACGGACCTAATATATCAAATAATGATGTTGTGGACCAAATTAAATTTTAATTTTTTTTATTTTTTTATTTTTTGCGCCAAAACAATCATTATTTCGCATACATTTGTTGTTTACAAATCAAAGAAGAAGAAGAAGAAGAAGAAGAAGAAGAAGAAGAAAGCTAATTTTTCTTGGTTGTTGACCAAGGGAAGAAGAAGAAGAGATTGATTCATTTCGGTACATGATGAGATGTCCTAATTAAGGCTCTGATTGATCTTCCTATGGACCCAATTTTATTATTCATTAAGGTCTCCTGGTTTTGTTTTTATCCCATTAGCAAATGGTGGGAATCAGCTTGAGGGGCAATGCCTTCTGAGCTGTGAGTCCGGATGTTTCGGTCATATCCATATCTTCTGGCATCATTGCATCCGCAAGCTTCCAATCGAAATCCCGAAGTAGAGATGCAACCATGAGATGCACCATTCTAAGAGAAAACGGCATCCCTGGACAAATCCTTCTTCCAGAACCAAATGGGAGAAGCTCAAAGTGCTGCCCTTTCAAATCTATGTTGCTATCGACAAATCTCTCTGGAACAAATGAGTCTGGATCTGTCCAAGCTGCTGAATCCCTGTTAATGGCCCACAGATTCACTAGTATGTGAGCGTCTTTCGGCACCACGTATCCGTCGATTTGAAGGTCATCGCTGGGTGAACGGCCTGTTAGGCCCCCAACCGGGTGGAGCCGAAGAGTTTCTTTAACAACTGCCTGTAAGTATGGCAATCTTGACACATCCGATTCCTGAATTTGGTTACTTTGGTCAATAACTTGTCTGATTTCTTGTACAACTCTTTCCATCTTTTCAGGGTTGTGGAGTAATTCTGCCATTACCCATTCTATTGTGGCAGATGTCGTATGCGTCCCTGCAATGATCAAATCCTGAAACGGAGAATAACTATGTCAAATTTCTCCATCTTTAGAATTGTTTTAATCTGCCTAAACTGGAAACAAGGAGATTAGTTAGAGAAAGAAAAAGATTTGAACGAATAATAATAATACTTACAAGAATCAAATGCTTAATGTCATTGTAGCTCCAATCAGCCTCACCATGGTGATACTTTTCAAGGAGCACTGCTAATAAATCATTCTTCTTTGATGAATCTCTTTCCTTCAATCTATGACTAATAATACCATCGAACGCTTGAAGCAATTTTCCGAAATGGAACTTGGTTCGGCGCCTTATACCCTGTGGATCAAACCATCGAAGCACCGGATAATAGTCCACAAGATTCAGGACTCCCAACAGATTCGCCGCACCGTGTATAGCTTCCTGGAGTTCGTGAGACGCGTCGGAATCGTAATTAGCAAAATCAACAGAGAACAGCGTGTAGGACATGAGATTCAGAGCCGTGGTGAAGGCGACCGCCCTGATATTCACCGTTTCACCGGTTTTGCAACAATGGTAGATGTGATCACGCAGTTGTTGCACCTTTTCCTGACGGAGTCCTTGACTCGCATTCAGTCTCTCGTTGGAAAACATTTGTTCCGTGCAAAGTTTACGAAGACGGCGCCATTGTTTGTCAGCAGGCAAGAAGAGAATGGAGTATTTGTGGTGATCCAATGCTCGGAATGAATCCAGGACTTGTCTTGCCGTGAAGGTATGGTCGTGTTTTCGGACCAATTCTTTGGCGAGATCCGGGGATGATATGATCACGATGGTCTTGCTTAATATTTTGATGGTCATGATCGGCCCGTATATTTGAGCCAGTTTTGCTAATGTCCGGTGGAAAATCCCTCCCAACTGAAATAAGTTTCCGACCAACGGAATCTGTGGTGGGCCTGGCGGGATGGCTTTTCGACCACGTCGGCGTCGGCTGCGAGTATAAATGAAACAAGCAGAGATGACAAAAAAAATAAGAAGAGGTAGAAAATCAACAAGAGATGATGGTTTGGCCATCATTATGTTCACCCTGATGAATTAATTAGCGGGCTTGAGAGTGTTTTTTTTGGCTTAAGATTCAATCTTATCAGTTTCTCTCTGGTCATTCATAAATTTCTTGTCTTTAGTCCCCCTTTTTATAGTATCTCTATGATTATCGATGCTTGATGGTGTGCTGTTTACGAATATTTGTATATAATTGAATGGAGTACTATAGGTAGCAAGCACATGGAGAAAACTAATAAACTATAGCTCACATCTTGGCTTTTGATCACCTCCATGTCCAGGATTTATTATTCGCACAAGAAAAATGTAGGAGTATTTTGTTTCGTTTTATTGGTGTGTGTTTTCGGGTATTTTTTTTTATTGAAAATGTAAAAAAAATATAATATGATCGAATAATTATTAATATATTAATTTAAAAAAATTATTAAAAAATAAAAAGAAACAATATTTCAAATTATTTATTTATTTATTCTTTTGGGTGGGGCCGGGAAAAGGGGCGTCAACGGTCAACCTTGTAATGCCGTTATTGTCAATATCGGTAAACTAATCAAATTTATCACTCAATCATACCGGAATCATGTGATTATATTTTTATCGGATGTTCCCCTAAGGTACAGCTCCCTTCTTCCTCCTTTCTTTTCATTTTCTTTTTCAACTTTTGAGAAAAATTATTGGGATTAGTCCAAAAAAAAAAAAACAATTTGTGCTAATTTCCTCTCCATATTAAAATAATTTAGCGCCAACAAGGATTGCCCAAGTGGTAAATAGGAAACTTGGAGGTCCCAGATTCAAACCCCACTAACAGCACCTTGTGTGTTGAGTTGTGCATGTTATCTTGTACCCATCATGAAGGTTTTCTGAGTATCAGATCGAAACGTGCACGCGTAGAATCTTCCCCTAATAGTACTATCTCCTTCCTCATAAGTTTCACCTCTCATATAATCTCTATAGGTTTCGCCCCACATATAATAGATTAGGTACTTGTAATTGTGTATAAAAAAAAAACCAAAATTTAGCAACTGAAATATCAAATAACATTAATTAATATTAAGGGGCAATACTACTTTTTGTAATGGACAAAACACACTTTTAGTCCCACAACTATGAGGTAGCAAGCTCGAGTCACCGTGTATTTTCAATTACCAAAAATAATTCTCTAAAATATTTTTCTCATCAATTTTAGTTAATTTAACGAAATTTTTTCAAACTTAAGGGGTTAACCCTTGTTCCCCGTTAAGTCTCCAATTTTTTATTAATTTCATCAATGATAGGGCCCACTATTTGACCCAACATTTTTTTCATTTCTTTTTTTTTCCAATTTTTCTTTTTTGGGGTTTTTTTTCACTCCCGTCATTTTTTTCTTCTTCAAACCCCTTTTGCTTCTAACCCTTCACCGCCGCCGACCTTTTCACCCTTCACCGCCGCAGACTTCAGAAATCCTCTCCATGAACTGAGCCCATTTAGACCCTGAATCCATTTCCACTCGATCCTGGGTTATGTAGTCAATTAAGAGAGACTGGGTTCAAAGGTTTGGATTTTGGTTGAGTGTAGCATTGATTAACTTTAAGACTCACAATTCTTCTACTATTTCCAACCTAACCAAGCAATTTTAATCATTTTAAGAGAAATAAATATGATAAATAATGTTACCAATATGTAGGAATTGTGATGGACGAGAATTGTAACTTTTATGACCAAATGTCGTCGTGTATATGTTTTTGAGTTCACGATTTTTTCTTTTTCTTGTCGGGAGAAGAGAGTCATCCTTGTGATAAAAATTTTACCACGACAAAGAAGCTTCATTATTTTTAATACTATGTATTAATTCTCAAGACTCGCGACTCTTCTAGTTAGTAAAAATTGATGTTAATTACATGTTTCTTTAGCAGGTGCTGACAATTGTTTATTAATTGCAACAGTGTGTTTAAAGATGATAAGTAGGTGGTCAGAGATGTGATGCTTGGAAAAGGGGGGGAAAAACCGTGTCTCCAAGAAATCCAAATGAATCAAACAACTAAACACATATAAAATCAATAAAGATCTAGACAAAATGGACTATATAATATGTACAAGTGATTCCCCCAGGACTAAATACTAAGTAATGTTTTCAGATAGCAAGCCACATCGAGAAAAACTAGCTCGGATCTTGGGCTTTTTAAAATGGCTGTTAAGAAAAAAAGTTGGTAAAGTCATATTTTTGTTCCTTCATTTCCTCTCAAATAATCAGCGCTCAATTTTTTCACAAAATAAAATAAACAAATATCAGAGCTCAATCATATTTGAAAAAAGATGGAGTCAAACTTGTAATGCCTACTAATTATTAAATAGATAATAAGCTTTGCCTTCTCCTCTCTATTTGACACATTTTTCACGAACTCCCGGGAGCCGGGAGGCGAATGTCCCCGGAAGAACGAAATAAATCAAACAACCGAACATATAAAATTTATAAAAAAAAAAAGAAGAAGCCAACCAAGACAGAAAGGAATTATACGAGTGATTATCCAAAATTAAAAATACGTATTTCTTTTATTTTAAAATGATTGTCTAATTCATTTTTATTTTAAGTATAATTTGTAGTAAAAGTTAAATTCAAACTAAATAATTATTTTTAGAACAGAAGGAGTAGAAAATTGGTGGACAACATGCATTTTTTTGTGCGAATTTGTAAGAGAGAATACTTTTGATTTATTCATTAATTGGGAATTTGGGAGGTTCTTAATACTGTTTTATTCGCAATTGAAATTATGTATGTAAAGGAAATACGATATTATTGGTATCTCTAGCCAATAGAGTAGTATAAACATTGGGTTTTGCCTCTTTCGATTATTGACAACCGTTGACTAAATAGAAAATTGAGTGCACTATTTCAACTTTGATCTGCATTATTTTCAGTTGTCATGAAATGTCGACATAATATATTATACTACGTGTATATTTAAAACTGTTGAAATTTTTCGTCATCAGTTTAATGAAGAATAAACACACCATGATTAATATATTCTATCATGAAAAGTAAAAGAGACATGTAATTTATATAAGTATAATCTATAAAGTTCTAAAATTGTAACGTCAAAAATGAAGTTCATTAATTACTGGATCATAATAACATAAAAATTTTGTCAATGATATATAATATAATATAATGGGTTTTGATTTTCAACTTCCTCATTGAATTCCATAAAAAGATGATAAAGTTGACGTCATATTTCCACAAAAGATACACATTCTAGATTACATTGATGTCCACATAATCTATATATATATATATGTATATATTAATAGAAGATGAAAAAAGCTGATTTGGCATAAAATTATAAGTTCAATTAAGTTTTATGTAAAAAATTAAATTTTATCATAATGTAATAATAATTTTACAACTTGACTTAAGATGAAAAAAATCTAAATAATGCATTTGGTTAAACACAATCTTATCTTAACCAAAAAGTTATGGTGTTGGGATAAAGATCTGATTTTTATCTTAATTAATCACTAATTCTAATTTTTTTTGAAATAAATACAGTATGTTTTATCAATTGTTTTCAGAACATATAGTTGTTGGGTCATATATTGTTTCCATTTAAAAATTTTTGAAACTCCAATAGAGTCCGATATCCTAACTACTTCTATCGTAAATCTTCTACTGGATTTGAGAATCGTGGCCTATTTAATATGAAACCTACACCTCAAATAACCAGATACTATACATTTTAATTCTTGAAATTGTTGATTGCTTTCATCTCTGGTTATTTTGGTTTATATGTTTCTAATAATTTTTAAGAATGGTGGTTGACAAAGTATGATGATATTCTGTCAAGACTTTTTGATTATCTCGTTATCAAATAGTGCAAATAAAAGGATTCATTGCTTCCAAGAAGCTATAGTTGGACTAAAAATCTACGACCAACTCGCCATTGATCCTTCCCTGATGGAAAATAAGATACCATCGACCTTGGTGTGGTGGCGCTATTTTTTTTTTTTTTTGGTTGACCGCGTGAAATAAAGTCTAGTGGCGGGGGTTTGTCTTCCAGTAGAAGAACTTGTTGGATTTAGGGTTATTTATCCCTCCCCAGCCTTCGTATTCGTTGTTGTCAACAAGACAACATAAAGAAAAGAAAGAAAGTTGAGGCTAGGAGCGTAAAGATCAAAACATTTTGCTTTTGGTCGTCATTACTAAAAATAAAAATTGGGGTGTTGCCTGTTGCGTGATGTAGTTTTTATTAAAAACGTGGATATTATTTTTTTGTTTATTTTAATATTTTAACAAGCATAATTTTTTCATCTCCCTACGAATGTATTTTACACTAGTTACATATTCACGTGCAACACACGGGGTAAATACTAATATATTATTATATTACGGTTTATGTGATGTAATAATAGGCCATATGTTTTAGTTATCCAATTTTATTTTATTTTTTTTTCCTTCAAAATTGTACTATTACTATAGAATAGATAGATGGAGTAAAACAACCAAATCTATGTTGAAATCATAAAATCTGTTTGCAAATCATGTTTGCTTTGATAACATTCCAGCGGCATACAGTATGAGTGCAGAGTGTTCCCAAATCATCAATTGTCTAGTTGAAAAGAAAAGAAAAAGTTGCACCTGCACACATGTGAACTGAAAGTGCTCTATCAGTCTTACAAAAGAGGTAATGTCTTATTTCAGAGTAACACGTATATGAATAATATCGGAATGATGGATGGAGTAGATTAATATTCCTTAAAAGTGATTCTCGACTGCGATCAGAATTGGCGAGGAGATAAACGAATGGGCAATCCTTGAGCTGGGTGAGGAAGTGGATGGTGTAATATCTCCTCTTCAGGAATCAGTTTCTGCCATTCAAACCTAGTGACCGCATAGTGTATAAAAGTGAGTATTGCGAGTCTTACATACTCATTTCCAGGGCACATACGAGATCCTCCACCAAATGGAATATACGTGTAAGGTGCTGGACCATCTCCTTCGAATCTTGTTGGATCAAACTTGTCTGGATTTTCAAAGAACTTTGGATTCCTGTGGGTCGCATGCAAACTCCAAAGTATCTACATATATTTACAACATCATCAATATATTGTACTATTTTGATTTGTTTTATGTTTCACATAATACGCATTTTTAATTCATAAAAAAATCTTAGAAATATTTTCTAACAATCAAGAGAACACAATAAATGTGAAAATATATTTTTAAGATTTTTTTTTATTAAAAATGTACAGTAAGTGAAACGTAAGACAAATCAGAATGCTTCATATTAAGTACCAAAGAGAGTAATTAATAGTAGATAAATTGGAGCTTACCTTGGAACCCTTTGGGACTGTGTATCCTTCGTATGTGAAATCGGTCATAGCCTCTTTGATACCACCAACTCCTGATGGGTATAGTCTCAATACTTCACAAACAACATTCCATGAATACTTCATCATCCTTATGTGATCCCAGCTAAGTTTCTCTGTTGGTCCTTTTGATTGTGCAATTTCCAATTGTTCTTCAGTTTTCAAGTTTATAAGAAAATATTAAAAGCCAGTTAAGAAGGGTAGTCAAAATATCCAAAGTAATTAAAAATGTTGAAGCAATGCATAATTGACATATATATGTACCTTTAAGGAGAGATTCATAAACATTGGGCATATCAGCAAGAACTTTCATGACCATGGTGATTGTAAGCTTGAAAGTGGTGGAGGAAGCTCCCAGCATACCTACCAAAAGGGTAGCAATGTCGGAATCCTTGTAGGATTCACCATTCTCATCTACTGCGGTTAGGAAATGTGATATGAAGTCCTTCCGGGGAGGAAGAAGAAGATGAGCCTTTCTCCTCTGGATGATTTCCTCCATTTTTGAACGCAAAATCCGGGATGCCCTGATTCCACGATTCAATGTTGTCCCTGGCAGATTGATTGGCAACCCAAAGATAGCAGACTCTATCTCATCCATTCCTTCCACAAGTTGTTCCATTTCGATATTATTTTGGTAGTCCATTCCCAAGAAGAAATTAGAGGCTAAAGCTAAAGTGTACATGTTTGCGATGTCCACCACTTTGATTTGATCTTTTCCGGCCCAATGCGTCTCCAGATGTTGCTTCATCACCGCATCCATGGTGCCGACGTACTCGCGCAGCGCATCGGGTTTGAGAAAGAATAAAAGAACAGATTTTCTGATCCCTTTCAAGTGTTCCCTGGCTGGCTGATTATCTGACATGGGAAGAAGCTTTTCAAGGGTCGCCGGCCACCATAACTTCACCAGCTTGTTCTCATTAGAGAACAGAAACTTGTTTCCTTCCGGCCCGCAAAGCGCCACCACGGGCTGCCCAGCCAGTGATGTGCTGAAAATCTTGGCAGAGAATTTGTCCATTCTTTCTTTCATGAATTCATACAGCATCCCTTTTTTCAACTTGGAGTAATAAATCAAGGATTCCGAGATATACCTTCCACCTGGAGGAGCCTTATTCTTTCCCACTGCAGGGCCGCTGGCTTTCGACTTGATGAGCTTGTGCACAAAAAATATGATTGGAATTATAGGCAAAATGAACCAAAAAAATTGGGATACTTCCATCCTTAACTTGATCTCTTTCTGGTTATACTTTGCGTGAAGGATAACCAACAAAAAGCTATGAGAAGATCTATACGTTTAGGAAGGAACTCAGGGAAGATTGTTGTAACTTTGTTTCACGGTTTCTGTTTTTATAAGTTGAGAAGGCAAGTGATGTTCTCTCAGTTGCTTATTTTTTGGTATTTTTTATTTTTTGTGGAGGGGTCGTCAACGTTGTAGTGCCAGCTAAATAAACAAAGCAAAAACATTGCATTATTATTATTATTATTATTATTATTATATTGTATATACACATAGTTTACAAATAGCTATATTGTCGTTACATTACATCTCTTTTAGGCATCAATAATTACTTGTGCAGTTAAATCTAGATTGATTACACACACACTAAGCAGGAAAAAGGTTACTAAGTGAAGTGACTAAGAAAATATCATATACTACTCCGTTCACCCTACTTTTCACAATATTAAATCAAATTTTATCTAAGTCAAAATCCTACTCCAGAGATATTTTTGCAGGCTAATTCTTACTCTTTCATTCCCATAAGAAGAGTTGAGAGTACGTTCCATAAAGCAACATGTATTATGAATAGATGTCTTTGAGATAGAAATGAAATTAACAAGGTAAATTAATACTCAAACGGTCGGGGATCTTGATAAATATTAGATGTTGATAGTCAAAGTTTAATTTTAAAGTTAATGTCACACCAAATGCATGTACATTTTATTATTAATTATTGCATTTGTGTTTAAAGAAATAAGGGTGTCAGAGATGTGATGCTAATAAATCAAAACAACATGTGATGTTTATAGTCCCTTTCAATGGTGTGGTTCAATCTTGATCGATCAAAACTTCCAACAATCCGACAATCAGCACCACCTGAAACTTGTAACCATATCCGACGGGGTATTGTTGGTTTGCTGTTTAAGAATCAATCACTAATATTTAATTGAAAAATGGAGCTGCATTAGCAAGCCACATTGAGAAAACCTAGCTCCCTTCTTCGGCCACATTTTGTATACTCATTGCCCATCAAATAATCAGAGCTCAATCACGTTTGCAAAGAATAATCCACATCGCTTATTCTCTCTCTATATGACACACCGCGTAAATACTCCTTTTTGTTTTCTTCCTCTACTTAATTTGGTATTTCTTTAATAAAAATAAATAAAATTGCAAGGTGCCAAAACACATTTGAATCATGCGATTCCTCTTTCAATTATGGGATGTGCCCAAAGGGACAGCTCCTTTCTTTTGTTTCTTTTTTGTTTTTTTTTTATCCATAGTCACAAAAAAGGTACCAAGTGAAGCGACTGAATTCTTATATATATCATTGTGTTTGTCTCACTATAGTAGCTGTTTATGTGCATTGCATTATATCTAATAGAACGATTTTTTTTTTTCATAGAGAGAGTAATAATTTAGTTTTACAGAATTAAAAATGAGACTATATTTAATATTGATGAAGATTGAACTATCAACATTCTTCAAATTGATAATTAAGTATATGTGTTCATTCATCAATTTTATCACAATTATCAAATCGTGTTGTGAATTTTCCAAGTTATAGTTTGAAAAGTTAATTAGGAAAATTAATGGGTTTTTGTAATTAACACACAATTATATATATGTTATTTGGCAGGGAGACGTGGATAGAACGACAGCAGTGGCTGAAAATGGGTACAGCTCTCATTTACTAGTAGCTAAGAACTGGAAAAAGGAGTTATATATTCGGAAATGGTCAAACTTGCAACACAATTTTATTTTTATTTTTTTTATAATAAAAGAAAGTAATTGCCTGAAACTATAACTTTTTATTATCTCTATTTTAAAAAAAGTCCATGTTAAATTTTTAAATTAATACTGAAAATAATACAAAACTCAAAATTCAATATGAACTACAGTATTTTTTTAAAACAGAAAGAGTATGTAACATTGTTAAGAAGCACTAATGAGATCATCTAATTACAGTAATCCGCCTGGGCTACCATATTGTTAAAGTTGTTTAATTATGAGTCCGCGTCAATTTACGACATACATACATACATACATACATACATACATATATATATATGTATCTATATGTTTTTCGCGGATAGCCATCACCAAACCTCGAGCATACTAAATACCTCGCCCTCAACCATCTTGACTCTGCTTAAATCATCAATCTCTCTACAATAATCTTCTGGATTCCGAACACCAAACTAGATGCAATCCGTGAAACAATTTTTTTATTAAAAAAAAATAAAAAAAAATAAAAAATCAAACCTCGACCTTCTGATAATAACCATCACATCCTAATTCTCTAACCAATCTCACCCAACCCTCCCACCCCCTTAAACAAGTTAATTTCATAACTCAACACCAATGACGGAACATTAACTAATTCATAAGAAACTTCCACACCACCAATCCAAGTGGTCTCTCACTACTAGACCTCCCACGCATTGACATACCAACACATGAGCATTAATAAAGTAACATTAACAACCAAAAGACTTGTGATGAAACGATAAAAACTTCTCTCTTAATCATAGGTCAGTGTTCGAACTTTGTCATGGGTATAGAGCAACCTTAAATCTTTTAGCCAACTCTTTCACCCATCGAGGTATCTATCATGAGCGAGGGGAATTAGTAACTGTTGCCGACGGTGAATATCCTACAATATAAAAAATAAATAAATAAAGTAACATTAACAGAGTCTCTTGTTTCAACTGTAGCACAAGTAGTGTATTTACAATCTAGAGGACCAGGAACATGGCCCTTATTTGAACAAAAAGTGTTGTCATCCAGTGCGTACAGCCTTGAAGAATGTCCAGAAGGACCTTAAACTTGGCTTGATACGTTTAGATTCCCACATATGAAACCAAAGTACAAAAGTACTTTTCCAATTAATCAACCGATATTGACTATTGAGTACTTTACTGGCGCTTAGATAAGTAATTGATCCCATATATTCAATTTCACCTAAGAATATTTCCTACTTAATTATGGGCGGGAAAACCCATATGGTTTTTGTAGGTAATCCAAGAACTCAAGATTAGTTCCTAATAAACTATGTTCCTTAAAAATAGGATTATAGATTAGGACCCCTGGACTGAAAAATATGGGACAAATAAGTGAAATCTGAAGTCCAATTAAAATGGGCACAATACAAAGAAGACAAAAAAAAATTAAAAAATTGTATCATTTGTGAATCAGTCAGAATTAAGAGAGATTCTTCGTTTATTTTGATACATACTAAATCACAAGGTACGTACACAAACAAAGATTACAGCGATCCTCCTAATGCCCAAATTTTGATTCCTTTTCAGTGGCAAGTTCTCCTTTGATCCCCGCTCCCCCCAAATTATCACAATATGGTTGCTTTAGTCGGAACCACTCTGAGGGGAAATGCCTTCTGAGCTATAAATCCATTTTTGTCAGACATGTCTAAATCTTCAGAATTCATTCCATCCGCAAGCTTCCAATCAAAACGGTGGAGAAGAGATGCACTCATGAGATGCACCATTCTAAGAGACAGTGACAGTCCAGGACAAGCCCTTCTTCCAGCACCAAATGGGAGAAACTCAAAATGTTGCCCTTTCGTCATTTCTATTTTTCTATCCAGGAATCTCTCGGGTACAAATGAGTCTGGATCGTTCCAAGAGGTTGGATCCCTATTAATGGCCCATAGGTTCAGAAATATTTCAGCATCTTTCGGCACCACGTATCCGTCGATTTCAAGATCATCGCTGGGTTGACGCCCTGTTAGGCTCACTGCCGGGTGTAATCGAAGAGTTTCTTTAACCACTGCCTGTAAGTATGGCAACTTTGACATATCTGATTCTTGAATTATGTCACCCTCCCCAATGACCTGTCTAATTTCTTGTACAACTTTTTCCATTTTTTCGGGATGTCGGAGTAATTCTGCCATGACCCATTCTATAGTGATGGAACTGGAATGCGTTCCTGCAATGAATAAATCCTGAAACATGCATGCAGAACTACGTGTTAGTGAACAGGTTTTTATCAATTTTTCCAATTATAAGAACGAAAACATGCATGCAATTAATTAATTTGAACAAAGCAAGAATCATGCATACATATAGAAATCGAAATAGTTTCTAAAAATCAGGGCATTAATTTGGAAAGATGAAAATTATATTTAATTAAATCCTTGAATTAACACCCACAAGAATAAGTGAATGCATGCAATAGCCAAATGAAAAGAAGAAAAAGTTTCGAACTCACAAGAATCAAATGCTTGATGTCATTGTAGCTCAAATCAGCTTCACCCTTGTGACACTTGTCAAGGAAGACTGATAATAAGTCAGTACTCTTCTTTGAAGCAGAAGAAGAAGCCGAAGTAGCAAATGACGATGATGATGAGGATGATGAATATTCGCTTTCCTTTAACCTCTCATTAATGATACCATCAAACCTTTGAAGCAATATTCCAAAACAGAAGTTCATTTGGCGCCTGATACCCTGTGGATCAATGGGTCGAAGCACCGGAAAAAGGTCAGCAACATTAGGTTTGCCAATGAGTTCCTGCAGAGTTTGCAAAGCGTCTTGGATTTCATTAGAGGTGTTGGAGTAATAATCAGCAAAATCAACCGAGAAAAGGGTGGTCGACAGGAAGTTGAGAACCGTCGTGAAGGCGACCGCCCCGATATCCACCGCCTCTCCGTTGTTAGCGCCGCTGCCGCAGCGAGTTTGGATGTAATCACAAAGTTGTTGCACCTTTTCGTGACGGAGTCCCTGACTGGCATTCAGCCGTTCATTGGAAAGAATGTGTTCTTTCAAGACTTTATGAAGTTTGCGCCATTCTTTGTCAAGCGGTAAGATGATGAGGGAGTGGTTGTGGTGATCGAATGCGCGCCACGCGTCAAGCACCAGTCTCCCCGTGAAGGTTTGGTCGTATTTTTGGAACATTTGTTTTGCCACTTTTGGGGATGAAACCATCACCATGGTCTTGCTTAGTATTTTGATGGTCATGATCGGCCCGTATGTTTGAGCTAGTTTTGCCGCCGTCCGGTGGAAGATCCCTCCCACCTGAAACATGTTTCCGACCACCGGCAGCTGCGGAGGTCCCGGTGGAGTGTTTTTACGACTACCGCCGCCGCGGCATCGGCGGCGAGTGTAAATGAAACAAGCGGAGATGGCAAAAAGAACGAGGAAGGCTTGAAGAAACTCAACAATAGATGAATAGGGTTCGGCCATCGTGTTCTTTCTAATACGTACCTACCCTAATGAATTAAATATATTAGCTTGCTAGCTAGCTCAAGCTTGAGAGTGGTTTTTGGCTTATGTTTCAATCTTATTAATTTCTCTCAGGAAATGATCCATTTTATAGTCTCATGTTTTGGTCCTCATCCTTTTACAGTAGTTACATATTGATGTGTCTTTTTTCGATCAATCCGGTATGCTCTAACTAAGCAAATTAACCACCTAATACTTGTCCGGCGGGCGAGTGGGTGATGGCTCGCATGGCGTGCTGTTTACCAATCAATCACCAATATTTAATTGGAAAATGGAGCAGCATTAGCAAGCCATCTTGAGAAAACCTAGCTCCCATCTTAGGCTTTTTAAAAAATGAATGTTAAGAAACACGTTGGTAAGTCACATTTTTTTTATTCATTTCCTCTCCAATAATCAGACCTCAATTATTTCAGAGAAATAAAAAAGAAAAATCAGAGCTCAATCTTGTTTGCAAAAAAAAATTTGAGTCAAACTTGTAATGCCTAATAATAAGCTTTGTCTTATATATTCTCCCTACTTGACACACTTTTTTTTTTCCTTCTCCCCCAAAGTTCGTCATTTTCTGGAAAGGGCTGCGAACCTTCGACGCCCAACAAAACTGGAACTAGTTAGTGATTTTAAAATGCAAACATACTAATTAACTCCCCAAACACATTTGAATCATTTGATTCCTTCTTTTTCTTTTTCTTTTTTTTTGATTTTCCCCAAAGGGCTACTTCCTAATTATTTAGAGTAATTATTGGGACTAGTCAAGAAAAAGGTACCAACTACCAAGTGAAGAAGTGACTGACTGAACATTTACTCCCTCCATCCCATTATACGATCATGTATCTCACGTTAATAATTTATTTTTTTTTTTGGTATTGTTTAATGTAATAACGAAGTACTTTTCTTAGGATAGATAAAGTGATAGTTTAATTCAGATAATTATGTTCTTCTTCTTTAGAGGAAATGTACAGTTAAGCTCCCTTTTTAAAATGGAGTGGAAGTTTGGTTCACCCTCTAATTGATCTCCCATTTTAACATGGAGATCTTGAGTAATACTCCAATTTAGTGTTGTTTGTTGAACCGAGGTCACATCAAGTACTCTTAATTTTAAAATTCTCATTGCGGTCCGATGATTGTATTCCACAATACACCATGTGCACTCTGTCATCCGCCATAACTCAGTATTGGTAGGATAATAATAGATTATTATAACTTAAAATTAAGGAGGACTCATGGCAGAATTAGATCACAGAGTTATTATAATTAGCTACTTAAGTCTCAATTACAAACATTTTTTTACGACAAAGGAGACACATTCTTTATAACTTATTATTATGGAACTACATTACATAGATAAACAACCCCGGTATAAACATCACCTTAGCTCCTTCTATTTTTCTCAAGCACATGACATGGATATTTAACTGAATTAAGTAGTCGTATTATGTCTTGCTCTTTTCATCTCGGAAAAAATAAAATAAAATGAAAAGGGATACCATTTCATATCCTTTCTGGCACGTTTCTTTATTTTGATCTTTTTTATTACGTCTCAGGGTAGGTGAAGCCGCCGCTTTAATTTTTAATATTTCTTAATATTATACATACATATTTAAGAAAAAAATCTATCACCAAAAAAAATTATTTACAAAACCAAAAATCAATTAATCGAAGTATACTAAAATAAAATCAAGAATGAGATTGTGGTTTTTAGTGCAAAGATGTGATAAGTTGACCCTCCCTACTATATACCTTTAGCTCTATAAAACTTAATTAAGCTGACAAAAGAGTTTTTTACCTCGCCTATTCTAGTTTTCTAAATTTATAGTTGTCGGTCCGAAATCTAAATAAGGAGAAAAGTTATTTAATAGTTTTTTATTTCTAAAAGGCTCAAATTTTAAAACTCGTTTTAGCCCCTAAGACCTTAAGCTGTCCCTGTTTCCGAATAACCCTGAACTATCTATTTCTTCTCTGCTAAACTTATTTACCAGGGATAGACAATCCTTCTAGACCATGAGAAAGGGATGCCGTTGCATATCCTTTCTAGTTTCTTTACTTTGATCCATTCTTATTACTTTTTACACATATTTTAAAATCATTGTTCAGTTTGAAATTTTATTTTTAATATAATTTAAATTAGACAATTATTTAGGGACGGAGGGAATACGTCTTTATTATTCCCTCAGTACTTTACAAACAAAACCAATCATGCATGCATATGTTGTTTGTATTAACAATGATGTGGCAATCAACGTTGAATGTACGTTTTGGTTCAACATTAGCACACCAAAAATAGAAATGAAATTCGTAGAGCAAATTAATTAAGTGCAATAATATTTAATATGCTGCGAATAAGGAGTTGGTTCAGTGGAAATGTCACCCTTGCTTCAAGAGGAGATCATGAGTTCAATTCTCCACTCCAATAAAAAGTGAGGAGTTAGTTCTCACCTTGCTTTTTGGTGGGTTCTCGGGGTTTTAAAAAAATGTTTAATATGATGATATTAGCGGGTCAAAGATGTGATGCTTCAAAAGAAAAAAGAAGAAAAACAGTCTCCGATAGACCCACCCAAATGAATCAATTAACTGACATATGTACTACAGTACTATAAAATGAAAAACCAACACAAAAACCTCTATAAGAGTGATTCCCCCAAGACTTTAAAAACTAGTATTAGTAAGAGTGGGTCCGACGACATGTATTTTGATGTGCAAATATTTTATAAGGAGATAATGCTGCTCCAAGTGAATATATTGACGTGCTAAGTTTTATTTTTAAAAAAAAAAAAAAAAAAAAAAGAAGAGAATAGAATCTCCTTAGGCAGATGGATCGTAGCAGCCCACACAGCTCAACAGTTATATGAATATCTATAAATGCTAGCCTTCTTCTGTCCAATACGGGAATCATATTTTTCCAAGTAAGTCCAGTTTAGTTCTTAAAGAGAAAAAGAAAAAGAAAACCTAGCTATATTCTGTATACTACTAGTACTACAGCTTCTTGAACAGATTCAAAATGTGGAGGCTCCAAGTTGCAACAGAAGCTGATCACGGCCAGAAGAATGGGGATATCAATAACAGTGTTGGAACATGTTTGTGGAAGTTTGATGCCGATGCCGGAACTCCACAAGAGCGGGCACAAGTTGAGAATCTCCGGGATGAATTCCGGCGCAATAGGTTCCATGTAAAGCTAAGCGCTAATCGCCTCTTGAGAATGCAGGTTAGTTCTCTCAACTTCCTATATATTGGGAGTACTTATCCTTCTTTCTGTCGGCTTTAATGTTATATGATCACAAAGTTTTGTTAATTTACTTGTCATACGTACATGTGAGATTTTATGTGGTTTTCGTATCTTTGATGCTTTAAGATGGAGAAAAAAGAGATGACACGGGACAACAGTGATGACACGTACGACATAAAACTCACCAAGGAGGATCGTGATGTAACTAAAGACGTCGTCACTGAGAGCTTGAAAAGAGGCCTTAACTATTATTCCCAACTCCAAGCTGCTGATGGTCACTGGCCATGTGACATGCTTGGTCCCTTGTTCATTGGTCCAACAATGGTATATATGTACTTTCTAAACTTTTCTTTCACAATATACATATTATATGACAAACATAGTGATGCATTTTAATGACCCCATAAATGTTGACACTGACACTTATATATATACATGAATATTCAGGTACTTGCATTGTACATAACAGGCGATCTAAATTTGGTTTTATCATCAGAGCACCAGAAAGAAATGAAACGTTACATATACAATCATCAGGTATATAGATAGTATAACTAAGAGAATTTGATATTCAATGTTTTATATGTTGTACTTTTATTTCATTTGACATCGTTGAAGTAACATATTAATCTGGCATGCATGCAGAATGAAGATGGCGGATGGGGACTAAATGTGGAAGGGCACAGTACGATGTTCAGTTCCGTGATGAATTATTTGGCGCTCCGATTAATGGGAGAAAATCTGGAAGAGCAAGATGATACTGAACGAAGAGAAGCTTTGGCTTTGGCTCAAAAATGGATTATTGACCATGGCACTGCAATTGCAATTCCTTCATGGGGAAAGTACTTGTTAGCGGTAAAAACCATCATTTAGAAATGACCAAACTTTAATCACTACTTTTAAACTTATTAAATTTATTACTCCTCCGTCCCATAATTATTGTCAGTTTGAATTTTCATTTTAGTTCAAATTGTATTAAAAGTGAAATCTCAAACCTGACAATAATTTTGAAACAGAGGAGTATATAAAATGTGCGGTATTAATGATTGTATTTGATGATAAGCAGATACTAGGTGTTTACGAATGGTCAGGCTGCAATCCTGTGCCTCCCGAGTTTTGGCTACTCCCTTCTTTCTCACCCATAAGTCCAGGTTAGTTTCTCTTGCCCTTTGTAAGTGTTCATTGGTGATTTATTTATCTATTTGCCTAAATGAAGCATGAATTTATTATTTGCATGCCTTCCATGCACAGGAAAAATGTTGTCCTTTTGTCGTTTGGTTTATTTACCATTGTCGTACCTATATGGAAAGAGATTTGTTGGAAAGACAACAAAATCAATAGTACGTTGTTTAAGAGAAGAATTGTACACTGAACCATACGAAGAAATAGATTGGATTAAGGCTCGGGACATCAGTGCCAAGGTTCATCTCTCCTCCTTAATTTCCACCTTAAAAACAAACTCTTTCCATTGCATTATTATAAGTTCCATGATTTATTCTTTTTTTTTTTTTTTGTGGCCATATATAGGAGGACTTGTTCCGTCCTATATCACCTATGTTGAAATTTGGGTGGAAATGTCTTTCAAAATACGAATCAATGACAAAATGGTGGCCTATTTCTTTTCTGAGAGAAAAAGCTTTAAAAATTGCGATGGAGCTTGTGCACTATGAGGACGAAAACAGTGACTACGTCTGCATTGCATTAGTGGAGAAGGTAATTATATTAATTATTCTCTCCTAGTTCATGATGTGTGTATATGATTTTTTTTAAAAAAAAATAAAATGTATATATTGTGTTATGGGATTATTCTGCTATATATATTTGGTATTGATCTATATTCCAAAAATTTGAGAAAGAAAATCCCTTTTACTATATCTTAGATTTTAATGGTTGTGTGGGTTGAATATTACAGGCTCTCTCACTTCTAGCTTGTTGGGTTGAAGATCCAAATTCAGAGGCATACAAGTCTCATCTTCCCCGGATTCATGATTATCTCTGGATATCCGAAGATGGCATGACTTTTCAGGTTATCCATTTTAATAATTTGGAGTGTAGGCTTAATTAATTTTCTTTTATAGCCGCTTTTTTTTAATTATTATTATTATTCACATGAAAAAAAAAAGTTCCTGTTTTTTGTCCTTTGCTCATTTTCTTCATCTATATATCTTATATCTCTATATTTATACTTATTTTTTGGGGAAAAAGAAGATAAGTAATCACAAACCTCTCGATTTTCGGGGTAACACTAGTCAAGTTTGGGACCTGGCTCTTTCTGTTCAAGCTTTTATTTCAAGCGGTTTTGTGGAAGAATACGGGACAACTCTTAGCAAAGCTTACGAGTTTTTGAAAAAATCTCAGGTTGTGCGATATTTTATATTTACAATAATAATAATTGCTTTTAACCCAAAAAAACAAAATAAATAATCATTGTTGTCACCTTAGTTCATAAACTAATTAGATCCACGAGTAATTTAACTAAAATTGGTAAAATATATGATGTGTTTCCCATCATATATATCATTATAGGTTCGGGAAAATCCTTCGGGTGACTTCACCAAAATGTATAGGCATGCAACCAAAGGAGCTTGGACATTTTCAGCTGCCAATCAAAAATGGCAAGTTTCAGATTGCACGGGAGAAGGGCTAAAGGTAATTAAATTTAAACCTATATATGTTGCTTGAATTCCTTCTGGCTCTTTGAACTTAACAATTTTATCAACTACCAATCAGTACATGAATTTGATACGATATGATTTGCTTATCCTCAATGTTAATGTAATTCTATTATTAAGATTCCTAATTTTTCCTAGAAAGGGCATTTTATTAATCACATGATCCGCAATTCCATTTACAGGCAGCTTTGTTGCTATCACTACTTTCCCCGACTATTGTTGGAGAAAAATTGAGTGAAACCAATTTGCATGACGCTGTGAATATAATTCTTTCAATACAGGTAGGTACATGCTTAATCTATTTTGAAACAAAATTATCATCCCTCCTCTTTTATTTTATTTTATTTTATTTTTTTATCACGATACGTAATAAAGATCTTGAACTTCATTACAGTTAGAATATATTTTTTCCTAATTGTTAAGGGAAAAAAAGTAAGATTAGTTTGAGTCAATAATCTGATTATTTTTATTTTTATTTTTTTTTTTATGGCAGAGCCCGAATGGAGGGTTTCCAGCATGGGAACCAGCAAGGGCTTCTCGTTGGGTAGAGGTACTTTTTTTTCTTTTTTGCGTTGGTTATTTTTCATTAATTCCTGGCTATTGACTCAATTTTGGTTATACGTAAATGGTGTGGAAAAAGTAAATAGCAATAATAATATAGTCCTTAGTGCTTGTACAAATAACATCTTGTTTGTAATTTGGATTGTGGAATGTGGGGAATTTACGAAAATTGCATACATTTTTCACATCTTAATTAAGGATAAGAAGTTCTACTATATAACATTAATGGGTGAGTTCAAAAGGGATCTTGTTGACTGACTAAAATTTTTTAATTTCTTGTTATGCAGTCGCTGAATCCAATAGAGTTTTTCGAAGATACCCTCATTGAACGAGAGTAAGTATATAGGAGTATATGTTTATTTATTTCCTTTGATTTCTTAAAGTGATCTCAAAATCAAAACTATAAGTCAAAAAACATCGTTTTAATTTGGCCTTGAATTGTTTGGAAAGGTATGTGGAGTGTACATCCTCAGCAGTACAAGCATTGCTACTATTCTCAAAATTACATCCAGGATTCCGGAAGAAAGAAATACAAAAGTGCATTTCAAAGGCTCTCCAGTACATTGAAGATTCTCAAAATTCAGACGGATCATGGTACTAATTAATTGACCTTAATTAGTTGTTGATCCTTTTTAATTGATCCAAGATTTCTCTCTATATTAATTATAGACTTATCAAAAACTCGTTAAACCGATGAGTATTAAATCAACGTTCATAGTTAATTACTTGGAACCGGCCGGGATGCAGGTATGGCCGGTGGGGAGTTTGTTTCACCTATGGGACTTGGTTTGCCGTGGAAGCCTTGGTGGCCGGCGGTAGAAATTACGAGAATTGCTCTTCGCTCCGAAGGGCTTGCTCATTTCTGCTGTCAAAACAACTCCCTTGTGGTGGTTGGGGGGAAAGTTATCTGTCATGTCACAACAAGGTACCTAATCTTTTTGCGAGTTATTATCAAAATATATTAAAGACCGGAGGGAGTATTTAAGTAAATTAAGTATGCATATATACATATATTGGTTGGATAAATTTTTTTAATCCTCAAATTGTGAGCAGGTCTATACAAACCTTGATGGTGAACGGCCGCACGCAGTACAAACAGCTTGGGCACTCCTTGCTCTGATCAAAGCTGGGCAGGTATTTGTCAAACATTAATTTGGTGATGATTAATTATATTATGATCTGTTAAAAATATTTAGAGAATACTTAAAAACAAAATGTATATATAACAATGCTGATGATATTTGATTTTGGGTTGAAAACATAGTTGGAAAGGGATGCGAAACCCATAAATCGAGCCGTGAAGACGCTGATCAATATGCAAATGCCAAACGGTGACTTTCCTCAACAGGTATATATGTTAATATACTCCAATTCAACCTTGCTAGCTACTTCCCATATATCATGCATGATTACAAATTGTAATTCATTCCAAAGGGAATTTTGTTCTATAAATTAACTTCACCCTTCTCAACTTAGTTTTATTGGTCTTTGGTGATGTAGGAAAATACTGGAGCTTTTATGAGGTACTGCATGTTGAACTATACTTCCTACAGAAACATCTTCCCACTTTGGGCACTTGGTGAATACCGAAGCCATGTTTCTTCGTTCCATGAATAAATCTGCCAGAATATTATTGGTCATTTATGAGAGAACAAAATAAAGAATTTGTACAAAGTTATTAGATGGCGTTGCATTTGCTACTGTTTGTACGTTACTCTTTTTTCTTAAAGAGTGACTTCCTTCGTATATGTATACTCCCTTCAGTCCTTATTACAAGGTATTTTAATTTTGTTTTAAATTTTACTTAAAATTTCTTTTTTATTGGAGAAAAAAATCTTAAAATATATTTTCACATTCGCTCTGTTCTTTTAATTATTAGGAAATATTTTTAAAATTTTTAATTCAATTAAAAAGACATTTTCAGTGAAACTTAAGACAAAATAAAAATGTCTTATAATAAGAACTCGAGGAAGTACATACATAACACTATCCCATTGTACACTCTAGAGGCCCGTTCGGTTTTCTTTATTGAAGGGATAAGCAATATTGCAGTATAATTCTACCTTTTTATGATTAAATTTTCCCCGCCTAGTAAGAAAAATGTTTGTCGTTATTAATTATTGTTTATGATAATTAAATAATTTTTATAGTACTTTTTTTTATCCGGAAAAAAATCCATATTAAATTAAACATTAAAATTTTGCTTTTTTAATTTCTCCAAGGAGAAGGATTCTGGCAAATATTGCTGACTCAATTCATCAATTAGGGGGACATTCTCTTTTCACAATATTCACGGGGAAAAAAATCAAAAAGTTGTTTCCCGAAACTTTTTTAATTTCTTTTAAAAAAAGAATGTCAAAACTGCTTTTGTTGTTTCTGTCATTTTTTTTTTTTTAATTTTCAGCTTCATGGCAATTTATGTATACAGGTAAATCAACTCGTGATAAGTGCACAAGATATGTTCAATCAACGCGGAAAAAGTAAGAATCAGATTTAAATAATCAAATTTGACCAAAAAAAAAAAAAAAAAAGTGAACAGACGAGTGACATCGTTGGGGTGCTGAAATGGAAAGCAATGTATGATATAATAATATTGTTATTATAAATTTTGAGAGTCGAAGTATGGAGCAAATTATATGACGTTTTTAGTCATTAGATATTCGGTAGGTTTGCAATGAATAATTCACCAACAAGAGTAAAATTATGGTTTGAGCACGATGTTGTCGGATTTTTTTAACAATGAAATGTTTTATTATAATTTCTGTCCGGCTTATCCTCCTTCACCCAAAAAAAAATATGTTTATTATAAATTCCATCAAATTATTCAAAGTTGTGTCTGCTATATATTGGGTTGTTTTTGCTAATATTAAATGTAAACTCTTTAAACTGGTTTTTTTTTTTTTCCAAGGGTCCTTGCCCAAATTTCAAACTCAAAGAATCATGTATATCGATTACATCAGCTATCCCATATTAGGAACAAGTGTGTGTCCCGCGCTTTGCGCGGCTTTGTCAATGTTGAAAATTTATATTTCAAAAGAATTGATTAGATAATGTAGTTACAAATATACCGTCCTTATTCTCTTAACAAAATATAGTTACTAATATTTCTTAAAACTGTAATATTTTTTTGATTAATCAGTTTTAGATCAAAATGAGAGGTATTGCTATTATTTTTGAGAGGTATATTTGTAAGATCTGGTAAAAAATATCACAACAAAGATTTTTAAAAGTTGTATAATAAAAATTGTCACCACTAACTAATGTTATGTTTGGTCTAAAAAATATATTTAAAAAATGCGTAAATTATGTATAGATACATATGGCCTATTTTTACAGGTAAGTGGACTTTGGGGATTAGATGTGGTTCTAATAAAATATGAGACACAATTAATCGTCATTGAAAATGTAAAATCGATAAAGTTGAAAACTAAATAGCACACAAATGGAACTTTAAGGGCCAAAATGACAATAGGTTGAAAGTTTAAACTCGTAAATGAAAGGACTTTTGAAATCGTGAGTTTCTCAGCAATTTTTAAAAATATTCATTTTCAAGCTCACAATCAGGAATCTGTAAAAATCTTATATACTCCTTTCGTCCTACAAAAATAGTCCAGTTTGAAACTGTACAACTTTTTTAATTTGGTCAATACACCAAATGTACAACTTATTTCATTCCCCTAATTTCCACTAATGCCCCTTCTAGTTATTTCTATAAAAGTTAACTACATATGCATTTATTTTACAACTTAAATTTGATCAAAATTTTTATCTCAAAAAATATTGACAATGGATCTTAATGGAAAGATCTCGTTACGTATATTAATTTGATATATAACACATTTTTTAATTATTCATGTATTAAAAGATATAATCATTTGAAAAAAATAAGAGAAAACTAAAAAAAATGAAAATAAAAGGGAGTGGACCTTGTTTTTCATACCATTACTCTTTTGGATATTTAAGTCATTTCAATTCAATAAATTTTGACTTTTGTTAAACTGAACTATTTTTTTAGAATAAGATTTTTTTATTAAATTGGATTATTTTTGTAAGACGGAGGGAATAGTAAATAATTTATTAACTGTTTACAAAAAATTTTAACTGATTAATGATCAACCAATTAGCAAATGACACGTGTTAATTGAGACTTAATGGTCTCAATGAGCGACATATGTCAATTATCTTTCTTTCTTTTAATATATATATAATGATTTGTAAATAGTTGTCAGGCATGTATCTTTTTTATTTTGATAAAAAAAATATTAATATCAATAATTTTTTTCAAAAAAAAAATACTGAATCAAAATTTCCATATCATATTTCCACAATAAAAAAGAAAAGAAATAGGAGTAGAAGAAAAAAAAAGAAAAGAAAAAGAGGAGAAGCGGAGAGACTAGAGCCAATACAAATGGGTCTACTCGCCCACTTCGGCAAAAGATAGTTAGAGCCCATTGTTAATCAAGCCCATATCATTGGAGAAATGAATAAATGCGCCCAACTGCTTTCGACTAATGATCCACTCATCTGATCCAAGTCGAATCCGATCCACCAGGCCTTTAAATGAGCACAACTCAGCTCGCCTAGGGTTTCCTTTCACTCGTTATCCACACACACACACACAAACACACCCACTCTTCTCCCTGCTCCTCTTTCAACTCCACGGAACAGCTTCCACGTTATCCCAGCTTAAGGTATCGCTCTACGTCGACCCTTTGATTTCTGCTTGTTTTTTCCTCTCTTTCTGTTGTTTCGGAGGTTTATTGAGGGTTTTATACTTGCATTTATTGTGTTTTTTGGGGTTTGTATGGTGGCTTTATTGATTTTTGTTGTATTTCCTTTATCTTCCTTCGATTTTTAGATCGGGTTAGGTACTTGTTTTGCTTGAAGGCTAACTTGGTGGGTTTTTATTGGTCGGGCTTTTCTGAGGGGTTTGAACTTGTTTGGATTAAGGGTTTTTATAGGGCAAAGTTATTTGGGGGTTTGGTAAGTAACTTTATCCTTTTGGTATTGGTGGTTTTATTGATATGAAAATGAAAACGAAGCTGTAGTTTTTGGTGCTTTTTCTTAATTTAAAGAGACTGCTTCTTGGTTCGGTTTATATCGCTCTTGTTTGATATTTGAAGTGGAAATTTAGATGAACTTTTAAGGTTCTCTTATCATATTGAAGAAGAATTTCTCTTTGTGAGAGATACTTGAATATATTTGTTGCCTTCCAACTTGAGGTCATGGAAAATAATTTACCAGTGCTGTTTTGTTGCTAGAAATTGCATCATTTCATGCTTATAAGCCTTTTGTTTGACCCTTTTGTTGTGTTTTCTTTTTTGAAGATGAATGTGGAGAAGCTAAAGAAGATGGCCGGTGCGGTCCGCACCGGTGGGAAGGGTAGTGTTAGAAGGTTTGTACCCTCTTTAGTATTGATTTCGTAGTCTTCTTGAATCAGTGATAGTATATGAAAACTGGATGAAGGATGAGAGCGGTAAAGAGTTGTCATTTTTTTTGGGAATTATTGTCCTATTGTTAGAAGTAGTGTTGGCAGATGTCATTCATATGTTTCTTGTTCAATGAGTAATGTTTTCTGAGTTTGGTTTACCTCTGAATTCTCCGTATGAAAATTAGTTATTTCCATTGCTGCAGAAAGAAGAAGGCTGTTCACAAGACAACCACTACAGATGATAAAAGACTGCAAAGTACCTTGAAGAGGATTGGCGTCAATGCCATACCAGCTATTGAGGAGGTCAATATATTTAAGGAGGATGTGGTTATCCAATTTGTAAACCCCAAAGGTATATTCCTCGTGAGCGGTATTGATGTTTTCTCTGTCATTTCATCTGTATATACCGGCTGACCAATTTCGACTTTGGCAAATTCAGTTCAAGCCTCAATTGCTGCTAACACATGGGTTGTCAGTGGTACACCCCAGACCAAGAGTAAGCTCCATTTCTCTTCAGCCTCTTTCTTTGTAGTTTCGTGATTTCAAGTGTATCTCGTGTCCATGCCGGATGGTTGGAGATGTTATTTATTGATTGAAATTGTTTTCTGAAGTTTTATTGTTTTTAAAGTTTCAATGTTATGTCTTTTTATCTTCCCATTAAACTGGATCTCATATTCATTCGCTCTGCTGCTACAGAATTGCAAGACATTCTTCCCCAAATTATTCACCAATTAGGTATGTTCTTTTCTGCCTTGGCTTAAGTGAATTTGTTTAATTAGAGACAGATGTATCGATATATGTTTTAAGACAATGCTGTAATGTCTTCCCCCCTCTCTTTTTTCAGGACCCGATAACTTGGAGAATTTGAAGAAACTGGCTGAGCAGTTCCAAAAGCAGGCACCTGGTGCAGGGGCAGCTCCAGGTACCGGTGTCCCAACAATTCAAGAAGAAGATGATGATGAGGTGCCAGAACTCGTGGCCGGTGAGACCTTTGAAGCGGCTGCAGAAGAGGGTCAAACTTCTTAGAGCATCACATGAATTTTGTGTTACCCTTATTATCTGAATGTTGAGGTCCTGTTTTGCCTTTATTAGTAGTTAGCAGCTTGTTTGATGGTAACCCGTGAGATAGTACACTGTTTATTTTAATGGGCCGAGGATATGCTGCCATTTGTCCTTTTTTGCCTCTGTTTTTCTGCCGATAAAATGGTTACAATCTCATCTGTTCTACTTTGCTGTTGTCTTTGGTAAATTGTCTTTACATATGCAAGTTTAGAACCGCTTTTTAAGTGCTGTTTCTCTAACTCACTCTTACCGGAAGGCGTGATTCGCGTGAATGATTAACCATTGCATTTTTATCAGTCAATTAACACAGATTATTATTCCTGTGAGGGATCTAGATGAGAATCGCGTGAATGATTAACCATTGCATTTTTATCAGTCAATTAACACAGATTATTATTCCTGTGAGGGATCTGGATGAGAATTTATTGGTTGCTTGGTAACTTTTTCATTTGAAGTTGTTTTTAACAATTTGTTCATCGGGCAAAGAAATTACTTGCGGTATCGTTGTGTCTCGCTGCCTTTCTTATGTTCTCATATTATGTGAAAAATTTGTAGTCTCTCTGCCAACTCACTATGCATACTTATGGTTAGTTTCATCTACTGCAACATTTCAACTTTCGTACATTCTTGAACAAGATTAAATGTTTTTAAATCAAACTGTAAGCTAGGCAGGGCTGATTTCCTTGTCTGAATTGATTGTTCAATAAAAGAGTTGAATCTCTAATTAAGATAAGAATAATATCCCCTCATGCACATAGTCCATTTAACTAGTTGGGATGGGGCAACAACTTAGTGCTAAGGAGTATAGATGCAAATGGAACTCACAGGTTGATCCGAAATGTGACTTATGTGGATTCCATGTGGAAACCAAAGAACGCTTCATCTTTTCATGAATGATTTATTCTGGAATCTGGCATAAGAGGAACTGAGGAAGGCAGCAGCCATTTAGGTTCCCGAACTCTGCCTATATTGTGGGAAACGGGAGTGATAGATACGGAATGCAAAAATCATATTTGAGAGCTTCGAATTGATATTACCTCATTGTTTATTCAAATCATTTTCCAGCCTGAAGCTTTTTGCCCGCAAATCTCTTTAAATGTACTAGAAAATAAAACTAGGTAGTGGTGAACCCAGATGGTCAGATGGGTTCATATGCTGATACTTCCCAGATTTTGCCCCTGCCGATCTCAATCGTAATCGCAATTCTTTGCATTTCTTCCAGCTGTATGGTATTTCCTATTTTGAGTCGAAGTAGATATAGCTGTTACTAATGCGATGTACTATCAAAACCATCATTCACTTATTTTTAATACAAATTGTATTATATCTAAAAAATTTACTTAATAACAATAATTTTAAAACAAAGAAAGTAATTAACATTTTCATTTTTAATACAAATTGTTTTATAAGTAAAAGATTTTACACCTGACACTCGTTTTAAAATAAAAGAGCGTATACATTTTCTTGCTGTAATTAACTTTAAAAATTCTCCACAAAAAAAAAAAAAAAAAACACAGTAGAAAAGCTTTTCAAAAGTGCTAAGACTCTCAATAAGGTGAAAATTTTGGTAAAGCAGTATTGCTAAATCTTAAAACAATGAAGTTCTTGTTTACATTAACCATTTGCTAAATTTCCTATTTAAACTTAAAGATGACATTGGGGAAGATACTCAAAGGAGCCAGCTAAATTGGCGAAATTCTAAGTGATCAATCCTTAATCATAGATCTCCAAGAGCAATACTGAGATAGCAGAAACATAGAAGAAATTTAAACACAAAAGAGGAGAAAAAACAAAAACAAAAACAAAAGCCTCAACCATTTTGCTGTACAAGTGTATGAGTCGTGCAAGATCAAAAAGAATAACAAGGTTCAAGTAAATACAGTCTTCCAAACCACCATCTACAAAAGCTCTACCAGATCTTATGTTGAAACCTTTTAAGTTAAAATTCATTGCATCCACTAATCAGTTGGAACTTTAAACCAGCAGCAAAGTATCATCCAAATGTGGAAACCTACAAGAAAGTGAACGAGCTCAATTTAATGAAGTTCAAATACAAAGAAAGTTCATCCTCCAAGACACATTAAAGGTTCAGGTCGAGCTACAATAAAAAAGGTTGCAAATGGTTCAGATTGGTGTAGCAAACTACTACTAACAGAAATTCAAGGCAAAAATTAGTAGCACAGAACATCAAGAAAGAATGGGACACGTCATGTTCCGACACCAAGTAAAAAAAAATAAGCCAGATTGTTTATTAACACTATATTGTGGTGATTAGTAATGCAAGACTATAAGATTATTCCTTGGGAAGATAAGAAAAATAGATATTCACAAGGCAAAAAGGACCGCAACACAAACAATTGCACAACAATTTTTTTAAAAAAAAACAATAAGATACAGACAACAACTTATGAATTGCCCTTCATCTACAAACAAGAAATGTCCTGATCAAGAATACCACTTCACAACTCTGTAGACCCAACTTATCAAATAAAAACTATTAAACATACAAAGGCAGGACACAATCTTAGCCTTTAAACTCCACTGCAAGGGGAAAAAAGCTTCGGAACCAAATCAATTAAGGCCATAATTTACAAAAGGGAGCATATTAAGAGTGAAATGAAAAAGGGGTGGCATCGAATTTAGCCAAGCAACACAACAATATTCCTGAAAGCTTTAATTTACTTTACCAACCACCAAAAAGCTTCACCCTAGACACCTATCACAATTCTTTCTTCCAGAAGACAGAGCAGCTCTCTACAACAAGCTCCACCAGAGTAACAGGCCACAGATACTTAGAATTGATATACAAACAATAGTAAAGTCTGTATCAAGCTTCTCAATCCAATCGACTCCTAAGGATAAATCTTCATTGCCAGAACACAAGTGCCAACAAATATGACTTGTCAAGCAACTAGGTCGACTAATATAGGCATTGGATGCAGCTAATTGGATAGCACTTCAAAAATGAATTCGAAGAGCAAGCATTTGTGTAAGAAAAAAAAAGCAGACGGGAAGAGTAAAAAGAGTATGGCAAAACACAATTGTTGGTCAGGACCACAAGCATCCAATATCTGAGTTCACAGCTTCCACAAAACCTTCATCGGGATGTAAATCAATGACTACTACTTGTCAACAGAGAATGACATAAAATCCACAGTCAATACTCGCAAGAGCTAGTCAAGTTATATAACTTGTGCCCCGAATAAAGCAAACTTCTTCAGAAAATAAGAGACCAATAGAAAATGAATAATCTTTATCCATACAAGGTCAAAGTCACCACCACATCACTACATATGAACATGAACGATTGCCAAAAGAATAACATCAATTTTACCTCCACTTAGTTTAATTGGAGCCACCACCACGACTAGTTGACCCAAAGCCCCCCAATCCCCAAGGCAATGAAATTGTAAACTGCCTCCCATTAGGCCTTGTGGGCTCGGAACCACTTGAATCACCTGAATTACCCCTATCCCTGTTCTCATAATCCGGATCATCAGTTGGTAGCTCATATCGGCAAACCGGGCAGGAATTATGCAATTCCAACCATGGAATTATACAATCTTTGTGGTAAGCATGCTTGCAAGGCATCTGCTTGACTTCAACGCCCAACTCAAAATCATCTTTACACACAGCACATTGCGCCAACTCAGACTTCATCATAGCCTCATCGACTTTCACATCAGGCAATCCTTCCACAGCACTTTTAGCAGCAGGAGGGGTTCCATACCTGTTCGGATCGTTCTCCGACAACTGCTGAATTAACTGCTCAAAACCCGGTCCCAAAAAATAGTCTCCGATATTTGGGATATTTGAAAAACTCCCGCCAGGTTGACCTTCGACGACGAACTCAAAGTTAACACCATGAGCACGACGCGACATCAGCAGATTCATCAAGTAATTAGCAGGATTAAAATCATCTGGACCGGATGAAAAACTTGAGGCTGCGCTTGGGCCCGTACCGGAACGTTGAGGGATGGCTTGAGATCTAGGGTTCAGCGGGTCAATGGGGCGGAAGGAGCGGGAGGCAAAAAGCTCAAAAATCTGGGAAAACGGATCTCCGTGAGAGAAAAGCATGTCGGGAGAAAAGGTAGGCTCAGGGGACCTAGGGTTTTCGAATTCCTCGACGAAGCCAGACTGGCAAGTTGGGCAGACGAGGTCGGAAGTCGGGGAGACATTGATGGTGACGGTACGATCGCACTGGTGGCAAAAGTAGAGCTGCGGGCCGCCACCGGCGACGGTAACTCCGGCGTTGGACATCGGCGAATGGGGAGGAGAGAGAGAGACAAATCAAAGGCTGCGTAATAATAGAAGAAAAAAAAAAGTGCGGAGAGACCCTTTGAAAAAGACGCGATTTTTTTAATACTCGAAGTGGGTGAATTACAACCCACCGCCCTTAAGGTTTGTTAGACTTACAGTTTGCACCTTCTACTTTAATAAAAATCGATATTTTGTCAAGTGATTTACCAAAATCAATCAATCCATTTTTTTTTTATAAATTTTTTGGGTTGAATATCACTCAGATTATATGTTATCACGATTATATAGGGGGAAAATCAATCAAAATCTCGGAGAAAGTAGTATTCTATGAGAGCATCAACACGTTATGATATAGAGGAAAAAAGTTATTACCATTTCTTGTCCTACCATAAATTGTAGTACTATTATTATCCTGTCAGAAACTAAAAAAAAAAAAAAAGAAAGAAAATTTTATTTAATGTTCTCTTCCTATTATGATTTAAATCCATGGGAAAAAATTGATATTTTGGCTATCAAGAATTGCTCCGAAATCCAACAGATGATGATTTCTAAACTTTATCATTTATCAATTTGGTGTTTATAACTTGGTCTAGCTAATCTTATATCCAACTTTTTTCAAGTGACTCTTCTCACATTGTTTGTGTAAAGGGTAGGATTACCGTTATTCTTAAGATACAAATTAAACGGTCTATTAATGTCACTTAATTTAATATATTACCGTAAAATGAAATGGAAAGTGACTAGTAGGTGATTTGCAAAAGAAAACTTAAAAATACCTTATATAATAGATGGAACAACATAACATGATCACACATTTAATTTTTTATTTTATATTTTTTTACAACAGAGAGAGATCGTAACTTAAATACAATAATAAATCATAACAACACCATATGAAAACTTTGATGAGATTGTGCTTTAGACATTGTCTCACTTCTGCTAGCAGATTAAAATAACCCCAAAGACTCTTAGAAGCAATATTGCCATACAGTTTGTAGCGAAATTAACTTTTCTCCCAACAACTCCTGAATCCCTCTCACAAGGCAAATACCTAACTCGACTTCTCGTCATATTACTATGTTCATGTTAGCACCTATGTATTTTCTGTTACAAAGGGAGTTGGAATCTGGCTGGGATTGAGAAAGGTTCTCATGTGATTGATTTGATATTAATCGGTTAGTTTTGTACTTCATTAAGGATTCTATTTTGAGCAAGGATTTGGGAATTAATTTAGACTTAATACAGTATTGTGTTAATTTCCTACTTCTATTAGGTTTTAGTGGCCAGAGATTCACGTGGAAGGCAACCTATTCTCCAACAAATAGGAGTGGTATTTTTGATCAACTAGTATTTCTCTTGTACAGCCGAATTGCTAGATTTTAGGGGATTAGAGTTGAAAGCAAATTTGATCTACTTTTGGCACAAGAAAGTCACGGCTCCTGCTCCTCTATTTAAAGCAAGGTTGTGCACATCACCAGGGATAACACCTCTCAACATCATCATCGATATATCATTTTTTTCTTCCTTTTTCGTCTGTTCTTTCATGTATTTTCATCATACTTTCATTAAATAGTTTTTGGCATATTTTTCTTATAAAAATAGGTAATCGTTTATCATCAATATATCATTTTTTTCTTCTTTTTTCGTCTGTTCTTTCATGTATTTTCATCATACTTTCATAGTCTAGTCTAAATTAAATAGTTTTTGGCATGTTTTCCTTATAAAAATAGATAATCGTTTATCGTTTTCTACTTCAGTGAATTCGATTTTCCTTGTAATTGAATTCGATTCTCCTTGTAATAGTGCAACGTTCCTCCTAACTAGTCGACGCTATCTATCTTTTTTCTCCCCACTTTAATGAATCGACGGTCATCATCTTTGGCTTGTCTCGCTTCTTCTCTATATTTTTTCCTATTAATATTAAATCAAAGCTAACCCTAAGTACTCGATTCTAGGTCCAATGCCGGTTTTCGAATACATCCACAGTCGTCTGATTTGTTTTTGTGTTTGGGTATTTGTCTGATTTGTTTTTGTGTTTGGATATTTTTCTTTTCCCTTTTCACGATCCTAGTGACAATATTTGCTCAAACAGTTCTTAACACATTGTGAACTATTTTGGAGCCGTTTATTCTGGTTCAAAACAAATAGTTTCATTATTGTAATTTTTATTGCGACAAATTGTAATGAGAATTATTTGTTAGAAACGTACTATGACAGTTATTATTTGTAAAATTAATAATGGCCACGAGTGCAGTCCATTCATTCTTCGTATCACATCGCTTACATACCTGATACCACCACATATTTTCTGACCCGCACCATCGCCAATAAATTAAATCCACGTCATCAAAACCGTTTTCTCGTACGCCGTCATCCTATCGTTACCCCCACCAGAGAACTCGTGCTCTCTCAAACCTCCATGGAGACTACGTCGTTTTGCTCCACGTACAGTGTCGCCCTCTCTTTCCGATCGCTCCCTCCGGTTCGAACTGCCGTAAACTGTTCATCTCTTTCTGCTTCCTTCAATGGCAAGCCTCTCTCTCTACACCGGTTTTCAGCTTCAGTGTTTGGGCGGAGCAAAACGGCGGCGTTGTCATCTCCGTCGTACGCCGCGGTGAAGGTAACTTGTGGCAAAGTCCGGGAGATTACTGAAACCGAGTTCAGCGATGTCGTTTTGAAGTCTAATCGTCCTGTCCTGGTCGAGTTTGTTGCCACTTGGTGTGGCCCTTGCCGTCTGATCGCCCCTGCTGTTGAATCACTTGCGCAGGTGAATTTTTTCGATAAAATTTTCTGAACCACTGTTTACGCTTTACAGCATTTCTCATGAAGATGTCAATTGTGTTTGGTCCTTAATTATTGCGTGACTTTGTTTAGCCATGTAGAATCATGGAATGTTATTGCTGGGAAATTGTGATTTTTTGGTGTTATGGACTGAATTTCGGACTTGTAATCAGAAATCAGATTGTTGTAAGGTTCTAGATAAAAGATTACGACTACAGAAATAGAGGATATGGATCAATACCCTTGTACTCTATCAATCTTCTTTAGAGTTTAGAAAGTAACCTTATATGACGATGTGATTCTTTTAGTAACTTGGTAGACTTATTTTTGGTCTTATATTGATGGTGCCGAAACCTAGCTTCCTCAATGACGATTCTTTCACCGGTATTCACAGCAGCAATTTTGCTTATGTTTTTTGAACAGCAAAATGTTAGGCGTAACGATGCCTGACAATGAAATAATTTGTTTAGTTTGATTAGCTGTGATTGAAGTTGCTAATCTGATTTGTTACTGATAGAGACGTCTAATTTTCACATTTGGACTTAGCAAGAAAACCTCACATTGTACAATGTTCCTAAAATTGACATATGAAACCATTGAAGGGTTGTTAGGCTGTGGACGATTAGATTTTTTTTCTTCAAACATAGTCTGATTGCTAATGTGCAGTACTTTTATTTCTTTTGACTTCAGTGCTTTTCTTTTATCTACTTCTGCATATCACATCAAATTTCGCTTCTGCGAATTATATCGAAGTTTCCCATAAAAGGCTATCCTAGGATGAAATAGAAGAGCGATGTTTGCATGCTTGGGATTATTTGTATTTTATTGTAGCTGAACTGACAGTCTGTTTGGGAATTATGTCTAGGAATATGATGAAAAATTAACCATCGTCAAAATAGATCATGATGCCAACCCTCGATTAATTGAGGAGTACAAAGTCTATGGATTGCCCTCGTTAATTCTCTTCAAGGATGGAAAGGAAGTCCCCGGAAGCAGGAAGGAAGGCGCGATTACAAAAGTAAAGCTCAAGGAGTACATTGATGGCCTTCTTCAGTCGGTGACTATTGCATAGCTTCCCACTGAGAATTTGTTCACTTCATGGTATGGATAGATATCTTTGTAAGTAATAATTTTGTAGTCCAACAGATTCTCTATATGATGTATATTGGACCTGTTCATTGGTGAATCGATTTTGTATACCACATGTTAATTTGATGATCAGATGTTTGTCTTGAGCTTTCGATGTGATCCATGTTTTCGCTTAATGTAAGCTGACATGTCGGATCTTTTGTATCTCCCAAAATGCTATACTGGTAGATGACTGTCATAGATAGCTGTGCTTTAATGTATCTTCTTTATGAAATATTGTAGCGGGTTTTAAACGAGTTGAGGAGGTTGAACTGTGGCTGTCTCGATTTCAGCTAGAAAAAAGTACACGAGTTTTCGAACTCAACCTAATTCTTAACCTAAAAGATATGAACAAGTACCATGAAAAAGAAGCAAATGTGAAGTGAGCAAAACTTTTAAAGAGATCTTATTGAATTGATTGATAGTTTCTCTGACATATATAAATGATATAAACCCAGAAACCTGGATTTTCCAAGAATCAAAACAAAACTTGATATAGAGGGAGGGGAAGACAAAATTCATATGCTTGTATGGATATACAATGCACACAAATCCTTCTTCCCATCACTCTTGATTTCTTGTTTTTCTTTTCGTTTTCATTTTTTCTTGTTGGTTTAATAATCTAAATATAGATGTTTGTTCAAATTAACTTGTAACCAATGAATTCCGCCTCAAACTACTTCAATGGATTTGTGGTGAGTCCCAAGGCCAACAGCATCTTCTGGGATGTACTTGCCCCAGAACCAATGTGCCTTCCAGACTCTGTTCATTTCTTCAATGGGCACATTCTTGGTTTCGGGCAAGAAGAAGTAGATGAATGCAGTCATGATGATCACGAATCCACCAAAGAAAAAGAAGAGGCCAAACTTTAAGTGGCAAAGCATGTTGAGGAAGAGCTGTCCGATGAAGAAGGTGAAGAGCATGTTAACCGACACGTTGATGGATTGACCAGCTGATCGGATTTCCAGAGGGAAGATCTCACTGGGCACCAACCATCCCAAGGGTCCCCATGACCATGCGAATGCAGCAACGTACAAGCAGATCAAGAACAGGGCGATGTCTCCTTGAGTCTTGGTGAAGGTTCCCACCCCAGTTGTTCCGAAAACTGTTGCAATCAAACCTCCAACAGCAAACTGCAGTTCACACCAGAAACAGGTTGATGAGTGCCTCATAAGGTGATAAGAAAAGCGGTTACAAATGATGTACACTTTACCTGGCAGATAATCATCTGGATTCCACCTTCAAGGAACAGAACTCTTCTTCCGAACTTGTCGACGCTGAAGATTGACACCAGAGTAGCAAAGACATTGACTAACCCGGTGACAACAGCACCTACAAGGGCAGCATCATCACCAAAGCCAAGAGTCTTGAAAAGGACAGGGGCATAAAACATGATGACATTGATGCCAGTGAGTTGCTGGAAAAATGGAATGAGGACGACAATGGTAAGGTGAGGCCTGTGCTTTCTCGCGAGCATATCCTTCCATGGCGTAGGGGATACATTTGATGCTTCACTTGCCTCGACAAGATCATTATATTCCCTGTCCACATTGTCGGTTCCCCGGATTTTCACCAGCATTTTCTTTGCCTCCTCCTTTTGGCCCCTCTCAATCAAAGAGTTGGGTGTGTCTGGTAGGAAGACTGATCCGATAGTCATGATAATAGCAGGTACAACTGCCAAACCTAGAGAGACTCTCCATCCATTGTGCTTCATTTGTGCTGTTCCATAGTTCACCAAATTGGCAATGAGTATACCAATAGTGATAGCCATTTGGAAACCAATGTTCAATGCACCTCTAATCTTTGGGGGCGCCATTTCTGAGAGGTACACCGGAACAGACTGCAACCGAGAAACAAAGATCAGATTCAGAACAAAAAACAAGAAATGGATTTGATATTATAGTCATCTCAGGTTAACAACATATATCATTGGTACCTGATTAGCATAACCAATGCCAACACCGAGCAAGAGACGGCCAATGATGAGCATTGCAACATTCATTGCAGCTCCATTGACGAGAGCACCAGCAAGGAAAACTAAGCCACCAATGAGCATAGAGACCTTCCTCCCCAATGCTTTTGTTGTTGCAGAAGCAAAGAAGGAAGCAACCAAGGCTGCTAGATACAAGGACGACGTAAAGAGCGTCAAGGTTTCACTGTTAAATGTACAATACTGGTTTCCCTGCCCTTTCGCGAGTTGCTCCTTTGCATATACTTCCGGGAAGAACTTAAGTAAAAACTCATTCATTGATGTAACCCCACCTTACCAAAACACAACACGAAAATCAGTCATCCGTAAACAGGCCGAAATCCGCAACAATAAAAATGGTGTTTTCATGCATGCATCATAACCATACCTGAGATACCAATGTCATAACCAAAAAGAAGACCGCCAGTAGCAGCGACTAAACAAGCTATAATTACAAAGGCTGTAACTTTGCCCTCATAATCGACTGCATTTCCCTGTGAAACAAAACCACCACCTGCCATCTTTTTCTGTTTGATAAATCTTTACAAATTAGGTACAACTTTTTTTGGTGTTTGACTCTATGTGTTTGTTTTTTTTGTGGTTCTGGGCTAAAAATATACACAATTCTGTATATATTTTTTGGTATATGTTTGGGGGATAGTCTGTAGCCTTTGCTACATGTGGGGTGGCTTGCCAATCCCAGCTTTTCTCTTTACACGCACTCTCTGCTTTGCTTATTTTTTCAAGTAGATTAAGGTTGTTTATATACTTGTTTTTTCTCATGGCAATTTTGCACTCTTTTTTATTTTTTTGGGCTACAAAATGCCGATTTTCTTGCCTTTCTGTAGAAGAGCAGGACCGCGAATTCCATGGGGATAGTGAATTGGTCCTGAATCACCCCTTTTTACCGTAACAGACGGCCATGCATGATTGGAAGAATGCTAATCTGATCAGATCAACAGCATTACTGTACAAGAAGACTTAATCCTTGCCAAGATTTTCGAAAAGTCATACAAAAGTTAATTTATCTTGTTTGTAAATATGAAGAGAGCTTATCTTAGGATTGTGCAAACAACATATGGACAACTTTACCTTCTGATTTTGCCAACAAATATGGTGGTAAGGGTGGCAAAATTGGAAGGTACAGTGAAATTTGATAATTGGCAAAAATTAAACTTATCGTAAATCGGTCAAAAGTATAACGTATATTCACCTATTATAAAGGACCTTGTGCTGTTTATCGATGATCTCTACAAAATCACACTCCTCATTATAAGTTTCTAGAATCCAGAGCAAAGCACCACTATTTCCACCTAATATGATTTTTTTTTTTCTTTCACAATATTTAACCACTTCATTTTCTTTAATTAGACTAATGACACGAGCTAAGCATGAATTTTCCACCATGTTTAATAGTTATCATGGTTAACTTTGCCTTTCGTATCAACCGATGAAGAGAGAATCTATATAATTTTCTCAAATCTTAAATTGAAATCCCTAATTTTCCCCGAAAAAACTAGTAACTAATCTTGTTAATTATGGTTTTAGAGGTACTGTACTATATAATAATAATGTATAATAAAATAAAATAAAATGAGTAATTACATAAATGGGCCAACCTTAAATAGGCATAAATGGGCCTTGCAAAAGGCCAATCAAAATGTAGTGTTTAATACACATCCCTTCAATATAAGAACTACCATCCAAGGCCCGAAACCCATATCGAGCTCAAGAAAATTTGGCAGTTGTCACTCTAATTCCTCCACCAGAGGGAGCGCCATGGAAAACACTGGAGAGACTAAGAAAAGCGAAGAAGACAACCAAGGAGACGAAAGGCAGCAACAAAACTCACCAACTGAATCTCAAAAGACAGGTACATAGAACCCAGTTTCTGAACTTTGATTGTACTGTTCTGTTTTAATTTTTTTGTGTTTGTTTTTGGATGTTCCTGAGATTTTTCCTGGTGAGCCCACTCTCATTCAATTTGGCTGCGTTGTTCTTACAGTTTCGGATGATGATGAAATCGATTACTCAGTAGAGCCGGAGTTTTATGACCCGGAACTTGACGACAAAGACGAGTTATGGGTTAAAAAGAGAAGGAAAGGCCCTAATTCTGATGCTGTCCTCACCTGCCCTGCTTGCTTCACAACCCTTTGTTTGGATTGCCAAAGGTACCGTATATTGGTAATTTCTGAACAGCGAACCAGTTTCTACTTGTGTGTGAAGTTCAATTTCTTTCTATGTACTTTGACCTGGACTAATAGGATTTTCTTGGGTCTCTCGTGTGTGATGTATAAGGTTTGATTAATGAATTGATATAATGTTCCAAGTTGTCCATTATCCAAGTAGTTGAAATTGATATATGGATAGATTTTCCCTGGTTCTACTATATTTGTACATACTCCCTGAAAACAATGCTGTGTTAATATGGATTTTGTATTTTTGTTGTCTGTGTTATTACTCAATGGACTAAGATCCTTACTTCATTTTTCTTTTCAATGGAACTTTGTCCTTGCCACTACTCTATTCATACAAAGTTTATTGTGATTAGAGCAGCTAGCTTTCTTTTTATGTCAAGGAAAAGTGAGACAGTAACTTCCCATCTTTTGTGGGTTTTATGTGATATCTTTTGTGTCCATATCTCTTGATGTCCTTTCGCTATCTCTCCACTGCATTAATAGTGAGACCGACTAACCTCCAGTAGATAACTAACTGAATGTAGTTAGTTTTGTCAAAATCCGCGTCTGAGTTTTTGTGGTTTATTCCCTTGACAGTCCAATTTAGAGTCTTCTTGATAGAGAATGAGATAACTGGTACTCCCTCCATCCCATAATTATTGTCCAGTTTGAGTTTTCATTTCTAGTTCAAATTGTACTAAAAGTGAAATCTCAAACTAGACAATAATTTTGGGACAGAGGGAGTACTGTTTTTGCTGCCTCGATGGTCTGGTTATGCATCTTAACTAAATAAAGTTTTAACATCTCCATCTTCAACACTTCACTTCAGAGTTCAAAGTTCCTGCAAACCTGATTTAAATTGATTGGATCTTTCTGATGCATTGTGTACTTTCTTGTGAGCGGTTAGTTTGTCCTTCACTGATTGCTTGATCTCTTGGGAGACTTCCCCAACTTTCTGCGTAAGTACTTTCTGGATTAATTGGTTTACAAATGTGGACGATTGGACTATTTGTCTTGGAATATGACCTGGATTTAATGAGCAATGTCACTACGCTGGCATATTGAATAGAACGAAATTTAGCATCTAAACAATTTGAAAGGACATTGCAATTCGTAGATTTATTCCCGATGGAGAAGATGACTGTTGGTGACCATAGTTTAGTATTTTGTTTACTTCATGTCATTTTTAAATTCTTGTGAACTATTATTTTCTTACCTCCATTCCTGCTGTTCTTTTTAGTTCATCTTGTTTTGACAGACTTGTCAAAAATGATATACTTACTATTACAATTTACAGGCATGAAAAATATCTGACCCAGTACCGAGCAATGTTTGTGGTTAATTGTAAGATTATACATGAGCAAGCATCACAACCTGGAAATAAACGGAAAAGGGGACGGAAACAAAGAAACTCTGCCGAAGCTGCGGCTGAGTCTTCTACTGGAGAAATTGTTAAGCCTGTGCAGTGTGCAGTATGTTCAACACAGGTTGGAGTCCTTGACGAAGAAGAGGTGTATCACTTTTTCAACGTTCTTCCCAGTGAAGCTTGATCCACTGTCAGCCCTCGAGTATTTGCCCACCTGTTTGGAAGCTGAATGTCGCATTGCTTTGTCATCCTGGAGACTGACAGTCTAACATGCAGTAGTGTAGTTAAGTTTGGCTTCTGAAGGAGAGATCCGACATACTAATAGAGTGTACAGAACACTTTCATCATTTTTTTATTTAACAAAACCTTTCCACTTCAGAATCTTGCTTTCTATGTCTTGTTTGTTGAGAAAATGTTGCTAATTGGTTGGTTGTATAAGATTCGACCACAGAAAAAATGATACTCCCTCAGTCCTATAATTATTGTCCAGTCAGAGGGAGTATTATTTCTGAATTTTGCTCATAAATCTCTGCTGCCGACAAAATCATACGGTTGCATGCATATTCTTAATTTCCGCAAAATAACTTTGTAACACTTTCATCCAGTTAATTAGAGGTCTTAATTTAGACGAACTATCATTTATACTCCATGACACTTTTAGTATATGATATACATGCATATTCTTAAGCAGCATTTCTGCTGTAACACTTTTGATATGTACATATCTTTTTTTTTTTTTTTTGGTAGACCATATCTTTTAATATATGTAACACATAAACTTTTGGCTCGTGTAATGAATTTGAAACCAAGTGTGACACTTTCATCCAGTTTGAATTTTCATTTTTAGTTTAAATTGTACTAAAATTGAAATCTCAAACTGGACAATAATTCCAGGAGAGAGAGTAATAAATAATGCATGTACTTTTGTGCTTCTTAAAGTATAATTCTAAATATATATATATATATATAAAATGAACAGCTATTTTTTTTTTTTTAGGGAAACAATGAGCAAGGTGATATTTTCGGAGAAAACAAAGTTTTGCTATTAGAGTTCGAACTAAAAATAACTTCTTTGTTCAAAAAGTAGGAAAAGTTTGGCGGATCTTTCCAACTTCTTCCAAGCTTACCGCTGTCCTCGAATCTGGCTCAAACTTTCATCCCTTCATTCTTCAATCCTCAGGACCAAGTCTCGGGTGTTGGGACTTCAACATCTCAATTTGAGAAGACCTCCATTAACGAGCTAACCGTGAGTTGTACTATCTTTGGATGTTTTCAATTTTCCTATTCCTCGTGTTTCTTCCTGCTGCCCGTGGATGATATTGCATTAATGCACAATCCTTCTATCTCTGTTTGTCTGGGTGGGTAAATTGCAAAATGGAATTGTGGGTTGGACTGGATCAACCGCATGGTAGATGTAGATTTTCTAGTCAATCCACGGAACCCAGGATTTTCTTCAAAGGAAAGGAGAATTCTTTTTTATTTAATCGGAATATTTGTTATTGTAGAAGAAGCTCTTTTACGCAGGGGATTAGATGTATTTCTATGGAACAAGGTTTAAAACCTCGTCCAAAACATAATACTTCCCCTTTGCCTAAACCCTTGGAAAATGAGCAGGTTGTGGTTGGGAAGGAGTATCGTACGGTAGTGGGAGATGTAGATTTCAGCTCTGGGATTTGTGGTAAAATAGAGAAAATGGTTTCTCATGGGTTGTTTAGGGATGCCCTTGAATTGTTTGAGATCCTAGAATGCAAATCTGGTGAGAGTAACGTGGGTATAAGTACTTATGATGCCCTGATTCGCGCTTGCATCGGGTTGAAATCAGGCCGCGGAGTTAAAAGAGTGATGAATTATATGCATATTTGTGGTGTTAAGCCAGATCAGTACTTGAGCAATAGGTTGCTGTTGATGCATGTGAAATGTGGTATGATGATGGATGCACTGAGGTTATTCGATGACTTGCCTGAAAGAAATGTGGTTTCTTGGAATACAATAATTGGGGGGCTTTTAGATTCTGGGGATTACCATGGAGCATTTGGGATGTTTTTGATGATGTCGGATGAATATATTTCTCCTGATTCACGGATGCTTGCGATGATGATTCGAGCATCTGCTGGTGTGGGATTGATCGCTCCAGGAAGACAGTTGCATTCTTTGGTTGTGAAGATGGATGTCGAAGATGATATCTATGTTTCTTGTTCTTTGATTGACATGTATAGCAAGTGTGGTAGCATTGATGATGCAAGGTGTGTTTTTGATGCAATACCAGAGAAAACTACGGTTGCTTGGAATAGTATCATATCTGGATATGCCCTACATGGTTATAACGAGACGGCCATGAATATGTACTATGAAATGCAAGATGCAGGAGTAAAGATGGATCATTTTACCTTTTCGATAATTATAGGAGTATGTTCTAGGTTGGCCTCTCTGGAACATGCCAAACAGGCTCATGCAGGGCTGGTTCGTCACGGTTATAGTCTAGACGTTGTTGCCAATAGTGCACTTATTGACTTCTATAGCAAATGGGGGCAGATAGAAGATGCTCAAAATGTTTTTGATAGGTTGCCGAGAAAGAATGTTATCTGTTGGAATGCGCTTATAGGTGGATATGGTAGTCATGGAAGGGCAGTACAAGCTATTGACCTATTTTATCGGATGGTTTCTGAAGGGTATAAGCCGAACCATGTGACATTTCTTGTTGTTTTATCTGCTTGTAGCTATTCTGGTTTATCTGATCCTGGATGGCAGATATTCAAATCAATGTCAAGGGATTACAAGGTAAAACCTCGAGCAATGCACTACGCATGCATGATAGAGTTGCTAGGGAGAGAAGGGCGTCTGGATGAAGCCTTTGCGTTAATTAGAGATGCTCCATTTGAGCCCACCTTGAACATGTGGGCTGCTTTGCTGACAGCTTGCCGAATCCATGGAAATATCGTGCTCGGAAAATTTGCTGCTGAGAAACTTTATGAGATGGAGCCAGAAAAGCTGAGTAACTATGTTATTCTTCTTAATATCTATGGTGCTTTGCCAAAGTCTCGGGAAGCAGCTCATGTCGTGCACACTTTGAGAAGGAAAGGTCTGAAACTTTTGCCAGCATGCACCTGGATAGAAATCAAGAAGAAGCCATATATTTTCTTTTCAGGAGACAAGTCCCATTCCCAAACCAAGGAAATCTACGCAAATCTAAACACTATTATGGGAGAAATAGCAGAAAAGGGGTATGTTCCAGGAGGAATATCCTTGCTCGCTGATGTAGATGATCAGGAAGAAGATTTACGACCATATCATAGTGAAAAGTTGGCTGTTTCATTTGGTATTATCAATACAATTGATTCAACTCAATTGAACCTTGTCCAGAACCACAGGATTTGCTCTGATTGCCACAGTGCTATCAAATTGATAGCTTTGGTGACAAATCGCCAAATAGTCGTGAGGGATGCCAGCAGGTTTCATCGTTTCAAAGATGGTGCTTGTTCCTGTGGTGATTACTGGTGATAGGATATGTATATTTAAGGGAAAATTTCTTCTTCCACACCATCAAATTTTGTGTCATGAAAGCTGCAGTTTAAAGAGTCAATTTTTACATCAAATAGCTTAGAAAGAAACACACAAGCCTTTTGTACCCTAAATTTGAAGCCAAAGCTTTCATCAATATCTACTTCTTATGACATGGGATTCTTATGACATATGGGACACGAGAGACGCACAACATGAATTGATTTGGCAGTCGAAGCAAAGATGGTTTGAACTATTAGCAATACCAAATTCATTATTACTTTCTTTGTGGTTCATTCTCCATTCTTTCATGTATGCTCTTCTTTTGGTAAACGATAATTTACCCAGGGAGCTATTAATGTTCTCCAGGGTATCTAGCACTTGAGCACAATTGATTGAGAGGCATCTTTAACATGGTAATGTTATCTGAACGATCTCACATATAGTTGTGGCCATGTTTTGCAGACCAGGTATGTCCCCTTATTTTAATCATTAGAGGGGAATGAGATCACCTTTGAAAGATGGCAGCATCTCAGACTATCAACCATCGACTAGACAAACAACCATCCATCAAGTAGATCCAACAAGGGAAAAATGGGTATGCAAACAAGAAGCTAACTGTTATATCGGAGATCATATTAAGCAGAATAGGAATTTGAGAAACAAGAATAACACAAAACATCTACTCAATCCAAAAGAAAATAATGTCAAGGTACAAGCGCTCTCATTTCTCCTTTTGACACGTTTAGGATCCAAGCTACCAAAACTGAAATATTCATTCAAGATAAACGATTCTGACAATAGACTTATACTGGCAACATAACCAGAATTACACTACTAATGATATTCAAGCTCATAATAAATATTTAGGAGAAGCTAGAGCTTGGTGGAGGAGCACCAAACCCTCCAGATCCACGGCCGAAACCAGGTCTTCCACCAGCACCCTGTAAAATTAAAATACTGATCAGTAAATGAAAGAATCCTATCCAAAGTACCAAAAGGCAGCACAAATTAATTTCACAACAGAGACTTAAAATGTACAGACTTTGCTCAATTGCTCTGATTCTAAGTGTCCTACCACCAACATCAAGGCTCTCCTTAACTGATTGATATCGTCAAAAACAGATAAGACGAAAGAACAGACCAGCTATCGAACAATACACTATTATAAGAACAGTTAGCACTTAAAAATCATCTTTTCACCCTAAAATTTCAATATGCATCAAAGTGGGCAAATCTAGTTTATTTTCCTACAGGAACCACAATATACTTTCAGAACTCGTATCATTCTTCGATGGGAGGAAGTAAACAAGAAATTTCTACAAACATCGGAATGGGCAGAAATGTTTCCTTTATGACAATTAACCAAACGATATACACCACTCCTCTCAGAGGCACACTCACTGAAATGCCTCAAATAAAGAAAAGCAAGTAACACATTCATCAATATAAATATAATTTGACATTATTTCCTTCTGCACAGGCAATCAATTAATCCACATTACAGCTCCGGCAACAAAAAAACGTCCAACAATAGGAAAAGTCCAATCATACAGAGAATCACTTCAAACAATAAAAAAGGGCAAAGAACTAACCCTGAAAGCAGGCTGATAATCAGCTGGAGCTCCACCTTTGTCACCCCCAAACTCACCAGGAGGTCCTCCACGAGGACCACCACGGTATCCTTCCCTGTCACCAAATCTAGGCCTGTCGCCTTCAAATCTTGGAGGTCCACTGCAAAATCAAGTAAACGTTCTTAACCCAAAATCAAAAAAAGAACATCCATTCTCTACAACCAAATAAAGTAAATGAACTTGCAAGAAAGGGAGAGATTATTACCGAGGGCGATCACCAGGGGGTCCACCCATAGGGCGGCCAAGAGGCTTAGCAGACTTCTTCAGCGTTGCTGGAACGATTTCAGAAGGAAGGTTAAGGTAAGTCCTGAGGAACTCAATGCCCTCATTGGTTAGGTACCAGTAATAGTGCATCCATGCGAAGGTTTCCCTAACGTATTCCTTGGACTTGAAACTCTGCATCAGCTTAATCACCTGCAAGTTTGGCACATCGATCTCCGGATGCTTGGCCAAGTTGTAGTCCTTCTTCGCATAACAAACTCCCTCTTCAATTGCAAACACCACCAAATCACAAAATCAGTATATTCATATAATCAGTAGGAAAATAAGTATACAAAACCACATCAAACCCAAAATGTTAATCTGAAACAAACTCAAGTATTCCGAAACAAAATAGAGACTGACCCTGGAAGAGGTACTTGGAAATCTCCCTGCGGTTCTTCTCTGAGATAATCTGATTCACAAAAATTCAATCCATAAAAAAGAAAATTAAAAGAACAGTTAAAGCTACATCTATCATCAATTTATACCGGAAAAAAATTCGTGTTCATGCAAACTGATTGGAAGAAAGTGGAAAGGAAACGGCAATACAATGAGTAGCGGAAAGAGATCGACGATTTACCATTTTGGTCGGCCGGCTGCGGATGGAAGTGGATCAACGCAGATTTCTGCAAAATTTCGGAGTTACGCCGACTGAATAAAAACCCTTAGCACTGAACTGTTTATAGCAGTTGCGAAGGGGGTCTTTAGGGTTTTGTGATTGGGCCCAATTTGATGGACTCACGTATTTGGGCTTATTCGTTGGACTCGGACTCCTTCATAATTTAATTCGGCCTTTTGAATTTTTTTGCTAATTACGTAATTTAACATTTTATTTCAGTGTATTTTTAAAAATAATAATCAAGGATTAAAAATTATTAACTGGAACCATAAAGGAAAAGGAAAAAGGAAAGGGAACAACACGACAGAAACAAATGGCGTCTTCGAAGGCAGTCGGAGCGGGTGGCGCCGCCGGGACGCCGGTGGCGATTGAACTGGACAAATTAAGCTTAGAACAACTGAAAGCCGTAAAGGAACAAGCCGATGCTGAAGTGAATCTGCTGCAAGATAGCCTGACCAATATCAGAAGTGCTACTGCCCGTCTCGACAACGCATCCAATGCTCTTAACGATCTCTCCCTCCGTCCCCAAGGTCACCATACTTTGTTTTATCACTTAAGATTTACATTTAATTTTTTGGAATTTGAACGGGTCGATTGATCTAGGTTTACGGCTTATAGTGCTGATGATATCTATGGTTTTGTTGGTTCTGGGTTTAATTGATAGGGAAGAAAATGCTGGTGCCACTTACGGCTTCGCTTTATGTCCCTGGAACTCTAGATGATGCTGATAAGGTGTTAGTTGATGTGGGCACTGGATATTTCATTGAGGTTGGTTCACTCTGCTTGATTTCTTAGTTGTTCTTCAGCTCTTTTGTTCTTCTCATTGAAGTTCTAGTTTTTGTTTGATTTTGATTTGAATTGCTTACTGCTGTTTGAGGTTGAGCGAGACACAACACTAGTGTGTTACTCCATTGATGTGTAGATCATAGCAACTTTCAAGTTAGCTTAGTCACTTGGTCTATGATGCGACCTTTGTTGCAAAATCTCCGCAAAGTGCACCGCTTAGTAGGCCTTTTGTTTTGTTCACTTTTCATTTACTCATCCACTCCTCCAATATTTAATAAGACTAGCCAATTGATTGAAACTTTATCCATGTGCATAACAGCTTTATGCTGAGATTAATTATACACCATGAAGCCAAGAACCAAAAGTGAGTATAATTTCAATAAGATGAAATCAATAATGGCCCTTTAGATCGGAAAGCAGTTGGTAAAGTAGCTCTGGGATTATTGATAATTCTTTGTTGCATCACATCTAAACAATGTGAAATATTTAGCAGTCCTGATAAGTTACAGTGTTTCATCCGAGTGGACTTCAAACTTGTAACAATACTGTATTTATTCACTAGTAATTTCACATGATGCTGTTGTTTTGCACCTTCCATTATATTTAGAACCTTCAACATGATGCTGTTATTGTACATGTTTACATGATGCTGTTATTGTACATGTTTGGTTTTCACTTTCTACTGATATTGGGATGATTGCATCATTGTTGTCTTTGGCAGTTTCTTTTTGTCTTCAAAATGTTATTTCTTTTGTATTGTTCCCGACTTAGTTACTTCTGTGATATAGAAAACAATGGCGGAAGGGAAAGATTATTGTGAGCGCAAAATTAATTTGCTGAAGTCCAATTATGATCAGCTCCTCGAGGTATGTTTACGGAACCAAGTTTTTTTTTATTACATGGGCTGGAACTATTTTGCCAGGGCTATTCCTAACATCTTGGAACTTTATTGATCGATCTCGATTACATTATCGTTGTCTTTCCCTTGAATTTTACCAAGTATCTTGGAGCTGGTTGAAATGATGACGTAGTAAACTTTCACTTGTATTTTGTACCCTTACAGCTGTGTTCTTCATGCAAAAGTTCATATCCCTTCTAGCATTGTAGGCTGAAATTCGATGCATAATCTATATAATGCCAGTTGTTTTCGTGCCATACTCTTCGGAAATTGTCATGCTTCTAGCAAATCCTATGTGTACTGAAAGCCACTGCAAAATATTTTAAGTCGGTCAGTGTGACTTTTGTTTCAAACATTGGATAAGCTTGTTGGTTATATCTCAACTAAGGGCAAAGATGGAAAAATCCCAAACATAATTTATCACTAAAGTGAAAGATGAAGCTTAGGAATTATTTTTACTTACTATTTTACCATCTGGCCCCAGATATTCAATTTATGTCCATCACTAATGTATCTGCTGGCTGCAGGTGGCTACAAAGAAGAAAAGTATAGCTGATGATGTTGGAATCGTATTACAAGCTAAGTTGAAGCAGCTGGCACCAGCACAATAGTATGTTATCAGCTTTGCTCATATTAAGTACCATCCCGTGTGATTCACATGTTAGGTTCTCAATCTCTAGATTAGACATAGGGGTTAATCGTTTTCCAATTGATCAATTGTTTTCTGGAGCAGCAGATGAAGTGAATCACGATTGTGGGTGTTTGAGGGAAACAATAGTAATAGTTGTGGACGTATTAGTGTATCCATTATAATTTGGTAGAATTCTTTTGTTTATGAAACCATCCGTCATCGTCCATGATTCAGGACAACAAGGTCTCAAGAGTGAATGAGGGCTTCCATGTTGTTTGTTAAAAGTTACTGTTTGTTGTATTTCATTTGAGATTTAGTCATGACTGGCTTGACCATGCGCATTCATAACCTACCCTCACACTTTTACTAGTGTGTACTATGGGCAGTTGGCTGTTGAATTTATGGTTGTCAGTTAACAGTCAATAAACGGGCTATAAATTTGACAATAGGCAGATGTTTTAATCAGCACAAAACTTTACACACAGCATACAATCCTCTTTCTTTAGTTTAAATTTAAATCGGGACTCATCAATGTTCTATTTTGATAGTTAGCTGTTCATGCTTTAGAGCAGTTCAAACACTTGTAAACTGTGAATATTTATAAATATAATCTCTTTGTTCCAAAATTATTATCCAGTTTTAATTTTCATTCGCTAAAAATGAAAAATCAAATTGAACAATGAATTTGGGAAGGAGAGAGTACTTTTTGACTTAATATGATTGTTTTATTTGTTGCATCAGATTAGGATGAATGGATTATAAAATTGCCGTGTGATTAAACAGGCGAGATTACCTAGTGAGACTCGGAGATCCACATGATATTAGAAACAAAACAGAAACACAGCCATCAAAATTGAAAAAAAAAAACGCAATTAAGCTGCATTAAATTAAAAAAAAAATAATTTTAAGTAAATTACAAGAACTAGTTTGAGAAGCACAAAAAAAAAATAAATAAATAAAAATTATGACGGTGATGGCTACCCTATTGCATTGGGACGTTTCCTATCGGGAATTCCAGCGTTAGTATTTTCTGTCAGAATTAGAAGGCCTTTTAAAGATGCGAATACTTTGTTGTTATTCCAAATTCCAACTCCAAACTAAAAAAATCATTTACTAATGCTCAACTGTTTTTGGCCCGATTTAATTAGCCCGTGATTCGTGTCCTTGTCCTCTTGGTGGTCTCATCCATTAGAATTAGAAAGACCATTTTCATGTCGCAGTTCACAGTGTTCTCAGTTCTCACTATATTATCTGTGAAGATTGAAGCATACTGGTGGGACTACCCAAGTGCCATTTTAACTCTGAATTCTCCTCGTATTTGTTGTTAAGCTTCGGAATTTTGTGGGTTTTTTTTCTCTTGCTCTAAGGAACGCGAATGTTGAATTCCCATGTCCGTTTTGTGATTGTAAGGTAGCATTAGGTGGTTTGTGTTCTTCAGCCGATCTTCTTGCATTTTTCACTTAGTATGAGGGAGTTAAACTGCTTTGATAAAGCTTCATTTTTTAAATTTTATGTAATTGAGTATGAGGGAGTTAACTTAGTCATGTGTTTGTTTTTCTATTGTACTGTTAGTAACGGAAGAAATACTGTTTTTAGCTCTAGTGTTTCTTGTTGCCCTGTTGTTCCTGTTTATTGTGTTTTTAATAACTCAATACTATGCCCTGATCAAATTTTTCGGTTTCTGTCTTGTGGATAACCCTTGCTTTTTGTTAAGTTTACATGGCTTGTTGATTTCTTCATTATATAACTTTTAGGACACAAGGCTGAGACTCGGTCTTTACACGGGATCAATTGCTTTTCTGGCAGAAGCATTTGTCGAATGATATTCTGTGCTCAGTGATTGCTTGAAATTTGGTTACTTGAAGTACCTAAGCACAATGATTTCGACTTCATCTATCCGCCCCACTATGGCTAACCAGTTAGTGATCATTGTGCTTGTTTTTACAAGCTTTTTTCCCATCCTCTCGGGCCAGCAGCTAAGATTTGATAAAAATGGAGAATTCAGAATTCTGCAAGTGGCTGATATGCATTTTGCTAATGGAAAAACAACTCCTTGTCTTGATGTATTGCCCCAGCAGGTTGCCTCATGCTCTGATCTCAATACCTCTACCTTCATTCACCGCCTTATTCTTGCTGAGAAGCCTCACTTAATTGTTTTCACAGGTATTTTCTTTTTCGATTTTTGATTCCCTCTTCAAGTGCAAATCTTATTTATTCCAGATAACGGATGGTTTCCTACGGAATAAAGCTTTAGCTAGTTGGTCTTAGTTTTTTTGATGGACCCCTTCCTAGCCAAGCACTAGATTTTGAATTGAATGTACAACTCCTCTAGGAACCAGAATTCAAAATGGTTAATTTCTGAAGTTGAACGGCAGTGCTAAAGGTACAACTAAAATTTATGCTTTCCTTTATTGTTATGAAAAAAGGGGGGAAAAGAAAACGTTAAAAGAGCGGGTGATCCTACATGTTCAAGGTGCCATGCGCTTGAATGTCCAATACTAGGGGTTGATGTGATTGAGTACTAGTTGCAGATGCTCTTTGGTCATTAAATTGCGGTCCATTTCTCTTGGATTTGATAACAAAAGTTGCATCTCAATTTCAAAATTCTTGATTCAGGCGACAATATTTTTGGATTTGATACGACGAATCCTGCAAGATCTATGGATGCTGCTTTTGCTCCTGCAATAGAATCAAACATCCCATGGGCAGCGGTACTTGGCAACCATGATCAGGAGTCAACTCTGTCACGGGAAGGTGTTATGAAATATGTTGTTGGCATGAAGAACACTTTATCCAAGTTGAATCCTCCTGAAGTTCAAGATATTGATGGTTATGGGAACTACAACCTAGAGGTACACGGGGCTGAAGGTTCTGCACTTGCAAATAAGTCAACCCTTAATCTCTACTTCCTTGACAGTGGTGACTATTCGAAGGTTCCGTCCATTCTTGGCTATGACTGGATCAAACCCTCTCAACAGGTTTGGTTTCAGCGTACATCTAACAAGCTTCAGGTACTAAGCTTACACATCCCAACAGCTGCTCTATGAATGACAAACATCATGTTTTACCCCTTGCTCATTAGAGGAATGATAGAGAGGACACCATACTCGTTGTGACTTCTATAGTAATTGATGTGTCATTCACTCACTGCTTTATAATTAAATGAAAATAGATGTGCCAAAAATGCCTAGCCAATGAGTGAATGTCACATCAATGTAAAGGCAACGTCTTTATCGTTACTCTATTCAGTATGAGTATTTGTCTGGTAATATGGAACTGAATGGAATGGACCTGATTTCTTGGCAGAAAGCATACATGGGTAAACCAGAGGCGCAAAAATCTCCTGCTCCTGGGCTTGTGTATTTTCACATCCCATTGCCTGAATATGCTAGCTTTGACTCGTCAAATTTCACAGGCGTAAGACAGGAAGGCATCAGTTCTGCATCTATAAACTCGGGGTTTTTTGCGACAATGGCAGAAGCAGGAGATGTCAAAGCAGTTTTCACAGGGCACGATCATCTCAATGATTTCTGTGGCGATTTAGTCGGTATACACCTCTGTTATGCTGGAGGCTTTGGATATCATGCTTATGGCAAAGCTGGATGGTCAAGGAGAACAAGGATGGTGGTTGCATCCCTTGAGAAAAGAAACAAGGGAGGTTGGGGTGCTGTGAAGTCTATCAAAACGTGGAAGCGGCTTGATGACAAGCACCTAACCGCCATTGATGCTCAAGTTCTTTGGAGCAAAATGAGTAAGTTTCTGTAGTCTGTTCTCAGTTGACTAAAACATGCACAGTTCTTGCTGCTTTAGATGATAGGGTGGACAAATATTCCTTGCCATTTCTAGTTTCTGCTAAGTTCCATTACAGCACAACGCTCTATACGGTGCAGCTTACCTTATTGTTTATTGTCCTACTTTGTCATAACACTTGTGCTTCTTCTTTCACATTTGTTGCTGTCAATACTGATTCTTGTTTGTGTTCCTCCTCCTCTATGAACAGGTACTCGAAGAAAGAAGGAAATAGGTCGCCTCTGAGAAAATCAAAGCATATCATCACTTCGTCACGGATGCAGCCCCTCTGTTATGGTAGAGCTTAGGCGTCTGAAGTGTGATGATGGTCATACTTATAAATTCATAACTACTTCTAGATTCCGGTGCACATCATATGATGTGAGACATTGGTTGAACTTTTGTAAACAGTTTATCATCGGCAAAATGGGATATGTTAGTAGGGGCCATGGAAAGTAGCTACGGATTTATGCTTGAATTAAAGTTGTGAAAGCTTTTTTGAGGAGAAATGTTAAAACTATGTTTCATACACACTTTGAAGAAGAAGAAGATCCCTATTAATCAATGAATAGATTAAATCTTCATTAGATCATATCTTGATTAGAACATACCAATTCGTTTCTAATTTCCATATAGCTTTCTTTCTTCGCAATTACAGATTTTGTTATACTTCTTATGTCCCAAAATCGTTATCCGGTTTGAATTTTCATTTTTAGTACAAATTATGCTAAAATTAAATCTCAAATCGGACAATAATTTCGGAACATAGGGAGTACAAAAAAGTTTATTTTGTCCCAAACTACCGGGGGCTTTAAAAGCTTAAGAGACCAAAAAAAGAAAAAAGAAAAAAGAAGGATAATGAAAAGGAAAGTATAATTTACAGTTTTGCACCAGTGGGAACGTGAAATGCAAATATTAACCCCAGTAGTATTGGAATACTATAATTAACCCCAAATTGTTACAAGGTCTAAAATCTCATCCTCCTCATTTCCCCTTCTTCCCCTTCCCTTTACACAAAATCACTGTGAAACAGAACAGCAACCAGAACGCGCCACCATCAACAACCAGCCAGCCAGCCATGCGGAGCTTGATTTCTCGCCAGAAATTATGGAATCTCACCTCGCAAATGACTGGCGTTTGCCGCCCTCCTGCCATGATGACTAAGGCTCAGAATCAGAGCCGGCGATACAGTTTGATTCCGATGGTGATTGAACACTCTTCAAGAGGGGAAAGAGCTTACGACATCTTCTCCCGCCTTTTGAAAGAACGAATCATCTGCATAAACGGCCCCATCGCTGATGACACCGCCCATGTTGTGGTTGCTCAGCTCCTATTCCTCGAATCCGAGAACCCTTCCAAACCTATCAACATGTACCTCAATTCTCCCGGAGGCGCTGTCACTGCTGGTGTGTATTTTTTTATTCTTCCAGTTCTCTCAATTCACTGTAGATACAATATGGGGAATTCTTAGTACTAGTAAAATTACGTCAAATTTTTACATTGTTGTGGAATATAGGCTTTTGTTATCTCTAAACCTATCTCAGTTTAGTTTGTATTTTGTTTCTTTGATGTTTTAGCCCATGTGGTCTTTGGTTGGATTGGAGTAACTGGGGTGTAATTAGAATTGGTGAACATGCAATTTTAGTAGGCGTGGCTTGCTGCGGTTGAAATTAGCAGAACTGGAAATGGTTAATGACCTAAAGGAGTACAGACACCGAATTCTGAATTTCCCTTATTAATTGAGGAGTAAACGTGAAAAGGGATGCATTTTTGCACTTCTTTGGTTTTGATTATTATATAATTTCTGGATAGGATCGGCAGACACCCCTTGGAAATAGGTTCTATCGGGTATTTTGATTTGTTGATATGACTTTCCTCATGTTCTTCCTGCAATGTGACATTACATTGAAGTAGAGTAAGTGGGAGGAATTTGTATTGTTTCCTAAAGTTTCCTCTCCCTCCCAACTCTTTGTTGCTTCCTTGAAAAACGTATTTTCGAAAATATGATCACTGGACATTTATGCTCGTCCTTCTAGTTTCCCAGCTGATACTGTTTTCTGAATATTTGATGCTGTTTTTTGCAAAAGTGTAGGTCTGGCAATCTATGACACGATGCAGTACATTCGATGCCCAATCAACACTATATGTATGGGCCAAGCTGCTTCAATGGGTTCTCTTCTTTTGGCGGCTGGCGCAAAGGGTGAAAGGAAATCTCTTCCAAATGCAACCATTATGATTCATCAGCCATCTGGTGGTTATAGTGGACAAGCGAAAGATATGACCATTCACACTAGGCAGATTGTTCGGGTGTGGGACACCCTTAATGCTATATATGCAAAGCACACTGGCCAAAGTATAGAAACAATTCAAAAATTTATGGATCGGGATCATTTTATGACACCTGAAGAGGCAAAGGATTTTGGGATAATTGATGAGGTTATGGATCAGAGACCAATAACTTTAGTCACTGATGCAGTTGATAATGAGAAAAAAGATTAAGGCGGAAAGCGGAGTGGTAAGCACTGTTACCCTTACTTTCGTTCCGAAGTTGTCAAATTTGCTTGACCAGCACCGTTTCTCAACTTGGTTGCATCCTCTACCTGACTTAGCACGCCTTTTCTTTCCTTTTCCTCTCAAGTGTTTTCTGTGTTAAAATTTACTAAGGGTATGCTTTCAGTTTGGATGAGTCGTCTGTTTTTACTGGGATTGAATTTTATTTTTTGAACTTTTAATCCTTTGTTGGAATTATTTGGTCAAATCAAGCTTAGTGATGGGGCATAAGCCTAGTGCCGACGAATAAGGGTGTGATCTTCGGCATTTATCCTAGCTGGAAACTTGAGCTTATCATTTTGGAAAATAGAGATGGAAATTATGAATATGATGTCATGTAACAATGGGTAAGCCTAGATCACTTAACTATCAATTTCTTTTTGCTCAATTGTGTATGGTTACTGTCCTCCAATTTTCTTCTCCCCATATATACAGTTCTATTCATATAGCCAGTTACATATCCAGTTTTAAAGTGTATGCCACACATTTCCAGTCCAGGTAGACTTTTGAGATTGGGTGACAGTAGTTATCGCATTGGCGTGTTTAGTTTTACTTTCAAAACTAATACTCATCTGTGGGTTTTTCTTGGTTCAGGGTGTTCTTTCGTGAATGAAGCTACAAACTTCTGCAATCAACCTTGTGGCTGTCGATCTGGTTGCTTTTCATAAAGAAGAGAGTAATTTGCATCGGATTTGAACTAGGTGTCTTTCATAAAGAGGCTAAAAGACTAGTTTGCCTTGTCTACGGCACATAGCTAATATTAGTCATTCTTCTGTCCTTTTTGTTTGGTTTATGTATTTCTGCAGTCGATAGTAGACATTTTTTTAATTTGAACTCATTTTGAGCATCTTTTAGTCTTAGCCCATGATGGCTCACTTCATTCTTTTTCCTAACCTTTTGGCTCGCTGTTGGTTTTGCATTGTGGGTCAATCATTTGTGTACATTTCAATGGAGTTAAAAAATTTTGTTGGAAGCATATCAAGGTTTCAGCTTAGAGATGAATTGTCAAAACTCGAAAGGGATTACAAATTTACAACGACATATATTCTCAAAAAATACATTACTTAAATTAAAGACTGAATAGATAGAAATTAACTTGGATAACATTTTACTTCGTCGGATATAGATGACATCGCATAAAGAATCATTTTGGGCCAAACAAATATTTGATTAACAAACTTGAAGAAATATGAAGAGATTCAAAACTTTTTACACTTTGATTCAAAATTATAATAATTAGATAATGTTACATATTATAAGTTGATATCCACCCTGACAATAATCTGAGAGCAACTATAGTAAGGCAAACAAACAAGCTCATAGTATGGGCAACTGGAGTAAACCACCACGTCAGTTCATCAGAGATGAACTTCTATTTCAAACACAATGATCAGAACTTATATGACTTGAGTGCAGTGGTCGGTTAAATCAAATCGGAAAAAGAAAGCGTAGGTAATTTTGCCCATCAACTTCCATCAAACTTAGGTTCACTTGTACTCCGTCACAAGGTTGAATCTCCAACTTCAAAAAACAGAACCACACTATGAATTGCTACCTTATAGTCTCAATTTTTGATATTGCAACATGATCTCCATCAGTCGCAAATTTACCCCAGTTTTCTTTTTTTCTTTTTGGTAAATCAGCACCAGCGCAAGCAATAACCAAAGAAACCAGAAGGAAGAAGGAAGAGAGGGACATTTATCCTTCGCACAGACTTCACTTATCCCTTAAATATTCTCTCCAAACAACTATACCCTCCATCCCGTAAAGATTGTCCAGTTTGGCTTTTCATTTGTTGTACAATTGTACTAAAATTAAAATTCAAACAGGACAATCATTTTAGGACAGAAGGAGTATATGATCATTCAATGGCACAACAAAAAATGAGACCAAAACTTAGTGCACCTTTAACTTTAGTACAAGAAATCAGGCTCAATGAACACTCAAAATAAGGGCTTTTATCTTTACTTTTCTGTGGATGGGGGGCAAAATTTGAATTGAATCCTTACATTTCAACTTATATCTACTCAGCTGGAAGTAAAACAGGAATCAGTTCATCAACTTTTACAGGCTTCATGCAAACACACGGAAGTGAAAGTCAGATGCAAGATCAACTAGTCAACAAATGCCAATGAGGCAACTCAAACAAACTGAAGGTCAAAATTTCATAGCAACTAATTAGAAAAACTAGCCAACAAGTTCAAAAGGTATACATCTAATCAAGTTTGTGCGATGATGTACAAAACCTATGTGCTTACACAGCCATCTCCGCTTTCAAGTGCCAAAAAAAAAAAGAATATATGAGGTTGTGATCAAATTCAACAGGGAAAACAATATACATATATATTCTGTACAATTGTCCACTGTGATATTCTAAAAGCAACGTACCACATAGTATTTTTTTCCCCCTATGTTAGCTGTGGATAGATAGCAACTTTATTCATATACAAACACAAGAGGGAGAAATACCTCCATCTTGATTTTTCAAAAAAAAAAAAAAGAAAAAGGTTGAGCTAAACTAAAGTTATTAGAAAGAATTCCCTAACTCTTTACATAATTACCTCAAAATTGTGCAGCATAACCGCTTTCCTGGTACCTAGACATTTCTTGCAGACAAATTACCAATCGCAAGATTTCACAGCCCTGCAAAAATGGATAGAAGACACTAAGAAGTTAATTAATCTCATAATCGGTCCATTGCATTAGCAGATTGGGATAAGTATAAAGTAGCAGAATCCACAGACAACATGAATTCAGACCAACTCGCCACAACTAGGTATATATGTCAAAAGCTGTTCAACAAGACTAAAGTAAGCAATCTTCAACTTGCTAGCGTACTATCACACTAAAAATTCATTAACCACTTCAACTATCTTTACAAACTCCATTCATGATTCTCAAAAGTTTTATATTAGCAACTAGGTATAACTACTCAATCAAACACATCCAGGTTCAAAATAGCTATTGAGAAGATAAAAGAAATAAACATCATGCCACAAAGCAACTCATACAGATCGCTGTAATTTAGAAAAATGTAAAAGTCCACTAACACCATCAGTAACAGCCTGCAAATCTAATAAAAGAGTATATAATGTGTTAATTAATCAGGTTCGTGTAACCAACAGATGCCATGGCTTCATTGAACACAAGCAATAAGAGATTATTTACATCTACAACCTGGAAAAGTTAATTCCAGCCACTGAAGAATAAAACACTGCAATCTCAAAGAGTAGAACAATCATATGAACACTCTCGATTGAGATGCTGTGTGAATGCAGAACTTCCTCACATTTAACCTACACAACTTAAGAGATACCAATCAACAATTTATCCTACATGAGGTAATCATCTTCTCTCTATCAGGGTAACAGACTTCTGCTCCTCCATCTAGATCTCTCCTTGTTAACAGTATTGTTAGTGTTGTAGCTTTCTAACTTTCATCCACAACCATCGATTTAAATGTAACGTAGAAAGTGAACTCTATGTCTGACATAATAACACATAAAATTCTGGCACCATAGTGTCCCATTTATATTCCATCTGAAGTAATGAAAGAATTTTCTACTTACCATACCATATTACATTCATTGAGCAATCCAAAGAGGATACTAGAAACAACAGAAAGTGTTCACAGGAGGAAGAAATAATGACAAAGCACACAATAGCTTAAAAAAGTTGGCAAAAGAGAGGTATGTTGCCCATCAAGCCATGGTAACATAACCTCAACACTATATGTGAGCAAATGTCTATAGGCTACAAATGAGTAAGACTTAAGATTTGGTGAAAAAATGATATTCTGACATTCTATAATATTACAGAAATGTTCAGGATAATCAGTATAACTGAGTAGAATGTGGGACCACCATGTTTCTCTAATAATCACAGAGCAATTTACTAACCAGTTTAGCAATAAATAAAGAAAGATATCACACATGGGTTTTCTTTAAATGCATTGAATCTATTCATGGATGAGGAATTAAAGCAATAAATCTGATTACACAATAAATAGTAAGGACAGATATCCAGCAATTTTGGAAAGCTTTCAATTTCCTCAGCACAAACATTTCAAATAGTAATGATCTGTTTGTAAAGACCACTACTTCACAAATTTTATTTTGCTATCGTAGGTCATCTCGTTTAGTAATTATCAGAATCTCTTATTGAACATCCTCAACCAACTCCCCCCCCCCCAAAAAAAAAAAAGAAAAGAAAAGAAACACTTTTTATGTTGGAAATTGATAAGTTTTCATAAGTTTGTAAATGCCGTATCAGTCCCTTGATCTATTAATACTAAATTCTAAAGATTAATTCCAATAAACTTTTCCATAAACAAGAAAAAAAGAAACCAGGTAACAGGTGAGTTGTCACAGGGATATTGAGTGTGGCACAAAGAAATAACCTTAAAAATTTTTCATTTGTGGAGGACCAGAAAAAGGTTGAACAAAATCTTAACTAATAAATGGTCCAAAACTATGAAAGTAGTCAATCAATGCTTAGCCAAAAACAGCAGATATTAGTACTGGAAAACTAGTACATGGATAGGAAGGGTACCATCTGCTGGTTTTCTCCTTTATTCCAGTGCAGCAGGCAAAGGGTTTATTTTGTAGGAGGGGAAAAACTTGGCAACTATGCATTCCCTCCCCTCTGCCCACTTCCCCCCCCCAACCCCCAAAAAATACCCCAAAACCCCCTGAAGCAAAAAGAAAAACACTATTTCTCTCAGAGATTGATATGGCTTTGACTAATTAGAATAACCAAATAACATGTGAGCTGTCAAAGGCATAACAAGGCAATGAATCTGTCATATATAACCTTACAATATTGATAACCAGAACAATGCTGGACAAAGTTTAATTGAAAAAAACTTTTTCCTTCTTATATGTCTGAAGGAGAAAAAAAAAGTTTGTCCAAACCTACAAAACAAAAAATTGCCAATCAATGCTTGAGGCGTAGGGAAAACTCAGCAAACCAGGTCTCTCGATGAACTCACCTTTGGCCTCTGGCAATAACTTAACTCCGATAGAAGTCAATCAACAATTAAATGCTAGAATAAAAATGCAACTCAGCATAAGATCATGTAGCTTGATTTATCTAATGTGGTTCTTGTTAAATAAACAAGAGAGAAGATTTAGCAATCTTATTATCCAATTTCTTGGTGTACAAAAAAAAAAACATAATTAAAAATTACAGCATATACTAGTACTGGAAAAACTCCAAGACACAGATAGGAACGATGGTAACTATGGGTTTTCTCTTTGTTTGAATGCAGTAGGCGAAGGGTTTATATTGAGGGAAGGGGATAAAAAGTAGCTCGGAAACCCCACACACACATATACGCTCAAAAGAACTTTTCTTGTTCATCTCATTTTTATCTAGCCAAAACTCATAATCAAGAGCTGAAACAATGCCCTTGACATGTTGGTGAAGAGTGGTAATGTGTTGGCACCAAATGAACAATCAAGTAAGATAACACTGTTGTTACTCACTGTGACAATTCATATAGGTCACAATGTTTATAATCACAACATACTAACTCATTGTGGAAAATAGTTCTTATCATTAAAAGAGGCAAAAAGAAAATTTAACATTAAAAGAGGTAACTAGTGAATTATGTTATGCTTTAGATGCAACCCTCACCTTGAATCCAGAAATAAAACAAGATCACTAAGGAGAGAAACAAAAATACATTCCCTATTAAGAGTATTCATGTTCACAGATGATATACATTTGTTCTTTTTCTGGAAAAAAAAAAAAAAGAAACAATCAATGGCAGTAAAGCAAGATGAAAGTATAAACATATATGAGAAGAACAAAAATTATATCTCCTTCAAAAAAGAAGTGCCAATTTGAAATATTTGGCCAAACACCATTCTCGGGTGAATTTCAAATAATTACAAAACTTAAGTCTACTGAGTAAAATGGCTTACAATTTGAAGTATATGTTTGCGAGATGCTTTTTGTCAGGCAAATTATATTATACACAATCCTGCTAAAGATCTTCATAACTTGTCATGACATTAGTTCATATCCTGTTTCATTGATCAGCCGCGCATTTGTGAGCAGCAGATTCCATAGTCACTGGTCTCATACACCCTGACAGATTAAGTGAACAAAAGAAAAATATAAATAATACTTCAGATTTAAAAGGACAGATAAAGCTGAACAAGCAAAGAGGTTCTTATGTACAAAATCAGACCCATGATTACTTGGCTTTCTTCTCTTAGATTTTCTTTTTTTAAAAAAAAATTATTAAAAAAAAAACTGGTTTTTGGGGAAGTTGAATCAAGTCGACAACGATATTGGCTAAAAAACCACACCACTGCATAAAACACGAGTGGTGGAAGTCATTGTTCATTAAAAAATAATAAAAATAATAAAAAATAAAATCAACTCGTGATTGGCGAAGCAACTATGAATAATGGATAAAAAAAGGATAACTCAGGTAGCACATTGAATATCAAACCTAACCATAAAGATGAGATATTTTGTGCATTTCTCAAGCAGGTCTCCAATTGAATGCTGACATATCTGGCCTACCCGGAATCATGTGCGTCGCATTATGACCTGACAGAAAAATAGCAGACAATCAAGCCTCAAGACTACAGGAAAGCCATCACTAATAGGAGGCATGAATAGGGCTTACATTTGAGGAACAATTACCTGGTACTGGAGGACCCCCTTGAACAGGAGGACCACCTTGAAAGGCAGTGGTGGTGGGTACTGAGGGTCGAAAACTAGCAGTACCAACAGAAGGCCTCTCGAGATGTTGCACAAAATAACCTGCCACATTAAGATGCTTAGAATTTTTCAAACAAGACCAAAAACCCAACAACAAAGGTTTTCTTCTTTCTTTCAAAACAAATGATTAGGATCTCCTGTTACTATTTCAAAATACATATGTTTGCCAGTTCGCAAGCTTAACCGCATATAATAGGAATTTTGTTTTAGAAATTTAAGAGTAGCCGCACCATCTTGTGGATAAACTGGTCCTGAAGGTCTCAGTCCCTGCACCCACATGCCACGTGGATGATCGGCATTGAAATCATTAGTTGGTCTCAATCTCCACTGATCCTCAGCAACAAACTGCCGTGGTGCATCAGTAAAATTAGGATGAGGATATGGTGGAGGGTAAGGTTGCGGTGCAGGTCCGGGAGTAGGATGTTGGACTGGAGGAACAGGATGCTGGACTGGAGGAATAGGATGCTGGACAGGAGGAAGAGGATGCTGGACTGGAGGAAGGGGATGCTGGATGAGAGGGGGAGGATGCGGCCTGACAGGAGGCACCGGATATGAAAAATGACTTGATGTATTTTGTTGCGGGGGATGTGGAGGTCTTTGTGGAAAAGGGGCATTTCCAGGCAGCATTTGAATATTGGGTTGAGAAGCCAACGAACTCATATATGGATTATTGTGTCCATAAAGTTCTTGTGCACTTGCAACTCCAGCTGGAACAAAGCCAGAAGCCTGTTGATTGGTGTTTCCATTGATTGGTGTAGGATGTCCCTATACACAAAAAATAATCACAAGTAAATATCGTTCCTTCACCGTGAATAGATGGGTATGAACAAGTAGGGAAGAGAAAGAAAAGACTTACACTGGGCAGTCCCCCAATTTCAGCAGGCCTAGGAACTTGCTGATATGATCCAACGGATGAAGCAAGACTAGATGATGGAAGCAGGTTCATTTGTTGAGGGACCATTAAGGGCTGAGGTGGTAATGATGGTTGAGGTGGTGGCATAGGAGGAGGGCCCATGGGTGGGGGAGGAATTTGCGGTGGCTGCAAAGGAGGTGGCGGTGGAGGGGGTGGCACCGGAGACAACGGAGGTGGAGGTGGCAATGGGGATTGAGGCAGAGAGGATGGCAAAGGTGGCGTAGGAGGAGGAGAACATGGAGGTGGTGGTGGAGATCCTTCAGGAAGAGGTGGCAATTCAAAGGGCATGCTTAATGTTGATTCCGGTAAATTTATTGAATCCAAACGTCTCGAACCAATACCGAAGGCACCACAGGACGTTGATGGTCTTTCATCCTTTTGATGTCCAGATACATCTTCCATTTCAAGTTCACCATCAACATCTTCTAATATGTGGTGACGCCTCTCACTTGGGGTGACAGTATAATTTTCTAGATCCGCTGCACCAGGGGTCTGTTCCGAAGGTGATAACTCTACAGATTCCTTGGTATCACTATTTGGAACTCCCACCTCCTCGTCTTCCTCTTCTTCTTCAAACAGATGAGGAGAAAACACTCCCGGCAACTGAAAAGTTGTATTGCTGTATGAAAACCAAAAGGTTAGAGATATGCTACAGAAAAACGTGATTACTGAAATTCTAGGAGTTGAGAAAAAACTGATTCATCAAATGCTAGACCACAACAACTCAGTAGGCTGTAGAATCGATTAGATCCTCAAATAGCCTAACCCATATCAGAGAAATCTTTTAAAAAGTAAAAGCGGGGGAAGAAAACTCCAGAAACAAGTCAAGAACATATATCAAGTATCCAATCCATAGAAAAGAAAAATGCCAAAACTATAGACTGACAAGCAATACAGCAACTAATTTACACGGGAGGAAAACCCAAACAGCACAAAATAAAATGTAGTCACAAATTACACAAAAAATCAAATATCGGACACTATTGCAAAAACTCAAAAGCAGAATAAAAGATGTTAATCCAACAAACCAAGCCAAAGTTTCAACAGCACATGTAACTATATAGAAGCAACAGAAATAGGAGAAAACCAAAGTTTTGACAGGACATGTTACTAAATCGCATTATTCTGAAGGTTAAAAAGCAACAGAAATCAATAATCCAGATAAAAAAGAGGAATGCCGAGTAGATTCCAGACCTTCCATATTCATCAACTTGCATGCCTTCCATTTCCCTAATAGGATCATCTATAGCCCGCTCAGCTCGGGAAGGACGTCTTAGTGAAAAACCAGAGGATGTGTCATCATTTGCTGCACCAATGTCATCCATATAACGCCTCAAATGATATTCAGGTAAAATTTTCCTTTCAAGCCACAATCGCAAAACCTGTGAGCAATTATGTTCAATCACCATAACAAATTAGAATGGCTCTGATCCAGTGACACGTAAATATGTTTTTAATAAATAAAAAGGTACAGCATCATCACCTTAAGACACTGACGACGATTTTCACGAGCACCAGGTCCAGGAGGAGCAGCGGCGCTTAAAAGACGAGGCAATGCTGCTTGGACTAAGGGTATATAAGAGGCTCCAGCAATGCCTGCAAAGAACAAAGAAAGAGGACTAAACAAACATGCCAGAAAAACTAATGAAATAAAAATTTGTTAAAAAACCAGGAACTCTAGAGGAGATTCAAGAAAATAGGATATACAACTCAATTTAACACCATACAGCAGCGGAACACCAAAATCTTAAGCCTTGAAGGATTTCATTTGCATTACTACCTTTATGACTGTGAGAGCATTGGGTTATTGAATCCACAAGGAAGAACAGGTCCACTTTGCGATGGAAGCTTGATTCGCTCTCCAATTTCCGAATAAGAAGTTCTACAACCTACAAGTATGGCATATTATCACATTTCTCTGGTCAATAGAAACCACCAACAACGATTAAACCGGAACATTATAAGATAGAACATGGCATATTTAGTATAAATAATGAGCATTGAAAATTCAAGAATTAAACAACCTATATTAAAACCAATTCTTTGTGATTAATACTTCTACTCCAATGACAATGGGACATGACCTGAGAATTGTGTTACACTATAGAAAACTAAAAAACACTAGGCATGGGATAGGATCAGAATTTATTATGATGTCGCAGTCTGAAAGTGCTGGAAAACTATCCAAATAAAATTATTTATCCCGAATAAAAAAGTTCTAACAATCATCGAACGAAGCATAGGATCAAGCAACTTCATACCTCATTTGCGATGCCATACTTAGCACAGTCAATTGCAAGACGTGTTGCACGTCCAATACTCTCCTTTGTCCTTGACAAAGTCTCTATCATTCCTTCAAAAGCATCACGAGCAACAGCAGCCTCAGTACCACCACTAAGCGAGCCCCCAGCAGCCTGATGCCCAGAACTAACACGTCTTTCCATAAATTCATCATTGTCGTGTGGGTTAATTGATGAACTTTGGAAAACATCAGACGGAGGAGAAGCTACAGATGAGTTTGGCGGTGCCATGTTACTGGACACCGTGGGGTGAGAAACAGGTGCAGGACTGGGACTTCTCATTTGTGCATCAGTTCGCCGCCCTACAAGAGAATCAAAATGTCCATTGAGATTATGTAAATGAGCTTGTTTCCTTTTAGCTTGAGCAGCTGCAATAAGATGTTTCATGGATGTCGAATCTGAATTTCTGTGATCATCAGAATTTAGTCTAGCTTCTTTCCCAGTTTCAGATCTGTGAGGTACCAAAACAGAATGAACAGAACATTAGATAACAGAAACTACATGTGGTAAAAATCCATAAACAAAGAAACTATTATGGCACCTTTCACCCTGCAATGAACGACTTTCTATAACAGATCCTGCCTGATGGATTGGGTCACTGGTTTTCCAATGTGATTTAGGAGTGCCTTTATTCATTTCCGCAGAAGAATCCATCTTGATCCTTTCATACATTTGATGGGCTGATGTGTAAATGCTCCCAGTAGTTGCAACAGAATCCTTGTAAGATGAAGTTTTCCCCTGAGGCATGTTGTCAGAAGCTTTCCCCACGGGCTTGTTGGGTTTTGGGGGTTCTACCAGTGACTTAGCAGAAACAGAAGAAAGAGACCTTTCAGGGGAAACAGTAGTCTCTTTCCCTTCTTTGGACGATACTCTTTCAGCATCTAATTTCCAAGGGCTAACACGAGAAGCAACCGGTTTTCCATGGCCCTTTTCCATTTTCTGGGAATTAGGAGAAAGGTACTCAACCGGCTTATCTCCAGCAGATACCAACTTCTTAGAGGATTTATTCTCAGGAGTACCTGAACCTCGTTTACCCAATTGGTTATAGAAAGATCCATGCGTGTCTCCTTTCTTGGTAGAAACTTGGTCGTGCGAGGTAACCAACACCTTTTTTGTTGAACCATCATGAATTGGAGTCTTTGGCTCTTCTTCTTCTTCATCATCAAAGAGGCGAACTGCCCTCCGCCTCGAATCATTTTTAACCATAGAAGAACTTCTTCCAAATCGACTTTCAGAACTCAAAACAGAGGAAGTGGACATAGAGTCCAATGTTTGGCGACGTCGCTTGCTTGGAGGCAAAACATCTTCATCACCAGAAAGATTGGAATCAATAGTAGCGGATGCTGGTTTAGTTCCAAATCTATTTTCAGCCTTTCCCTGAAACTTCGACTTCTCAACATCTAAACTAGTCACTTTGTCATCCCGACTTTGAGAATTCACCTTTCGGCTGGTTTGCAGCAACCCCTTCGAAGCATCTGTCATATCTACAGATTTTGGCCGCTTGGCTGGGTGTGAAGATTCTACAGGCTGTTGTTTCCCTTGCCCTAGTCTCTTGTCAGATAGTCCAGTCTTGTCCTTCACAGTTCTTCCTTCAACATCTAATGGAGGCTTAACCTTCTCCACAAAACTATCCTTACGTTTAAGCAATTTGTCAGTTTTTTTCCCTACATCAGTTTCAGATGTACCCTTGCCATGTAAGGCCTTTTCTCCCGAAAAGAAGCTCCCAGACTTGTGATTGGATAAAGAAAGGCCAACACCGCTACTTGAGTTGTTAGTTGAACCAACTGCACTATCACCTTTCTTTTTCGACCCAGAACCGATTGGTCTGTGCCCATTTTTAACATCCTCCTCCTGACGATTCCTGGATAATGATACCCCAGAATCATCTCCAACAGAAACAAGATTGTCCTTACTACCTTTTGAGCCCCCTCTACGATTCATTTTCACTGAGAACTCTTCAGTTCTGTCATGAAAACTTTCCTTGTTTGACTCACTATCTGAACCAGATGTAGATGAACCCCCACTTGCAGCATCAGAAGCACAAGTCTCGATTCTTCTTCGGTCTAACTCCCCTTGTCTAAGAGAGCATCGCTCAAGGCCAGAACTATGGTCACCCAAGCTTCTAAACTCTATCTGGAGGTTAGTTTCTTCTTTGCCATTCCCATCTATTGAGTCCGTATCTATAGCATCATCAGTTGCGCCATCAGTGAAGTGTGTGTCACTTCCAGGAACTGATTGATTCTCATCATCTCCATGAAAACTTGAACTCCGCTGCTGCGACCGCTCAAATTCTTCACAAATTTCCCTAACTGCTTGGGCAAAAAATTTGACAGTTTTCCCACGACAACGGGCCGATAATTTGTTTTTAGCCTCAACTGTGAAAGTCTGAATATCCGCAGGGGCAACAAAAGCACTGTTGAAAGTGGAAAGGTTATACAGAGAATTCAATGTCGGCTATTCAGAGAAATTAAATACATGACTACAGCAAATAAACTTTGGAAAACATTAGTAACGTCATAGAGCACAATCCACTTAAAATCTTCCAGAACAGAAAATTATGCCTATATCATAAAACCATGTCATGTGCACCATTGATGGCAAAAGCTCAAGCAAGAGCTAGCCATTCATAAGAAAAATAAACTTAACACTCGAATGGATTAAGATGGAAGGGACCACACGGCAAGCCAGACGAACAGAATACTTCATCAGCAAAATAAACAAAGAACTCTAGAAGAATAGAATTTCCAATACATCCCCTCAAAAAAAAAAATTAGTTAAGACTCCAGCCATCACAATACGGTTAAATCCATTGAAAAAAAAAAGAAACAAATAGTTCTCCAAGACTGAGGTTAATAGATACAACTCTTCAGCCCTAAGGATACACTTGCATAGCCTAAGCAGATTATAACCACGAACAGACTTCCTCACTGTAAAAGACCTCAGAACTGAAAGCCAACTTTCTCCACTGAAGTCTATGCTCATAAAAGCCCAACTACTCTCCATCAAAATAAAAGCAACAAAGTCCACTACCGACTGATTCTTCACGTTACACAAATCCATTCAATTCAGAGATAGAAGCAAAGGATGTGACGAAAAAGATTTGTTTCGGAGTTGACTTCCACAGCTTTCTTAACCAGGGAATAGGAAGATTCCTGGCTCCTCCCTCCCTCCTACCCTCCATCCCTCTTTTTACTTTCACCTCCCTCTCTCGCTCCATATTTCCCAAAACATTTAAGGCGTGTATGAAGGAAGAAATTTTCACGACAGTTACATAATACTATTGCTAAAGGCATGCAAAACTTCCAACTGGGTCAACAGTATAGCAACACAAACATACGAACGTTAAAAAAATCATAATACATGCCATAAAAAGGCATCTAGAAGGCACCAAAAGAATGTGCCAGGTAATGCTCTTAAGAAGTGGAAGTCATAATAGTTCTTCTATATTAAGTATAGCAACTGAAACACCAAAAGCCGAGTAAATTAACCAAATTTTATGATTTCTGAAACCCCCCTTGTTTCCAATGGCTATATATTTAGATATATAACCAGCCTTTCCATTTTCCAAGACAGCTCACGAAAAATGTAAGACAAGGCAATCTTGGCCAAGCATAAAGGACATCAAGTGCAATTATGGTAGGTATGGCATACATGAAAAGACCGACAGCTTTAGTTGATATCAAAAGGTGTCAGTAATTCAAAACAATCAGAAGAAACAGCAAACAAATTTACATAGAAAAACTAACATTTTCATTCTTATTTCCTTCATCAAACTTCAGGCTGGCCTAGAATTACCAAAACTTTAAAGCAGATATAGAATAGGTTTCCGACTTTTCCAGAATGAAGGAGAAAAAAAGTAAAAAGAAACAGTCAACAACAACAACATCATTGTTCAAAAAGGGGAATAAAAAGAGATGCAGGAAAAAAGAAAAACGCTATTTCATTTATGTCACTTGTAAAAAATGCGCAGAATACTACGAAGAATCAGTATTATATATATATATATGGAAACAACTTATCAGGGAGCAAATTCTTGTTTTATTATGGAAAGAGAAAGCCATTTCTTTTCTATCCAGCTGTCTACATCACCCCAACCCCACAGAGTTCCTAAAAGTGGACACCTCTTTCAAATAATGTTAGTCAGTATAATCTTTCTTACGAGTGCACAACGACAAACAAACATGTTAGTTCACAATGCTAAGGTATTCATTCAGCAACCAGAGAACATCCCAATTCCTTAGAAAAAATGCAAACAACTGCTTTAAGGAACCAAAAAAAAAACAAAATAAAAATCTTACATTTCTTCTGTACCAAAGAACTGGACAAAATATTTCTTCGGGTCAGGTGCTCGTTCCCAGTCTTCAGGTCTGCTTATCTACAAAATAATTAAATCCCATGAGTGCAAACTATTAGTGAAGAACACAAATCCCATGAATGCATCAAATATAACTAGGTCCTTAACCCAGTAAATGGAGTTGCCTGGATGATCAGATCTTGCCATTCCACTATAATCACCCATAAAAGTGTACCACGACTTTTTTCATAGCTTCTTTTCAAGTTCCCTATCAACTCCACCCATGTTTAATATTTCCAGCAAGACCAATTCCATTTTAGATTAAGGAGACGGGTTACATTAGGATGGAATTAGCCAGAAACAACGTAACCATCAAGGAAGGGACAGGCAAAGCAGATAAAAAGAAAAAAACTAACGTTAGCAGCAATGAAATGGCAAAAAAGTCCAAACTAAAGACCGTTCTTGTAATTGAAAGGGGAAAAATGCATGCAAAAAGCAAGCTAGACATATCCTTTATCTTGCTCAATCTTAAGTAGTTAGCAGTTGCAATTACGGATTTTCATCTAACACTAGGCCCCAAGCAATCATCTATGCATAAAACTAGGAAAGACTAAGAAGTAAGACAGACAAGGAGGCGTAGATAGTACACTTGTCTATGACATAATGGGAAAAAAAACAGGCCACCTAAACAAAAAGTAGTAAGCAACAACATACAGTATACGTGCTTTCACGCGCTATTCGTTATGACCTCCACAATTAATGTTCGACTGCTTAAAAAGTCATAATTGAACACTATCACCTAAGGCAACACTAAAAGCAACGGACAAGCATAAAAATCCACGCTAAAGTTCATTTCAACAAAACTACCCGCATAGCTAATAAGCACTGATCAAAGAGGCAGGAGGGGGGAGAGGCAGACACAAACACACAGAGACACGCAGACACACACACACACACACACACACACAGATCCTTTTCCCCTCATTAAAAAAGATTTTCAGGGAGACTCGCAATTAATGATAACAAAAGTAATTTCCGCATCTACTGATCATAACTATAATCAATAAGCTACAGATTCAACCGGAACATGCTCTGACAACACTACTATCCACAATTAAATAACCTACAGTTATCTCGAAGTCCTATCATCACACGAGATTTTATACCAAATCTTTCGCGGCAATTCTTCATGAAAACCATTTGTGTATAAACTAAGAATCGACAACCATTAACCATAGATTTGAAACCCCTACTTACTGCAACCTCATTAATTAATCCCTATCCCACACATTATTTCCTAAAAGGACCAAATCCATAACCAGCAATCAAAGTTTCCTAGGAGAAAGAGCACCAATTAAAAGCCCTAACATGAATCAATCTAAATTAATAAGGCCAATGCAGCACCAGAACAACTAAGCATACCAAATAAAACATCCCCATATAAGTTACAAAACCACGAAAGCTCTGAAATCCCCCATAGCTAAACCAAAATCAAAGCAGCTAACACCAACAATCGCAGGCAGTAAAAAGAAATTAAAATCGTCCAACAGAAACCAAATGCGAGACACACGGAGCGACATAATAAAAAAATAAAAAAAAAATCAGAGTATTCAAAATCTACCTTAGCCGGCCAGGCAGGAAAACCCTTGACTTTGGCAAGTACGAGATCGCCGAGACGCAAAGCTCCTCCACCTCCAGGACCGCCAACGCCTTTCGCACGCTTTCGTCCTGGAGCCATACACAACTATGTATTATAGATACGACAACGGTTCCCCGTTCGTTCGTGTGCTCCCGAAACACAATTCGTTGCTTTCTTTAAATTCAATCTTAATGTTGTTTCTGTCGTTTTCCCCTCACACAAACGGAAAAAGTCTAAAGAAACTCTCAACCAACTCTGCAATTAAAGACCTAGGAATTAAGGTCGGTTAAATCTTTGTTCGTTTGTTCGTGAATGATTTATCCAAGTAGGAGACCACTCCACGACTTGCACCAACCAAAAAATATATATCTATAAAAAAAAGGAAAAAAAAAAAAAGGCGACAAACAAAAGATAAAAGGAAATTTGTGTGGAATTATGGTTTCTAAACCCTAAGGAATGGAGAATTAGGGGCGGCGGGGGAAGGGGAGAATCGGCATCGGAGACGGCGGCGGCGATGGGAGGAGCAGAATGGGAAGGAACAGTTGGTGCATTGGATTGTTGGTGGTCGGAATGTGGGAGTATGTTTGTTTGGGTTTGGGGGAGGAAGTGAGGCGGTCGATGGGACCGGAGAAGGAAGAGTACTAGTGACGCGCTCGGGACGAGGGTATAAGCGTAAATTACTATATCCAGGGGGCATAAATCTTTTTTCTTTTAGTTTGGGCGATTTTTTACTTGTTTTGTTTCGACTATTTGATACTATTAGGCAAAAATGCAAAATAGAAGAATCTTTATCCAAAAAAAGAAAAACAAAAGAAGAAGAAGAATCACAAGTACACGCAACAAACAATGTATCAAGACTCCTACAATGGTCGAATTACTTGGTAATTCATCATTTGAAACACAATGTTTGCAATGCATCTGTGTGAGGGTAGCCCTAAAATTTTAATCCGATTCCGCGGTCGATGATAACTAGTTAAGTACATTGAGAATGAAGTGCATGTGTTATAGATGAAACGGAGAGAATAACCTAAAGTTAAATGATTAAGAAAATAAAAATAGTTAAATCCTCTTATCTTTCAAAATAATTACTCGATCTCAATTTTTATTTTCAATATAAATTATAATAAAAGTAAAATCTTATAAACATATAATGTGGAGCATATTTTCTTTGAATATTTATACTACATTCAAATTATCACCAAAGCTATGATTTTGGTTGGTGCAGAGATCTTGTCATTCCACTGGCTATTCTTTAGGAGAGAGTTGTTGGAGAAGTTAGGCTTAAACTCTGTTCATGATGGTATTACTAGAGGAGTAATAGCAGCTGCGATCTATCATATTTAAGAATTGAAAAATCAGGTTATTTTTTCGTTAAAAAAGAGTCTCTAAAGCAGAGGTGATCCAGAATATCTCCTTCCTATTGAAAATGAATTTGTCCAAGATAACAAAAATGAAAAATAAGTACAAGAGCAAGCTTTGGTATAATATAGTGAAAATCTCCCCGACATTCTAGATTTTGCTATTGTATGTAATGATCTTTTGCTTATACTAATGTATAGTGGTAGAAAGTAAATACATTTTTTATAAAGAATTTTTTGGAAAAATCTGTAATTGTACCTTACTCATATTCCAGTGGAATTCAACTCTCATCCAAAAAAAATATTTTCGGGAAAAAAGAGAGTACAATGTTACCAAATCATACTCGGTATGAAATGTGACAATTTGCAAAAATATTGCTAATATTATATTAACTCATTTATGTAAGAAGAATCAGCCGTAATCTGGCCGATTATACAAGCTCCGACCATTTGGTTGGAGTCCATCATCGTTGCCCAGTAAATAGCATACACTATATATTGGAGACTGCATACAGCAAGACTAATAAGCTGGCCTATAAAGCTGTCCAAAGCCTTAAAGGAGATCTAAAAAGCTTTGGGCTTTTGATTCAACATATAGATCTAAAGGAGATCTATCTGAAGCAGTTTTTAGTTAGGATCTGAAATCCTAATCTAAGTTAAATTAAAAATGAATCAATTAAAAGGGGAAAAATAAGAAAAAAAGAAACAAATATGTTAAGGAGAAAAAAGATTTTAGATGAAAGGGGAAGAACAATTATGTTCAATCAATATAATGGAAAGCCAGGTATTACAGATGATTATGATCAGATTTATTCTAATCCCACAACTGTCTAAAGCTAAAGATAATTACAAAAATAATCTTGTAGTTTAGCTGTTTCTTTTTTGACCTCAAGGTCATGACAATCCCTCCCCGTTAAACAAAATATTGACCACAAGACTTCTAACGAAAAACAAATAAATTCATAAAACTTAATCAAAGCATCAATGAATATGTTCTCAGCCACGGTCGATGTAAGATAAGTGTGCCTCCCTTAAACATTGTTATCTTCTTGTCCTACGCGTTCCAACTTTTCACAGCTTGAATGAAGTTGGGCTAATGGAACTCATTTATACCATAATTGCTAGAGATAATTTGCAACATTCTCCCCTCTTTGAATTGTTCTAACTTCTCCAAATACTTTTCAGCTATAAACAAGAGTGATGGAATAGCCATAAAGGTACGTACCAAGGAAGTAATGATTCTGCAAAGTTTCTAAAATTTTCATCTTAGCACTTTTTTATAGTCTCGTCAGAAAATGGCTTTTCACTTATTGAGTTGCAACTCTGGTTGCAGGATGGTCATCTTCTCCCATAAGTCATCGGACCATTGCAACTCTCAAATGAATGTCATCAGTTTCCAAGGAATTGTCAATATCAAATTTGTTCGTGGCTGTAATTGAGATATGAATAATCTAATAACAAACTGCTCTCTTCATGCTGCAAAATTCATAAAAGAATGTAATCCATGACTCTTTCAATATTGTACTGCATCAGACTAAGCCAGTGATGCTTGAACACTATCGATGTTCCTAGATTTATGAAAAACTCGGATAGATGAGCACATCTCAATACCTCTTATGTCTTCATAAGGTGAAATTACAATCAGTTGAAACACCTTAGAACCTGTTTGTGCCAATTTGTTGAATTCTTCTATAGAATTTAAAACATTAACATCTCGAAACCTTTTTAACAGTTCAACCTCAAATAAGGACCAAGTAGCCTGAGGATAAACTCTCTTGAAACTCTAGAACCATACATAAGTAAAATTCCACACAATCTAACTTCTCTTCGTACACACGAAAGAATTTTTTATATTTCCTCAGCCAACTCCTAACATTTTCTCCTTCGAACCCGGATAATTCCAATTTTGGCCTTCATCCTTTTTTATCCAATTTATTCTTATTGAAATCACAGCCAACATCTACTTCATCCATTCAAGTTTTATGAATAAATTTTTGGCCAGCATAACCAAGAATTCCTCCTACTTTTTCAGATTTAACACCAAAAACAGAAGTAATAGAATGAGAGTAAGTTTTTACCAACACGGCTAGAAGAATCCTTGGCTTCATACTGAGAACACTCAATTCCATCAACTCTTGCCTCCAACACTGCGAATTTGTCTTGAAGCACCTCCATCGGTGAGTTTGGCATATATGCTCAAAGCTTAGAGTAATTCTCAGTCGCGAATCCCCTTCCAAATTTTCCTTGAAACTCAATGCGTATGTTCGCAACTTGCTCCCCTGCTTCAACCGCCTGGTTCGCAGCTCGTTTAGATACCATTTCTACCAAGAAACTAAGAATCAGACAGCTTTGATACCAATTGTTAGGATCCGAATTCCTAACCTAAGTTAAATTGGAAAAGAATCAATTAAAAGGAGAAAAAATCAGAAGAAAAGTAAAATTGGAAGCTCGTCTGAGTTTCGCTAAGTTATTCACAAGAATTAATTAGCTCATTTATCTCCCTAAATTGCCTCCACTCTTTGCAAATGACAGAGTAGGTGAAGTGGACATTGGTGTTTTCATTTCACGGTTGAATCACACTAATGAACTGTAGTGAACTTTAAGGAGATAAAAGTGAAAGTAAAAGAGCACAAAATTATCAAATCACAGAGGGAACAGAGTTTCTGTATTCCCCCATCTGAAAGAATTATCCATATCAGAGACAAGTAGATGAAACAGTATAGAATCAAAGAATACTATAGATACATAGTAAAAAGTATTCTTTCCTCATTTGCAATGATCAGTTCAGTAGACATCTATTAGATATACAGTTTCTATGACTTTTCAATATCCATAAAACATTTTTTCTATATCAAAATCCTGTAACCAATCACAGTGAACGCTGACTCTTTCCCTTCCTAATAATTAACTTTTTTAACACGGTCCCGGAAATGTGAGCATCTTTCAGCCAGAACTAAAAGGCTGGATCATGGAATGATCACATAAAAGTTTATTTCTACTTTCTCTTTTTCTTTCTCCAATTATGGATCCCTCAACAAATTGCAAAGATAATGCCACCAATCAGGCACAAGTATATTCTACTAATCAAGTGCAGCCTTGTTTTTTCGACCAGTTATCGGCTTAGGTAAACCATCAAAGATTGGTCTTGTAATGACTGCATTCGAAAGCGCCTGTAGATCTGGCTTCAAACTCCACTTTGAAGTAGGCCATAGGGATGACAACCCGTTACTTTCTGAATCTTGCAAACTGGATGTGCTAGACGATTTCCTTACAACGCTAACACTGTCGATTACAAAAGAATCACCCATTCCTGTAGGAATCGGGGCTGGCAAACCTGCTTCGGCATCAGCACCAGATAGAGTTCTACTAGCTGACTTGGGTCTCAAAGCCAGGCCTTTGCCTTTAGTTGCCAAAAACCCACTACCACTACTGCCATTATCCTCCTTGAGCAACAGTTCTGGAGTACGGGCATTAAAATCAGCTTCAGATTTCTGACGCCTTCTCACCAGAAGCTTATCAATCAAATTATCCGAGTCACTATCCGTACTTTCCTGACCATTATCACCGAGGTGGCCGTTTTCTGTTGCAAAACCGTTGGCAACACTTTTTGATTTTCTATGAAGACTTAGTGGTGGATTTAGAGCACCTGAAGGCTTGCCAAATGGCCCATCCTCTAAATAATGAGACCCTCCTTTTCGATAAACAGCCATTTCACACCCTTCTGATTTTTGTTCTGAGTTTTTAAGACCATAAAAGCCTTGTAAGCTGCTCATGGCGGGAGACACTCTACGCTGAGGAGAAGGTGTCAATCTCAGTGATGGAAATGCATCAAATAAATCAGAATGCCTGCGTGTGCTATGGTTATCCTCGGAGCTACTAGGCCTGTGTATAAAAATCACAAAAGAATATCTCACACTGTAAGCTACAGAGATGCATAGAAGCACACCAATAATTCAATCAAGCAATGCACTTTTATAAAGCCTTCATACTAAAATCCAGTAACACTTGTTAGTTATTAGACTCTAGTATCTTCTGAAATCAAGCTTTAAAATCCAGCACAAATGAAACAATACAAAATGTAAGTTTCCACTTTCAGGTACATACAAAGTAATGAAAAAAGGTGGTTGGACTTTTAGTGCACCAAAGCCAGATTCTCCCTGTTCCAGCAATCAAACACTACCACGGTTGTCAAGCCTAAATTTTCACAAACCAAGTACCAAAATGCTGACTTTTACAGTGGTAAATTAATCACTTGAATTTCCAGGGCAAATATAGAACACAAATATTGTTGACATAAAATGACCACCATCCTTAGGAGTTCTCTATTAAACCAACCACAAATAACAGTTCTTATTGACAATCAGGATTGAGGTGGATGAGCAAAGGCAAGAGACAAATCGAAATAAAATGTTATCTTCAAGCAAAAGCTGCACTAGATGACAAGAATTTACACGAAAAGTTACACTTCCTTAATACACAACTAGAGCAGATATGCTAGATGCAATAACATAACTTAATCCAATGGGCATGAGATTTCATAATTAGTTTAAAACAATTCTAAAGCCAACCATTACAATCATTATGTATTCCCAAAGGCTAGTTGCTTCCAGAGGCTAATAACAGTGGAACACATAGATGAATAATCTTTGCAGTTTGCTGGTGTCCAACCTAAATTAATTGACTTTGAAGTCTGGCCTTCTACACTGAATGGTAACAAGAAGGTCAATGAGATTATAATTTGTAATGAAAGGGTTGCAATATAAGCAACGAGATGAACTCGTATTCAGTTTTCTAATCCACAAATAAAACAAACATATCAGAGACAAAAAAAAGTTGACATTCTACAACATTTTTAACAAAAAACATACATCTACAAAATTCAAAAGCATTCATACGAAGCATATCCAACAAAAATGAGCGAAAACATGGAAATCTGTATCAGAAAGTCAATAACTTGTGACAGAAAGATTCAGTTGTTAGTTCTTGAACTAAATAAAAAGCAAGAACCAACGGCTGAAGATCAATGCAATCGAAGCGCCAAAGATATAACTTTAGTCCATACCCTTGAGAGCCCAAACCATTCGACAGGTTGGGGGATGGCGGATGCCTCCCTGGACATGGTATTTGCAGTGTCTTTAGAGCAAACATCTGAAGATCTGATACCAAACCATTAATCCTCTTTATATCTGCAACCTATTCGACAAAAGCGATGGGTGTCAAAAGAAGAACAACCACAGAAAAGCAAAAATAGCACTAATAGGCATATTAAAGCTTCAGAGTAAACACCACAATTCAAGGCATTAGAAATTTAGAATCACCAAAATCTCTAGGAGGTAACTTTTATAATTTCCAAGTCAGAGGTGGCACTAGACAAAATCAAGTTCATTCTTCCAAAGACTTTCATTCTTTTAAAACGAAACCATCCAGATGAAGCAGTCATAAATACAAATCCTATAACCAAAGAAATTTTGATCAACATAACTCCAGATGAGAAACAATAAATCGTGGATGCCACTCTGTACTCAAACTAAGTGAAGTAATAACAGTTCGCATTGTTTTAAAATCGTCCATCAAAACTACCATAAAGCTATATCAATCTTTATAACATCAAAAAATATTGCAAACACAATCCTCACTCGTTCAGTGATTCATCCAGCCTCAGTTTCAGTAAAGCTCGAATTTTTTCCCTTTTGTCAGAATCTCTCAAGCAGAACAATACAAACGGAGTAAACCAACTAGTCCCACATAACCCGATAACGAAAAGTATAGAAATAGAAATCATGTCTAACACAAGTATAGAGATTAAAAGCCACATTTAAGAACATTCCTAATCGCCAGATATTAAAAAAACACGGGGCTTTTTTTACCTCGACGCCGTATTTGATAGCAACGCCAGCAAGTGTATCGAATTTGGTGACCGTGTGCTCTATATAACTGCGTCCTCCGGCACCGACAGAGAACCTAGGCGGTGAATTAACGGCCGTGATCTTCGCCGGCGTGGAGGAAGACGACGACGATGTCGGTGACGAAGGTTGATCCAACCCATCACGAATTTCTGCGCCGAATCCGATCCCGCCATTCATTTCCGTGGGACCCCCGCCAAAACAAAAACAGAGGAAACAAACAAAACAGAGGCCCAAAAAAATCCACCAATCCAATCTCTCTCCTCAACCAATGACAAGAAGCAGCATTTTTCCAAGTGATGATTTAAATGCACCAGAGATTGTAATGTGTAAGAACAAAAATGGGTTTTGGATTAATGGAATTTTGAGACGGAAAAATGGGCTGTTTATAGATCTGGTCTGAGTGGGACGATCTGGCGAGTTTCTCCGGGACCGTCTTTTTCATGCGTTTTTTAATTTTTTGCTTATTTTTTGTCAATTTTTGTGGGGGTGGCTTTGTTCTTCTTCTTCAACGAGTAAAATGGGAATAACCCAAAAAACGAGAAAAAGGAAAAAGAAAAAAAAAAGAAAAAAAAAAAAAGAGGCCTATACAGCAAGGAAAGGGAGGCAGGTTTGTTGCATCCTCAAGGCCCTTCAAAATTAGGCAATCTGTAGTTTCAACGCTTTAATAATGGAGAAAGTCCTACTAACACAGTGACATTTTTAAAGGTATTATTAAAATGTGAAGGAAGGAAAATAATTTTAAAAAAAAATAAAAAAAAATAAAATTTAGAGTGTCATAGCTGAGTAATTTAATAAATGATCCAAGTTATTGTATCAAAAATTTCGATCCAAGTGAAAATTATTGTAATTTTTTTAATCATTAGTTCATTGATTGATACTGTTATACAATTTATCGCGAATGAAGATATTTATTACTTTCATAATAATAGTCATTTTCTAGTTGGGGAAGTTAGATTTATATACATCATTTTTTTAGCAAAATGAGAAAAAAAAATTAAAAAAAGTTGTGTCGTTTATACATAATTGTTAGGTTTATTTTGGCATTGGATTAACTGAAACAAGCAGTCAATTCCCTTCAGTCAAGGGTGGCAAGGAGGAGTAGCATGAAGTAGGTAGGTAGGTAGAATAATTCCTTTTTTCTTAGAATTTATTTAAGGGCGTCACTTTAGTCATGAGATATATAGAAAATTTGTTAATAACTTTAATAATCCTTCACCATCCATTATAATGAGTCCCACTCCCACCTTTGATTTGGTTCAAAATTTCATGTTATTATAGTAAGAGACAATCATTTTCTTTTAAGGATTCAGTGTATTGCATCAATGATATGAATCTGTGTTTTCCACTCTTCATAATATAGAACGAATACTCAATAATATGTTTACATCCTATTTATATTTTGGTATATCAATGATAACAATTGCGAATTTATTACGTATACAATATACTTGCAAGTAAGAACCAAGAGGAGGGAAAGTAGTTTCTCTTGACCTCTAGGTTTATTTGTTTTCATTCAGGAAAGGATTAATTTAGCAAGGTGGGGTGGTAGGACGTACATGGTTCGATGAAAAAAAAAGCAGTAGATACGCATAATTTTATTTTTATATGTTATGCATATAATATGGTATTCATTTTCGGTAACAGTGATTAATATGCTCGTTGAGCGGTAAAATTATCTGAATTGATGAGACAACTATCCAAAATATAAATTTAGGTTGCTCCATTTTGCTGTTGTCACTCCTCATTAAGTAAAAAGTAATTGAAAAACGAATTTCAGCTTCTTCTTTTTTTTCTTTTTGGTGTCAGTGGTCCTTTTTTATGTCATTATTATTAGTTTAATTATTTTCGTATCGGACGATGTCCACCGTCACCACCGGCAATCGCTGAGATGTGAACATGATTTTTGGTACGGTGTGAATAGTAAATCATGATTCAATCAAGTCAACTCATTTAATAGATATATATATATATATATATATATATTGTGCTAAATATAGAGTTACGAACTTAGAATACTCAGATTGAGTGGAATCACTTTACTGGAACATACACTTTGAATGTCAGGGCCAAATAGTTTGAATTTATTACAGCTACTGAAATTTGAACTCTGCATCGTCAGGTGTTACCAGGCCAGTTCTTGTCTTCTTGAATAAACAAAAACAATTGTTTCTCCACCTAAACAAGGATCATGATTTTTATTTTTATTTTTTTCTTCCATATTGCATTAAATCTATTGTCGATGCGACCCAATCCGCTCGTTGAGTTATAAACACTACAATAACAAAGACAATTAGACTAAAAAAAATTTAATGTTGTTTTATGACCATGTCTTTCACTCTGCCACAAGCTCTCTGGTTAGAATCATGATCGTTGAACACGAGAGAGAGCATATAATTGTCAAGTACAATATGCATGACTTTACCCATTGTGCAAAAGACCTAAAGATTCTTACCAGCATTTGTTTACCTGTGTGGATACCATTTCAACAGATAACCAAACGTAAATCGGAACAAAGGTGATGCATTTCCCTCCAAATAGAAGACACGAAAGATCATGCTTACAAATATTTCTACGATGTAGTTACGCAGAGCAGACGTGAGAAATTCAGAGGTCATCTGTTGCTTCCTTTCCAGCCATCAGTTCTTCACCATATCCTAACTGATAATAAGGAATTCCCGTAACAAGTTTCAAAATCACACTATAATGCAAGCTTCCGCTGGATAAAATCAAAATGTTAATGAAGACCCACAGTACACTTGCACAGTCACAGACATATATGCATATGGAAACCATCACAAGTCTTTTGAATCTTGCAACCTCTAAATGTCAATTTCATAGCCTCAGATGCAATTTTCAAATCATTGGAATGATGTTATGAACTTACAAATGACCAGCTTTTATCTGTTAAAAAATAATACTCCCTTCCATCCTTAATATAAGTCATTTTGATTTGTCTTAGATTTCACCTAATATGCATTTGTATTTAACCAAAAAACCTTCTCTAGATTGTTATCAAATATTTTTTTGTCAATTAAAAATGCGTATTTAGTAAAACTTAGAAAAAGTCAAAATATCTTATAATAAATACCAGATGGAGTACGAGGGATCCTAAAGCATTAAAAGAGCCTAGGAAAATTGCATAGCATGCTTAAAAGAAGGGAAAAGAACACAACTTATAAGAAAGTACTAATACTCACAATGAATTTGATGATTTAGCTCAGGCGATTGCAACTTTACAGCAAAAAATAGTAGTGCATTCCTTCCCCAAAGAAAAAAACAAAAGAACAAACCCGATAATCGAAATGCAAATAGAGTGTTTTTTTTGTGTTTTTGTTTTTTTTTGAAATGGTTCAAATAGAGAGTGAAAAAGGAAGGAAACTAAACAAAGAGAAGTCCATAGATATGATATATCAGGCTTCAATCCACCAGATCAACAAACACCATGAAATGCTTATAATCTTTACACCCTGTAGCACGAGGACTAACTCAAGGAGCAAAGGAATAACTAGTACGAAAGCAATTTATAATGAAGACTAAACTACAGAAAATGCCCCGTATATTTGTTCAAAAAATTATTTTTGTCACACACATTTGAAAATGTTCATTTTCATCACAATTCATCCAAAAAATGTGATTTTTCGACTATTTACGTCCCAAATTTACGTTCTGTCCAAATAACCGTCTAAATGTAGGAGTATTTTTGCATTTTAGCCCGATTTTTGGTTTCAAATTAACTAAACAATAAAATAATAATTAAATAATATAAAATAAATTAAAATTATTTTTAAATTTATAATTAAAATTTTATTTTATTTTATTAATTGTGTGGGTCTCACTGTTAAGCACACAGTAAACTTGTAAAGTAATATTCTCTTGCAGCGAAATCAAAATTATTTTTATTTTTTCTGAAAAAGCCACAACAATGCCACCATCTTTTCCAACGCCACCATCGTCAACCCCAGCATATCCGCTGCCGTCGACTACTCCAGAGCCAGCTTCGACCATTCCTTCTATTTCGTCACCACCTTCCATCACCCCTTCTCCTCCTTCACGTTGTCCCCATCACCTTCCACTACCAAAGTCACCTGATTAAATTCCACACCAGGTCTACACATTTGATAAAATAACACGAGGACTTGTCTGAACCTCCCATTTATTGCACGGCCATCAATCATAATCGTCCAAGAAACCATATTCCAACATTTCTTTCAGTCATTTCATCAAGCAGATGCCGGGCATACCAAACACCACTCTCCCATTAACAACCTGAGTAAAAAATCATCATATTTGTCTCTACAAACACATTAGTGCAGAAACCATGTCTCAAAACCTTTCCGTAAACCATCCCTCCTTCACTCAACAAAATTCATGTAGTAGAATCACAGATAACGTAATGAAACGTATACCCATCGGGCAAAACTTCTGATTTTCTCATTGCACGGAAAAATTTCACAAATTTATGCAGTTTTTGGCTTCGGTCACACCCTCTAATAATCTGATTCCAAAGATTCGTACTCAGATTTCGGGTTTAGTTGAAGACGCCATTTGCATTGTCGAGACCGCCGGAGTAAACGTAGGACACCCCGCCGCTTCCACCACCATTGGATGAAGGGTTCGACGAAAAACGTGGAGAATTGTCAGGAGCCAATGGAGATCTCCCACTGAAAGGGGGTTGGTTCCCACCTAATGGCGACGAATGGGGCGACCTGAAGGAGGAGAAGGGGTGGTTGAAGGTGGCGACGGAGGAGGAGTGGTCGATGGCGACGATAGAATAGTAGAAGGTGGCAAAGATGCTGGGGTTAAAGATGGTGGCGACGGAGAAAGTCCGGCGTTTTGTGGCTTTTTTCAAAAAAAAATAATTTTATTTGCTTGTAAAAAAAATTTACCTTATAGGTTTACTGTGTGCTTAACAGAACCATACGGTAAATGGAGCCAAAATTTATGTATTTGGGATTTTTTATTTTTTTTTGAATTTAAAAATAATTTAGTTTAATTTCTTTTTATTTAATTATTATTTTATTTCTTTATTAATACAAAACCAAAAGTTGGGCTAAAAGACAAAAATACCTTTGTATTCATACGGTCATTTGGACGGAAAGTTAACTTAGAACGTAAATAGTCAAAAAATTACTTTTTTTTTGACAAAATAAGACGAAAATGAACGTTTTGAAATGTACGGGATAAAAATGATTTTTTGCCCAAATATGCTTACTGTTTTATGCGGTTTGGTCTATAATGAATGAATCCATGCATTGTTTGATCATTTATCCAATCGTCGACTCATCAAATCAATACCCTTTTCCCAAGAATTTCAGAACATGGAAGGTAAAAGAAAAAGAGTGATAGAAAATTAAAGGAGCAATCATTGCAGAAAATCTTGTACAAAGTCCTTTTTTTTTTTTAGGCCACACCTAATGGTGCTTAGAAAGTACCTAGGCAATTATAACGGAGGTAGAGCTTAATGGGGAAAGGAATAGTACTACTAAGAGAAGACTCCACTCAAATGCATCTTTTCTCGACGTGTTCGGTCTTTCGTGGCTAATGATGACACTACTTGCTAAATCTGGTTATTGATCAGTTATCTGCTTTCTCCTCCAGCTACTTGCTTTCCGCGCAGCAGGAATCAAACATCAAACTCGCGGTTAAAGTCCTCTTCTTAACAGCGCCAGAATGCATTAACTCAAGACTCAATCGAAACATCAAAATGAGAGAGTTCTGCAAATTGCCTTATCCATTAACGGTCAGAATCTGTTATAGTATTCATTAATAATTCAGCTTATTACTCCAAAAATTAGAAAATACCTGAATTAATCCAGACTAGTATTCTTTTTTCTTTTTACCTTTGTTTTCACTCTACTCCAATCGAATTTTAGCTGTTTCATATCTTTTTGTCCTTACGTCCGTTTTATCATATCAAACTTCATACGGGCAAATTTTTTTTGAAAAGAAAAATCAAAAGCAATAAAATTTGAAAAAAAAAATGAAAAATTAAAAAATAAGACTACTTGTGGGTACGCCCATATGTTAATAATTACATTGGGTTGACTGAACATATAGTGCATGAATGCTTTGACAAATGATTTGGTACGTTTACATTTGGAGTTTTTGTTCATTAAATTGACCAAATCAGCCAAATGGCTACAAGTTGAGATTAATCAATGGATTAACGTGAGACTAATCCGTTGATTTTCTCTGTTAAAACAAAAACAAAAACCAAGTTAAGGTCACCATTATCTGGATTGTAAATTTAAATCATGACGAATCCATCCACCATAATTGATAAAAGCATGATTACAGTTTGTATAATAAGTAGTACAAAGATGAGCTTTCTATCAATGAAGAAAACCAGAAGTCCAAAAAAAGGGGAAAAAATACGAATATGATTCGCTATATATATACACGTAAATACTAACACTAGTACATATATCTGATGCAGAAAATAAACGCTCTTCCAATCTCTTCTTCGTTTACTATCTTACGAGAGGTACGAGCAAGTACTCAACGTAAAAAATCTACAAAATAAAAAACAAAAAAAAAAACCAAAAAAGAAGTTAAGTTAAATAATTATATGGTATTCCCAATCTCTAAAAATAATTCACATCGTAAATTATGAATTGTACTATAGAAAAATATCAGATATAGATTCTTAGTCATTCCGTTTTGATCTTAGAATGAAAGTTGTAATACTCATACTAGAAAAAAAAATATTTCCATTCCAAAAAAATTACATAATTTATTTCGCGGAATTAAAGTAATATAATAAATTGAATTATCCCAGGATAGAAGGAGTAGAGTAAAGGATGCATGGTCATCCATTAATTCTATTTTGTTATTCATATCATGGCAGCTTGAAATATCAACTTTCCAATTATTTTTCTCCTAGCATTTGCACCTTTGGAAGTTACGATGAAACAACAAATAAAAAGTATTACCTTCCAAAAGAACATGTAAAATGACTGAGTTGCTTCCTTGCTTTCTAGATCAACCGATTTGGCACGAACAAAAAGTATTATGGACAAGAATATGTGACTAACAATCTGCACATTTAAAATAAACTTCTTCCGTTTCAGAAAAATAATTCACATCACAAGTTATAATATAAATAATTTGTATGCAATGGAGGAAATATCAAGACAAATTTAATTATTGAAAATTTACGGATAACCTTATTTACAGATAGAAAATAATATAACAATTTAATTTAGTGAAATTGTTTATGCGTGTAGTGTGGTCGATATATGTGATAAATAACAATACGAAATGATATAGTATGATCACTCCTTAAAAAGTTTTTTTTTTAAAAAAAAAGAAAAGATATTAGGCCTTTTTAATTTCTTCAAAAAAAAGAAAGAAAGTGATTATCTTCTTTTTTATTTCATTTATATCCTCTTATGTATATTACAAAAGTGGATGAAGGAAAATTCTTTTAGGAGAGACTCACAGTTATGAGTTTGCTCCAAGGTTGGGAAGATGTCAGTCCAACTAGAATAGAAACAAGATTGGCTGTTTGAAGAAGTGCAATGCAAACTCGAAACACCTGCAATATTTGGTTATGAATAATTATAACTGGATTAATATAAAGTAAATAACACAAACAAGTAAAAAGTGAAATAATTATGTTAAGATATAAGTACTCTCTCTCTCTCAGAAAAATAGTTTACATTGAGTTTTGAATTTTGAGTTTTGTATTATTTTTAGTATAAATTTGAAAACTCAATGCGAACTATTTTTTTGGGACGGAGGTAGTATAATTTATTAGTACTGGGACATCGGAAGAAAACACTTGCATATATATATATATATGTATATATATATATATATCACAGTTAAATTACGCATAACTAGCCTACCTTATTTGGACCCAACTGAACGGCAAAAGATCGGACGCCACATAACTTGTCTCCAGCAAGATCAGGAATATCCTGTATAGGAAGGGGGGGGACCTTTAATATGATAAAGGGACTGTTGAAAAAAATAGCCAAAAGCTAATATGTCAACGTAATTTTTTTTTTTTTTTTTTTGACGAAGTTCCTAAAAGAAAACTTTGATAATAATCAAATGAAGGTACATAAAAAAGAGCGTATTTACCTTAAGAATTGCTGCTAAAAGTGCGTATAATGATACGAGTACTGTTGAAAAAATTAATGTCTTTGACAAGGTAGCTGGCCGTCCAAATACATGAGTCTGCAAAACATTTGGCTATAAAGTGTTAGCGGAAATATGTAGAGGTAATAATGTACGTGAATTATATGTCGATATCGTGTTCGGTTAAGAAAATATAATATTCTCTCCGTCTCAAAATTATTGTCCAGTTTGAGATTTCACTTTTACTACAATTTGAACTAGAAATGAAAACTCAAACTAGATAATAATGATGGGACGGAGAGAGTATATTTTTTAAGAAAAAAAATATGGAAAATTAAGGTAGACCTGTATGTGAAAGTAAATGGCAAATTGTGCATTCAACCCCGAAGCTGCAAAACAGAGTGCGGCAAGAAACGCAGATTTTTTCCATCTCAAAAAAGGTACCTGCATTTTGTAATATTTTGAAAAAAGAAAAGCGTTAAGGGGGCCAAAAAAATAAAATAAAAAATAAAGAAACCGTGCAGTAATTTGAAGGAATCGCCTCCAATATAGAATAACACAATCCATTTTTACTGTTCAATGGGTGAACGTGGTTTGTACATTGTTATAATTATTTAATGGTTCCTAAAAAAAAAACAGTTTAAAATTAGTAAAAAAATTAAAGAAGATACTCACGTTGATCGAATACGCTGTCCAGATAACAAAACTGACTAGAACATAACAAAATAGTTGCCAGGAGCCAACAATCCGTCCGAGCCAAAAACCCTGAGAAATTATCAAAATACATTTCCTCTAATTTAATCATATTATTACGACAAAATAACCCAGAAAAGAAAAATAGGACATTAATAACGTGTATATTACCAAAATTGCAAAAGATAAAGTAATCATCGTTGCAGTTTTGGTTGAGTATTCTCCTGAAGCCAATGGAAGGTATGATTTATTAACCTACACATGACAAGGGAAAAAACAACATTATGCATGAGATAATAAATGTTAAAAAAAGAAGAAGGAAAAAGGCTAAATGAAAAGATAAACTGGAATGTATACACCAAATAAGTTTTTTCTTTTTAAGGAAAAAAATATATTATGTTTACTTTGTCGATTTCTACGTCGGCCAGCTGATTAATACCAACAGAGTAAATATGCATAAAGAATGCAGCAACGATGGCCTGAAAATAATCAACATGATCGATCGTCATCAAGTCTTAAAACCAACTTAAACCAAAAAAAATAATAATTAAATTTTGAATATAAATTTATTTAATTACCCACCTCAGTCATCCTGGTAAGAAATAAAGGAGAAAAATCGGAAAGCTTCTCCACCGCAATAAGAGAAGCTGAAACTATGCCCATTGCCTGCGAAAAAAAATAGTAACGTTATTTTTTTTTTAATATTCTTATTTTTTTCAGATGAAGAACAACAATTTTTTAAAATCATAATCATCTCATTTTTTATTTGATCTTCTTCATGTGTGCCAGCATTAGATTCCTAACCAGTATGCCATAGTGATTTGAGTGGGTTACTCTCTCCATCTCGCAGGTCACTATCTTGTCAAATGAACACCAATATAGTAGATAGTCGTCCCACTAATTCCTCATTGATTACTCTCTCCATCTCAAAATAATTATCCGGTTTGAATTTTTATTTATAGTTCAAATATTACTAAAAGTAAAAATATAAAATTGAATAATAATTTTGAGACGGAAGGAATAATTAACGTCAGACTACATGCATTTGTTTTAGCTACGAAAGTGAATTATTAATATGATATGAACGGAATAATTTTAATCGGATGTGAGACGTACCACTCCAAGGAATGCGTAGAGTCGCGAAAATTGGCTGAAAGCATCGAATTTTCCTTGAAGCGTTTGGAAGAGGGTGTTTGAAGGTTCATATTCAAAGGGAACTCCAGAAGTCGCATGTACTACTGCATGATCATCACTTCCTTTCTTAGAAAGAGTGACAAATCTTGCAAGGCGACTTTGCGAGGTCGACATAAGCTGCACTGCTACTTGTTGCTTCCATCGTTTGCATTTCAAAACTTGTGCCCCTACCAGAAAAGAAAAAAAAAAAAAATTAGTTATTCCGTCTCGAAATGATTATTCAGTTTAAATTTTTATTTTTAATTCAAAATGTATTAAAAGTCAAAAAAAATCCAATCTAGACAATCATTTTGGGACGGAGTTCGATCCGTATAGCATAACCAAAAGAGACATGTAAAGGAATCAAAGAGAGGAGCAAGAAAAGGATCAAATATGCATCATGCTCTATCATATCATTTTTCCTTCTTTTTTTTTCCCCACCTCTATTCTACTTTTTAAAATCTCCCTTTTTGTTACCCTTAGGTTCTCCGAGTTTGACAATGTAAAATAACAGTGTGAAATAAGAACTCGTAAGCAACATGATACGCCGTATAAGCCCCCGCATTGAGTTTACGTACCCAAGAGAGAACACAAAGCATGTTGAAGAAGTAGAACACAAACCAATAACACAAAACAGCCAGCTGTTTATGTGATTAAGAAACAGCAGGCTATTTCAAGCAACCAGTACACAGTTAATAAGAGCAAATGATCTTACCCGAACAAGAGGAATGAGGAGGAGTAGTAGTATATAATCCGGTTGTGCCCCGCAATGAGTACTGTAAACAAGGCTTATTCATCGAACCAATGAGCGATATTGAGGACTCCATTATTTTGTTATTTGATTTCTCTTACTAAAAAAGGGGAGAAATTACATACAAAACTACTTCCCAAACCCCCCCAACCCTTTTTTCAATTATATAACCATGAAAAGTGTTTGACTATGTCAAAAACTTATAAGATATAGTCATATGTACTATAGAGCCGTCCGGTGTTGTCTTGATTAAGGCACTTCTGGTTAAAAGGATTCACTTCTCTCCGATTGGTTGAATCATTCCTCCGGCCAATGAAATACTAAAATGCATGAAAGACAAGTAAACGAAACAACGTATGAACATGCCCGCATGCCTGCAGGCTGCAAATTAACTTATGTTGTAGTACTGTACGTCTTTGATAGAAGATTAAAACAAAACCCTTTGTGCAAATGGTGAATTATTTCTTGGACTTGGTCCATCTTTCGTGTTGGAAGGAGTCATGATCACCTATTGATTTTCTCAATCCATTGCCGAACTATTTATATATAGCGGGATATAATGTGATGATTCATAAACGAAAAAAGACCCAAAAAAGTTTTCAGAACAAAATTAGGAATATAATCTATATGGCGCTTGATGCTTCAACCCTCATCACAACTTTAGCAGGAGAAGAGAATGCGACATTGGATTCAAGATTCATCAGGGATGAAGATGAGCGTCCAAATGTGGCTTACAACCAATTCAGCGACGAAATTCCCATTATTTCTTTAAAGGGCCTTCTTGACGATGATGATAAAAGAGCTGAGATTTGTAATAAAATGGTGGAAGCATGTGAAGATTGGGGGGTGTTCCAGGTAGTTCATCACGGTGTTGATGATAAACTTATCTCAGATATGACCGATCTAGCGACAGCATTCTTCCATCTTCCTCCTGAAGAAAAACTCCGATTCGAGATGTCTGGTGGCAAGAAAGGAGGTTTCTTTATGTCTAGTCATCTACAGGTAATTTTTAGGAGTATAATTCTATAACTTTCCTCTACTCCACCAATTTCATGTTACTTATTCAGTGAAGAGGAGTGAAATGTGCAAACCAAACAAAGCTTGAAATAAACTATTAAAAACCATGTGACAACTGTTCGTTTCATTTTTTCCATGTTTTTTTCCGATGAATTTATTAATTAATAATTGTCTCATTCCAGCATATCTTTTCACATTTTTAATACATCTTTTTACATTCCCAATACAAAAAACACCTAAAACCACACGCTAAACAAACGAAAAAAACATAAATTTTAATGAAAATATGTGTATCGACCGAGTACGATGACCACATATAATCCACATAATGGGCCACATTTTGTATTAATTTTGCAGGGACAGCCAGTGCAAAATTGGCGTGAGGTTATGGGGTATTTTACCTATCCAATTGAGGCAAGGGACTACTCAAGATGGCCAGACAAGCCAGAAGGATGGAGAGACGTAACAGAAATTTACAGTGAGAAATTAATGGAATTGGCTTATAAGCTATTGGAAGTTTTGTCTGAGGCAATGGGCTTGGAAAAGGACGCATTTGCAAAAGCATGTGTTAACATGGAACAAAGGCTGATAGTGAATTTCTACCCAAAATGTCCACAGCCCGACCTCACATTAGGCCTCAATCGCCACACTGACCCAGGCATCATTTCTGTTTTGTTACAAGATCAAGTTGGTGGGCTTCAGGTCACCCGGGATGGTGGGAAGACATGGATCACTGTGCAACCTATCCAAGGCGCTTTTGTTGTTAACCTTGGTGATCATGGCCATGTACGTAAAATTTTATTACATGAATTTCATTTTTTGTATTATTATTTTTGTCCCAAAATAAAAATATCCTATGTCTTGGTATTGGGGCAGTATTTGAGCAATGGGAGGTTCAAGAATGCTGATCATCGGGCAGTAGTGAACTCAAACTCTAGCCGGTTGTCCATAGCCACACTTCAGTACCCAGTAGCGCAGGCAGTTGTGTATCCACTGCCAATTCAGGAAGGCGAGAAGGCAGTTTTGGATGAGCCTATAACGTTTTCTAAAATGTATATGAAGACCATGATCAAGGAAATTGAGCTTCCAAAGCTGAATAAATTGGCTAAGGAGCAAGATTCTCTCAAGCTATAAGTTCATTAATGGACAAACAATACCGGCTTAATTGCTAGTCCTTTCTCTAAGAAACAAATTTCAAAGTAGTGTTTAAATCTTGTAATGGTTACAAACCTTTGTGTTCCTACTGTTGTCAACTAATAATAAGCTGTTTCAAAAAAAAGAAAAAATTACTAATAATAAGCCAAAGAAGGTGAGGGAAAAAATAAGATAGAAATTATGAATGTAAAAGAAATGTATTCGTGTGGGTGGATGCTATTTTATTGAAGGGAAAAGTAATTTGTTCAAATCATTATGTTGGACTCCATCCGTCCCAATATTATCCATTATGTTTTCTGAACTGCACTCTATTTTTCTCAGAAAAATAATCTACATTGTGTTTTGCAATTTATAGTAAAAAAAATAAGATAAATATCAAAATTCAGTGTGAACTATTTCTTGGTACGAAAAAGAATATACTATATTTTTTTATTAGAAAAAATGGAAATTGACTGGACGAGCAAATAAACTGTTGGGCCTAATTTAACTGGAGCATAAAGAACTCACACACGACGACCCAAAACGATAATAAAGAATCCACATTCTACAAAAGCAGCCCAGCCCAACAAGTCTAGTAAGGTTTTTATATTAAAGCGTTTCTGCAGCTTCCTAATTTTGCTGAGTCTTTGAGATACCGAAGCCAACGACGCCCTAGCTTCTTCCATTACAGCGGCGGCGGACACTATTTTCTTCTCCATTTTACTCCGATCAATCGCTCCGGCGCTTCCTTCTCTGCGTGGTAAGCTCTATCTTTCTTCACGTTTTGCCTATTGGAGTATTCGTGTTCTTACTCGAAATCGTCCGATTATATCTTAAATATGGACTGGAATCTTTTAATTTTGATGAACTCTATTTTTGTAAAAAGGCTTGGTTTAACTAATTATGAGTAATGGATCAAAGGGTTAATTCCGATATGTTCATGGCTTGTATGGTTTTGTTACAAATTTGACTGATTGATCCGTTATGGGATTATAATTGCACGATGTAGGGATGATTTCTTTCTAGTTTGTTGATTTAGGGTTTGTTTTTGTTTGTCTTTTTTGGGCAGAATGGATTCTCAAACGAAGCATGCTGTTGTGGTGAAAGTGATGGGTCGGACCGGGTCACGAGGACAGGTGACTCAAGTAAGGGTGAAGTTTCTTGACGATCAGAATCGTTTCATCATGAGGAATGTGAAGGGACCCGTCAGGGAAGGTGACATTCTGACCTTGCTCGAGTCTGAGAGAGAAGCTAGGAGGTTGCGGTGAATGATGCCTGCATGCTGCTTGCTGCTTGCTGCTTGTCCTAGGTCGAAGAGGTCTCTTGAGTTTGGAAATAAACTTATCTTTTCATTGTGTGTAATTTGAGCTCTGCAATTTTGTTATTTTGAGATGTTCCTGGGATATTATTACCTCTTATAAAACTAAGAAATCTTTTGATGGAGTTTTAGTTGAACTGTGGTTGCCTTTTAATCCACATAAATATACCTATGTTTCTCTGCTATTGTGCTTGTGTTGAGATGTTGGAATGCAACAAATGATCCGGTAGGAAACCAATTTTTATTACTTATTCCAGATCTCTCCAAAATAATTGTTTCTTTAGATTCGCACTTCTTCTTTGTGCCTCTGGTTAATTGATGCTTGCAGGTGGTTGTTGAACCTGACAACGGCTATCACGAACGCCTGGCATTTGTTTACTGTCTACTAGTTGTACAAATCAGAGCTACCTCTCCGGGTTTTAGTTGCTGATTTACAATGTTTTAGGAAGTTTGGCAGTGTTAACCACTGTTAAAGCTGGTGCTTGCATTTTTGGCCTCTGATGGAAGCCGATTGAGCGCACTGGAGGCAGTCTATTTGATGCCAAAAAATTTTAGCTACACTATTACATTCCATTTGAGCATGCCTTAGCTGCACAAAGTGTCTAATCCCTACTCAAAAGCTCCTCGTCGTCCTCAAACTTTACATGCGAGCACGGTCGCATGTCTTCGTCATAAACCATCTGAATAACACGGGTTATCAAAACCTTTGATAGAGCAACATCAAAAATAATACCATGCATTTACATAGGGTGCGCAGTTAGGAACTCAAAACAAAATTTTCAACCTTAAAATTCCTATGATATAAAGGAGAAAATCCAGCACTGATCTAAATTGTTCATTAAACAATAGTCAAATGGACAACACAACAATTACTGTGCTATGGTGAAAAATAATACAAAAATTTTACAAGGACATGATAAAAACGCCTAATCTACTCCTACTTAGTTGTTCCTATTTTCTAGTGTGTTACACCTAACAAAATTCACTATCTGGCTATAAAGCTTCTCTACCGAAACAAAGAAATCATATTCAACCTTCCTAATCTACTTTTGATTGTGCTTCATTCTCAGAAACCAAAAGGTGATTTTCTTCTGCTTCCACCTTCACCGTACTGTTCATTCCACTTCCGCAACTCGTTCATACTAGTTGCGTCGTAAGCTACAGAAGGCCCAACCTGAAAGTTCATTTGGGAACATCAAAAAAACGAAAAAGAACAGAAGGGGGTATTTCTAGTACTAAAGTTTTCTCTTTTCTTTGGTAACTTCGATCGCATCTCACCCTCGGAAAAGTAGATATAAGCACAATTATTCCAACGACAATTCATCCAACCATCAAAAAAAACTTAAGATTTTTCAGCTAGTACTCACCTTGGCCTTTGACTGAATAAAGTCGTCGAGATTCAGCGGTCTTAACGGGGAGCCATCACCTTCTTTCGCTCCCTATAAACAATTTAGAATACCATGAATTCAGATCCATGAACAATAATAAACTGGAACGTAAACTGGAGATAAGACATGACAGATGTTAAAAGTCCACTAACATGTCTGGAAAGCATCATTGAAAAGTTAGTAAAAGTTTTCCAGACATATTAGTGGTACCCTATTCAAATTGTTTGAAACACTTAATTTGGGATGTTCAGAAAGGAAAATACAGATTCAGCTTGTGGAACAGGAAGCACAAACCAACCAACAAGAAATTTCCGGGAATAACAATCCCAGGTGGTAATCAGGGCAATCAATTATACAGATTATCTTATATATAGAAAAAGATCACGAGAATATTACCGTTGCCTCTTCCTCCAAAAGCTCTTGTACCGGCCTATATGCCGCAGCAACACACAGATTCTGCAAAATTTGTTTCAAATATACTGAAAAAACACTACAAGAAATTGTACTTATTAGGTTAAGAATATCAATCAATGTGTTACCTTCAAATCACTCCCAGAATAACCTTCAGTAGCATTAGCAAGATGCTCAAACATAAAATCAGATTCCAGATTTTCCCGAGCTAGAATAATCTTAAGGATTTTTAGGCGATTTTCAGCATCTGGTAGGTCCACATATATCCTAAGTAGTAACAACTAACAATTAGACAAAGAAAACAGAAATTTATGTCTAAAAAAAGGTAGAGTTCACAACTTCAAATAAAACTAAAACAGATGAACTACAGCAATGCATTATCTTCAAAATGCATGTATTACAAAAAAAGAGTCAAAATATCATCTTTAGACCCATACATTGTCTCACCAACATTCATAAACAAGATTACCATTTCCCAGAAACTCACCTTCTAGGTAAACGACGGATAACTGCATCATCAAGGTCAAATGGTCGATTAGTAGCGCCAAGAATGAGAATTCTCTGACTGTCCTTTGACCTTAATCCATCCCAAGCCGCCATGAACTCATTTCGCATTCTTCTAGTAGCCTCATGCTCAAATGCACCCCCACGAGCACCAAGCAAACTATCAACCTGCACTCCCAAGTACAGAGGGATAAACAAACATTTCTTTCACCATTTCTCGGCCTCAACTTTAACAAATATCAATCTCTGGCACTTGTCTTTGATCTCAGTTTTACGAAAGAAGCAAGAAGGTAAACCCCAAACAAACATAAAATCCAGAACACAAGCATACAACAGAAACAATGGGTTCCACTCAAAATTTAGCGAAGAAAAATTATTCCAAAGACACCCACCCCACTAGGCGAAAAATACCAGGGAAACATACACAACCTACAACAAAAATGGATAGAAAGAAAAAACAGAAGCATATTACGGAGTAGGATATCAGGCTCGAATACTAGATTGCATGCAAACTTAGTACAAATAAAGGACACAAAGCAGGATATTTTGATAACACGAAAGGTGATACCTCATCAACGAAAATTATTACAGGCGCTAGTTTGCTTGCGAAGGAAAAGAGAGCCTTCGTAAGCTTTTCAGCATCTCCAAACCACTGTACATTAAAGCATCAGAACAGCAAATTAGAAGTGTGTAAGATACCTATGAAAATATCCATATAATCATCAAAATATCAGATCTTCCCTCTTCTTCACAATTAACTTTTTCAATAAGCACAAGGAGACTACACACTAATTAATTTCAACTAATCCCGAGCTGTTTTATTTTACCATTATATGAGACGCTGAAGGCTACAAAAACTACTTTAAACGGAACTCAGAAAATGGCATAACTGAAAGTTCCAGTATCCTTAATTTTAAATCCCCGCGTGTAATTAATTATCACTGCATGTCGCAATGGACTGGTTAGTCACACCAGGCACAAAATACTCCCACTGTTAAAAAGAATTCTATGAATGGGTTCCTGTAGGAAATGCTACAGACTACAATACTTCTCAGGCATTGCCATCATAAGTATTTATTTTGGTCACTTGCACCCTATTAAGTGTTTAATTCTGATTTTATAAACCAAAAAAAAAAAAAAGTCATTGTTAGAGAAAAGCAAATTAAGAAGAATTGTGCAAGGTTTACCTTGGATGTAAGTGTAGAACCAGTAATGCTGATAAAATTAGCTCCTGCTTCTGTAGCCAGAGCCTTAGCAAGGAGGGTTTTTCCAGTACCAGGGGGACCAAAAAGCAGTATTCCCTTGCAAGGCTGAGAAAGGCCTCAAAAATTAGATTCTAGAAGCATTCGTCATAATACCGGGCAATAAGTGGCGCGGAAAAGAAGAAATATATCTAAATATGCAAAATTAACCTAAAGTTCCAAACTGCATAAGTTCAAAGATGAGCCTAGTTGACCATATTTTAAGAAACTTTAAGCATATAAATACAAACCTGATCCTATGCCTCATTACTCTTCCCAGAATTGCCCCAGTATTAACAGAAAGATAAAATATTCTGTGGGGTTTTATCATGTATTAATAAAATATTCATTTCTGCATCCCGCGTTAAGTCAAAATAATAATACATTTCCCAGTGGGATTTTCTTTTGTCAAAATAAGAAACGTTCAGGACCATTGCTTAATATATATTGCTATTTAGCATTTTGCTGCAGATCACAAACCTAACGAACCTATCCTAGAAACCAGTTTACTGAAACTAGATTCTTTTGCAACACAAGAGGAATAATTCACCATCTGATTATAAAGGTTAAATTACCCGCAACAAATTTCCACGAGTAAAAAGTTCAGGTCTGCGCATAGGAAGAATAACAAGTTCATTCAACGCTTTCTTCACATCTTCAAGGGCACCAATGTCGTCAAATTTAACACCTATTTCTCCAGGAGGAACAACAGCTGAAACAAAGTTGCTCTCGTATTCATCTTTAGCCAAATTCTGCACATTTTATATCAAGGTCACAAACAACCAACAGCTATCAACGAAGTTCGAGAACATTAAATACCTTAATTTTTTACTTTGAGATCAAATACCTTAATACTTTGTGAAGGTTTTTTCGATAGTGTTTCCTGCTCCTTTAACCTCAACAGCGCAATTTCAAGGCTTCACGAGGAGGTAAAAATAAATACATAAGAAAAGATAACTTCAAGATCAATAATTTAAAAATTCAACAAGAGCTGCAAAAAGAGAATGTTACCTCTCCCTTGGTATATACAGTCGGTTCCCCTTAATGCATGGGTGGAGGCAAGATGCCAAGTAATGGTTTTTTGCCCAACCAACAACGCTCTCAGCCTCTGTAACAGGCATTTTATACAAGCTTCAACGATCTAGAATTCACAGATTTACAGAATAAAAATTCTCGGGGCCCAGTTTCATTTACATAATTGAATTACACATCATACTAATAGAAATAATAACACAACTCCTAGATTAACCAAGCAAATCGGTCCCATATATGTGCAAGTACAGATACAGAAACAAATCCAAGCAAATTATAAGACTAAAACCAAAGAAATAAAAAATGTGTACGTCATAGTTTCTTCACAGCAAAACAGTTGAGTTTCACTAATCAGCAAAAGTACTGAGCCTATCAGAAGTTTCTTATCATGAAATGGCACCATATTTTCCTCGAAAAAGGAATTAAATCAAATGAACCATGAAGAAGAAAGAGGAATTAAATCTACTGAACCCCACAAATAAACGTAAATTACAACCCAGCCAGCCAACAAAGAATTTGTGGTTGTTATTTTTCAACAGACTATTCTTAGTAAACTCCACTATTTTACATATTCCAGAAATAAACATCCCCTGCTTCATTGTATAATATAATAATAGACATCTAAACAAATATGAAAAAGAAATGAAGAATTAAGCCCAGAAAGAGAAAATTAAACTTCTTAAAGCACTCCAGTTCCATAATACTAGATACCAAATCAGAGACACACATACAAAGCATGGATTATCTCGAAGTTGAATTTACAAACTGATTTAGTATCCTATAAGCTGGGTTACACTCATTGTGCTGTCAAATTTACAAACTGATTTAGTATCCTATAAGCTGGGTTACACTCATTGTGCTGTCACAGACGTCTAAAATATCAACATGATGAACACATGTGAATACAAAGGAGCGAAAACATATAAAATCAACATCTTGACAAAACCAAAAACGGAAACACTCATTACATTCACTAATACTTCAAACAGACATAAATCCAGGATAAAACAAAACGTGCAAACTTGATAAGTAACTCACTCCGCTTAGTCAATATGACACCATCAGTGTTTAATTGTAGAAGATCTATGCACGCTAGATCATTCTCGTCAAGAACCTGAAACAGATGATTTCCACCATTAAATCCACAGATCAGAAGAAAATACATTTAAAGAAACTGCTGGTCTATTAGACAGATCAGGTACACCATTGATAGTCAAACATATTTTAGAACGGTAAAATATTTCAATCGAGCAAGCATGAAACCCAATATATCTACCTTATGCAGTTCGTTTAAGTTGCTTCGAGCTATCACCAGTCTCCTGTCTTCTTCGACTTGTTTATTGAATGTTCTAAGAACATCTTCCTCCTGCAAACACAAAAAGTTTCAGTGGCTCAGTACACCAAAATATCGCAAGTAAAAATCATATAAAATCTGTATTCCAGCTCTGGCTTATTGGTAGCATATTCACAATGTTTTAATAATTTATAGTTCTTCGTATAATAAAACCACTTAGGAGAAAAGAGTAGATTGCAACTAATCCAAACCAAAAACTGGTATTTATATTTAAAGCGGAGGTTTCATCAAGGAAAATGTTGTCCAAGATAATCTTACTAAAACTTACAGCTCCTTTCCAGTCACTGCTATTTCAAGAAACAAACTATAACCAACTATTTAAGATGACGAAAAATAGTAATTTATATCAAATCATCATCATATAGTGACATTTATATCAAATCATCATCATATAGTGACTTTTACTACATCACCGTAGTCAAGTGTACAAGCCTTCTGTTTAACATAAAAATACCTTCGGAGGATGTATACACATAACATTAGTGAAGAGCTTGTATATTTCATCATCCACCGATTGTTTTCTTTCCTTCAGTCCTTCGGTAAGAGTCTTTAAAGAAAGAGGCTGCAAATAAGAAAATATGAATAATTATCATAAATAAATAGCTCCGAAGAAAATCTATGCACCAAGAAGTAGCAATTGCGGCAACAAATGTCTCGTAAAAAAGATGCATTATTGTATAAAAAGGCTGCAACTATCTTAGGCATCTATATAGGGTAGCAATCAGAGATGCATTATGATATTGAGAAGCAAGCAAAGATAAATCACAAAAAATGGTCCCATTATACCAAAAAAACATATTATAAATTATAACAGGAGTTCGCTAAACCATATAATTCAATGCTTTTAAAAGAGGAAAAAGCATAATAACACTATAGGTAGTCATTTTTATCCGTGATAGATCAAATGTGCAGCAATCACATTGTGATTTGTCAGAGTAGCTTTCTACAATCTCTGTGATCAGTTCAAGTAGGCTCATACTTTTGAGTACAAACTAAAACTTTCTCGAAGGAAATGCCAGTAGGAACGATAACGGGAGTGACATTAACCAAAAAAAAAAGAAAGAAAGAAAAAAGGGGCCCATTTTGTGTGCTTCGAATATAAAGCAAGCATGCACCAAACCGAAACCAATTCTCACGAGGGATTAAAAGAGACGAAACAGGAGAAGATATTCAGATAAATAGTGGGTAAATAAGGTGGTCAGAAGTATGCAAAAGAATGTCCTGAAGTACCAATTTTGCTAGGCGGCCCAAATTTGGAAGAATCATTGTCTGCCAACAAAGAAAAGAAATTAGATTAAAACAAGCCGATCAACCAGGCAGCAACGATGAAATTTCATTATGTATACTTACAAATTTCTCCTTTTCTTTTGATCCAGTTTCAACTTTATTTTGACCACAGATCAGGACAACAGGTCCCGCTAGTTGATCAAACATTTCTCCCAACTTCTGAACAAACTCTTTGCGGTTTGACTTAGAAGCAGCTCTTGATAGCCACAAAGATGAATCTGGAAAATAGACAATAAGTGGTTGCAGAGAAAGCAACACCTGCAAGCATTGAAAGCCGAAGTCTTAACAAACACCACAATTTCGGCTCAAATGCACTAAAGATAATGGGGAAAACGTAGCACCTCATGAAGTGCCTGAATTGCAACATAACAGTCTTCAGACTGAGCATCTAAATCAAGCTCCACATCGTTTACTGCATACAGAGAGCAGCTGTAAGTTTGCATCCAATAGTAGGGATTGAACTGACATAACAAAGGTGAAAACAATATCCAACAATTTGACTAGAGTCTAGGCATCAAGATGTTCCAGTAACATAATAATAAAAATAAAACAGCAGTAGCAAAAATTTTCGTGGAAAATTAAAATATAGAGACACACAATTAACATGTTTTGGATGAAAAATTATGATCCAATAAATGGTTCTAAGAATCAGATTTTAGCATTGAAAACATTAGGGGCCTGTATGGACAGCCAAAAAAAGATCAGCCTCTACTTGTAAATTAGTCTATCATTTCCTTAAAGTCAACAAAAGCATCTAAGATCGGTTTTGGTAACACATGTTTGTGCTGGATCACCCCATCTTCCATTTAATTTCCTCATTAGGAAGAAAAATATGGCAAGACATATTAAGAGGTACTTATTAACTTCCAAGTTATTAAGTTATTCCTGTTGATCTATCCCCAAGACAGAAGGAACACTGGATAGGTAAGCATGGAAAAAGGTAATGCCAGTAGAAAGAGAAACAAACTTGGCAAGAATGAAATTAGAGGGGAAGGCAAACAGAAACTTTCTGTTTATAACTTTATGCTTCAGTAACTTACACTTGATCCAATGTAGTGAGGGTTTTGTAGCTTCTGAAGAAGTCTTTTCATCTTTTGCTCCATCGGCATCAGTCTCACTAACATCCCAGACAACTGCAACATGATCCCCTTTGACCTCATACACCTCACCCCGCTGTCCACTGGACAAAGGTCTGCAAGGACAAAGGATTTGAAGTGATGTTTCTGAAGCACTAATAAATGAGACAACATCCTCCTTCATATCTAACAAAAAACCAACAACAGACATCCTGAATAGATTCGCTAAATGCTTCGAGATTGAACAGAGATAAACAGACATGAAGCAATTAACTACACGCATTCTCGTAAAAAGAATAAGTGACCAAGATCTCTTGGATACGTCCATCACCAGTATGGAGACAGCAATAGAGCATTCAATACTAATTAAAAGAGTTCATGATCAGCTATATCTCAGACACATCCGCGAGACCATTGTGTTTCAAGACAAAAATGAAATGTAATGAATGCTACACGAAATGAGAGAACTGATCTAGTTTTGATACCTTTTTGACATTAAGTAGATCAACCCACAAAAACTCAAAAAAAAAAAAAAAACACCTTCCTGACATCTAAGGCCTAAGATGATATTAACTTAATATAAGCATGCCACCCATCCACAACATGAATGGCAACACAGGGTAAAGTCAAAGAAAAGCAATTCCACATGAAAGAAACAAGGTGGGTCATCTCCAAAACTTATCAGGACAACTTACCAACCGACCCACCTGCCACGGATAACAGCATAAACTTTTGTTGGACCGTCTGGTGTCGAAATATTCCCCAATAAAATCCTGTGATTAATTGGAGGGCACTAATCAGGTGCACTCTAAATAGCAGTATGTTGGCCTTTCAAGTGTACATAAATTACGATAGCAACCTCTTCTAAGTTTGTGTTTCTTAAACCTCCCAAACCCATTGAAACGGACAAAAAGTAAAAAGAATAAGTTGCCATGAAATGCTCTTTATCTTTTCTTTTTTCTTTTCGGGAGGGAACCAGGAAATGGTGGCATGAAACTATACCAAAGACAATTGAGCCCAAGCCACAGGACTTCCAAAATGGGGACTGGTTTCCAATACAGGTGCCAAACACCTTGAACATCTCATCAAATTAGATCCACGTGGTAAACATCTTCCAAAGTGGAAATGAGTAATTATAGTCCTTTCAACATTTGAACCCCCCCCCCCCCAGTTCTCTCTCCCACCTTAAAAAGAGGGGGGAGCAGAAAATGAAAAGATCTAAAAAGTAGCGTCACGTAAAAAGCCAACACATAAAACAAAGCAGGTAAGAAAATCCATGTCATCAGCAAATAAAAAAATTAAGTGGCGTCTCACTGAATGTTGGCTATTCAAATATCATGAATTTGGGATGCCATGAACAAGAAGGAAGTGGAAACCAAAGCATGGACATTTGCAGAAATGATTGTACAAGATAGGTAATAACCTCTTTTCTTCTCCATTGCAAGAAGGTCCCACATATTTTACTCGATCACCTAACAACAAGTAAAGATGTGATTATTTATTTTTAGATAAAATATAGGACAGTATTTGATTGAGAAAATCAACAGAGCGAAATCGACAAATGATAGATTGGAGGTAAATATCTGACATTTAAAAAAATAAAGCATGCCTAACAAACTATCATACAATTTGATTCGAACAAGCAACAATTGCAGGTCCAGTTTTATCCCAAGGCAAACATAAAGGATCTACAACAGACACATCCTTTTCTCTCTCGCAATATCCACCTTCAAAGGTTCAACTAGTGATGGTCATGATAAATCCATCTAAAGTGATAGAGGTGATAAATTATAAAGAAGGATCATACATGAAAGTTAAATCTATCAGAGCGAAAAAGGAATAACAAGCCCTGTTGAAAGAATTTTTCTACTTTAAGCATCACTATTATTTGTTTCCCTTTCTAAGTAAGTTGACTTTTGTGGGAATTTGGATATCACTAGTGAGGCAATGGCAAGATACGATACATAGTAATAAATGCTAAATTGTGTTTACGGAGCTAAAGAGACAGCCACCAGGAAAAGGAAACAAAGTAGATCAAATTCACCTTTCTTTAAGGGCTGTTTCCCACAGTCAGCAGGCTCATTGACCTTTGGCTCTGATGAATCAGCAACAGTTTCGGATTCTCCCGAGATTCTCTGCCAAAAGAATTGCATTAGTTAACACTATGAAGAAATGGCCAAAAACAAATTCTCCTATAAGTTTTGATGGATAAACCAAGCATATCTATGTTGCTCGTCTAAATTCATGCAGCTAAAACCTAAGGACAACAGCCTAAAATGCTCCTTTCATTCTCTCCCTTCAAACCCTCTAACTCGCACATTAACGAAAACTGAAAATCATAGGTGGAGTTCTTCCCAAAATTTGAGAATAAGATTCACCAACCATTTTATACTTCCAGAATTTCAGAAGAATTGATGTTAAATCATCAAAGTTAAAATAAAAAATATAAATGAAAAATATAAAAATCTTACACTATACCTTCTCAAACTCCTCAAGATTGCACGGAAGAAGTTTCTTCAAGGCTTCAGCGGAAGCCTGAATATCGATTTCCTCCTCGTCGCTGCTTTCAGCTTTTGCCTCACCACTGCTTGTATATTCATCTTCATTGGTTGCATCATTATCATCGTCTACTTCTGATTCAGTCGTACAGTCTTCACTGTCCTCAGACTCAGTTTCAGAGTCTTGGCTGAAGTCCTGCAGAACGTTCAATATTAATGTGATTGGGGTAAACTGGGACATCAAGGAAACAAGTCCAAATGCTGTCATTATTTGCTACACCTAGTAAGCATAGAATAATTCTTAATCTTCATAGAAACAATTACATTTGAGCTATTGAAACTCAAATTAAATAATGGCAATTCTTATCAATTTTAAGAATAACTTTTTGACAACTTTTATGAATACGCTCACCTTCTTTATGAAAGATATTCCACCGAACTTAAACTCCCTACCTACTCCAACAACCAGAAATGAGTTCAACAACGCAATACTCCTCACTCAACAAAGGGAATTATAGAATAGGGGGTAAAATACCAAGGATTAACTGGGATCCACACCAGGTAACAAGAAGAAACCACTGAAAAAAGCATCATAACTAAAGCAGACCCTAATACTCTCCTCCTTCAAGACCATGTCTTCTTACACTAAACCACCGTAACTGTGATTCCCAAGGCAAGACTCAAACACACATGTGCCTTTTTATCACCAAACACCTAAGACAAGTTTCTCAGTGGAAAATTGAATCAGGAATATCAAATAACAAAACTCACAAGTGACCACAAATGGAACGTTTCTCTGCCATTTAAATGTCCTGTAAGACACAAGATGTATGTTTCTCAACACGATAAACAAAATCTTCTCATAGACGATTATGCTTATCACATATTCCGAAGCCCTAGTGCACTTATACAACTAAGTGGGGTCAGCTACATGGATCATATGTCACCATCATAAATGAGGCATTATTCATGAGGCTATTCTGACTTCGCCGTTGGCACCTTAAAATGTTTATGGTTGTCAAATGAATGTTTAAAAAAATGCCAGTCCATGACCCTGCTATAAAAATTTTCAATAGTTGACCAGAGATCAGAAATAAAGATATGTTGAGGCTTACAAAAGGAGCTAGCACACTGCTGTCAAGTAATAGCAGTGGAACTTGAAGATCCTGAGCTAGAGCCTTGACCATTCGTTCACGGTAAAGCTCGGTACCTGAGACACAAAGCCAGTGCATCAGTTTGGTCATACAAGAGCTCCATATTGTTTCAGGAATACCATCTCATGCTTTGAATGGGAAAGACATAATGAAAGGCTATCATTACCTGGAATGCTCTGAAGAAGAATTCTCCCACTTGAAGAGGTTAAACGGCTCCCCAAACCAGTAGTGGACTTCTCATGCTTCAAATGCGAAGCAGCACACTCAACCAAAAGATTTCTGGTGTGCCCACTGCAATATAACAATTTGGATAACTTAATGAGTACAAGATGCAGCCAACCAATAGAGATACCAGAAACATTCACTTACTCGATATAATAGGGAAAATTGTCCCATGTAACTGTAATTTTTTCCCACGGAATAAGTCGTCGCATGAACTCATTTTTAAATCTCTCCCGCTTAGTCAAAAAGGGAGATTCTCTCTTTTTGCTTTCAATTGCAAGCTTTTCATTGTTAAGCCAATCCTTTTGATCTTGTTCTCCAAGTCGAGCATGTGCATCAAAATTCTGCAGATCATCTATGTTTTTCTCCTTGCGAGTCTTTCCCTTCTCGAGATTAGCTCCATCTTTCACAGAGGCATGTTTGCCCTCATTTGGACTCCTACCATCACCTTTGGAGCTGTAGAGTCTATAGAGTCCACTTTCACACCTCAAAGATGATCTCCCTTCCAACCCATAATACCATCTATCTAAAGAAATACCTGATGGATTGAACTTCTCTGACAAATATCTTCTAGCCAATCCACCTTGGAGAATATTGTTTCCAGCTCTTTGTTTACTAGCTAAAGAATGATATGAATAGTACTCCCCACAGTTAAAACTAGAAGAATCTTTCCCCCTCTGCAGTAGAAGATTCCACTTGCAATAGTTACTCCTTAATCTCCTCGCATACATTGCAACTTCTTACACCAACTGCAAACACCAAAATCAGAATAACACTAACCAAATCACTACTTAAGGTAATCAGCAATGTGATCGCAAATAGAAGAAGCAGCAATCTCATAAGAACTTTTAAGTTTAAAGTCAAAGTTTCTATGCACTACAAAAGAAGATGCAAAACATCGAAATTTCTAACTCATTTATCACCAAGATTAAACAAATGGATCAAAACAACTACTAACCACATCATTTGACAATGAATCTCGATGATATGCAAAGAAGAAAACAGCAACTAAAAGCTACCGTAAGAAAACATTTGTCAATGGAATAAATCATCATAAAAGGTATTGAAAACGTTAAGTTTCACCCCTGGCTACCCGATATCATCATCTTCTATGCGTTTTAATAGTCATGGATTCATCGTAATCCGCAACTGACTCTGGGAAAGTGAACATAATATCTTCGTATAACACTCTTAACACCAATGCATCGCCAGAATAAATTTTTTATATCGGCTTCTCAACGAGCTTATTAAAATCCTCTATTTATCAATGTAATAACCAATACAGATAACCGTAAACACGGTTGATACCACCACTATGAATAAGCGACAACCACACCAAAAGGGGATTAACCCAAAAGTCTCCCGGGATTCGAACAATTCGCCAAATTTTACAATACAATATAACGTAAATCGTGTCAGTGGAATGCATATGAGGGTGGCTTCGATATGTAATTTTGTAGAAGAAAATTAAACCTTTCAAGTGAAGCTTTTCTGCAGGTGAATTTCTAGTCTTCAAATCGTCTGCCTCGCATAAAATCAAAAAACTGATTGTTATTCCGCTAAAAGGGCAAGGACACAAACCAAAAAGCAAATAGTAAAATCCTTCAGACATACGTCGTGACAGGGAAAGGGGGAGGACGCTAGAACATCCGTATCAGCAGCGTATTGGCTGTTTGAAAGAATGACAATGAGAAAAAATGAGCAATAAACAAGGGGGGCGAAAGGCGATAAAATAAAGTACGCCTTTGTGATTTTTTTTTATTTATTTTTTGTATAAGAATTTGGATAAGAAAAAAAAATACGACTAATAAAAAATTAAAAATAACTTCTGGTTTTTATTAACTACTACTACACTTCCATGTCATGGGTTTTTTATTTAAGAAGAACAACAAATTGATACAAATATTGTACTGGCCAATGCACTAATTATGATAGTTTAGACAACTTTTTCTTTTTTTTTGTTTGAATTTAGATTTGGGATTTAAAATGCGGTTTGAGTAAAAAGTTGTAGTCATAATTTTTAGAATAAAATAATGATATTATTATTCACCATCGGACCACCTCTACCATCGTCGGACTGCCTCCTACCGTTATCGGGCCATCTGGTCGCCTGGATTTCGGCCAACTTTATCACAAATTGACCAAAATCTAGCCGTTTGATCGTAGGGCGATAGTGGTAGAGGTGGTCTAGTAATGGTGGATAAAATTTGTTTAAAAGTAATACTTAATAAGTGTCTTAAAAGTGAGTAAAAATATTATTTGAATATTATTTATTTTGTATTATGTTTTGTGTTTAATAAATGAATTGAAACTTTTTGAGTTTTGAGAGGTTGTTCATCTTATCAACCAATATCAAAGCGAATTTTTCATTAAGATATAGTCTTATACATTAGAGTCATATTATATATGTCAGCGGCTGGAATTTTAAGAATTTCCTCGTTCATTTATTTCTTGCACTTCACCTTGAAACAAAGTTAGGGACACAAGTTTAAAACAATCAATTAAAATCATAATCCGTGGTAAGCAAATGTCAATAACGTCGTGTTATAATCACGAAGACAATTGGATCATTTAGCAATTAGGAATCTCTAAAATCAAGAGGAACTGAGAATTTCGAATAACTTTTTACAAAATCCGACCCGCGAAATTCATGCCTCAGCTCAACAAACCAACTTAATCTTGTCTATCTCCAGATTGTATTTTGTAGTGTTGTTTGTTTTGACAATGTTTTATGATGAAATACTATTTTGCATTTCTTTTTTTTAGTTTTTTACTCTTCTTTTTTTTTAGGGAAAAAACAGTAGGAAAATTCATCAAATTTACTGAAAATCAGCCAACTCTGATTGACATAAGAAATTTGGTGACGAAGACCAAGTTATAGCATCCGGCAAATTAGACTTTGCATGTTTTGTAGTGTTATCTATACTTTTATGTAATGTTTTATATTTTCAATAGAGTATTATTATTTTTTAAAACAAAATTATAACTATCATGCTCCACTTATTGAATTTTTTCCAATGCATGAATTTTAAGAGTGTGTTAAACCATATAAATATGTGAAAAATGAGATTGATTAAGTGTTAATATTAGCAATAAGTATTTTACTTTAATGCAATGCATAGAAGTTTTTGTTGGAGAGAAAACAATATATTAACTTTTGCACTATCTCTGACTATTTTAATAGCATGTATATATATATATATATATATATATATATATCATATCAACCACAATCCATGCTATGATTCACACTAGTATTATTCCCGCACGTTGTGCGGTGATAATATATTATATATTAGTTTAATAATTCAAAAAGTGTACTATTTTGGTTTGGGTAATAATTAAATGTAGTCTCTGATTTATTTCACTTTGTATCCCGGTTGGACTTTGAATTTTTTTTATCATGTGCATATGTATCTAAGTATAAGTTTTTGGTTTTTTAAACAGAGATTGATGGCTAATTTTGATTTAATTATCTTATTTTAGAGTAATTTGTCCCATACTTTTTTTGTATTTCAAGAATCAATCAATTGAAAATGGTAACATACAATTAAATTAAGTATTATATAAACTGTTAATCAATAAGACACGCATTCATCCAAGTCCTCTTCTCATAACAACTTTTTTAATAATATAAAAAAACCTTGCTTAGTAACGAAAAAAACGGAGATAATCTAAAACGCCAAAGCCGCAAAGCAAATAGAATGAAAAATCTAACACATTTTCATCGTGGGACAAAGTTGAATTAATTATTCATTTTGTTCAAGGCTGCACCTAGTCCCTTCATTAACTATAACCGCTCTCTAAACTTACTTTCTCGCCTCACCACCGTTCATTGTTGTTCTCTGCTGTGATTTTCTTTTCGGAGGCTGCTGCTATTGGTTGGAATTCATAGGTTTTGCTGATTTATGTCTTCTTATTTGGGGTTTGCAATTAGCATATCTCCTTCGATGTCCTTTTTTTTTTCTTTTTTAATGAAAATCCTTGAACTTGAATTGTGGAGATATACATGAAAATTAGATAACTGATGAGAGAGATTATGAGATTTGAACATCCTATTCTTTCTTCAAAATCCTATAAATTAACCACGTGAAATTTGGGTATAATCAAATTTATAAATAAAACCCACATATCATAGAATGTTAAACGCGTGAAAAGATGTCCAAATTCAAAGCAATCATATTTTCTAAATAATCGACAAACTCATGGAATTTATATCTTGAAAATAATTGCCAAAATTAATGAAACTTGATATGATAAGATAAAATAAGGGAAGAATTCAAATTTTTTTTGTATCACAATATAACTTCATTTATCAACAATAAAAAAAGTATAGTCATTAGTGAAAATTACTTTTAACTCTTGCAATAATTTTTTTTTTTTAAAAGAACTCTTGCAATAATTAAGTTAACGTCATCTTTTATTCCTTTTTTTTTCTAAGAGAAAGTTTATGCCTACATGCCCAAAACGAAGTAAAAAATAAAGATGGTTAACATTAAGGGTGGCGGTCGGAAGCTATACTATTTTAACGTCAGTCAAGCAGTGTATTTCTCTAAGGAAAGGCCGTAAATATCATGTACATGGATTATATATTTCTAAATTTAAAACTCACACCCGCCAGCACATACCGTCAATGTGATAAGCATCACATTCAATTTTCAAAAATAGTTAAGGAAAGTGTCTCAATTTAATGTCCTAGTATGAAATTACTAAAATTCGGTATTTTTTTTACAATGACTTGAAATTTGTATAATTGATCAAAGATACGCTCCACCAAAATTGTATCCTTTGAAATCTGCTCATTTGTGTTCTGATAGGATTCTTGATCTGAATGATGGAAGATGATCATCACCACTAGGAGTTGGAGTTGCAATAGGAACAAACAATATCATCATCACATATCACCATTAAAAAATGCCTCCGGCAAAATCATCTTGGCTTCATCGAATTACACCCAGAGTTTGGCAAGATAGAGTCGGCCGGTGAAAGAGAATACCGCCAGCCGTTGGTGAAGGAGAATACCACTAGCTGTTGAAGGAAGGGGCGGAATATTATCAGCCGGCAAAAGATAATATGGTCGGCCGGTGAAAGAGAATACCGCCAGCCGTTGGTGAAGGAGAATACCATTAGCTGTTGAAGGAAGGGGCGGAATATTATCAGCCGGCAAAAGATAATATGGTCGGCCGGTGAAAGAGAATACCGCCAGCCGTTGGTGAAGGAGAATACCACTAGCTGTTGAAGGAAGGGGCGGAATATTATCAGCCGGCAAAAGATAATATGGTCGGCCGGTGAAGGATTCATTTGATATGGAGTTTCTTATTGCCGATGACTTTGTCCGTCATGACTTGGGAATCGATATTCAAATGCTTCCTGTGAAGGAAGTATAATCAGCCGATGATTTCGACGGCACTAAACTGATGATTACATTAAGTTTGGGTGATGTTTTCTGCCATGACCTCCATTCGCCGAAGGTATTTCAACGGTTTTTGGGATGAGTTCAATATCAATCAATCGGCGCATAGAAAAAATCGATGATATGTTAAAAATCTTTAATTTTTACATATTCATAACTATTTTACTGTGCAAAATTACAGTTTGAGGTTCAGTAAACATGTTAGTAAAAAATAAGTCAATGAAATGTTGACACATGTACTCCATAAAATTTCCTACGAATGAGAAGATGACAAGGGTAACTGAATATTATCAATGATCTAATTGACTGACATGTGTCTTGTGAGAAAAATTCCCTTAATATATAGTTAGATTAACACTACTGTCACAATAATTATGAAATACCATTCGTGTTTATGGTGGGAACATAAGTAAGTGGTTAATTTTTTAAAGGACAAAATGCACTTTTCATCCCCTAGTTTTTGAGTGTAGCAAGATCGAGTCACCAAAAATTTTCAATTGGCAAAAATAGTTCCCTAAAATATTTTTTCCATCAATTTTGGTTAAATTGACAGAATTTTTTAGAACTTAACGGGAGATACATACTTTCCGTCAATTTTTTTATTTTTATATTAATTTCCATTCTGTTTGTGGGGCCCATAAAGTTTGAACCTGAAAAAAAAAATTATTTCTAAAAAAAAATTGTGGAGACAATCGGAGATCCGGACGACAATGAGTCGTCTTCTTCTGGGTGTCCTTGGGGATGACGTGGATAGTCATCGAGGTCGTCCCCGAGGGAGCTGCTGATAGATTTCTTAGTGGAGACATGGTGGTTGTTGGTGGCGGGATGAACCGGTGCGACGGTGATTGGGTGGGGTGGTGTCTTGAGTATCAATTGGATTTTTATTCCCTCTTTCTATGCTTTTCTTCTGTTTTTCAATTTCATGTGGTGTTTTACTTTTATTACGGCAATGGAGCTAAAAATAGTGAGCTTTTTTTCACACTTTGAGATCTACAATTCTGGGTTTCGGGAGATTAAGTGAAAAACATGGGCGGCATCATTGGTTTCAAACTTCTATTTTGTTTTGCGGGGTTCTGTTTATGCGGGTTAGAACTGAACCCATTGAAGACAAGCAAGCTTTGCTTGACTTTGCGAATAATAGTTCACATCCTCTGAATTGGGATGTGACGACTTCTGCTTGTAATTATTGGGTTGGCATCACATATAACCATGATCAATCCAGAATTATTACGGTTAGGTTGCTCAGATTTGGTTTCCGGGGCTCTGTTCCTCCTAATACTCTCAGTTGGTTGTCGGAGCTTCAGATCAGTCTCATATCAAATGCTTTTACTGGGCCTTTCCCTTCTGATTTAGCCAAACTCAACAATTTGACTTCCCTGTATCTTCAGTTCAACCACCAAAATCAACAATTTATCGGTTTTTTCTCCCCTGTATCCACCCAACCACCAACTCACCGGTTCATCCCGCCACTAACAACCACCATGTCTCCACTAAGAAACCTATTAGCACCTCCCTCCAGGACGACCTCAATGACCAGCCACTTCATCCCCAAGAACACCCAGAAGAAGACGACTCATCATCGTCCGAATCTCCGATTGTCCCCACAATTTTTTTTAGGTTCAAACTTTGTGGGCTCCACATACAAAACGAGAATTAATATAAAAATCAGAAAACGCTGGAAAGTAAGCATCTCCGTTAAGTCTTAAAAAATTCTATCAATTTGACCAAAATTGATGAGAAAAACATTTTACATGACTGTTTTTGTCAATTTAAAATTTATAGTGACTCAATCTTACTACGGTCAAAAGTTGGGGGACGAAAAGTACATCCAGTCATTTTTAAAGATAGAGGCTCAATTAGAGAAAAGCTTAGATGATAACATGTTTTTTCTCATATCAATAAAGGCTTTTATTGTTGCAATGGTGTTTGTTATTACAACAGTGCCTAGTACTCTTGCTAAATTGTAAGTATGTTGATTGATAAACTTCTAAATAATTTACACACACCATATAACAAATTTAATGGTACGACACAAAAATAGAATCTAATGACTCTTTGTCATATGTTATGGTTACATTTGTTCACTTGTTTGGCTTAATATTGGGTTTATGGAATAAAATGAAAGTTTTAAAAATGAATTGTGATGAAGTTATATATGAATGTGTCGATTAAAAAAAAAAAACGATAGTAAAATATGATTAAATTAGATACCATATGATTTACAAATTAAATAAGTGGTTTGAAAGATCAGTACATAGACAATAGCGTAGTATGATTGTGCCATTATGTCCAGGTAGCTGAACCAGAAATCAACGTTAGGGTAAGAAAGCATAATATTAATTTTTCAAGGGCTTAAAGGTGTAAATAACAATTTCGCAAAAGGTGAAATTAATTTTTTTCACATTCTACCCCTAAAAATTTAAGTATTAATGCGTAAATAATTTGTTAAACTCTTTGTTACCATGCATTGTTTTTCCATAATTAGTCAAATTCATAGTAGTTTGTAATCCCTTTGTGAAGTATAGAATTAACCAGAGATATTAGTTTATTTTTATGAGTAAATAGAGATCATTTTTGAAATAATATAAAATACAAAGGAATAAAAAATGAAATATTAGGAATACATAATGTTATTGGCTTTGAGTGAAAAATAATGAGTAGCCTAAAAATAGAAAGATAATTGAACTAATTACGAGAAAAGTGGATCAATTTTGGAAGAAAGTCAAAAGTCGAGTTTGAAAACCTATTTATCAAGAAAATAATGGTTTATTACGAAATAAAGGGAAAAGAAAGGGCAGTGGGAGTGAAAAATGAGAAAAAGGGGGAAAAATAATTAAACCCTAAGGCCAAAGTAGCGGCGCTGGAACAAAGGACACAGAAAGATATCGTGTTTTCATATAAATATCTAAACTTTTCCAGTATTTTCACGCCTCTCCTTTTCTCCTTAAACCCTACGCTTAGGGTTTTGCAGTCAGTCACTTCTTTCGTCTTCTTCTCTCCCTCAGTTGGTCGTACGTTCTTTCTTTGAATTTCAGTCGAGGTTTAGCGATGGGTAAATCATCCAAGAAGTCTGCCCCGAAAGTAAGCTTCCTTGTCTACTTTCAGTTTGGTTAATTGCTCGTTCCGATGATGTTTTTGTGGCCTTGTCTGACGATGTTTTGGGTTTAATTTATTTTTGTAGGTTGATGCCGCGCCTCCTGTTTCAGTAACCCCCTCTAAGCCAATGAAGAAAGGTTCGTTGTTGCTTTTCAATTTTTTTTGGGTTCCATTTTCCTGTTTTTTTGGGGTTATAATTGATAGATTTATGTTGGTATGTTATTATATATGGAAAAAGATTTGTTTCTTCCCTGTTAGACGTTTTTGTTGGGTTTAAATTTTATGGGGTTGCTCGTTTTTACGTTGAAGTGTATGGTCTGTGGAATTTTTATTTTGTGTTTGAAGTTTTTGATTTTGTTTTAATTCTCAGGTAAGAGAGAAGCCGAGGAGTTGCTGGAGAAGGAAGTGAGTGTGAAGAAGCAGAAGAAAGGTGTTGTGGAGGAGGTGGTTATGAAGAAGGCTGAAGTCAAGAAAAAGATTGAAAGTAGTTCCTCTGATGACTCGAGTTCTGATTCAGAGATGGAGGAACCACCAAAGGTGTTGTTCTGTTTAATCCTACTTATGTGGGTTTAGACTATTATATATGTTTGTGGAACAGATAAGAAAGTGAAGCAGATTGTTTTCTTGTCATGCATGTTAGTTTGAAGTAGTTTTAGTACATGATTGATTGTTGATTATTTTTTTGCTCTTTAACTGGTTGGAAGTTGGTTTGTTGGTCTCTGTATCTGAGTGTGTTAGATGTAGTTTTTGGCCAATTGCTTTAAGAGTAAAGCTTACAAGGGGTTAACTTGCGTGTATCAGTGGGCAATGCGTGATTGATTTAATACTAATCCTGTTTGTTTTGCTAATATGCCAATAATGCTACTTGCTAACAATTCCCCTTCCTGTTATTTAGACAACTGCTACCAAACCTGTGGAAATTCCCAAGAAGCCACAGTTGTCTGCTACCAAAAATGGTGCTGCTAAAAAGGGGAAGCCAGCTAGTAGTTCTGATTCTGATGATTCTGATACAACATCTGACAGCGACTCTGACGAGGTAAATGTTCTCAGTATTTTTCTTATATTTTATATGTTGCCCATTTCGAGTTGAAACTTAATTTTTTATTTTCCCATTGTTCACGTAGGCTCCTAGCAAGCCTGCAGCTGCAGCTAAAGATGTCCCCAAGGCGGCTAGCAAGAAGAAAAGTGACTCAAGTGAATCAGAATCTGAAGATGATTCAGATGATGATTCAGATGATGCCAAGAAGTTGCCTGCTCCTGGCAAGAATGGACCAGTAACAGCTAAGAAGGATGAAAGTGACTCTTCATCAGAGGATGAAAGTAGCAGTTCTGAGGATGAGAAAGCACCTGTTAAAGGTACCAAGAATGGTGCTCAAGCCGGTGTTAAAAAGACTGTTGAATCCTCAGACGATGAAAGTAGCTCAGATGAGGAGGATGCTCCATCTGGTGCTGCAAAAGGTGCTGTAATAGCCAACAAGAAAGATGAATCTAGCGATGATGAGACAAGTGACTCAGATGATGTAAGTAATTGATTTTCCTGAACTGGTGGTGATCTAATTCCCTGTGACACTGAAATTTTCTCTTTTCTTTTGTGGTACTTAATCTTTATTTGTTTTAATTATTACTAGGAAACCCCAGCTAAGGTTCCTGCCAAGAGGCCATCCAAAGCAACTGAAATCAAGGTCTGCTGCTTTAGTTATCTAGTTATTTTCCTAATTTTTCTTACCTTTTTTAGATAGCTTTATCTATTTTGTTATCTTTATATTCTCCAATACAGGTTGAAGAAGAGAGTAGTGACGAAGATAGTTCTGATGAGGAAAGTGAAGAAGAGCCTCAGAAGAAAAAAACTAAAGTTGTGGTATGGATTTTTATTATGTTCCTATTCGTTTATTGATGTTTGTATGCTTGTTAAGGTTCTTTCATTTAATTTTGTCTTACCCATTGGTTTTGCTAATTTTGTGAAGGCTAAAACTGAAAAAAAGGAGAGCAGCAGTGAAGATGAAAGTGGAGATGAAAGCTCTGATGATGAACCTAAAAAGAAAGCAGATGAAAAGAAGGTAGTGGATGAATGAACTGAAATTTAAGTTGGTGTACTCTTGACACTTGTTTCGGTTGTGTAATGCTCAAACTTATCTTTCTCCAGGTCTCAAAGGAAAGCAGCTCGGAGGAATCATCTTCCGAAGACTCAGAAGAGTCTTCTTCTGAGGATGACGAGCCTAGCAAGACCCCTCAAAAGAAGGTAATGCGGGGTGCTTTTAGCTCAAAACCATTTTTAAGTTTCTGTAGGAACTCCTGTTTTTATTGCATCTTGTATGGTCTGTGCACAAATATGCATAGTATTTACCAAGATGTAGCAACAAACCGAAAATTCGAGTTATGCACTTTTCATTGTGCAACCTGTATTTGTGGCTGTTAACATTTTTACATTCTCTCAATTGACAGGACTCAGATGTAGATATGGTTGATGCATTTTCAAAGAAAGGTCCTTCATCTGAAAAAAAAGAAGTATGTGCCATCGCTTTTTGATGTATTTACCAAAAATGAGTTATTTTTGGTTCTAATATAAACACTATTTGCATGCAGCCTAAGACTCCAGCTCAGCCTCAAGCGTCAGGTTCCAAAACCTTGTTTGTTGGAAATCTTTCCTTTAATGTCCAAAAGTCCGATGTGTATGTCATCATTCTCTCGATTACTCCAAATAAATTGAATTTTAACATTATTCATATAGACAAGCTTTCTAATACATGTCCTTGACAGGGAGGACTTCTTCAAGAATTGTGGAGAAGTTGTGGATGTTCGTCTTGCTACTAATCAAGATGGTGCATTTAAAGGTTTTGGCCATGTTGAGTTTGCTACTGCTGAAGCAGCCCAAAGGGTATGCATCATTTTCTTTTTGGGATAAATTTTTTACCCTGATTGGGCCCTGTTCTTTACTGCTGTTGGGAGATTTTTGTACATTCTTTTCTTCTTTGCATGGTAAGTCTGCTTTTAGGTGATATGTTGTCCCCTGAGTATTCACCCTCTTTTTGCTGTTTTCTTTGGCCCTTCATTATTGTTTTCCTCAAGTCTCCTTGAATTAGGAGTTTCCGAAGTTCTGAGAAAGAATTCTCTACTTGTTTAACTCATTAACACAGATCTCTACTTGTTTAGCTCATTAACACAGATCTGCATTTGTATGCTACTTCTGATTTTTACTTTTTTTGGCATTATGAATATTGTTAAGCATATGAAATTGTTCAAAGCCTTTGTTTCCTAAAGTCAGCATTTGTCTACAGGCTCTTAATGAGTTGAATGGTCAAGAATTACTGGGACGTGGGTTGAGGCTTGACATTGCTGCGGAGAGAGGATCATACACACCACAAAGCGGGTATTTGATTATATCGCAAAGTTCATCCTTCTTCTATGCCGAGTTGAATCTTTAGTTTGGGAGATTAATGGTTTTGTTTTTCTTTTTTCTTTTAATAATGAATATAGCAAGGAAAGAAATTCTTTCCAGAAAGGATTTGGTTCTCAAGGGAAAGCAACAGCTTATGTCCGTGGATTTGATACAAGTGCTGAGGAAAATGAGGTGTGGTGCTTCTCTTTTTTCTGTCCTTTTGCATTTATTCTCTCCATAGTACTAAGTTCAGGTGATTCTTTGCAGATTAAGGGTGCATTGAGAGCTCATTTTGAGTCCTGTGGGGAGATAACGAGAATCTCTCTTCCAAGGGGTGATGATGGCTTCAAAGGGTGCGGCTTTCTCATTCTTATGATTATTATGTTGCTGAATAGGAGTATGGTTCTCTGTGTTTATTAATCATTAGTTGATCATATTCTGTTGCTACCATGATCTTATCTGATGATTTGTTTGTTGTTCAATATGAAAATGAGTAATTTTTAACCAAAAAGAAAAAAAATAATTATATATATATATATATTTTATATGTTATTGTGCTACAACATTGGTATTTGTAATGCTTGTTATTGCACCTCCTATCATGATTGAGTTGGCACCTTTGTTATTTGTTTGGAATGAATGACGTCTAAGTTATCCTGTCAACTATTAATGCTGTTGAAGCTGTTTGTAGGATGTTTTGGTTTAAACAATAATTTATGAGATGCCTTCACAGTTTTAAGTTGACTGATTGATTACTACCATTTCTGTGTTTCAGTGAATTGACAGTTTTCTCCTGTTTTTCTTTTTTTTTTTGCCCCTTTTGAAACAGGATTGCTTACATCGATTTCTCGAGCAGGGATTCCCTCGAAAAAGCTATCGAATTTGATAACCAACCACTTAATGACAGTCCTCTTACAGTTCAAGAGGCGAAGCCTAGAGATAATGCTGGATATGGTGGGGGGCGTTTTCAAAATAGTCATGACGGTAAGGGTCGGTTTGGAAGTGGTGGACGAGGTGGCGGTCGCGGTCGGTTTGGAAATGGTGGACGAGGTGACGGTCGCGGTCGAGGTGGCAGAAATAATTACAGCAAGCCAAGCATAATCTCTGCTGGTATGTAGTTGCTATTTTGGTGTTCACTCGTGCAGGAATGTGTGCTTTTTAGCATTTCAGAGTTGAAATCAGTTGGTTTTGTCGGTTTATTTTTCAATCTCTGGCTCCCTGGATACTCTTTTCCATCACAATGATTTATTAATAACAAACTAGTCAGTAAAAAAATGTGTGGTTGTAGAAGCTAACAATTACTGGACCCTTCCTTGATATCAAATATCAGTGGTTTGTGTTGTTCTGTTTACTGTTTACTGAAGCTTCATGAGCCAGACGCAAGTGAAACTGATTTACAAACTTTATTAAAGAGTGATAATGGGCACGTCTATATTGCATGTCAATCTCAGCTGAGTTGCTGCTTCTCAATAAACATTTTTGGGTTCTTTGATGGGCTGATGCTTTTAACTCTGCCTATGCTTTTGTTTTGGAGTGGTTGCTGAACTTGTCTTTTTTTTTTTTTTTGGTTGTATTTTTGCAGGTAAGAAAACAACCTTTGGAGACGACTGATGTCACAACTGGGGATTGCTACCATATAACCTTCTTGCCCGTTTCTTGCTTTGCTATATTTCCCCCATCCCTTTCTGTTTTTTGGTTATTTTACGGCAGGAGGCTTAGTTTAAGAATTTTGGACGGAAAAAACGTACACTAGTCTTTACTATATTCGAGGCCAGTGTTATTTTGTTTGTAGAGGTTTGAATGGGGATCATTCCTGTCATTTGGTCATTTATAAATGTCATATGACTTAAAAAGTGTTATCATTATCTTTCTTTCCATCCGAGCTTTAACCTAAATATGGAAAATTGAAAAACATTTGAATGCTTCTCGTATTGTTAAAAAATCTTTCAGCTTACAATTTGCACAGTAAATGCCGGCTGTTCTTATCGTGTGGACCCAATCTCTGCATACTGGTGGATCAATCTCCGTGGGTTTATTTGATGATATGGATCATATTCTTTCCAGTACAAAATGAAATATTTATTGAAGTGGAGATTGTAAATTATACAAAGTGCTTTTTTTCTAAATAGATCAAGTTTGGGAGAGAAATTCGAACTTTATAATCATAATAAATAGAATCACAAATTTGGAGAGTTGAACTTTATAATCGCAAATTTTAAAAAATAGACTGACAAAAAATACCAGTATTCTTCCAAAGTTGGGAAAGGCAATGAATGACATTCTTCTGATAATTACAAACGCTTACAAATTCATATGGCAAGAATTTTCATTGTCAAAACAAAATTTGAAGTCCAAATCAATAATGTGGGATGACGAACAATCAACATGAAGAAGCCCAAATTGAACCAAGGAGAAGGCAAAGAAAGCAAAGCAGATGTTATCAGCATATCCTCAACTCCAAGATCTCTCATAGAGTCGATTTAAAATCAACCCCATAACCAGGAAGCCATTTGTCTCCATTGATAAAGGACTTCACTGTGAACTTGGCAATGATCTTGGCACTAAGGTTCAATTTCAACCCTTTCCAATTCACTCTGTTTTTGGTCACAGCACCAGGTCCATAATTCTGATACTCGGCGTAAAATATGGTATCCGGTGCACTGGTTCCAATCCATGGCAACCATCCTTTCGGGTCAATCAAACTCCCTAAATTGCTCTGCATGAAAACGGTTGTCGAATAATTCTTCCAGGGCCGACCCAGGAAAGTACTCACCCCGGCAAGGTTTCCAAACGGAGCCACGGTGCAGTTCTGGATGGAAATCCCGGTGTTCTGGTTCGGGTCCATCTTGCCTTGCGCCGTCAAGGTGTTCTGCTGTCCGGGCATCGGTTTTCTGGGAAGGATTCTGCAGTTCTGAAAGACGACCGCGGAGTTACCGAAGATGAAGTCTACCGTTCCGTAGATGTCACAGTCCCGGTAGAATTGGCGGTTGGAGTGGGTGTAAAGAGTGTCCTGGAAAGCGTCGAAGGCGCATCGGAAGAAAACTGAGAGATCTGCTGTTGACATTAATGCCACTGCTTGATGCTTTACTGCCCCTGCTGTGTTCTGAAATCCAATGTCACGAGCCATGAATCCCTGACCAAAGACAGCTGCATCCACAGGCAACCAATTGAACAAACAAATGTATGCGATTAATTTTAGTACTATTAACTTCATGTGAATCCTCTCTGTCCCGAAATTATTGTCACACCTTAGATTTTCATCAATAAATACTCTACTAAAAATGAGATCTCGAAGTAGATAATTATTTTGAGAGAGAGAGAGTATGCGATTTCAGACGCGAGAATCATTTTTCAGGAATGCAATAATATAACACGTACCGAAAGTAGCACTTTGGAAAGTGGGAGTTCCATCTACAACGTTTTTGCGACCAGTGACAATGGTAGCATTCTTTCCATCACCAATCATCACAACATTCCACATGCTCTTCTCAATCCTCACATTCTCAACATAAATTCCCTTCTTCACATATATCACAAACTTCTTGTCGCTCTTTTGCGGCACAGCTTTTAAGGCCGCGCCGATCGTCTTGTATTTCCCCGAACCATCTTTAGCCACCACGGCATCCGCCTTGATCTGTTGTGAAGCGTTATTTGCAGTCGTCAGCAGTTTCCTATCCACAGAAGACAGCCAACTCGGCGCTCCCTCATCGAGCAAACGCCGTCTTCCAATGGATCCCAATGTGCCCATTGAAGCTGCTGCGGATTCTATAGAAGTAACAATAGCAAGAGAATTGCTGGTGAACTCGGTCGAGTTCTCCAGATTCGTCGACACAATCTGGCCTGAAGAGGCTGACATTTCGTTAATTCCGTCAATACATGTTTGTTGGTAAGTTCCTGCAGAACTTAACCATGTCCTTAACTCTTCTAAGGATTGAAAAATTGTAGAACCTTGAACTGACAACGAAGCATTGAGATGGTCTAATGCAAGTGAAAGCAACTCGTGGCAACTATCCAGGGCAGCTGTTAATCCTGGATCGCTGACATTGAGTTTCTGACGAAGATCTCCGTTTTTCGAAAACGACCCGGAAACTTTGGACAGCTCGTTCAGGGCAACCTGGATTGATAATTTGAATAGGTCTTGAGGCTTCAGGTTGTTGGAATTGGCCAGAGGAGACAGGCTGCTGAAACAGGAGTCCGGGTACAGTGTGACGTCGCAAACCGCCTTCACTGCGGAGGAAATGGATCGATCATTTCCGCCTGATTTGTTGTCGTCTTTGTTGTTTTGTGTTACGCCGACGACGGCGCCGACGATGACGCCGACAAGAACGATGGATGATACGGCAATGATGGTGATTCTCCTCCTCGTTTTCCGACGAGCCATCACCTTTTCGTGGTCGATAGCATTACCAACTTCAGCGACTTTTCCATAAGGATTGATCAGAGAAGCCATGGTTGTTAATTGCTCTTCTTGTTGTTGGTAATTAAAATGTATTTAGCGGTGATGATTTGAGTTGAAAATCAATATCAAATCAAACACTGCTTCAGGGCTTTGATTGGTTCTGGTTTGGAAAAAATGGGATTGTTTGGGTAGTTTATATAGGAATCGATCATTTGCAATTGACTTTAAAATATTTGATTGTTTATTGTTTTTCTGGAAGGAAGAATGAATCCAATTTAGAAGTGGAATACGCTGTTTGTTAGACATACGTGCGAGGCATGAAGCCCCGCGTAAACACAAAACACACAGAAAAATGCATGCCCAGCTATTACTAATTTTAAAGAGTGCATACCATGTTTAATTTCATCATATATTATACCTCAAAATCTCACCAAATATTAGCTCCCCTTTTGTACATCTTTTTGGGGGCTATTCTGCACTTACTAATTATATTCAAGCCTAGTACACAACTGGCTAGAAAAATAATTTTGTAAATGAACAAAGTCGGCATATATTTGGTTGATTTTAATTTTTTTTATTTTATTTATTACTCTTTTTTTTGTGGTTTAAGTTAAGGGAGTGATTCTGTTGTTTAAAGAGAAGGATATTCGATGGCGAAGCTGCCATTAAAGAATCAACGATGATGAAGAGGAGGATTCATTTGTTTTGGTTCTTCTCCTTTTAAGAAGTTATTATACATCTTGGGAAAGAGAGTGAGTTGGGTCGCTAGAGAACTAATAAATAATAAAAGACGATGCTTCAAATATAGAGAGAGAAGTATGTATTATTCTATTTTAAAAAAGAAAAAAAAACTATACACATTGAGTTCTGATTGCACTAAAAATAGGAATACAAATTTCAAAACTTAATATAGATTATTTAGGTGGGACAAAAGGGGTAAAATTTGCGTGGGAAAGTAAGGGGAAACTGACGTGATTCTAACCAATAAGCCAAATATTTAGATGGCGAGAAGGAAGGTTACAAGTTTTGGAATCTAGAAGACATCATTGTAATTGAAATGAAATACTATGCTTTTTGTTTTGTTTTTGGTTTTTTTTTTTTTAATTTTTTTTTATGAACATGTGATCCATCACTCCAATATGGGAGTTTAATTAATAATTCATTCGTCTCAAAATTAATGTTCAGTTTAAAATTTTACTTTTAATTTAATTTGTACTAAAAATGATAATCTAATTTGAACAATAATTTTGGGACGGAGATTACTCATTTTCCGTTCGCCAAGTGGTTGGTGAACGGGTCTGTCTCTGCACGTTTTGTTTTTGTTATTTTTCGCAAGTTACATTGTAGCGTTTCAAACTTAGATCTCAGAGACCACAACGAACCCTGCAACATAAACTGCAGAGATTGCAGCAAGCAATAAAACATATATATCAACCCCAAAAACAGTAGCCCTAAGAGGTTAACACAATATGATTACTACTACTTCTAGATAAGGCCTACAAAAATCTCTATAAAATGTTGAAAACCGATCAAGAAACTGAAAGCGATCAAATCATCCATTGCACGACTTTTAAGGGCTCTGTATTAGTAGATTAATTATGCTAAGTAAACTATTACATTACGGGGATAGATTATATGTTAATAAGATCATGTTCAACCCACAGTATATAGTATCAATCCTAGTAACAATAACGTTTAAATATATGGTTTTTTAATGAAATTATATTTATGAAACAAAGGAATTATAATATTTATTTTTTCTACTTAATGAGAGCATGAGACCTTATAATTTTCTTTAATAAGAAATTTGATAATTCCCTAGAATTATTCTCTACATTTTATTGTCTATCATAAACTGTGACTTATTATTACACCACCAAGATCTCACATCATCAAATATTTTGTGAATATATCTAAACTTTCAATCTAGTGATATCTTAGATCTTTTTATGGGCAAATTATCTGGTGTACTCGGGTACACCGTGTACCCCCTGCAAATTTCCCAAAATGAATTCCAATTGATGAATTCCAGCCGCCGACAATCCCAGCCGCCACCTCACACACATACACTCTCCTCACACACACAGTTTTCTTGTTTAATTAACAGCAATATTATGTGATGGTTGTCCATGCTATAATTGCTGGTTATCCACCCATTTTATACTGGTTATCTAGAAGGTGTAAACTGGTTATCCACAAGTTGTAAACTGGATATCCAAAAGGTGTAAACTGGTTATCCACAAGTTGTAAACTGGTTATCCAAACTTTGTTTGTGGTTATCCACCTATTTTATACTAGTTATTCACAGGGTGTAAACTGGTTATCCATTCTTTGTTTGCTGGTTATCCACTCATTTCCGGTGCCCCTACAAATTCCGGCGGTGATCCCCCAACCGCGTTCAATTAAACCCTAAAAATTCCGGCCAATCGATCCCAACCGCCTCCTCACACACACATACACGAAAAAATGACTCACCTTATAAAAACCGGCGTGTTCGGCGGGACGGCGAAGCTGGGCGGGTTGGTGACCTGCTATTCCGGCAGCCGTGGGAGTCGATTCTGGTAACGGCGGTGCTAAACGAGAAGGCCGAAGAAGAAGAGGTGGTGGATTCCGGTGGATTCTGATTCTGATTTGGGGTGTCGGATTTGTTGACGAAAAAGAAGAGCCGCCGGATTTTGTTGATTCCCATTTGGGGTGCACAGTATCCCCGGATGCACTGGATACAGACTCCTTTTTATGCTCTATTCCCTTTTTTTTTTGTTATTCTTAGGAAACGAGCTAGTACTATTGTGTTTTGGGTAAATGTATGCGACCTTGTTAGGTTTACGTATTCTGAACGTCAAATTAAATTATAAAAATTTTCGATGACTTTTTGCCACATAATTAGAAGACATTTGTTAGTGAATTTCATTGATAACCACAGGTTGATAGGAAGAAGAACATTGTTACAAACTTTCCACCAAACCAAAACCAGAAACAAAAAAAGTGAAAAACAAAAAAGTATTGGTATATTGACGAAGGTTGATGATGAGCAAAATCAAGGTGAAATCACCCCAACGAAAGGGCACTTTAGGATTTGTATTATTGATAGCTTAGAACTGTGATCTTGGCTTGGACTCCACCTTGGACATATACACAAGTGAAATCTCCACCAGGTTTCAAAACCTTCAACCATGGAGGAAGCTGATAGGTGTTCTGTTGTTCAGTAAGCCCCAATCCCCATATGGGTCCAGTTAGCCCATCAACTCTCAACTTCAAATCCGTAATGGGCTTCGGCGAAACATTCTTGATCACCACCTTGTGCCTGAAGAATGTCTTTCCTCCAGATGTCCATGAACTTGTTACTAAATGCAAGAAGCTGACTGGAACATCTACATCAAAAATTGAATTGGAAAAGGAACTTTCAGTTTCATTTGATGGGGATAAAAGTAAAAAGTTAGATAATAAAAATCATAATTTTGTCATTATGATAACCTGGTGTTTTGTTAGAGAAGTTCGGTCGTGCTGGCAAATGAGCTAAACCTGTGCATTCAATCCATTAGTGTTTGTAAATAATTCATCGGCCCATATTTCAACTGTATAGAGTATATAATAGTATCGTCGTGATGATTTTTCTTACCACGTGTATTGTTGTTAGGTGATATTGTCCTTGGAGGCAAGGAACGACCTGTAGAGGGTTCATTTCAGTTTCAAAGGTCAATTCTACACCCTGATTTCTTTGTAATGCACATTTTATAAAATAAAATAAAATAAGAGGCAAATAGTTCACCTAAATTTCCATTTCCACAAAAGGATTGCAACCTGGCAAAGAGCCCAACTAGAGGAGCAGTGCCAGAAATCGTGGGCTCAGTTTGTTCATAATTGGACCGATCATCGTTAAACCCATCGTAAACATTTGGGCCTCCAACAAGAGCACCATGAATAATGTTTGGATTACCACGAGCGTTTCGGTACCAAGTTTCAAATCCTTCAACACATCCAACAGCAGCTTTCAGAACCGAAACCGGAGCAATTGAAGCTCCACGATGATGAATGTGGGTGGGATAATTCTGCCCAAACCCAACAACGTAGCTCAGGGACCTGGGATTTTTTCCCAGGATGTAATCAGCCTGTGATTTAGCAAAATCGAGAAGGGCCTGAGGTTGAACTTGGGCTTCTGGACAGTGGAGCTGTAAATGGGCCGCAGAAAGATAGTCAGAATAAACTGCCAGGAGAAATGATGCAGAAGCTGCGTATTGCAGATTGTTCCATTCTCGGACGTAGATAAGCCCACCAGGAGTTAATTGCACGTTGTACCCATCATTTTTCTGGATATTAGCACAAGCGAAGAAATCTGCTTTTGCCTGATACTGTTTTAGAGTTGCAGTATATGCTCCACCACGGCCTTCAAATAACACCTATTTAATGTGGAGAATCAAGCAATCAAATTGCAGAAATGGAGGTACAAAAATGTTCCTTGTTTTGTATCACAAGAATGACTTTAGTAGGGGTTAATTAATATAATGATTGTCACGTTACAAAAAAAAAAAAGAAAAGAAAAAAGTAGTTGGACTTTTCTGGCAAGCCTCTCAGGATTGGATTTATTTCAATACGCTCATGTACCCGGGCTTTTTAACATTGTCCCAAACTCTACTGTTGAAACTGAAATCGAAATCGAAATCGAAAATAATGAGTTTATATACTCCTATTTAGAGTACTAGGATTAACCTTTGAGAGAAGAATTTGGACGCCAGCATACTTGTTGTCCCATGAAAATTCTTTGACAGCCCAACCAGTTCCACCCATTGAAACTGCATTGTTCACAACATATTTCAGGTAGTACTCATTATCAGTTGCTCTATACAGCCATGCTGCCGCCCAAAGAAGTTCATCCTGCAATATTGCAATGCATAGGCAGTTATGTTCTCAATTCAATCTAAGTAAGAAAATGAATCATTTACTCCCTCTACTGTTGGATTGACAACCATTTTCATTGGAAAAGCAAAATTCTAAGCTAGGGAAAAAAAAAAAAGAATAGATGAAGGTAATACTTACAAAATAACCAGATGATGTGTAAAATTGCTTTGCACAGGGTATGGAATCGTGATATATTCCTCTAAACGAATCAGCAAATGTGAAGAGCTGTAGAAATACCACAAAAGTTTGAGTAAGTGACCATTTACAATTACAACCATGCACAATGATCAACCAATTTTGCAAACATTTGAAGAATTGTGACCTGTTTTGCGTGGATTAAAAGCAGATTGGAGTAAGAAGAGTTATAAGGCTTGAAAGCCAATGAAGCAGCAGCTAAGGCAGCAGCAGTTTCAGCAGCAAGATCTGAACCAGGATGCTCAGAATCAAGCCTGTAACCTGTCCTTGGAGTTGTCATGTCTTCTGCTCTCTCCCAACAATAATGGTCTGAAACTCCATCCCCAACCTAATAGGTAAAATTTTAGTTAGAAACACAAGTTCGTGTGACGGAACCAACTCTCTATTTTTTTACACTTGAATTTAACAAGGATGAATACTGAACAAATTGATTAAATTTTACCTGTCCCCAAAGGACATTAGGCTGTGTATGAGCTTTCATGAAATAATCAGTTCCCCATTTGATAGCTGCCAATGTGTTCCCCATTTCATTGAGATTGGTAATCTGTGTTCTGAACTCAATAGCACCCCATGACATCATTGTCACAGCAAATGCCATTGGTAGACCAAATTTCACATGATCTCCCGCATCATAGTAACCTCCTACCAAATTTACCTGTAAAATGCAACAACAGTTAATTAATTCCCGTTTCAACAAAAATAGTCCGCATTCAGTTTTCATAGATAGTACAATTTAACTGTTTGACGAACAAATGTGCGACAAAATTTCTCCAACAAATAAAATGATGAAATATTTCTTACTCCTTGGAGAAAACCATCTTTAAGTCCCGAGTCAAACCGCCAATTTACACGTCGATTGGGAGGTAACTTTCCTGATCTTTGTGCTTCGAAAAATTGCAATGTTTTGTCCAAAGCAATGCCGTAATCACATGTTGAAGAAACCATTAGTACTGCTGCCTCCATACCAAGAAGGCCAACTAAAAAAATGGCCAAAATGGCATGCGAAGACGAACCTAATTTCGCCATTATCATACCAAAAGAATTGAAAGTTGCAAACTCCTGAACTTTTGGCTTTGAAAGTCTCAGTAATTTGCATTATACCTTCGTATATATATACACAAACAAAATGATATACTTACTAGTGTTGCAATAGAAAGTGAAAAAAAATGTTGCCTCCACGTCCACATAAGGTAGAGCTCCCCACGTTCATTTTTCTTATGCATTTTTGAGGTCAATGATTGTTCCTAATTTAATGACCGGCCTAAACTGATAGTGTCGTGTTAATATAAAGTTTCAGTTCATATGGCTTTAAGGTAATGGAAAAGCACGACATAGTGGACATTAAGAAAATAATTAAGGTCAAACCTTCAGAAACCAAGCTATTCTGCCCTCCCAAGACGATTACATAATTTTACTACTATCTCCGTTCAAAAAAGAAATTCACATTGATTTTTCAAATGTGCAGTATTTTTTAGTAAAAATTTCAAAACTTAATATGAATTACTGTATATCTCAAAATTATTATCCAGTCTAGATTTTCACATTTAACTTCAATTTATACTTAAAATAAAAAATAAAACTGGATAATAATTTCAGGACCGAAGGAATATTTATTTAGGACAGAGGGACTATGATAAATTAGACACATTGTGGGATATTATAAACTTATAAAGGGAGTAATGATATAATTATGAGAGAACATAGGCAAAACTTGTGAGACGAGATTGGTTTTTGTAATTAATGGACCGAAGATATGACTTCACTGAAGTTTTGGGTAATTAACTGGAATCGAATTAATTTAAGCTCTGAAGTGAATATGTGAAAACTTTTAAAGGATAAAGTTGCAATATCCGAGCAAAAGGGACGCCAAATCCGCCCGCGGCTCCAATTAGTAGTAACGGTCTAAAATTATTCATTGTCCGCACCGTTGTCTCCGGCTGGTCCTTGTCCTGCCGGCGAGCTCCTCCGTTGAGAAGTCGAAGCCGGTACCCCTATCTCTTCGTCTCCGTCTAAGTCATTGTCCCACGCATTTTTTCAACTTCGACGCGCCCCTGTTTACGAACCCTAGGAGAGCATCAAGTCGATAGTGGCTGATTCTGTCAATAAGTTTCGAGTGCGAAAATTTGTGTAATAGAGCACCGACGCAGCCGATTCGCCGGGTGAAATCTTGGTAGGATTTTAAATGACCTGTAATTTTTGTTCTGATTCTGTCCTTAAGACTGTAAGCTGCACTTTGTGCTGTTGTTTCTCACTCTCCCAAATCCTAAACCTAACTTTCATACAAGTTTCGAGTTTTCTGTGTGTATTTGAGTCTTCTTTCTGGAGCTCCTCTATGGTTTGGGATCGTTTGGCTGGTTTTCCATTCACGTTTGAGTTTTATAATTTGAATTCTGATTTGCTTACGAAGTATGTTAGCCATCGAGCCAATTCTAGTGAGCTCTGTATGTTTTTTCCTGAAAAAAATTGATTCTCAAGTATGATATTTGTTTAATTGAATCGATTATTACTACATAAGAATGTCACTAGGTTTTGAGGCTGCAGCCTTGTAACGAGCTGAGATTTTGTGATTCTTGAATCCAAACTTAGTCCAGCATCTGGCTTTCTTGTGATTGGTAATTGATGATATTATGACTGCTTAGAATTCCTACGATGAACTGAGTGAACAGCCATGGAAAGTTGATACGTGGAAATTCTCTGGAATGTTATGAATCTTATGGAAATTTGTAGAACTTTTATCGTGTGTTGCAGTTCTGAGTGAAATCTTGTGATGTAATTATCTTTGATCAGAAATGTTTGAAGTAGTTTGATCTATTGTTCATACCAGTTTTCTCCCTTTCTTTCTCTTGAGTTGCAGTTTTTAGTCATGCCAAAGGTAAAGACCAATCGTGTTCAGTACCCTGAAGGTTGGGAGCTAATTGAACCTACCCTGAGTGAGCTACAAGCAAAGATGAGAGAAGGTTTGATGAATTCTCTTTCAAAGTTTGAGGAGTTCTTTCTCTTTGTACTTCTGAAGTTGATTAGTGATTCCTTTATTTTTGGTTTTGTGAACAGCTGAGAATGACCCCAATGATAATAAAAGAAAATGTGAGGCATTATGGCCGATTTTCAAGATAGCCCATCAGAAAAGTCGCTATATCTATGATCTTTATTACAAAAGGGAGCAAATCTCCAAAGAGTTGTACGAGTTCTGCTTGGACCAGGGATATGCAGATCGGAACTTGATTGCCAAGTGGAAGAAGGTCTGGTTTTATTTATATGCTTGAATTATTTTCCTGAATATTTTCTTTGCATTTGTCTGATCTACGATCATCTTATCATTCTGCATCTAAAATTTTCTCCACCGGTTGGGGTGAATACTCCTGTGACATAATAGTATTTTAAGGCTCCGTATGGAGCTTTGAATGATTCAGAAAAGTTATGATTGATGTGAAGTCTAAATTATAGTGTGACGAGTGAAATAGGTGTATGGAATGGCTGTAAAAACTAGCACAGGTGGAATTTTTTAATTTGATGGGCATTCTCATATGCATACTCCTGATCTTTGTATCCTTTATTTGTTCTGTTCTTCGGCTGGTTAGTCATTTTCAACAGTTCTCAAATGCATTAATCATTAATCATGTTTTCTGCAATTATGGCAGCCTGGATATGAACGTCTCTGCTGTTTAAGGTGCATGCAAACTCGTGATCACAACTTCCAAGGAACGTGTGTATGTCGGGTGCCGAAGCATTTGAGAGAGGAGAAGGTTATAGAATGCGTTCATTGTGGTTGCAAGGGTTGTGCTAGTGGTGATTGATCATTTCTTGTGTTTAAACTTGCCAAATTGTGAAGAGGCCCTAGTAATCTAGTATTTTATTTAGTGTTATTGATGTCAACAATTACTGTTATAATCTGCGGTTTCTGTTGCCTAAAATTAGAATCGAACATGCACTTTTTTTTGTGGGTGTTATTGAAATAGTTATAGCTATGGATTGAAAATAGAGTTCTTCGAGTAATAAAAAAAAGATATGAGTTCCTCCAGATGTATAAATAAACTGCTTATATTAAAATGCCAGCCGACTTGTGTACAATACTAATACAAAATCTTCTTGGTTCGGAAGCTCATTTTCCTAACTCATTCAATAAAGCAGAATCCATAGGCAAGGTCATCTTTCCTGACCGATAGTTTACAGAATTCCCCTCAAAACAGGTTGTATTCCTTTGCGTCATTGAAACCTGTTTTGAACAGTTTTTGAAACTTCTCTAATTGAGAAGTACCTTCAAATTGGCCTCTAGCTGCTTGGAAATTCGATCATGTTGATGTTTTACTCCTCCAATGTTGGGAAATCCTTTGCAATCATCTGTTCTCTATGCAGAACTCGAAGATCCAGATTCCTCTGATCAACAGAAGATAGATTGTACAAGGAAAGATAAAGAGACCTCACTTGGAAGAAAAAGACAGAAGAAGTAAATTATCATACAGACAGTAGATATAAACAAAAGTATAAATGAGGAATATAGATTAACATTGATAATTACAGACATCTGAATCAACACATCATGCATAAGCAAGGCAAATCAGAAAAATTTCAAAACCAGATGAGGGAATTGGTCGTCAAAAAGGGAAACTAACCTAAGTATCAGGGGCATAATTGCCGAATCCACTTTTAGCCACCTTCAATGATTGTAGATGAAGAATCAAGAACCGCATTTTGAAGCTCCTTTCGCTTGAGATATTCATGCAAAATTGTTAGCCGAGCCGTTTCAAAGGCAAAGTAGCCTATAGCAGAAAAACAGGCACTATGAACAACTCTAGGACCCATTCCTCTTGTAAATCCTACCCACCCTTCTTCCTTCAAAATCTGTTTTACAGTAGCCGAAACGCCAGTGTACATTGCAGCTGCCACCTTATTCACAGCTTCCCCTTGAGCCTGAGTCATCAATCTGGTCTTAACCACATCCAGAGGAGTAGTCAAAGAAGCAGATATTGCCCCAGCTAATGCCCCGCAACAAACACTTTGAAAAGGCTCCAAATGCAGCTGGTCAGTCTTTCTCAGTACCGCAGCTTTTAAATATTCAAATGAGGAATAGCTCAACACCCCGGCTGGAAGATTCCTGAGCAATGTAGCACTGTAACCAGCATATAACCCCAAGATTCCATCTTTTTCCAATATCCTCAACAGTACCTCCCAAGATCTCCCTTGTGCACCAGCTTGCATCCTCTGAGTAATCAATTCTTTCGGTACCATTATAGCAGATGACACTATATTCCCCATCGCACCAGCAGTAGGAGGAATCAAAACAGCAGGATATTGAGGAATTTTTGACAAAATTGATTTTCCAAACTCACACGTACCAAAGTACACAGCAGAGGAAGCTGTAGAACCCACAATAACTGCTGAAACACCTCTGTAAAACCCAAGAATACCCTTGTTCTGGAAAGTCTTAGCAATGGCATCAAAGGTGCCACTATATAGTTCAGCTGCCCCCTTAGTCTGGAGCTTAGTCTTGATGGTATCAAGGGGGTGGAGACACACATAAGTAAATGCACCAGCAATCCCACCAGCAGCTGCACCAATGAGGGCTCTTTCCATAACAGAAAGATTCTTGAACAGGGCATAGACCTTAGGAGAACCTCTTGTGGCTGGTTTCAGGGAAATCTTAAAAGTGACTTTCGCGGGGCTTTTAATTTGGGGTTCAATAGAAGCCGAGGTTGATGCAAATTTAAGACCCTTTCGGCCGGAAATTTTGGGGTTTTTGTTATTTTCTATTTTGATTTGGGTGCTAGTGAGCTGATGCAAGGTTGACATGTTGGTTGATAAGAGCGTGGAATTAAGGTTGTTGAAGAGAGAATTGAACTCAGAAGACTGAGACTTTGATGAGAGTTTGAGAGTGGTGCTGGTCCGGAGCTCCATTTGATTGATTCAATGAAGCTAGGGTATTGCTGCTGTTACTTCAGAAAATGATCAGGACCTATTTGGACACAGAATGGATTGGGATAGATGATCATCATAACTTGGAAACCAAAGTAATCTGAACAGAACAAAAAAATACAGTGCTAAAACACCAGAATAAACCAAATCAACATGGAATTGACACTGCCAGTAAGGAATTGGAGCTGCTGATATTTGGAAGAAAATCCCAAAAAAAGTTAAAGGGGGTGCCTTGATATTGCCTCCCACAGTCTACAAACATGAAGAACGGAAAAGCAGCAATTCGTTCACTATTTGGCTAACAAATATAGTACAACTTTCGAAAACAGCATGATAACTATTTTACAGCTACAATCAGACAGCTAACACTTCCAGGCACTGTCTAGCCAACTAGAATCCCCCCACCCTTACTTCAACCCGCAAGCCTTATCAAGTTTGATATGATTAAGAAATCTAATTCCTTAAACATAACTAAAGTATAGAACGACGAAATGGTAGGTTTCGGGATGCAGAATTGTTCATGGTCAACAAGATACCACCTTTCACATCGACAGCATCAATTCACTAAATTTAAACAGCGAATTCAGAATACTAACCTTGTGTCGAGTAGGGGATTAAGGACACCAAAAGAAACAATTCTTCAACAGACCAAAATTGGTACAAAAAATGCTCCACGACAGAGGACAGAGCCCGACCATTGACTTGGATTGCAGAATTTTATCACTAAAGGGGCGGGATATTAAAAATAGACGACTTGAGGACCTAGGATCGCGGGTTTCAGATTCTGGGATGGATGGGTGGTAGGTCGCCAGCGGGTTAGAGTTATCAGGCGGCGCTGTTTGTTTCTGTGTTGTTTATTTTTTGTTTGGTAAGGATATGACTATTCATCCGGTGGTCCAGGTGGCGCAAATGGAAATAGGACTGAAGAAGTCCTTCAACATTGGCCAAACTTAGATTTGATCCTCAATATTCAAGGAAAAAAAAATTTTATTTATTATTTTTTAAAATAATAAGTTCACCCTAGAAGTTATTTCTCATATGTATCAGAATTTTAGTAAACTGCCTGAGCGATCTCCAAAGAAAACAGGTGCAGATCGTTTATTAATAATTAATAAATATGTTCATTTTCATGAAATAGCTCGCAAAATGTATAAGGAAATGAAACTCACACATGAGATAACTGAGCTGACTATACAGAGTCCATAAGCTAAATTGCTAGATCACAAAATTGCTTTTCATAGACAAAACGAATCAACATCATTACATGATGCCGGGACATACATAGCATTGAAACTTCTGCCTCATCAACTTTAAAGGCCAGCCAGGTGCTATTGATACGCTGACAAGTCAGAACGTATATTGTGTATTCCTCCAACAACTGATGACACAACACTTCTGAAGCTTCCAACAGGGAGTAAACGGAAGAACCAAAACCATACAAGATTTTAAGATTCAGCAGTTGTGATTAGTTACATAAACTACACAATGTTGAACGAAGATATCTTCATAGTATCCCCCATCGTCTCTCCAACTCGTAGCAAATGCGTCTAATACAAACACCGGCACTCAGTGGAAGTGCAGAAACTACAAAAATAGATGCACAAACATCAACAAGATAGATAGTTAACAACTATAGTTACTTGGCCTCACTCATTTATTGAACAAATTTGAATTATACCACGATAAGGAGAGGAAGCGAAGGGATAAAAATCAAACCTGATATGAGGTCCTCTATGTAGTCACACTCAATTTTCCCGTGAGCCATGGCGCCAATCTAATGGAAATTTTCCCATTCAATAAGTGCTTTACAAAGATAAATGGATGGAAAAAATCAAAGGTTAACTTAACAGTGGCTGAATTCGTACCACAAAAACAGGGGTAACGTCACTGTCAATTGAACAAACATAGTCTTGCAACTTCACAGCCTTAGGTGAACTTTTGGAAAGCCCTGAAATAAAAGTAGATCTCCCGTGTCATGGAATCTGAAGAAAGGATATGACTCAAATCAAGCGAGAAGCATGCAGCTTACCTATTCTTTTGGAGTTCATGGGCAAGTGCTGAACCAAAGGGTTCTCAATCAACTTCAGCAGTTTCTTACCCTTACCAGAGGCTTTGATACTAAACTTTTGCAACAACTGGCCTGTAACATTTTTAACAATTGAGTTGCAAAGACATGATTAAATTCAGGTAAAGGGTGGACAAAAATTATAAAAGGCAATGCAGCAAAGAGTACTGACACATCATGGCACAAAATTTCCCGAGTGTTGGAGGTATCTTTACATGTGGATCAATTTTGATAAGCTGCCCGAGATCAGTTTTAACATAGACAGCTTGAACCCCACCAGCCATATTAAGTCGGCTGCCCATTATATCAACAAGAATCTGAAGAAAGAGTAAATGAAATGAAATTAGCTAATAAAATTCATTAATATCACAAGAACTTGATGCAGGAGCATCTATATTAATACACCAACAGAACAAATCAAATCACTCGGGTTGTACATAACTTCCACTACAATGGCAAAGACCGTTCACACAACGCTGCAAAATATATATGTTAACCTATAACAGTTAGTGGAAACCAGAAGCAATGTTCCACACATCGCCATTCAGCAAACTGTCTCACTTCATTAAACAAGTGAAAGAAGGTTCGTTCTTAAAAATAAATGTGTACTGAATACAGATGCAGCAGATAAACAATGTTGAAAACTGCTCATTTAAAAAAAGATTAGATAAAAAAATAGGGTTTGCATTCATAAAGACAACATCACACATACAAAAATCTCCGCTCTAACATGGGGTTGTACAGTTTCAGAGAATATTTTTTTTTTCTTCATCTAGCACACACTCGTTTTAATGTACAGCAAATAACTTCGGAAACTATCGAAAACAACCCTCGTGACTTCTTACCTCATGGATGATATCGGGCCTGTAATCATAAGGATTCAATTTTTTCTTCCTCAAAAATTCTGCATGCTTGTCTGGGTTCAAGATCTCATATGTCTGAAGAATGGGGAAAAAGAGAAGCAAGAATGGACATTACTGAAGATAGAGAATAAGAATGCAAGCATATTAAGTTACCTTAAATCTACTCATAAGGAACTGAAGAAAGAAGAAGGTGGAAAAAGAAACATTATACAGTGCCGAAGAGAGTTAGCTAGATATACCCTGCCAACATAAGCAGGCACAAGTGATGCCTTCTCCAAAACGAAGATGACTCCTGCTTTTCGGCTGCTCTTGCTAGGCACTGATGGCAGCCCGGGAAGTAAAGCTAAAGGATCAACAGCATCTTTTGCCTCAGTATCACTGAGTTCTGCATCCCCCTTCTCCCTTTCACCATCTTCAATAACATTGTTACCCATCGAGTCAAGTTCTTCTCCAATCGGAAGTGTGAGCTTCTGAGATGAAACGGCGGACAAGTCCACGGCCTTTAAAAATTCTTCTGACTCGGTGTCTCTGATTTCTGTAACTGCTTTTCCCTCTCCTTCACCTTCAACAACGACTTTTCCCTTTGTTTCGAGTTCTTCTCCCGTAAAAGATGTGAGCTTCTGAGTTGGATGGGCACACAATATCGTTCTCTTCTTATTTCTCTTCCTCAGGCTGGTTAACAAATTAGGAGAAATGAATTAAAATTGTGTTTGGATTTTTTCCTCATTTATGAACAGATAAACTTTCCTCCTAAGAGACAATGTATTCAGAAGATATAAAAAAAGGAAGAGAAAGAAAGATAAACCCCTTTATCAATGTTACGAATAAATAAATAACTTGTTAGATGAACCTGAATGAACTTAAAATTCAAAATGGTCATGCCATAACAGACAACCAACTAAAAGTGGTGTTACCCATGACTATGCCGCCATAGGAGGTTTCGGTGAGGAAACGCTTTATGTAGCATTTCAAGCTGAAATAAGCTCGTTTAATCACACCCAACCAATGCTGTAAGACCAAGATACAAATGATCGGGTCAATCATCGTACTAGCCAAACGCATACTAGAAAATCAGATTACTTCACAATGAGATGCCATTCATTAACATTTAACTACAGTGACAACAAAAAAGTACTATTTCCATCCCCCAACAAAGAGTCCAGGTTTTGAATATTTCCCTAGTCCCGAAAAACAGGATAACAGGTGTGATTCTATTTTCCTTCAATCCCGTGTTATGGTTTAGAAACAATGCATTAAAGCCACTATTTCCCCCTCAAGTATGCCAAAGAAATACCCAAACTAAGCCTATGTAGAGATATCTAACATGATGGCAGTATGAATTTTACACATGAGATTGCGTAATGCTATTGTTTCAATCTACATCCAATATGCTAATACGAAAAGTTTTTTAAAAGACCAATACACTCAAAACATAAGGAGGACATCATAAGCATAAAAACTCAGATAAATAGCCCGAACTATACTATTTCCCCATCTACTTCTCTCTCCAAAGGAAATAACGCTTAACGCTGAAAGCCATAGCTATTGCCAGAATCAATTAGATAAGCACTAAGCACAAATTCCCCTCGAAAATAAAGATAAAACGGTCTAGTCTTTGAAATTCATTGCTATAAAACAGAATGGTAGAAAAGACGCAAACCTGAATTTAGTTTTGGTCGCGGAGGACGGTGGTGAGGTCCGTGGAGTGGTACGAATGGAACTTGCAAAATGGAGAAAGTGATGGCGTATCGTATTCTGGCGGCGATTGAAGCTAAAATAGGCGGTGGCGACTCCGGACGGACAGACAGCTTTAGAGCCGGCGGCCAGGGCAATAGCTTATGAGTTCGAGAAGTTGGAACTTAGAACTGTTACTATAGAGTATAGAGCGAAGAGTTACACGTGTAATTGCAAAGAGGGACAAAATTTTTGTGCTCCTTTTTTTTTTGGTGCGCATTTGAAAAATATCAGTACAATATTTAGTCCTATAAATTTGTAATTTGATTTTTTCAATGCCAAATATACTTTCTTAATACTCCTTCCATTCCAAAATATTAAAAAAATAAAAATATTCCATAATATAATTTCTAAATTGTACTAAAAATCACAAATTACGCGGCATAATTTACAAATTATAATGTGGATTTTTTTTTTGGACAAAAGAGTATTAAAATCATAAAAATGAATAAGAATGAACAGTAAAACCACCGAATAACGCTTGAAAGCTTTCATTCGAAAATAATTAGATTGTAAATATAGTGAAAAATTAAAATCGAATGAAGAGATCTAGGATGAGAAAAATGCAACATTATTTACATGATATTAAAATTAAAAAAATCTTTATGCCATTCCCATGTATGCCACCATTCACTATAGCTTTTACTTCTTCTTTTTTTTTGTCATTACAAAACTTTGTTCTCCACAAATACGTTGATGGAGTTATGAATCATATCTCACGATCGTTTCTTGTATGTATGATACTTTATATGCAAATGACACTCACATTGCATTTGCTATCGACAATATCGACGTTGATTAAGAAAAAAAATGCAAAAAACATTCACACATAGATTATTATTTTCAAAGGTCTATTAATTCATCCCCTATATTGAATCTTAAAGTTAATGTATATGCTAAAGAATACGAGTGTAAATTTAAGTTGGTTTTATTCTATGGAATTAAAATATTAATCTCTCTTTATTTTAGTAATATGCAACTAGAAGTGAAACCGTCAATTCCCATAGTGTACTATGTCAGTGAAGCCGATAATGTTTTATAGTGTTGTAAGTTCTCATTAAAATCATCATTGACATTAGTACTTGAGAAATGTATATCGTTTTCATTAATTTACTTGTTTTGTCAAGGTATTTTGTCGAGAAAGAGTAAGTAGAGATTATTTTAGGTAAGTGAAAAAGTATTTGGGTTATGATGTATTTATAATTTATAGGGTAGTTGATTTTGAAATTAAAATATATTGGAGGGTTTTCAAAGATAAAAGAATCATCAGGAGGGTCTCTAGCAATTCTTTGGAGGTTACTTTCTTACCATCTCCAACGTGACTGAAGTAATAATGTGTAGACTACTAAACTGTAAAACCCTTGAGCCACACCGCCGCCGTCTTTTTCCTCGGTACTCCGCTTCCTTCTTCTTTGCTACAATCTTGAAACACAGAGCTCAGATAGCTCGAACAAAATAACCTTCCATGGGACGAGCCATCTCCTCCGTAGGGTTTAAGCGGAAGAGGAGAGGAAATGTATCTTTGCCGTCGAAGAAATTCGAAGAGCAGAAAGGAGAAGAAACGCAGGTAAAGTCAATTCAGGAAGCCACTTTAGTCCAAACTTCAACCCCTTCGAATTCGGATGCAAATACCAGTAAGAGAAGTGTGAATTTCATCCTCGACGGCGCTGCAATCAAGAAACTTCTGGTCAAAAAGGTATTCTAATATTATTTCTCTTCTGTATTTCTTTCAGACAGCTTCGACGGCCACTTGGTCTTCGTATGTTTACGTTGTCTCAAAGAAGTTAATAGTTTGTTTTTGTATGTGAATTGTAGAAGTGGAGGGTTGCTAAGTCTTTAGACGATGAGGAAGTTATTTTGAGGCAGAACAAGAATGTTGATGATTATCGGTGCGATATTGTGCATGAGGTAAATCTTCAGATCATCCTGACGTTTTGGTTTTTGGATTAATGATTGTTGTTGATTGGGTTTAATTTGATTGTTGATTATGCTATTAATTATTAGTACAAATCACATGATGAACTGTTCATTGTTGTCTTGTGAAATTGACTAATATAGATTCGCCTCTGTTTTCCTTACCGAGTAGTGCGATTAATTAGCACGTACCCTGGGATTTTTAGAAAGTTACGTGCAGATTGATTCTTGTGTTTCTCGTTTACCCTCAGTGGTCTAAAAGATTTTTGACTAATCTACAACTGATTGGGTGCCTTTGTTTGCTTCTGTATAAAAAAATTGAACCATGATTGTTGATGTTTTGCTACCTCCTGTGCTATTCATACACACTAGTACTGGCATCAGCTAGGGAAAGGTGTAATTGGGTAAATATGACCTCCACTTCCACTCATGCAGGCTTTGCGTGGCATTTTGGACAGTCCACTGAACAAATATGATATGGTAGCAGCTATTTTTGTCAAAATTGAGGATGGAGTGCTGTTTGAAGTTAAACCACATGTTCGAATACCCAGAACGTTGGAGCGGTTTTGCGGTCTCGTGTGTAAGCAGTATATCTCAGATTTTTTTTTTCCTTTCTCTTTTTGTGTGTCATACCTTTTAGTTCAGAAGCTCTATTTCAACTCCAACGCATTTTTCCTCACCTTCGCTGCAGCTACTTTGTTGGAGAAAAGATGCATTCGCAATGAGGAAACACATGACATTCTACTCCGTGTCATTGAAGAGCCTGTTACGAGATATTTACCCGATAATACTCGAATTATAGGTGTTGCTTTTGTGTACCGTAACTCTTGAATTTAATAAGGAACATATTGTGGTTAGTTTTTCATAAAAAATTATTGAAGTAAATTTATTGATTTTTGGTTTTATGATTTTAGGTCTTTCACATAACTCCAAGAAGTTGATAAATGTAGAGGACTACCTTTCCGCATCAAGCGACGATGTGAACTTCACTTTTGTGGTAGTGCACCCTTTCGAACCTACATAGCCATGAGTGTTATGTTCTGGCATCAACGTTATTTTCTGCAATGCTTAAGCATTCTTGTGATTTTTACTGTCCAGGTGGGGGCATCTGTGCATAAAGATATAAACACTCAGTATGCAGATGATGTCGTGGCAGGTAGAGACTATCACTAGTTAATTCATCCTACTGATTGGTTTATTTGTGATTGGTTCTTGTTGGGTGAATTGACATAATTTATTCCATGATACATGCTTTTATTTAAACTCGTGAATGAAGGGTCTTCCTTTTAACAGACATTTGTTAATTTCGCTTGTCTTTTTGAAGGGAATTTGCTAATTGAGACAGTTGAAAATGTTGTTTATTACGGGCTAAGTGAACGAAAGCTAGTTTTGTTTACTAATTAACTGAAATCAAGATGGTGTCAAGAAGAGAGAACAAATTAGCTAGAGCATTGCATTAACATGGAGCTAGTATCAACATATTCCATTTATTATTGACGGTGGAAGTCACACTTTTAAGATATTCCATTGAGGAAAAAGATCTTTGTGATGTGAAGAGTTGCTGACTTTAGTTTCCGATAAGTGAGGTGTTTCCCTAGATGATAGCTATCAATCTATGTGTAGCTTTGTTTTAACTTTCTATTTCCCCCCTTTTTGGGTTATGAATCACCTGCTCTTTGATCATGGTTAACTGCTCCTTTTATTCCTTCGTAATGTTTGAGTATTAGACAAAGGGGTTAGAAAGTGTTTCCGTCTTATTTGCATACAAATATTCAAACGGAAGGCTAAGTTTGATGATTGCATCTTATCTTACACTCTAATTGCTCCCCCATATTCCAATCCACCTGAGGTCAACTTCTTGAATTATTTCTTGGTAATCTTTTACTTGCTCCTTGCTCTTGGAGTTCATGGTTTCATTGCGGATTCTAACCTACTTCAATTGGCATATTGAAAGTTCTGTCTTTTTGTTGCAGTTTCGAACTACCCCTTGGGTGCTAAGGCGATTATTGGGATGATCTGCAGCGTGCTCGAGCAAAAATGGAATGCTTTTTGATGTGAGATTGCAAGGAATAGAATTCCTTTTGATGCCTTGAGTATCTAATTTTTCTTTTACTCACAATTTGTTGGGATTAGCCAGTTCAGGTGATTTATGCTTAATCACACCATTGTGTGTCAAAAAAAAAAAGTGTAAATTGTGTTATTATTGAGATCTTGTAGTTCGAGTTAAAATTTACACCATTATTGGTAATGCATCCATTTGCATTTATATTGTTAAGTTCAAGTGAATGTATTTTAAATGTCTAAGAAGACAAAAATGTGTGTACAATTTTGTTAACGTAAAAGCTTGGCAAAAATAAACATATTAATTTTAAATATTTACTCCAGTTTGAATAGGGCTGCAAAAGTTGATGCTATCGGACTATCGGTAACAGCCCCCAGCGGGAAGAAGTTAAGTGCAAAGCTAGGGTTCAATCCCTAAGCTATTAACATTAGGACAGAGAGTAACATTTAATTGTATTTATCATTAATCTTGGGAGATTACTTTTAGTATAAGTATATCTACTTTTCGTTTCAATTTTATTTTTCCTCTTAAAATTTTCTCAGCTCCTGCTTTACTTGCATTTTACTCCAACAATGCAACAACTCACTTCTCTTAATTACAAGACACTAATGGCTTTTCACGTATAAATCGACATATGGGACATTATTATTTCCATTTTTTTTAATTTTACGAATCAATAATAAATGAAATGAGATATTTTTTTTGTGGTAGATTCCTTAATGATTATTATTATTATTATTTTGTAATAATTGTTCATTCAAAGAGTTCAAATGATAAAAGGGTCTATAGCCTGTTTGGATATATTTGTTGCTTTTTATATCTTATTATTCATAACAACGAAACTATCAAATTTTTAATACTCACAGTTTTTATTATTATTTTTTTATTTTTTATCTTTAGCACTTTTTAAAAATAAATTTTAAAAAACTATCTAATTCATTTTGATACACAACTTGGAATCATTCTGAAGTAGAGGGACTAGTTTGATAATTATTTGTTAAAGACGACGAAATTAGGAAAACACGAAAAAAGATTAACCCGCTGTGCGTCATCTCTGCAATTTCCACATGGGTTTTAGCCATACCTCAGATCTAAAGCTTTGATTTGAATGCATATATGTGCTACCTTTATTCCCTGAAGATTTCCCCAAATTATTGATCTTCCGAACCGAAAATTGTTCATCAATTCATGACGGCGATATTGCCACACCATATTACCCGTTCCAGAATTATCGGACTGTGCATTGGAAGAGTGTGCTGATTGATTGCCGCAAAGTTTTTGGATTCTTAACTAGTTTTAGGTTTTCGATTAAAGCTGAGAAATATGTTTTGGAGGGAAAAAGCAAGAGAGAGTAGTGTAGAGCTGAACGGTGGACCTCCGAGTGGACAAGTCAGAGTGCTTGTTGTTGGCGATTCAGGTACGAAGTTTCTTCAATTTGTTCGAATTTTGTTGTTCTGGTGGAGGGGAAAATTTTCGCCACTTTCTTCTTTTTATTTGATGCTTTAGTGTACGTATATTTGTTGAATTGTTGATCTGTTTAGTGTAAAGAACTGATTCTAAGTTGTTTGTTTTTCACTTATCGTTTTGCTTAAGTTGCGAATTTAACTTTGGATGAATTCTCTAATGTGGTTCTGGAACTTTTTCGTTTCAAGTGTATACGATTGACTGCTTTTTGGATCTTGGAATGCTGGAAATGATCAAATGTGCTTTAGTATAGGAAAACATGCTACTCAATTAAATGTTATTTCCGAGCATCAATTTGCTTCTGTGGACGATATACTGACCACTAGTGCCCTTCTGATGTTGCTGGATGCAAGTTGTGATGAAATAATGTTATTATAGGATTATTCCTTAGAGATGTGTCTGGAATAGAAAAAGTAGGTGTAAAATTGTGATATTACTGAAGATTTGTGATTAATAATGAGCAATTTTTTTACACATTTTTTCTGTATAATTGTAGATTGCTGCTTCTGTGAATGGTTTACTTTGTGGACACATTCCACTTTGATTTAAAGGATAATCAACCACGTTTTAAAGCTTTGATGATCATTATCTGTTATTCAGAAGTTCTATGGATGCAAAAATTTAATACTCACTCTAGCATCCTAGACTCAGTTATTTGACCATTAGGTCCATGGAGAAGATTTTCGATTTAGAGCTTTGATGTTCAGGTTGAAATCTATATCATGTTCCTGCCATGTTTATGATACATGTGATATAGGCTTCTTGTTGTTGTTGTTGTGTCATACCTGTGACCCACTAATCTCTTGACATTCGTTTGGATTGAAGTTTCACGCAGCTAAAAATGATCTATGTTTCTCACTTGTGTTTTTGATTTTACATCCATCAGGAGTGGGGAAAACTTCTCTTGTTCATCTGATCGTAAAAGGCTCTTCCGTAAATCGCCCATCTCAAACAATTGGCTGTTCTGTTGATGTTACGGTTAGACTCCATTTTTCTTTGCTGAAATAAAATATATACTCTGCCTGCAGACCATTATTCTGAAGTATTCTTTTCTAACTTACTGCACAGCATATTACTTATGGATCACCAAGTAGCTCATCAAATAATGTTGAAGGAGACAAGGAGAGAGACTTTTTTGTAGAACTTTGGGATATATCAGGACATGAAAGATACAAAGACTGTCGATCTCTATTCTATTCACAGATCAATGGTATAACTTCCTACTCAGATTACCCTTTCAATTCCATGGAAGAAATTATGTAGCGGTTAATTACTAGTGCCTTTACCCAGGTTATGCGTGGATTGAGTTTATCTTGGAAATCTCTTAATTGGAGATAATAGCTGATATCATCGTGACACAAAAACCTCAAATAATCATGCCAGTGATGCGTTCTCCTACATTGAATATTTTTCTTCCTTGAGTGTTCCGTGTTTATTAGTCGTCTTGCTGGATACCCATGTACTCTTTTCATCATCCCAACTACAGAGCTTTTCAAAAATATTTATATTAAAAAAGAAGACATTCTTGACTGTCTCACTCGCTGAAGTATATCAGAATCATTCTATACTTTCCATCTTTTGTTCTGGAGTTCTGTTTTTGTTCTAGAAACAGTTCTTGTTTTTAGGGTTGTTTCCTCTTTCACAAGATGAAGATTGTGGAATCAAAAATATCATGCATTTTGTGGAAGTTGATAAAAGGATAATGTCTCCAGTGAGATCAAGAGTTCTTGTGAAGTATCACTGCTTGAAACTAGCTTTGGCAGTAAACTTGACTTATACATGTAACATGTATTCATAAGTTTCTTGAACTACTATGGTTGTAATCTTGTTCTTTTGCTCCGTTCTTGGATTTTTTTTAGGTGTTATTTTTGTTCATGATCTCTCTCAAAGAAGAACAAAAACAAGCTTGCAGGGGTGGGCTGCAGAGATTGCAGCAACCGGGACGTTCTCAGCCCCTCTAGCATCTGCAGGGCCTGGAGGCCTTCCTGTTCCTTTTATTGTTATTGGCAACAAAGTAGATATCGGTGTGAAAGAAGGAATGAGAGGGAGCAGTGGCAATCTGGTAGATGTAGCGCGACAGTGGGTTGAGAAGCAGGGGTTGCTTCCATCTAGTGAGGAACTTCCTTTGACTGAGAGTTTCCCTGGAAATGGTGGCCTTGTCGCAGTAAGTTCTACAATCAACTTGGAACTTCCATATTACTTGTTAATTATTTTTTCTGCTTTTTCTTAACATTTTTTAGCCAGAGTTGCAGAATATCTGGAGCATAGTTAGGAATATTAAACTTATGACTGCTTATTTGGAAGACGTAAGCCTTATGTTCTCTGGAAAAAATAAAATCAATCATTATGATTACTATGCACTGGAGATAGTAATGGTGTTATTTTATTGAAGGAAATATGTAGAACATCTTAGAACTCCTTTCGAAATTTTCAGGGCATCTATGTATCTGGTGTTACTTAAGTTGTTTTTATTCCATAGGTCGGTCGTCAAGAGTTGATTGATGAATTGGCAAAATCTTTTATAGCTTTTGTCTTTTCACCAATGGTCAATTTTTGTTATGGTCTCGTGAACATTTCAGATGCTCGTATTAGAGTTACAATTTCGATTTACAATTATGAGTTTTACCGGATAACTTTGTCGGAAATGAAACAAAACTGTGCAGAGACTTTATTAGTGGATCACCATGACACATAGTACACTATGCGTGCCTATGATGGTCTATAACCTTTGGTGAAATGCACGTATTGTTAAAGCAATCTGTAAAGATTTGCCAGGGTTTAGGGTTTAGGGTATCTCCTGCAATGCCTCTATGCAGAACATCTTTAGAAACTGACCGTCCCATTAGCACTTTGCAGGTAGCCTTTGACATGGTTTCAGGGGTTTCTATCCTAAAGTTTTAAAACTCATCTTCAAGTTGCTCTGCCTCTTGGAGTTTCTCCCTGACTTGATTTTAGTTGACAGGCTGCTAGTATATCTAAGTGTTAAATTTTACTTCCTGTAATCTTATGTGTTAGTCTTCATTCATATGCCACTATTGCTAGTTTTGAGATTACATGATGCAATGTTGCTGAAATTGGATTCTGCCCGTCACTTTGAATTATACTGTTGCAGAGTTGCTTTCTTTAAGAATTCTTTTCGTTGACTGTTATATAACAATGTTTTATCTTCTTCGGGTAAGCAGGCTGCTAAAGAATCAAGATTTGACAAGGAAGCTATAATAAAGTTCTTTAGAATGGTTTGTATTTCTCACTATAGATTATGGGATGACTGCATTATTTTAAGAATTACCTAAGACTAAGACTATAGGACCTTTTACAGTTAATAAGGAGGAGATACTTCTCAGATAGTTTACCTGTTACAAGCCCTTGGTCTTCACCACTTCATCAACCTATAACGCAGTCAGATGAAATCACGAGTGAAGAGGATCATTTGTACCAAAACTCGCGGTATGGCTTGTAAATTATGTTTTTTTTTTTTTATGATAATATATGATAATCTAATCACGATAAATTGATTACTCAGTAAGTTGATTGCAACAAGTTGTTAACTTGCAGTTCAGTTGGTGACCTTCACAAATACAATGTTCTCCCTCCACTCCCAGCTCAACGCAATTTAACACCTCCTCCCACACTTTACCCACAGCAGCCCATGTCCACTCCTGACACTAAGTATAACATTCCCAGATTTGCTTTGATGGGTTCCCAGGAGATCAGCAGTGTGAGATCGAAACGTTACGACATTAATGTTTGATTATCCTCATCACTGAACATCAGCAATCTGCAGTATACATGGCCTTTTTGAAATGGTATATTGTAATGTCTCAACCGGTTGATTCAGTCTTTCCAGCATGGAAAAGAGGTACTGGTTATACTCTCCTTCATGGATAAAATCGTTGATCTGGAGTAATCATTAGCTTGTCTTGGTAGCCCATTCTTTTGTGTTGATTACATGTTTTGCTGCCTTCACATTCTTTCCACTTCCTATACTTGTGTATTCTTAGTGTTGGAAGTTGTAAATCTGGGAAAAAAAGAAGAAAAAACTGTGATTGAGATGAAGAAAGGTATACTATAACTAGTTATTTTGGCTTTCTTTTCTAGGATCAAGGAAAAAGTGGTGTAGAGTACGTTTTTCTTGACATCTCTACTTACGAATACGTGCAAACACTCTCATCCGTGTACAAAATATTAATTGTGCGTTTGTTATTACTCATTATAATGGAAAATATTATACTTTGGCTTTCTGCAGTCTACCTTCTGAGACAATGCGAACTCTTATTTTAGGATGGATTAGATCCTTTTATTTTCACTTATGACTAGATATATTAATTAGACACACAAGAGCAAGTAGTATTCATTTCATAGATTCAATATCTGGGATTTGGAAAGAAGTACAATGTATATTATGGACTAGAATTGGATGCATGGAATCCAGTCCAGGAAAAGAATAAAGATTTCTGGTTATAGTAGTAGCCTACACTTTCAACATAATATAAAAACATAAGAGGATAACTTCATCTTTTTTAATAGTATATTCCTATCCCTGGTGATTAATTAACTAATAGATGAACTAAATATAGAGTAATAAATAAAATGGGGTCAAAGCAGGCGGATTGGTGGTGATCTCATAGGCGAAATCTGGAGAGGCCAACTTTGTGGCCGATTAATTTGACATCTTGTTGAATTTGATGGCGATATTCGCCGAATGTGAAATTCTTGTAGACGGAAGGTTGTCTGCAGCTCCCAACTACTGAATCGTAAGAAGGGCATAGAAAATAGGCAATTGAGAATCTCTCCACTTTCTTATTTGCCATCACTTTGTGCTCTACGCTCTTATAAACATCATTACTCCATGCCTGCACCCACAGTTTTCTTATTATTAATAATGCTAGTGTTACTTATGATACTACGAACAAGAAGATAAATCATCTCGAAAACCAGAGACAAGATTTAGTATAAATTTAAAAATTTTATATGAACTATTTTTTTAGGACAGAAAAAGTATTTTATTATTATATGAAATGATATTTTCCTTAAAACACAATACTATCACAACCCTCTCCTTTTGTATATTGATAAACCTACTCTAATAACTAATGTATAATTTTTTTCTATTAACAACATAATCATCATAGGATAAAGGGATTAATGATATATGGTAGTTTAAAACGGAATTTAATATACATTCTCGGCGGCAATTCTCTATATCGCCGCCGCCCATTGCATGATATCATTATCACCACCACGTATGTTGGCTACAAAAGCACTGTAGTACAGTTTACTTGGTTTGTTTTTCCTTCTTGTTAGACAAAGAGAAGGAAAAGAAAAAAAAAAAAAAATCCCGACCAAGAAAACAGTGAACATAAATTAATTGGAGACAAAAAATATGAGTCACGGCTGATTAATTTTATATTATAAAGTAAACAGATTGGAATCGGACACCTCAACCAAAAAAAGGCAGATAGACCAAAATTCTGCTTTTGGCATACATGAAAATACTTGTGAAAGGACACACAAATGATTCCAAACCAACGTTAGATGTCATATTGACGAGAATGAACAAACATCTTGAGAGAGAATGGTCAACAATCCTCGTGTGCGTGTTTTTAAACTAACAATACGAACAAATTAATCACCCAGCGGCATTTGGAAAGTGATTGATAGCAATTAATTAAGTTGTTCTAAAAGCCGTGTGAGTAATTAATATTATTTCTCCTTTTGAGACCACATATTGTGATGCCAAAAATATTATAGAATTTTTCTTTCATTATTATAATCAAAGAATGAGATAGATATGATATATGTGACTAATGACTTTTGAACTCTTAATATATGTGACACTGATTCAAGGTATGATATATAGTATCATTATTTTCTCTAATTCTCTGTATTATTATCAGATTTGTATCTTACAGCATTTCATCAGTAGTTAATCATTTGAACTAGTATTTTAATTATAACGAAAACTGAAGACCAAAAAAATACTGATTAAAAAGAAGTCTAGACTGATCATGCGTTTCTTAAAGATAAAATAGTAGAAAGCGGCATTATTCCGCTTTGCCGCTCCTTCAATTTTTAAGTTTTGACCAAACGTCAAATAATACTATATCCAATTAATTTGACCTAAAGCAAATAGCTAGCTTCATTAAATTAACAAAAACTAATTTCTATAGCAATTGTTGGAAAGACTATATACTACTGTTCTAATAAACAGTCTGCATTGAGTTTTCAGATTTATACTATTTTTGGTAAAAATTTCAAAATTTAACGTCGATGATAAAAAGTAGTAAATAAAAATTTCAATTATACCTGAAAAAGGTCTCCAATGTTGACAATGAGGGCATTTTGGTTAGGTTTGACAGAAATCCATTTGGAATCCTTCATAAGCTGAAGACCTCCAACTTCATCCTGGTGAAGTATGGTGAGGAAATCGCTATCGGTGTGTGGAACTAACCCGAATATTTCTTGCGAGATGGGACAAGCCGGATATCGATTCAACCTAAGAAAACACGTGTTCTCCCCGCACATTTCTTCCAAGGTGTCCTCCGGGTGTCCCAAGTTCATCACCAGCACTACTGCAAGCAATTTTGCTACCTCTTGCATTGCCGCTGCATATTCCACCATCACTTCCCTATTCCCACAATTCACATAATCCATACATGATACATCCATTCATCAGGAAAGAAGAAAATAGATCGAACAAATCTCAAAATTCAATATGGACGACTGATACACATGCATAATGCATTTTTTCAATAAAAAATCATCTTATTTGTTAAGTTGATCTAAACTGTTTGATATGATATTGTCTTTTTTATGCATCGGGGTGGAACCACTTCCTAGATGCATGAGAGGTGACTGTATATGTCGCTTCTTGGACAAGATTCCAACTGTTTCTAATGACTAATCATGGAGCACAATTTTTGTGCCTACCCGAATGGAATAATAGATGGATTCCTTTTTGTGACCTCTTTCTATGGTCGGCAAATCCACTCATGAGTTTTGTACTACCATCTAAATTAATGAGGGAGATGAATAATTTTTTTTATTTTTAAAAAACTTTTTAAAGTCGACCTGTCCTATTCGTTCGTGCACATGCACGTAGAATTTTGTTTTCCAATAAAAAAGAAGGGGAAAAAAAAAGAAAGAAAAAGAAACCAAATCAGCATGAAAACGCCCGTTCATATATTATGGTAACTGTAACCAAAAAAAAAAAAAAAAGACCATGAAACTGTAGTAAACTGCATCTTTTCGTACTTTACGTTAGTTAGTCACTAATTCATTTCACTGATTAATAAATAGTGGGTAAAGAGTAATTGAAGTATACGATGTTAAGAAACTACTGAATGACATTACCTTAAAGAGGTGAACTCTCCAAACGAGGTTTCCTCGGAAATCTTTGTCAGCGGAATATGGAAAGCCTCATTCCAAGAGAACTGATTAGGGCATGTTGCTGTCGGGTTCCCCCACCTATAAGAATTGTTCATCAGCCCACATAAAGCTTTCTTCTCAAATGGTGCCTGAAACAGCTTCAACTGCTCTTCCCTCATCCTAGACAGTAACTTCAGGCTCACTCCATGGTTCACAACTTGGAAGAATCCCCATTCAGACGAGGCTTTCGCAATTTTCGCCATGCACTCGAGCTTGCTCTCATCACTCGCCTCGTCGTCCCTCAACACACTCAAGTCTATAACCGGAAGTTCATACTCCATCATCATCGTGGTTGTGGTTTTTTCATCGCATTGATGAATGTTGTCATCGACAAAACTTGTGTACTGGTCGCACACAAGTTGTGCATAATCACGAAGAAGAGGAGGGTTTGAGTTCAAGCCCGAGCTCAAGTTTAAGTCCATCGTCATTCTCACCAAAATGGTACTTCTATACTTCTATTTATGCAATGGAAGGATATGAATATTTGAATAGAAGAAATGGAAAAAGAAAGGCAAGAGTTGGACAATGAGTGTTGCATGGAGTCTTTGGTAAAGAGGTAGGTATTTATATGGTTTGAAATGAAGAATTAGAGATGTAAAAAATTGGGCGAATGGTCAAACATTTATAAATATGGCAAAAAGTACAACATAGTTTCTCCAAATTGTGACAAATGGCGATAGGAGAATAGATTAAGATATATATGTCCAATTAGATTAAGATCAAGTCTGCTGTTTTTTTTTTCCCCTATTATTAAACCAAATCCCCGAGAAAAATTGTCTCTTAAAAAGAAAAAAAAAAGAAGAAGAAGAAGAGGAGATAAACTGGTTTAATAAAGGTATATTCAATCATTGTCTCATTGACTTTGTTGTTGACGAGGGTGAAATGGTGGAATGCGTCACTGTAATAAAACCGCGTTGTTCTGCAGATTCAACAGTGACAATCAAACATGAGTTTGCACGTGTCTGTCTTTTATTTTAGCATTATATTCTGGTTTTTCTTTTTGTCTTTTATACCATATGAGGTTAATGCATAGATAAGTTAGATTACAGAAACCCATTTAGATCATATTGTAGCAAATGATAATTTCAACTAGTAATTGGTCAGAGTGACCCAAAAAAAAAAGATGATTCATTAGTTTTTTTGAAGATGAATAATCTTTTTTATTGACAAAAGATACTAATTTGTGAGCGACAAAAATCAGTTTCCCATTATTTACCAAGTACGAAGTTAGTAGTTGAAGTATTAGTTCGGGTTTATTTATTGCACCGTCGTTTTTTTTTTTTTTTTAATATCGGACGGCCGTATTTCCAACACATTAGTGACGGGCTTTAAATTTTGATGTATGATAAGAAAGTCGTGGACATTTTGGATGTGTGCTTTTGTCCAATCAGATCACATTGCCTAGTTGTGTCATTCTGACCTTTATTGTATGAAGTTATAAATTTGGAAACAAAGCTATCCAACTCGCAAGGTTGGGGAACACGGCTTTTTTGCCAGATGACTTGTTCTTACGCCCAGAAAGAAAACAGAGTCAGCAGCAAAACTAACCAAACTCAGAAACTTGCAAAAGAAATGTCCATAGGCATTCATTCTACAACAAAATGAGCCCTAATAAATATGGCGCCCCTATTTCAATAGGGAAGCACCAAGCATCCAATAAATCTAAGCTCTCAGAATTTTATACAGAAATCATGTTAATCGACATTTCTCTTCCAAGGTATCATCTGAACAAGCTCTTCTCCCTTTTGCCACAACAAAACAACCCAATACCCCAGAACCTCCAAGAAGCTGACTTGCAAAATTGGCCCCGCAGTTTATTGTTACCATGTGCTGGTGCTCAGTTTCCGGCACAGCAAAGATTCAGATTCACAACAGACCGGAATGAATGGAGCTTTATTGAGTAGCCCGGAGGGCAGATAAATATTGTATACAGAATCCAGAATGACCTACCAGCTGCTTCAGAATTTACAGCGGAAACCTATCTGCATTTACACACATAACCCAAGGTAACAGCATACTCTCATCAGCAACCTGGTTCCTGCTTCAGATGGAGTGCTGGAGAACCAAACATCACGCACTATAGGAATCAAAACAGCACATATTTAGCATCATCATACATAAATTCCAATATAAAAAAGAAAGTACAATCACCGAAATAATCACAATCATAAATTTGGGATCTTTGTTTGGAAAAATTCCTACATCTGGTGATAAGTCCCTCAGGATAACAGTTGCTAATACATCCATCTCTTGATTGACAGTAGAAATTTCTTGTTCAAAATCTAGGTGTAGAATCTAAGATCCCCAAAATCCCAAACTAACACTACAAATCTTACTCCGCAGTTAATATCATAACTCAAATTCCAAGAAAAGACAACTAAATGGCAGACTATGGAAAAGAAACTAGAAAACCATGCAAACTTACCTGTGATGAACTTGGTAAGACACAATTTGCCAGTTCCTCATTTAAACACACAGGCAACGGTGGCATTTGGCTCATTATTCCTGGCATATTCCTCATGCTGCAACCAAGAAGACAAATGGAGAAGAAAACATCTCATCACCAAACAAGAACCAGGAAAATTGCTTTCAAAGGAATTGGCATAAAGAACATTCATATTTGTTGGAAGTTGACATACTCATTCAAAATTGTAGTTAGATTACTCCTTGTCCGAAGAAAGAGATCAACATTTTCCTGCAACTGCGGATGCATGATTCAATTAGAGATCACGTAACAGGTAAAAGAGGGAGTCTCATGTAAGAAAATTACCTTAAGAGCACTAAGATTAGATGAAATTTGACCAAGAGCTTGTTTATTCTCTTCTAGGAGATGTCTCGATGTACCAGGTAAAGCTAAAACCGATTAAAAAAAAGTCAATCAGTAAGATCCCACTAATTGACAAATATCGAGAGGAACATAATGAGATTTTAATAGCAACAAGTGAAACTAGTTACCACATTAGGGAAAGGGCAAACAAAACTAGAACAACCAATAAAGATCATGGAAACCAAACTTTTGGTTCTTTATCAAGATAGATATAACCAACAAGGAAGGAATACTTGAAATGACGGACATATCCTAATTGATTTATTGTCGAAAGGCGAAAAGGTGACAAACTCATCAACATCTGGCTTTAGATTGCAGCGCAGGTAACAAAGGAAAAATATGATGAAATATTGGATGATGTTTTCCACACAATACAGTAAAAATTTCATTGCCATTGACCATTTGTTCCAAGGTAAAAAATTTACCCCTTCAGTCTCGTAATTAAAGACCACCTTTTGGTTTTGAAACCTTTAGAAAAGAATTGGATTCAGTTATTCCTTGAAAGAAATTTCTGTGATATCCTTGTTAGATAGTGAAAATGGGCGGAACATATATATGAATCTGATAAGGTATCACAACACCAGTATGCAGTATGCACCATCGCTACTTCCCTCAGGGCCAACCACAAACATAACTTTCAAGTGATCTTTTCACTTTCCAGAACAAAGATTGTAAAGTGCACCAAAATCAGATCATAAGGGTCATAGAAGTTTCAGTTCATTAAATCCGAAAGAGCTCAGGATGAGTGACGAAATGAACTAACACTCTGCTATTGCTTCACTGTCCAACGGAATTTCTTATAAGTTCAGGAAAAGTTATAAATATGCTTGGACTTTGAATTCTCCTCCTCCATTTTCGAATCCAGACTTAATGTGAATCTTCTCTAGGATTCCAAATCAACTTTCGCAAATATGAGATGATAAATTTATGTTGATTCAGTTATTCTTTTAATGTAGCCATTGTCCAAGAAGTACAAGAAGTGTACAAATGTTTATATTCTCTCTTCGATTACGCATGAGTAAATTATAGGAAATCAATGAGTGTATCCCAGATTGCTTACCACCAGAAGCAGCAACATGATTTGGATCCTGAGCTTGTAGTGGTGTAGAATACGCAGGAATTGCACCCATGCTCATTGATGAGGGTGAACCAATATTATTCTTCATGCATGACTCAATTCTATCCTGAAAAGAAAAAGAGAAAAAAAAAAAAATTTAGCAAAATCATCCCTGAAAAAAACCCAAAGCATTAAGTTTCACCCATGCATTAAAATAGCAGATTCACGCTAAACACTTGAAAAGCCTGTAAGTCATGGAACAAAAGAAAATATTTGGGCTAAATCAAACTCAGCAACATTGTTTACAAAGACAAATAAACAAAATCAAACGCTAGTAGCTTTTAGTTAACCAACGAGCTAGAGCTAGACTATTTGTACATAACTGTAAGCCCCTGTCTTGAAGAAGTAAGGTTTGCTTAACTCTTGGGACTAGATACGCAGGGTAAGACCAAAATGCAAGCAACTTTGGCTTCAGTCAAATCCTTGTTCAGGATGACATAACAGGAGTCAAAACTGCTTGGGAACTTAAGGCTATAACTTAATTTGGAAACACTCTCAAGTCTCATCCTTGCTCTAACTTCCTTCAATTAATGGTATTATGAAAACAAAAATTTTACACAGTAGACAAGGTACAGGCAAGCATACCCTCCTATCTTTGACTTTCTTCCCCAGATTATGGTCTTCCTGTTTTCTCCGTTTTCTCTGCCAAATAATACTGATATAAGCATTTTCGCCTAACTCATTTTAGCATGTTGTAAATGACCAAATCCAAAAAAAAAAAAAGAAGGAAAAAAAAGAAAGAAAAGAAAGGGTGAGATGAACTCCAGATATCAATGCATCAAATCTCCACATTGTCCCTTTTGAAATAGCAATCGTTCCTACACAAATTTTTAGTAGCTCACCATCATCCACCTGCATCTCAAGGCAACATCACGAACACTTTTGTCTCGAAGGGCAGCGGCAATTTTAATATACTTCATTATACTAGGCTCGTCAGCAAACCTGCAATTTCAAGAAAGGAAGTTGAAATTATCTTTACATAGAAGATTAGAAAAGCTCGAAACATGTTTATCTTGCAAAATTAACCAACAGTTCAGACATAAAAAAAACAACAAATACAAGTTTCAACTTTCGTTGTCTTGAACATTGGACATACAACACAGAATTAACCAAACTATGAGCGGAAAGGACACATACAACGATGAAATAAAACAATGCTACTTAATAAAGAAGGAACCATTCCGATACAACATACAACAATAGAACAAAACAAGTTCTTTTGTTTTACTTCTTTCTGTAATTTTACACACAGAAACCTAAATACAAAAGTTCCAATTTCAAACTATTCATGCCAAGTGCCAAAGAGGTCAGTCTAGGACCTAACATTTTGATCGTGAAGAATTTGATTCCTTTCAAAATCAAGAGAATTAATTCAGAGGATATAAACCAAAGAAAGCGATGAGTGTTACCCATTAACATCATACAACTTCCTTTCTTCTTCTTGCAATCCTTTTATCCTTCTACAATTGTTTCATTGATACATAGTCCAAGGAGTTTTATGATCAAACCAGAAAACAACAATTCAAAATTTATAGCCCTTGGCCATGTTACCAGAAAGTGCTGATATACACACAATAATTGATGGTTGGGCGAAATCCTATGAACAATCATGCCGAATACACAAACCACAATGAACAATCATGCCAAGGAACCAGAATTTTTCTTTTGGGGGGGAAAAAAAAAGAAGAAGCAAACACAGAAGTAAACATAGAAATACACAGACTGGAACCGAATACCTACTTGACAAGTCCTTCCTCCAACTTATACTGTTCCTCAACAGACCACTCAACGGCGAGGCCAGCTTCATGTTTAAGCCCTGGCACTGTGTCGAGAAGAAGAGTCCCCAAGGAGCTTCCCTGCTGAAGAGGAATCCCCGAATTACTACTACTGCTACTACTTATAATACCGGCCGGAGTTCCAGAAAACACAATTCCTCCGGCTGCGTTATTTACATTCATATTTACTCCTCCACCGCCTTGCCCGCCGTAATAATAATTCCCAACAAAATCCGAACCCATGCTCGCCGTCTGAAACGACATGGTTTGAGGCCGGTGATTGTGAGGGTGATGGTGATGGTGGAAGTTCACTCCGGTATTGGACTCCGTCGCCATTAAAATCCCCCAAAAAATTCCTCCAACGAAAGATAACAAAAAAAAAGGATTTCAAAATCTTACATCACCGGAAACACTCTCGAGACTCCCCATTGTTTATTTCGAATTGAATTCAAAAATCAAAATCTACCTGAGCAATTTTATCCGAACAATTGGAAAATTTGAATCAATCCCGTTTGGGTAAATAAAAACCCTAAATTTGCTGAGCTGAAAATAAGTAGTAATACTACCAATGAATGAATCAGTTATGGGTTAAACAAAGGAAAGAAAAAAAATAAATAAAAATAAAGGGAAAAAGGCAAAAAGGATAGAGAGACAGACAGGTAATAATACTCTTATTAGTTAGTGCATAAAAATAAGTTGAATGGATTTTAGTGAAAGTGAAATCCTCGTATCCATCCATTTACCGCTTTATTGGAAAATATATACTCCATCCTTCCTATAATTATTGTCCAGTTTGAATTTTCATTTCTAGTTCAAATTATACTGAAAGTGAAATCTTAAATTGGACAATAATTTTGGGACAGAGGGAGTACTAACTCCGTCCCACAAAAATAGTGCAATTTTAGAAATATAAATCTTAAAATTAGAGTTATGAGATCATTATAACCTAAATTATTAAATTGATAAAAAAAATAGTCATGAAATTTATTCAATTTTTCATATTAAATTTTTCATTACAATATTAAATCATTTAATTTTTATATTTTAGTGTTTTAAATTGGACATTTTTTTGAGACGGAGGAAGTACTATTTTTTTTTTAATACTAACTCTCATAATAAAACATTTATAAAAAAGCCCAGCATTAGACTAATCAAATTGTTTTTAAATATTTAAATACAGTAGATAAATAGTTCTGAGATAGTATAGACTCACGAAAGGGGAAAAAAAAAAATCCAGAGAACACTCCCTCCGGTCCTTAATATAAGATATTTTGATTTGTCATGATTTTCACATTGTACGTATATTGGCAAAAAAACCTTAAAAATATTTCATAACAATCAAGAGAACAAAACGAATGTGTAAATATATTTTTAAAGTTTTTTTTTGTCAATTTTGTCAATTAAAAATGTCTACTAGCTGAAACTTAGAACTAATCAAAATGTCTTATATTAAAGATCGGAGGGAGTATTTTTTTAAAAAAGTTGACCATCATAAGTTTTTTTTTTGAGACTTGTGACTGAAAAAAAAAAAACCCCTCCATCATACAAAAATCCTTTTTTACAATTTATATTCTTTGTAGTATGATCAAATTTGTACGATTTATTATTATTATTATTATTAACAAAAATGGAACAATCAAATAGATTTTTTTTTTGAACAAATATTATTTACTTCAAAATATCCACTTATCCCTTCTTTTAATCTTTAGTGTACAACTTCTTTTTCATCCATTAAAAACCACCCGCAAAGTTAATCTCGAAGATACTTGAGCCTCGAATTGAATTTAAATATACTACTACTATAATTGGCATAATAATAATTAGAATTTGTTTGAAGGAATTTCTTTGTTCGGTGGGAAAAAGGAAAAAGAAAAAAAAAAAAAATCAGCAAACAGCAAATGACGAAAGAAGCTGAGGACCTCATAATTGAGGGAGAAAATGTATTTTTCCTGAGGAAAAAATAAAAAACATAATTGAAGGAAGAAATAAAAACAACCACACAGTCAACAACAACTACCTTCCCAATGCAGCAGAATAGTCTTAACCAGATAAAAACATAACAGTGTCCTACCAGCTGGTTTGATTTCTGGAAAAAGGTACGTAAATTTTTTCTAAAAATCCTTTGAACCCTTCTTCACTTTAGTTTTTTCTGTTCCACAGACACAGTTGTTGTCAGTTCAATTTTTGGTTGGTGTTTTGCATGTTATAAATGAGTAATTCTTGAGAAAATGGTTCCTGGAGATGGAAGCTATACTTGGATTTTGAAGAACCATAGGAGTATTTGTCCATAAAAATCAGCCTTGAAAACTGGGTTGTAGGATTTTACATAAGAGGGAGGCTTTCATGTTTATATATCTATATGTTTTAGTGGCTGTTTGAACGGGACGGGAATAGAATTAAATAGAAAGCAAGAGTGGTGGAAAATTAAGGGACTTTATTCTGGGAATTTCTTGTACTACAGAGTTAGTTTGATCCATCGATGTTTGGTACAGAGAAGTTCGAGTTCAAGGTTTGAAGTTATGCTCTTTTGTTCTGGAAATGGATAAAATGATTGTATGGAAAGAAGACTTGTAGAATGAAGATTTATGGTGTTTCGGATGAGCTGATGTGGAATATAGAAATTGATTTCCTAGTTATTCCAGTATGTATTCTTGGCTATCCAAGAAGGTTCGGTCTTTTACTATCTGTTGAGATGGAACTTTTGTATGTTACTTGCGCTTTGAGATGATACCAACCGAAACCACAGCTACTGCTCTAGTACATCTTTTGTTACTAAAGGCGCTTATGCTGTCCAAGAATGCGATCTTAAATTATTGATGAGTAGTTTAAACATAGTTGCAATTTTCTTAGTCTACTTGGTTAGGTGTTGTGTGTATGAATTCTTAAAGAGGTTCTTTTGGGAGGTAATGATGTTTATGGCAGTAACTGACTAAACCTATTTGTTCATTGCCAGACTTGTAGGTCCAGAGAGTAAATGCCCATCTCGGTCTCATAAGAAGGTGGAAGGACCAATAGCTAATTTGAGCAGCTGCTGAACCCTGCCTTTTGACAAGATTAAGGTTGGTTTTCTTCAGTTTCTCTAATATGCCCCACAATGCTCTTTTGCATGTGGGTTTAATGGCATTGGGATAATTGAGATTCAAATGAAGTTCTCATCTCCAAATGTTCTCAGTATCTGGTCATTTCTTCTTCAATCTTGTTCTGGATATATGGTGGTAATTATTTGAGACCGTATCACTTCTGATTTGCTGCTTTGTATTTGATTTGGTATCAAACTATGAGCTTCAGCTATGACAAGTATATTGGCGAGCAGAACATGTATTTGGTCTCCAGGGGATCAAGAGTATGGAGTCAGGGGTAGAAGTTGCCGAAACCCTTGTTTGAAGTCATCAAATCTGGAATCTGCTTCCAGGGAATTATTTCCGTCCAAGCTGCACCTCCTTGCAAGCGGACAAAATGTTACTGCTAGAAAGCTTGGGCCAGTTTTTTCCAGTACAGTTGAGGGGGATATGGATCCAGATGATGCTTCCGATGGAGAGAAAAACCATGAATCTACAGGCAATGATAATGAAGCTGTAGGTATTTCTTATCCTCATTCTGAAATGTACCTGTTTCTCATTATTATTATTTAAGTTGAATACTAGATATTTATTACAAGATAAGTGTTTGTAACTTTAGTTGGTCCACTGTTATTAATAGATTTCCTTTTTACCTAAAAGTTAGATAGTACTCGATGCTCCTTTACTTGCATTTTACATGTCCATGTTTTGCAGCTGTCATTTTAGTGCTCTCACTAAATGTACAGTTTAAAGGAATTTATACGAATATGTTTTATTTTGTCTATCTTTCTATATGACAATTGTAGACTGGATAGCCGTAAAGTGACCCCAAAGCTTGTACGTACTTAGTTGGAACATTGTTTTCTTTATGACCATGAGGGATACAGTGGACAGGGATTGCCATGAGAGCAAAGTCCGTTTGCAATCTAGAAATTTGTGTGTCTGGTCCCCAATTCCTTACATCATTGTTATCCACCTTTGAGTTTATGTATGCACTTGTACATGAAGTTCATTTTCCTCATCTTAAGCAACTAGCTCTTTCCCTCCTCAGGTGAATAGTGAGAGTCTTAGGAAAAAGCTTGAAAGAATCGTTGGAAGAGATGACTCAACTTTCAGTGGGATAGACTTGGCTACACTTATACGCAACAAGTTTGGGAGGTCCTACGATGTTCAATTGATAAAAAAGGTACATGTTCTGCATGTATAATGATAGACTTGACTACACTTCGGGACCTGGGCTCAGTCCAACAAAGATGACCTATACCATTCACCTGTTTAATAGCACTTAATGTCCTGAATTTTCTGGCCAAAATATAAATCCTTTCTGATCATCGAAAATGTTTAATACACTGCTGTCATGTATTTTTGCCCAATATCTAATGATATATTCATCATTTATATAATTTGACATCAGGGTTTCTTTCTACATGATTCAACTTTGAACTCTACAATCCTGGGTTTCTTCTGTCTCAGTTGCAAACTGTTCCATTTATTCATTTGCTTTCGTTTTCCAGGAATTCATGGGTAGGAATCTCCTTGCATTAAATGTTATGTGGAAATACAGGGAGCAGGTTTGTTCACCTTTGTTTCTTTTAAAATTTGTGTTGTGACATTTCGAAATCATGTTTATCTGTCCCAATGGTGACTTATTCATTATCTAGTTGGCAACCCTAAATAGCTGTTGTGACTGCAGTGATTGATGCCATCTAGACTCAACATTAATCACTCTACCGAGGGCAAAATACATGCCCACTCTGCAGTGCTGGTTGAGACTTTTTCAGTTTGGCATAATGAGCAATCCTTTGAGATTTAGAAGCTGGAATAGTTAACATCATACAAACGCTATAGTCAATTTTACTAAAGATGTACTTACAGTATACTTGTAAAATATCCAGCCAATTGAACAATTTGAACCAAAAGCCTTAACAAACTAATCCTTGAAGTATCTACCTGGTTTTGTATTAATGTCGGTAGCCATCCGGTATATTAAATACTTGTGTTTGGACCTAGTGTATTGTGTTTCTATCTGAACTTTGCTCAATGAATTTCTCAGAGATCATTTCCTTTAACTGAAGAAGAGTACATACTGAGGCTCGATGATGTCGCGAATACATTAAAATGCTGGGGAGCTGTATCACATGTCCGGAACAGCCTAGAAAAGTTGAGGGAGAAAGAGAGACCTCGAATAGGAAAGGTAAACTTTCCAAATCAGATTATCTTGCATTCAAAAGTTTAAGTAACAAGGCTGCAATCCTTGAAACCATTCCTGCTTGTGCAGTCATAGTTAATCTCTTCCTTTCAGTTACCCTATTTTCACATACGTCACATTAGTCATTGAGCTCTTTCACTGGATGAATTTCCCCTCCTTGGTGCAGGCTATCAGCATTTTCATTGATATGGATGAGTCTGGAGGGCGTGCAAATGAATGGATTTATAAGTAGATTCCACCGAGAGGACCAAATGTTTCTCATTTTTGCTTCCAAGTGATAACACATACATAGTGCCACTTTCAGAGTCGGCAACTACAGAAGTTTTGGTAGAAAGTGGGTAATGTGCTGCTGCCAGCGGTAAACAGATTATGTATAGCCAAAATACCCTCTCTCTTTTTTCTTTTCTTTTCATTTTTTTCAATAGGATCTTGTAAGAATTTCCTGCCTCTTCCCCCAAACGGTCATTAATTATTATTTATTCATGTAATTACAAAAACACTGCATTTTCGTGACACCAAAAAGATTGCCAGTGTTCCTCATGGACGATGTGAAAAACAATTCATTTGCTTGGCTTTTCTTCGGAGAGAGGATTTGGCTTAGACCTGATTATTATCTTTCTTACGGGAACAAGCATACTCGATTCAAGGTCATCATTTCATACTAATCATTTTCAAAATTAAAAAATATGTACAATAAAGGAGACAAATGCATAAACACCAACCTTATTCGGTGTTCATTGAAACAAAGGAGTCGACGTGTAACAATTTTGGGTGGCATAATATGTCGACTTTTGCGTCAGCTTAGATAGGTCGACGAGATAGTCAATGAAGTAAAATTTAGTATTTAGAAATTTTCATTTTTTTTTGGTTAAAAAAATATTCATTTTAACTGTACTTTCTTAAGAATCTACAATTTCGCACCCAAGCTTGTCAGTCCGGACTTGCTTAGGGTAGTTTACCTCCTACTGTGATTTACAGATTATTGCAATGGGCGTGGGTTTATTCATTTCTGGTGGGGTTCCCGACGTTACAAAAAAAAAAAAAAAAAACTATAGTTTTTTATGTAAATATTTTTTACATCGCGTCAACTTTAGATTAATCGACAAAGAGGTCGACGGATCTCTTGTTTTGTTTTGTTTTGTTTTTTTTTTTTCTTTTTTCAAGAAAAAACTTATAATCTTATTAAAATTTTTGTTTTTAAAAATTTATAAAGTGCTCACTCGAAATCGATCGGAAGAGTGTTGCGTCGATGTTGACGCGACGTAGAAAAACCCAATAAAAGCAAGATTCTTTCTTTGTGAACGACGCCATTTTAGTCTCTGAAGTTTCTCCATTTTCTTCCATCTTTCATCCCGGATTCCTCGGATTTCTCCAATTGTCTTCCTTCTCCTACGTTGACACCGTCGCCATCTCTTCCGCAGATATGCTATGTAGAAGAGAATTGATTAAGAATTATTATTCATCTATTTTTTAGTAGCTGAAGAACAACCAGAATCAGCTAGGTTTCGGTGTCGAATAATGGACTTCGCGGCCTCCACCTCTCCTTCAAACGACGACGCTTCCCAGGTTTTCCATCCCTCAATCGTTAGTTTTATTTTTCACGAATATTTAATTTTTTTGGTTGTTTTTTTCTGGATACGAAAAAATCTGGTTGATTTTGTTTTGTTTTTAATTTAATTAATTAATTTTTTTAATTTTAAACGATGTTAGCACAAAAAGTGACATTTTAACCAGACTATGTTGATTGATTAATTAATATTCTCAATTCTGAACTTTCAGCTACAGAGGATTTTAGGATGTCAATCTTTACTTCATTCAGAGTTCTAAATTTTATTTAGATTTTATGAAGTTTATATATGTTAATTACTGTGTGAAATGGTCGCATTGGTTGCTTACTCTTTTTCTTATTACTATAAGATGTCATATCATGGTTGCCGTTACTTATTTTTATCAGTTTAGTCATGATTTTAATTTATCTGAGGTTTACCTTTTTGTTGAATAATGAGAATAGATTTGGTGAAAAATCAGAAAGTGTTGGTTTTTATTTATCACAAATGCTGAGATAGTCCATTCAGAATCAGCAGACATGTTGTTGATTCAATGTAGTCCTTTAATTTTATTGCGTGTCAAGTTGTAATAATCAGCTATTCACTTGCAGGATTATTACATAACTTCTATTGAGGAGGATCATGAGACAACCTGTTGGGGCTGTGGAATCCGTCTTCTTGTTTCGCCTGATGCACCTGTTTTCAAATGTGGCTGGTGTGGAGCTATAACTAACAAAAATGCCTTGAAATCTGATAATCAATATTACAAGTGGAGGCGCTTCCGAGATCGATGTTTTGTGTTGCTTGTCCTACTGTTCATGCTTTTTATAATATGTAAGCAGCTAAAACTGTGACACCGAACTTTGACATCTTCAAACCTTGCAACTGAAGCATGTGTTTTACTTTAAAAAACAACACACCCATACATCGGTGACTTTTTGATGTGATGTCTTGATTTGATTTTTAAATGCTTATCATTTTATTTTAAATTATCAATAGTAGTTTTCTTCCAAAACATTGATTAACAGCCAATAAAATAAGCGGGGAATTCAGCATTTGCAACTCCTTTTCTCAGAAGAGAACATTGAACTGGTTTGAACTTTTTGTGTGTAGTAGTTCATTTAAAGAACTGGGTGGTTTGCTTATTCACTCCTTTTATGGTGCTTCTTTATGGCTCTAATCTCAGTTTGGTAACTGAACAGAAAAAAATGCATTCGATGCTCCAATCATTATGTCTTTCCTCTTGAATATCATTTCAACGCGGGCATGTTATAAAGTGGAAAAACGGCGAAGTTTTCTTTTAATTTCTTCACCATTGTTAGTTATGATCTTATAGATTTCATGTTAGTGCAGGTGGGGGCATCTGGGCAATCTATCCTGTTGTTTTCTCCATCAGTTTTTATTGTGGCATATTTCACTGTGTCATAACAGCGATATTATCTATGACAACATTATCTTCGTTTGGCATAACATCATTTATTTCTCCTGGTGCCCCACCAAGAATATTATGGGGTAGCTACCCGGCAGTAGGCAAAGGCGGCCTTGAGAACTATACCTTTTGTCATTACTGCTCAAAGCCAAAGTCATCAAGGACACACCATTGCCGGTCATGTGGAATGTGTGTATTGGACATGGATCATCACTGCCCCTTTGTGAGTATTCACTATGGTCTTTTGTGCTTCATAGATAACTGTTCTTGGCTGAAAAGGTTTTGGTTCTCAACTCTTTATCTGATTTCAGGGCACCTTACACAATATGTATATAAGTAGCTGACGTTTGAATCATCTTTGGGTTGCTTCTTTAGAAGGAAGAGGAATTGTAGATATAAGTTCCCATAGATAGACTTATGAATTTCTTCTAAAAGAAACATTATATTGCGTACCATGTAAGTTGCAACCGATAGGCTTCAGATAAATGACCTTAATATACAACAAGGATCTCACTATTTAAAAGGTTGGTTAAGATAGTTGGTGAATTCGCTAGTTGCTCTACCACAACAAAAGACTATTCTGGTAGGGAAGTAATTTCCTCTGAATATCTGTTGTCATGTCCATACAATTATAGATTTCTCCACAAACCAATAATTCTTCGAAATAATTCTAATCTAACTGGAGAATGGAAGATCCACAAAGTTACAAAGATTTAGACTTTCTTTGAAGAATTATTTATTTATTTTATTCCCTTAGAACATATGTATTCATTCTCGCATCAATTAGTAAGGTAAAAAAGTTTAGTTTTTTATTTTGCAAAATTCAGGACAGAAATCGGTTCTCCTCAATTGAACTTTTCATTTTCCAATCGATGGTTATAGTGAGGAATAAGACCTTTTTTGTTTGTGCTCTTGTGACTATGATAGAGTAATCTGTCAACATAAGGATATATTTTGAGTTCTTTACCCTTTAACTGCAGATTGGAAATTGTGTCGGTGCAGCTAATCATCGGGTTTTCATCATCTTTCTAATGTCAGCTGTAATTAGTACGATTTATGTCTCGACGCTAACTGCATATGCAGCACTTCATATTTTGCCGTCACTGGACCGCCTGCCCGACCAACCTTTGGACAGACTGACTTCTTTTATATCGACCTTCAATTTCTTGAAAGAAACTATGTTTGCTTTGGTGGGATCTGCTATCTTGCTCACTCCGAGAGGGCTTGTTCTGGTTTATCTTTTCATGGCTAGTGTGTCGGTGGGAATTGGTTTATTCGTGCTCTTGTGGCAGCAGCTCTCTTACATATATAGAGGGAAAACATATTTGAGTCAGTTAAGTGCCTCAGAGACTAAAGGTGGAGAGAAGGATTGTAAAAATTTTATTCATTTCTTCGGTTGCCAGTACATTGCCGCAAAATATTTCCCTGGGTTTTGGAATTCCACGAAAACACACAGTAAATAAGCACAAAGAGGTTTGTCCAGGGTTCCTTTTTTCTCATCTTTTTTATGTATATGCTTAAACATTATTCCCTTTGTCCCACAAAAATAGTCCACATTGAGTTTAGATTTCTACTATTTATGGTGCAAATCTCAAAACTCAATGTGGAAATTTTTTTCGGACAGAGGTAGTAGTTTTTTTACGATGATGTTATATAGGAAGGTGTAGCTATATGCATGCTACAGCATCTGACTTATTATTAGCCTGACTATAATTGTTGATTTAGGATGAGATCCTTGTCTGTTATGGGGATCATTTGGGGGAAGGGTCACTGTAAACAACCTCACACATTGCTTAAGCCAATTGGCTGTTTTCAGATTTGAACCTAACCAGCTGGTCATATAGGAGCTACCTTGGTTTGCCATTTAGTTTTGAAGGGCATGCTAGGGGCAACAGTAAGGATTCTCCGTATGACCAGTTTGGTTATGTGTTCAAATTGGTGTTTGTGTTGTGTCCTGAAGCCGTATGAAAAAGGTCTGAAACATTAAAATGGTATATTGATGTTTTCTGGTTGTAGTATCCAGCAAAAGCTGTCTCCAAACACGTGTCCTGTATCTACACATCTTTACCCCTAGGATGACAGTACGAGCATAAGGATTTGCAGCTGGTACAAAAAGAATTTATCAGTGTTGGATCTCATTTGGATACCAGAGTTTGCAGGCTGTTTGATTAGGTTGAGATTGGTCACTCTTTTATGTTTTACGATCACTGACTTGCCTTTTAGTTTGTCCTGCCAGCTGCAGACACGGGAAAGGTCACACATTTTTTACGTTGGTTCTCAACCATTTCTTTTCTTTTTCTTTTTAGGGATAAATATCGGGATGATCCAACATAATGGTCGTCATGAATTTCATGGATTTTAGTTCTCTGTTATGGAAGATGAACTGCGACATGATGGCAAAATCAGTAAATCTGCCTGGTGGCTTTGAGCTGTAAATATGCACCAAAAGGCATTGCATCACCGAGTTTATGGATTTTTGTCGGTTGGCTTACTCACAAGAAGAAGAAGTGTTTTTTGTTTTTTTTTTTTTTTATTTTTTTTTTATTTTTATTTTTTATCTGGGTAGTTAGTACAACTAAACAATCATTTTGTGAGGGAGTAATGACAATTGGTTCAAGCTTCAATTTACCAATTCTGGTTAATATACGCTGCTGAATTTGGTTGCTTTTAACGCTTTTCAGTATCGAATACATTTCAACAATTTTCTTTTTCCTTGCTTATGAATACAGTGAGGATTTGCCCCTCCAGGACATTGATTAATATCTTCCTTTCTGAACTAGCTGAGATTTTTAGATGTCTTCCTGTAAATAATGAATGTCTGGGTATTCCTTCAGCGATTCAATTTGGTTTAAAAACTTGGTTCAATTTCCAGTTTGAAACTAAAAAGAAAATGATCAATTCCTCAAAAATAAAATTGAAGATCCAGCTATTACTCGAGTTTAATGGAACTAAAGAACATTTTTGATACGTTACATACAATATTCTTTTGGGATTTGTTAACTTATATCAAAAAAATATGTTTTCTCTTTTTCTCCAAAAAGAAAAGATCAATTAAATTATTTTTTGGGTATTTCGGGCCAACGGGTAATAGAAATTAGAATTGTTAGCAACAAATTACTCTACATTTATCAAAGTGCTGTGAAGGATACATTGCCCACATTCTTAGCCAACCTGATTTGAAACTGGAAGCTTCCAGTCGGATCTGCTATCCTCTTCAACTCAATTTGGCGGCTCCAGGATTACGACCAAATTGGATAATCATGGGCTTGCCTTTGAAGACGTATCCATTAACTAGATTCTGCATACAATGTAAACATCTTAAGCAGTTTCCAATCAGGCAGTTCAAAGACATTCGAATCAAAATTGAGAGAAAAGAGACAAATAAGCAGTGTGGACATTGTCAACCGTGGTTTGAGATAGCTAAACATGGCTAGGTTTAACGTTATGTTGAAGATGTATATCACGATTTTTGTTGTATATGGCATACAAAATGGCAGTGAGTATACATGAAGACATTACATGTAATGGAACAAATGATAAGGGAAAAGAACCAGATTCCATTCTGTATGAAACTTACCAGAGCACTTTGGGCAAGTTCCACAGATGGGAATGTGATGAATGCTTGTCCTCTCATCCTTCCTTCCTGAGTGTACAAGAAGTTTTGCATTTAAGATCAAATGGGGGCATGAGACTGCTTGCAACAAGCTACCTTATGCAAGTTGATGACGATCAAACATGCAAATTAAGATGACGTTCAAGAACAACTATCTTAAAAAAATCCATACATCAGAAAGAAAAATTGCATGGTCGAGTAGTTTTACAAGTGAATTCTAATCACCATGCACTACGAAAGGAAAAAAAATAATGATCATCGAAACAATGCCCAGTTTCAGTAATGGTCAATGACTTTTAAAAAGGATAGACTTAGTTGGCTGAAATTCATTTTTCCAGTTGATAGAGAACAGAATCAGTTTCCCTGGAAATGATTGAACCAAAGATTATTTCAACAGTTGAAATGTCTCATGCTTCATAATGGATCCCCAAGAGAATACTACGTACATCTCAGGTAATTTCAACAAGGAGATCAACTTTTACATGGCATCATCATCATCAGGGAGTTGGAGGAAATGTTACATGACATTAAAAGAGGCCGCAAAATAAACTAAACATAGAACTAGAACCACTCATGTCAACATTGCATAACAGATAACAAACACTGCCCGATCAGTTAAGTTTCAACAAGGAGGGCGTTTATAAAAAAACTAATACGTAATAATCCCTTCCAAGTAAAGGTTTTCAAATGAATTTTTCGAGGCTGACCCAAAATTTAGGAAGCGTTAAACACGGAAAACCAATCTGCTCATACGGCATGAATCTAAACACATAATTCCTTGCAATGTAATACCAGGAAGAATTAGTAGATTGTAGTTGATATAGTGTCTCACCTGCATTAATTTCACAACGAGGCTAGATTTTGCCACATCTATGCTTCCAAATAATGATCCTACAGCACAACATGAGAACATAATCTTAAAACTTGTTCAGAAACAGCACAAGTGTTTGCAAGTTAATATTCCTTCTAAGCACAATCAAACAGTGTTAAGAAACTCTATTAAAAATAGCATTCCACCTCATTTCATTGCAAGTGGATTTTCGATTGCAAGCTCATTAGATAACCAGTGTGCAGCTTGGTTTTGATTTTCTAACTACACACTGATCAGTATTGGCTTTGATGCTCAATTCAGTTTCCAGCACTGAGTTTAGTGGATTCAGCCTTCCATCATTACCAACACACGAGTTTACAAGGGGGTCTCGGAAACAATATTCCTTATCACTTTTCTATAATTACCTAACTAACAAGATGCATGGACCATTACACTCATCACTAACGGTCATCAGATGCCAAATGATCTAACAATTCCCAGTACACAAATTATGTCAAGGAAGCTTAAAAAGGCATCCCCGATATAATCAACTGATGAAAAAACCAACTAAGATAAAAAATAATAAAAGTCTAAACTTACCAAAGACGAAGTAAAAGTCATCATTTACCACATCCTTTGCTAGATTCTTAATATACAACACTGGAGAAGGATTCCCAGCAACGTAATTCTGCAAAAAGGAATTCAACACTTGTTATTTCAAAAAAAAAGGGAAAAAAAGAAGAAGACTTTACTAATGATACCATGCTTGAAACTTCCAAATGGGCTAAATTAAATCCCAAAAGTTTGACAAATTTCAAGAATATTAGGTAAGTAGTATTAGTCATCAAAGGCATTCAACAACTTGCCCGTGCGAGGATGAAGAGATATTAGACAACTACAAATAACTTGGCCATGTGAGTAACTGTCTAGTAAAAGAAGAAAGAGAAGTCCAATCAACTCCAAGAAGCCTCAATCTTGTCTTACTCTGAAAACTTAGCCTATTTAAGTACTGAGATGAACAAAAATTGGATACCTTAAACATAGACAGTGACAAAATCTCCTCTGGAGGCAGTTTGCCACTCTTGATTTCTTCGACAGTAGCATATGGCGGATGTTCGATATCTTCTTTATCTGGTGTTACTACATTCTCGCCACCTGTGTCACTCATTTGTTCATTCTGAATCACTTTATTTGTTAATTTGATCTGCAATAACACCACAACCAAAGATGACTTTAGAAACTCCACCAAGGAAAGATTTTATATTCTTCAAATCTTCCGAAGAAAAGTTTACTGACTTGTAGCACAGGGTTGTTCTTTTTAACTAATGGTATTTCTTTTGGTAGTAAAGTAGCCCGTTTCAATCCAGCAGCCTCATGAGGCACGTCTTCATCAATTGCAGGGCCTATGATGGTTTGTCGCTTGATACGCTTGCGTTTTGATCCTACAACTCCAGGAGATTCCTGAAACAATAATTCAATCTATCATATAAATTGACAAAAAAAACCATCCTACTCTTTATTGTTGTTGGAAGAAATTAAATCGATTTCAGACTTTAAAACAACATTGTACTTGCTTTTCTACAATGATAGAAGGTCTCAGCGAAGGAAATTTATTTTCTCCCAGTCCCTTCCAATCATTCAGGACTGCTATACAGTTACATAACCTGAATGGACAACTGGCAACAGATTTAAAATGAAAAGGACGTGAACCATCACATCATCATCGTTTCCATAATGATTCGCACTGATGACCATTTGATAGGCCAGACTCAATCTTATTTTCACACAACTGGAAGACATAGGATTTGATGGCTGACCATAGTTGACTAAACAACAAACATGCGGCAAACGAATATTAAGCAACGCATTCATTGTATTAGAAAAACAGGATTTAATTCAACTGCCACAGGTATGCTATTTACAGCATATACCAAACAAATCAGTATACAGCAAGAGATTAAGTAAAAGTACCTCCTCTGATGACTCCATTTCTGATTCACTACTTGAACAAACTTCCATGCTCATTCTTTCAGCTATAGGTGGTGGCAATGGAGGGGCTGGAGGAGGAACATGTGAAGCACTTGGCAGTGGTGGCGTAGGAAGTGCCATACGGAATGGAGCTGGTATATTCATTTTATTCATCAAATGCAATACCTAAAATATTTTAAGTCAATGAAATCACTATGAGAATCTGTACCACTGTTTATAGCCAACAAATGAATGGCTCAAAGAATTTATTCAACCTGTGTATAGAACCGAGGCACCGCAATAAGAGCATTTACAATGTTTGTGAGGATATTCCCATCTGGAGGGGGGTATTCATACCTACAAGAAAAGCAGGTAAGGAAGGAACAGAAACGACCTACATACAAACACTAGAAGAGCACTAACACTCATGTAATTTTACCGAAGCTTCTCAGCACAATGAAAACACCAAAGCTATCTAGCCCCACAAAGACACCGGTTGGTTTGCATTTGATAGGGAAAGTGACAAAGGAAATTACAAATTCCACACATCTACAACCAGAGATTCCAAGAAAATTTTCCTAAAAGTCGATACCTAGAAGAAGAAGAAGAAAACAATATCCAATTCCAGCAATATGTTCGAAAGGGTGAATAAATCATTTTCTTTTAAAGAAAGAAACTGCTCAACCGCTGTCAAGAGCGAGGAAAGTTTCAGCTTGATGTGTTGTACATATGTTTTTTCATGAAAAGTTCCATCTCACTATTGGTCCCTGTAGAGCCAAAAGGCAGGAGGTAACTCTTCCAGGGAAATTGATGAAAGAACTAGATATCCATGTACTATTTCAAAATTAATTTCACAAACAGTGCTCAAGAGTTTGTTGATTTATACTTTGTACAAGATATTCTACTCCAAATGTACCTCGAATTGTTAGCAATCTAACTTGGAAATGTCATTCAATACAGAACTTCTTGATATCATTGCAGAAGAAAGATGAACACAAATGTGCATATGCCTAGAAAGAGGAACCTCTTGGTGACTAGACAAAATGGCTTCCTGAGAATGAGAGGGAGAAAAAGAAACGCACTCAAGGTGAGGAGGAAAGGGATAATCCACACCGAGTCTTTCAGCAATTGGCTCCCTAATGAGAGAGGAGTTGGACTTGGGCAAGTCCCTTTGATCCTTGGGTACAGAACCGTCCTTCGTCATTGAGCCACAAACACTTCCAAATCGATTTTCAATCTCTTTGCCCGTATCATCTTTATTTTGTGCACTAGCTCTCTCTACTGACAAGACTTGGCCAAGAAATCTCAACCTGATAAACAAATTTTGACAACTTAATTACCTTACCTAAGTTTCGGAAAGACTTAAGTAAATATTAAGGGTAAAATTTTTCTTTGCAAAAGCATGCATAATCATGTGTACAAAGAAAGCTAAAGCAACGCACGACACAAAAGGATGCCTACCCATGCAATTGTTGTTGTGCTTGAGATGCCAAGGCTACATTCTTGAAATCCACAAATGCGCAGTTCTTCATTCTATATCAGAATTTGAACAGAGAACAAAAGTCAGGAATCAAACAAAAGGTCATAATCCACTTTAAGTAGGCAGAGATACCAATCAGCACATAGTGACCGGTAACTAACATCATCATTTACGATTGAAGTACATTTACGTTATTTACAAAATGAACGATTGCATCAACGGGATAGAATTAAACAAAGCAATCATTAAATCGGGAACAATCAAACTAGTCTAAAAATATAGGGTTTGCCGAGAGAAAGGACGAACCTGCCATGAGTGCAAGGGCGAACAGAAGAGGCGCCGTAGTGAGATAAGAGTCGAGAAAGCGTGTCGTGAGGGATTGCTTCGGGGAGATGACGAATCAAAAGCGTCGAGTTTTGGTTACCGTTGCCGTCTGTATAATTGGGAAAATGCGTCAAGTTCCCCACCGGCTGCAAATGAGGTGGCGGGTGGTTCATTAGCGGCGGAGGAAGAAACGCCGGCGGACGAGCTTCTGCCATAAGCTCCGTTTGTGTCCGTCGTGAATCGTGTAGACCGTAGAGAATTTCAATTCAATATTCAAAAATCTGTCCTTTTTAACTCCTCCGAGTGAGGAGCCAATTTACGAGGGAACTGTGGGAAAATTAGAGCTATAAACTAGACGACCTAGCGAAAGAGAGGAGTTAGAAAAATTACTTTTTGCCCCCTGAATGTTGGCTAGATCTATCATAAACCCCTCAAGTTTAGATTATACTCTCTAACTTACAGTCAACCCACCAAAAGTCCCCTTAACATAATAGCAGCATCATCAATTTTGTATAAACGGTCAAAACGACCCCCAATGTATATTTTTGAAACTATACAATTTAAATATTTTTTAAAAAATCATAAATTAAGTTAAAAAAATACCATATTGAACCTTTTATAATCATGCACTTACAATATAAATATAATAAATTTTATAAAATTAACTATATCATTTATTTTAAAATTAAATAATTTCATCAATTAATTTATATTATTAATTTTGAATTAACTATTATTTAGTATCTTATATTATTTATCATGGATTAACATTCTTTTTGTAAATTTATAATATGATTAAATGTTAAAATGACAGATTAAGTAAATTTTCATTTTTAACCAAAAAAAAAAAATGAAGTTTAGGCATTTTTACGATAAACTAAAGTTATTCTAGTCATTTCAATGTTTAATTCTTGTTCGAAGGTATATATGGTAGTGTTATCAAAACCCGGGAGTTTACGGTAGATCATGATAGGGGGGGGTGGAAAGCCGTAAAATTTATTTCAACAAATTATTCTCATTCACCTTAGACTATACAACTCCATCGTAATGAAATAAATCCAACCAAGTCCGACCTGAAATTGTTAATATTGATTTCTTTATAGTTCGAAGTTCGAACTCAGTAAGAGAAGTTGACCAATTGATCTACCTCACACCAAGTCACCAACAGATGCTAATGATTCCATTAAGTTCATTAGGAATATGGGAGCACAAACGACGAATCAAAGCAAAAGATGCTAATGATTCCCACTAAGTTCATCTGTATATGGGAGCATTAACAGTAGCGAGGGGTCATACATGCTCTGTGAGGAAATATGTTAGCTTCACATGCTCAACCAGTGAGAATTTATAGGTTACATACACTCACGTTTCTATCAAGTTTTCTTCAGTTAAGGAACAAATCATGCCACAGTTGTACACTAGATCCAATAGCAAACAAAAAAGTATTATCTTGATTTGCATGCCTTTGATACCTCAAACATCAATAAAAGATTCAAAGTTATTCCCTGCTATATTGAAGACATCATAGTGGTACATTTCATTGTCCCACGAAGCCCTAACCACAACTTCAAAAAGGCTAGTCAAAGTTCAAACATACTACTGATCTTCCTTCTGTACTTGTCGAAATCCAAAAACATAGCAGTAGCAAAATTCATTCAGGCTTCTCATCAGTGGTTTCCAATTTCTCAAGTTTCTGCCAAATAATAGTATAATCACATTAGCCACCCATGTAAGAACACCAATCCAACTTTAATATGGAAGCAAAACAGCAAGGCAGATGAACAACTGATTTGAAAATCAATAGAAAGATGAAATTTGAAGCAAGGAACACTAGCAATTTGAAAGCCATACTCTAAAAATGCAAAGAATCAGTAATGGCCTCAACGCACTATTTAATCCCAAACCAAACGCCCCTTGGTCCCCGATCCCCACTACGCATTCTGTATCAAGAGATATTCCTTCACTCTGAAAGTAACTATACAGAATGCGGTCAGATCATGGTTCAGATTTAAATCTGAAGAAAAAGTCGTTCAGATTCAGAACAAAGACCTTAACATTTCTGTAACTCACTATTGCAAAACACCTTTCAATCTATTAACTTTGCTCAATAGTGAATAAGGAGAACCTTAGAAAACCTCAAGCTTGCAGGTAGCATAGAAAAACCAATAGATTCAACAGCACCATCTATAGTTGAAAAGAGAATTCCTACTTCAAAGAGGCCAGATTAAAAAAGTACCAGAAAACTAGCTAGCCGATTGCTTTTGCTAAGAGTAAATTATGCTCAAAACTGGTCTTTCTTATTGGAGATTGCCTCCTCAATTTATTCATGGTATAATTTGTGAGCCGCACAATTCATCCTGAAGTTACACTATCTCATAAGCAGGAATTATCAAAATTCGTAAGAAAGCACATGTCGAGTTCTGCTATTCCCAGACCTTCCTTCTATCACAAACCTACCAACCAGTGTCGTTCCCATTCAGAAACTCCATGACTTTGCTAATCGTATTCACAATCCACAAGCGAACTTAAGCAATTGAGGAATAGAGTTCCCTTGGCACTCATACATTTAAAATAATAACCAAACGCGCATATTCAATCAAAGTTTATGATTCATTCGCACAGGACAGTCATTCTGAAGTACAAAATTAAAATCAATCCATCAAATAATAAAAGGAATTATCGGTTTAAACGATACACAAACTAGCATCTAAAGGGATGGTGAGAGGCATACCGATTCGGCGGAGTGCCAAGCGAGGCCACGATAAACGTTGACGGAAAAAGTTCCGGCTAAGTAGATGGTGGCGACGCCTAAGGTCGCCGTGAAGGCCTTGAAACCCCAATCCCCCACTTTGCTTACTAGGCTCATGTTTCTCTATCTGATTCGTTGGCGGCGCCACCGTAGTCTTGCTTTCTTAGCAGCTGCTTTCTGCCTTTTCTAATTTTCTTTTTCCCAAAATAAAATCATCTAAGCGACATCGTTTTGCTTAAACAGCTCAGGTTATTTACTCCTCATTCATTTACCCCTTTTACGAGTGTTATTTATCGCTGTCATTTCTCTTCACCTTAAAACCCTAAACCCATCATAGAAAAAGAAAAAAAAAAAAAGAAAAAAGAACTACAATGTCAGATTACATTCCTGATGAGCCGATTCCCAATATCCTTGTGAAGCTACCCATTGATTCTTTGGTTCGATTCAAGTGTGTTTCCAAATCATGGCGGGATTTAATCCACAGCCCCAATCTAGCGCAGATGCGTCCCGACAGGCCCAATCTTGACAGAAATCATTTTATCATTTCGAATGGAAACACACTTTACGTATTGGAGTGGGATCGACAGGATATTGGCGCCAGTAACAACTTAGTAGCCAGAAATCTCAAAAGGCAGCCCCCAAATCTTCGACGCGGTCCCATCTATATTGATGGATCTTGAAATGGTATCCTCCTCTGTTTTTCGTTCAAAGATGATGGTCTTTGTTTGTGGAATCCCTGGATTCATCATCACCGCATTTTGCCTTTCCCCCCGGGGGAGATATCGCCTCCTGTCGCATTGGGGTACGACTACAAACACCATGACTACAAAGTGGTGGCACTGAACGTACATTTCAAGGATCGTTGTCGTCATCGCCGTCTTGTTGCCGGTGAGGGTTGTCGGCGTTGTCGTAGTCGCCGTCTTGTTGCCGGAGAGGATAGTCGCCGTCTTGCGGGTGAGTTATTTGTCTACAGTTTGAAGCTAAATTCATGGAGGACAGTAACAGGTGCTTTACCATTTGAGCCGGATGGAGCTGGTTACCCCTTTATTTTGTCCGAGAATTATGCTTCCGTCAATGGCGTATTACACTGGCTTGTGACTGGGGAAAACCTTATACTTGCCGTTGATTTTGCAAGTGAGGAATGCCAGGAGATAACCTTTGATCTTCGCTCCGGAAATCAACAATATGAGTATGCATCTCGGCACTTGTTCGCCTCCAATGGTCGCCTTTCTTTACCGTGCTTCCGAGAGGATGTTATGGATGTGTGGTTGATGGAGGATTCTGGAGTTGAGAGCTCTTGGACTAAGTACGCCTCCGTTGATACCCATGGTTTGAATCAGATAGAGCCGTTGATAATTCTTGAGAAGGGAAGAAAAATACTCTTGGGAGTTGGAGTTGGATCTGGATATGAGATTGCGGTGTGTGATATTGAGACTAACTCAATTACAAATGTAACCATAAATGGTCAGACCTTTCATGAGAGCTTGTTCATCTTGATTTCATGCGTTTATGGTGTTGGTGACCTAGCTAGCCCTTGTTCTCATTAGGATGTATGGTAATAATGCAAGTACATTCATATTCTAAAGATTTATTGCTCTCCACTATTTTTTAAATTTCAGTTAGCTCATAAATGAAAAAAGATATTCCCTCCGTCTCTTACAGCTGAGCAGAGAGGAGCAAGGCATATACATATTCTGCAAAAATTACTTTTTCTGAAAGTAGAAATGTGTATACAAAAGAATTTCTATGTTACAAAAGTATTATTTGCCAATTTCAATAAATATAGTTTACAAAGCAACAAAAGTACACTGGAATCTTTCTAAACCTCTACTTCACAACAGCAGCAGTACAAGGCAAACTAAACACAAACAACTCACTCTTTATATGTGCAGTTTTGCTCGTTTGACATCTATCTCCACAACGTCAAAACCTAGTTTGGTAGCTCCCTTAAAAAATTTTACTTGAATACCTTGCGGCTGATAATTTTGCCCACCCTAGTCGAGAGTATCAGCCAGGGAATAATTCCAACCTGAAGTTTCAACAGAAATATAATCAGAAGCCTCAGTTATCCTTTCACACTGCCATCTAATGATTTTCATAACAAGAGAACAGGTCATGAAGAAAAAAAAATAAATCACCAAAGGCGAAATGGTTTAACTGCCACCATTTGAGTAGTAAGCAAAGTGATACGAGGAATTTAGCAGGCAGTAGCATTAGTTAAATCAACAACAAGAACCTTTTCAGAAATTTCACATTTCATCACTCACAAGGCTATCAAATTTCAATGTACATTGATACAGTGCCTTCAAAATGACTTTTCAAAGTTCCAGGAGCTAAAATAGAAGATAATCATTGGTCTATTAAAGAACATAAGCAGAAGTATCTCCGAATTACCATAACATTGTCATTGAGTGACACTCCAGCTCTCCATGACAAAATCTTACCTGAAAGAAAAATGCATTTTAAAATCAGTTTGACATTTATCTGCCAAAAGAGAGTAACACAATGATGTGGTTTGTCTATTTTCTGGTGCAATTTAAGCACTAAAAGATCTTTGGCAAGATACGTACCCAGTTACTTACACAGAAAAATGAAAGAAACATTGAAATAGAATATTACACAGGGCAAAAGAATAATACCAAAAGGTTGCACAAGCCTCTCATTAATGGCCGCCACAGGGAATCGCCAAAACCAAATAATTAGCATGGAATAAGTAAGAATCTGCAACAACCAATTGTTTACTATTCAAATGACCTAAGACTTATAATCTCTAACACAAAGCTCTTCATGTTTTACCTTCACAATCATCAAGGTCTTCGTGTAGGAGTTATATGACAATTTGATTTCGTTGCCACGCAGATCTTGAACTGCAAGTGATCAACAGCATTTTAGAAGCTTGACATTTTTTGAGGAACACGTGCTTTCAGCAGTAGTGAACATCAATAGGCTGCAACCTAATAAAGGGAATGTGAAACAACTAGAAAGCAAGAACTATAGATGATGTCAACTCTCAGAGCAATTTAGATCTGAAAATTAAATCATTCAGAGCGATATTTGTAACGTAAAACTAGATGAACTGAGACACACTCAAAAAAAAAAAAAATTAAATGTCAAACTCATTACTAGTATTAAGAAACCACACTTAAGAGAAATATTGGTACAGTTTCAGCTAGCTTTTACGCTCAAACACAAGGGTTTAAGTCCTACACATCTTGCAGCTTCAGGCCAACCAGAAAGGTGTATTTGCCGTGCTGGTGGACAAAAAACAAGCCAACTTTGTCGGAAAGAATAACAGAAAAGCAGCTCTAAAGAGTGGATTACAAGTGAAGGGATAATGGAGAAAATTGGAAATATCACTCCCTCGGGTAAAATGTGATTTCATCAAATAACATTAAACTGAAGAGGGAGGGGGCGGAGGTGGTGTTGGTTTGCAGGTATGCAATTTGACACCGCAAATCAAAACCTATTGTGTATATGCCATGCATCTCAATTTTAAATGTGAAGAAGCTGATGCTAAAGCAGACATATGCAGAAAACTACTGAATCCATAACCTTTTGCTAGCTCTTTTTCTTTAGCGGCCGCCATCCTCTTGAGTTTTGCAGCTTGTGCAAATGTCGAAGGCCTACAAACATGAGAAAGGAGTTCCATCTTGTCATAAACACTAAAATGCTTAAGTGAAGATGCATTATAAAAGAAAAACAACTGATTGAAAACCCAAACGCATGTCATGAAAGAAAATATAGTAACAATGGGCCAGAAAACACCAAGGAGCTCAAGGCACTAAATATACCAGACCAAATAAAAAATTTAAATAAAGCAGACATCCTAGAAATCAAGCAACGCTAGTGTCTGGAATCTGGTCTCACGAAAACCATAGCTCCAACGGGAAACTGTTGCACCGAGCACAAGCAAAGGAATGCCAAACTAACACAAACTGTATTACAAGCTTCGACATTCATAGGAGAAGAACTAAGCACACAAGGAAGACTAACAAAGAAAATCCAATGGAGATCCATCATGGCAGTTTACAAATCATTATACAAACAGCAAATGACATAAACAAGCATCAAAATTTTGCAACAAGTGTTCTGAATCAATTCTCCTGGTAGCTTCAAGAAAGTCAGCATCCCATGTTCGCTAATTTCAGATACAATAAACACAAAGATAGAATGAACAGCACCTCACTGTACATACACGGAGTATATCTTTTCATGTCCAAAGTTCGAAGTATGAATTAAACCAATAACCTAATCATTTCAAAAATGAAACTCAGCCCAAAGCTAGTCAAAAGAGAAGGGGCTTACTGTGAATATATGCTAGCCTCCTTCAATAGCTCCTTTATTTCCGCATGTAATCTAATTTCTTCCTCACTTTTACCTCCTTTCTGAAAATCAAAAAAAAATCAATGAATCAACATCAGTACATGCATAAACCGGTCCCTCCCCCAACTACAAAAGAAACCCTAAAAACTTTGAATTCAATCCGAAAACAGACTTATTAGAACAGCAAATCTCAACTAAAAAGGATATGTAATAAATTCATATTAAAAGAAAGAGCACCTTCTTCAGGTTGAGTTCGATATATCTCGAGAACAACTGGAAAACTAAGACAATGAGAAAAATCAAGGGTGCTGCCAGAGATTTCCCATGTTTTTCTTCCAATCCTTCAGCCATATTTGCTAATTTGAATCTATTTACACCTTTTCTTTGAGCTTTTTATACGTTTATTTTTTTTTTCCCTTCGCCGATCGGATTGGGAGTACGGCGTTTTCTGCTATGACGGTTTGTTTCCTTTGTTAAAAAGAGTTAATATCAAAAATACCCCCGAGGTTTAGCTGATTATCTGAAACATTCTAACAATTCAATAAAATATAAAGAAAGATCCTTTAATCGGTAAGTCAATTATGGAAAAGTCTTCCAATTCTGAAAATTGATGTATACACATGGATTCATGCAAAAAAAGTGCTCAAAAAATATTTGTACCATGTAAACATTCTCCTTGATTTCTTTTTTTTTTTTATATAAAAAGAAAAAAAAATTTGATGGAATCATATTTATTTCTAAATCCAAAATTTATCTTCCAGAAAGTCGTAAAAAGTGAATTTAGAACTTAGAATTAGAGATCTTATCTTATGGGGAAAAAAAATCAAGGAGAGTTCTTATAAAAATTTTTCTGGCACTTTTTGTTGATGACTTCAGATGCAGATACGATAATTTTGTCGTGGATAAGTGACATGACTGTTAAGGATATTTTTGATATTGTATTAAACAGTAAAGACGTTCTTGATAATCAGCTAAATCTCGAGGGTGTTTTTGATATTATCCGTTTATTAAAACTATATTTTGAGAGCTGGGTCTTGTAGTTTTTAATAGGCCCAAAATGCCGAAGCGCACTCAAAAAAGGTTCAGCACTAGCGAGCCCAATAGTGGAGGAAAGTATAATTAAATATACTAGCTTTTTCGTAATAATAGTAAATGCTTAAGGTCTTAAATGTATTTTAACACAAAAGCCAAACCCACTTCCTATTTCTTTTTCTATATCATTAACTGAGCACCAGTCACTGAATCCAACCCACAGCTGAAAAGGAAATCTCTTCAGAAAATCCACCACCCGCCGCCGCCGCCGCCGCAACCTCCACAATAATGGCCAACGCCGCCACCATTCCCAATCCCTCCTCCTCCTCCTCCTCCGCCACCATAACTAACCGCCTCACCCAACCGACTAATAACAACATCGCCTTATTCTCAAAGTTCACCCTTCCATTTTCTCAAATTTCCCGCAAATCTGTTCAATTTCACCGGCGTCAATGCAACCGGAACTTTCCCATTGTTTCCACCTTAAGCTACCCCAAACCATCGCCTGTGGAACCTGTGATTGAATCCCAAACGCCGGCCTCCTTTGTTTCCAGATTTGCCCCCGATGAGCCACGGAAAGGATGCGACGTGCTTGTGGAAGCCCTTGAAAGGGAAGGCGTGACGGATGTGTTTGCCTACCCCGGCGGCGCGTCGATGGAGATTCACCAGGCTCTTACCCGTTCGAAAATCATTCGGAATGTTCTTCCCCGCCATGAGCAAGGCGGCGTTTTTGCTGCTGAAGGATACGCCCGCGCTTCTGGGCTTCCCGGCGTCTGCATAGCGACTTCCGGCCCCGGAGCGACTAACCTTGTGAGTGGCTTAGCTGATGCCCTGCTTGACAGCGTGCCTATTGTGGCTATCACCGGACAAGTTCCTCGGAGAATGATAGGCACGGATGCCTTCCAAGAAACGCCCATTGTTGAGGTAACTCGGTCAATTACAAAGCATAATTATCTGGTAATGAATGTTGAGGACATTCCTCGAATTGTAAAAGAGGCCTTTTTCCTCGCTAGAACGGGCCGACCTGGCCCGGTTTTGATTGATGTGCCTAAAGACATACAGCAGCAAATGGTGATTCCGGATTGGGACCAACCTATGAGGTTGGCTGGGTATATGTCTAGGTTGCCTAGGACTCCTAACGAGATGCATTTGGAGCAAATTTTGCGGCTCATTGGGGAGTCCAAAAAGCCTGTATTGTATGTTGGTGGAGGTTGCTTGAATTCGAGTGAGGAGCTTAGACGATTTGTTGAGCTTACTGGTATCCCAGTTGCGAGTACTTTGATGGGGTTGGGATCTTTTCCTTGTTCGGATGAGGAATACTCGTTGCAGATGCTGGGAATGCATGGAACTGTTTATGCGAACTATTCTGTGGATAAGAGTGATCTTTTGCTTGCATTCGGGGTGCGTTTTGATGACCGGGTGACTGGTAAATTAGAGGCTTTTGCCAGTCGAGCTAAGATTGTTCACATTGATATTGATTCAGCCGAGATTGGAAAAAACAAGCAGCCACATGTGTCTATTTGTGCGGATGTCAAGCTAGCTTTGCAGGGGCTGAACTCCATGTTGGAGGCAAGGAGAAACAAAGTCAAGTTGGACTTTTCAGCTTGGAGAGAAGAGTTGAACGAACAGAAAGCTAAGTATCCATTAAGTTTTAAGACTTTTGATGAAGCTATTCCGCCACAGTATGCAATTCAGGTTCTAGATGAGTTGACCAATGGCAATGCGATTATTAGTACTGGTGTTGGACAACACCAGATGTGGGCTGCACAGTTTTACAAGTATAATAGACCCCGGCAATGGCTGACCTCTGGGGGATTAGGAGCTATGGGTTTTGGATTGCCCGCTGCTATTGGTGCTGCTGTTGCAAGACCCGATGCAGTAGTTGTGGATATTGATGGAGATGGGAGTTTCATCATGAATGTGCAGGAGTTGGCCACCATCCGGGTGGAAAATCTGCCAATCAAGATTATGCTATTGAATAATCAGCATCTTGGTATGGTTGTTCAGTGGGAAGATAGGTTTTATAAGGCTAACCGAGCCCATACATATCTTGGAAATCCTTCCAAAGCATCGGAGATTTTCCCCGATATGCTGAAATTTGCAGAGGCTTGTGATATTCCTGCTGCCCGTGTAACTAAGAAAGAAGATCTCAAGGCTGCAATTCAGAAGATGCTGGACACACCTGGCCCATACTTATTGGATGTAATTGTGCCTCATCAAGAGCATGTGTTACCTATGATTCCAAGCGGTGGAGCTTTCAAGGATGTCATTACTGAAGGTGATGGCAGGATAACATATTGATTGATCTTGCCTTTTGTTGTCTTAAAAGCATGGAGGAATCTAATGATCAGGTGTAGGTTTAGGGAAGAAGTTTTGCAGCTTTTGAGTCTTTAAAATAGAACGGTGTGGTTATATTTATGCTTTACTTCTTGTACCTTTGCCCTTCTACTGTTAGCTTCTAGGGAATTCAGTTGCACTGGTGAATCCCTAAATGTGTTGTAACATATTTCATGTTGAATGAGTATTGTTGTTGATTTGCAAGATATTCAATTTCAGCATCTTGCAAACGTGATAAATGTCGGGGTTATATTCTCAAATACCTACTTGTTAAAATGAGATGTTCTTGTGTTTTGGATCAAATGAATACAATGTTAAGTCTTCAGATGTTACATTGAGAGAATGCACATGTTTGAGGACTACATAGCCTGGTGTAGCAATTTCACAGCTGATGAGATTCAAACTCCTATATCTTTAAACTTTCGAGAGGAAGTAATGCATCTAACTGCTAGATTATTAATTGCTGATTTTTCCAATAAACTTTTTAGATACAATGACAAACTGTGCTTTTAACAGAGTAACTGAGGCATTTTGGATTCAATTACAAACGTTGCTTAATAACTGAGGCCTTCTGACTTCTGAGAGAGTGAGAGAGGACCGAGGTTCATAGGGGTATGTTTCAACATAATCTATCTCTTATAGGATCAGACCTTCACATGAGATTAAATTTGAAGGTCAAAGGACTTCCAGGAGTACAACCGGGTTAGAAACCCAACAAGGTCAGAAGAAGGGAGAATTATATGGATTAGGGATGTGGGATAAGGTAAGGCAGGTAGTAAGAAAACAAAGAAAAGAGAGAACTAAATCAAATAACTGAGTTTCAACTTAAGACAACCAAGAAGCTAATAACAGAACGAATGGGTAAACTGAAATTGAACAGGAAAGATTACATCAAGGTCTGAACAAACAGAACGATGTTAATGGGAGAACATTTTACACTTGAACCCGTTTCAGAATTTGGCCTATTCCGTTCAGTCAGTCTGACCATCACAACTGTCTTTTTCTTTTTCTGTTTTTTTTTTTTAAATAATGCTTTCTGTAACTCTAAAAGAAGTACCATCTTTCCAATAGTAAGAATAAATAAGTGAATCAAATAAGAAAGGCACATCATCAATTTAGCAATAAACACAATAAACAACACTGGACCAGCAGGAGAATCCACAAAAATAGTTTTCATTTGATCCATCCAGTATTTAGTCACTCTCAGTGAGCAAGACAAACAGCTCCTCATCAGTGATTGCTCCCATCTCCATGGCCCTTTCCAAAGCACTGAGACCTCCACCATCTCTAATTGATCCATGAGCACCTCTGAAGAAATGCGGGGACACGTTAGTCAGAGCAATTGATTGAAGAAACTATAGCCATACCAACACCAATAATTCCACCCTCAGTTTTATAACACACAGAAAGATTGGAGAATATACTTTGTTACATGATACTAAATATAGTTTGATAGATAAATAACGGCAAGAGAGAAGAAAAACTACTCAACAGGAAACACTCAGTTTTTACAAGCTTGTTACCGACACAGACCCTAACCTGATGTCGCATGGACTGATAAATCCAGACACAAATGATCAGTACCACTGGTCATCAACACCGACCACATACAAAATCAGTGCTAACTTCATCACTATTGCTTGATTGAACCTACGTTCTACACCCGGCCAAAACTATCATTATTCTTTCATCCACTCAAGTGGATCATGATTGGCAGTCTGGAATGAATAAATAAAGAAACTAAAGCATCATATTCTTTTCTTTCTTTGGAGGCAATCAAACTTACATAATTCAAATGATTAAACTGAACCAAAGATTGATCTCAGCGAAACTTTAGAACTCTCTCATGAATGAATCGTTGTAAAGATTTACCTCCTGAGCAGTAATTTTGCAAGATGGTTATTCCCTCTGGCTATACAGTATTGCAGAGGTGTTCTTCCATGAAAATCACGCCGATTTATATCAGCGCCACACTGCAACAACAGCTCAAGCATCACTGAATTGCTAGTATGACAAGCTAGATGCAACAGAGAAGATCCTTGGAGGCAACTGCTTGCTTCCTCAGAAGACTTATGACAGGATGCTGGATCGAGGTTTTGCTTGTCCATATCACGCAAGACTGTATCTGAATCCTCTTTGTTAATACTGTGATACAGATTTGCACCAGCTACCTCATCGTAGGTTGAGTTGATAATATTTGTGTTTGATGTCACAATTAATTTATACACTTCCCGCAAGTTATTATGCTGAACCGCATCCCAAATTTTGGTGGCTTGGGAGAAATCGCTAGATGTAGAATCCTTGCTAAGGAGAAGTTTTTCAACATACTGCACAAGAACACCCACCTTTAGTCTGATCCTCCCATTGAAAATTCCAAAATTTAACTTTTTTTTGGGGGATAAAAATCCGAAGTATAATATACTCCCTCTGTCAAAAAAAAAAGAAGTCCACATTGAATTTTGAGGTTTGTAGTAAAAAATGTGGACTATTTTGGGACAGAGGGAGTAGTATTTAGCTGAAACCATTACTACTGTAAAAAGGAAGAAGTACCAAATGTCCATTAAGCAAGAAACTAATTACTATACTAGAAAATTTTCTTACACAAAAGTACCTTTGCTTGAATGAACTTTTCCTTTTGGAAAGTAGCATCTCTGGGGTTAGGTTTAGATATTGAAAGCAACGCGTCGGATCCAATCTTGCTGTAGCAAAGATTCATATATTCAAATGTCAGTAGCAAGTATATTTACCTGTTGGATACTAATTAAATATCAAAGATTTCTAGGTGGGCTTATGATCAAAAAGTTAATACACTAAAGAGAAGGAATTATAGAACATTCTCCATGCGCTTAGGGAACAGAAGAATCAGAAATACAAAAAAGGGAAACTGAAAAACTCACCCATCATTCTGTAATAGCAACTCCTCCCAAATAGAATTTGAATAATCATTGCCCAATGAGCGAAACAAATCCAAAACTGTAGGCTCCCAAACTTTCACATCGAGATTTATAGATCTCACCTACATAATTAAAAGAAAAGTTCTCATGAATCGAATTTGATGTTTGATGCAAACCTTATCAAAAAGACACGAGTGTTAATAAACAATAGATTATCCATCGAGGGCACTGAATCTCTTAGAGAACTTCCACTGAGGTAACTTATTGCCCCAGAGGCTATAAGAGAAATAAGATATGAACACTGCTTTCTGATTTCATAAAAAATAGGAGATGCACCTTTGATATGTGGACACCGAGATTTCGGTGAATGCCAGAGCATTCAATGCACATCAAGATGCCAAGATTCAGAGATGCCCATTCAGGTTCAGGTGCATTGCATTCTGCACAATGATCATTTCCAGGAATCTCTCTAAGAATGTTAGAGACAGAATGCGCCTGACTGATTCTCGTACTATCATGCTGATTATCAGTGCTATCCAGTGCCCTTGAGGTAGAGGAATCACCAGACGAACCATTCTTCTTATCCATCTCATTTTTCCCAGAATCTAACTGCAATAGAAACCAAAACATAGTTATAACAGCATCCGATGGCAATTCCAATATGACCTTCGACGAAAGATCTAGGTTTATGTTTAAAAATCTGGAACCTTCTGCAATTGAGAATTCAAAAGGGTTGCAATCACCCCTGTAATTTTGTTCATCCAATCAATCCTATCAGCTTCATTCTCAGCCTGTCAAATAAGCAACGCTTGTGCATCAGTTTTGAAAGGCAGAAACCATAGACGAAATGATTTGATAAAACAGTGTAAACCAATAACCCAGAAGGAAAAAATATAGTTAAACGGTTATATAACTATCTTGCGTTAGAAACTAAAATACCAACCAGTCAAAGTTCATAAACAAATTTATGTGCAAAAAATTGGAGAACTCATGGTTCCCAACCAGCTACTGAAGCCTAACAACCAACTTATGATGTATTAAATACAAGTTCAATACTATATTCATGACAACATGGTGTAACCTCTATAGGATAGCCTATGTTATCATGTGAACCGCAACCAACATCTTAAAAGGTTTCAGTTTAGAATGCTAACAGTAGTTCACCTTAAAAAGTGACCAAATCTAGCCAAACTTTTACCTGTAGTGTATAAGTTTTTGCTGGGGAAATTATTCTAAAGCACAGCCGCAAATCTGTATCTTCGGCGTCAATCTTTATAATTGATGTGTGTAGATTGACAGCTTTACTACCTAAAGTCTCCTCATTAAGAGATGAACCTCTCTGATGCTTCGCTCGGAAACGACCAAATACTCGGCTACCTTGTTCTCCCGAGCTAGTGGGATTAAATGATTGAGAACCCTAGACAAAGAAAGAAATAATATTTTTACATAGAGATGATATACAATCAAAAGTAGGTAAAAAGATCAAGCTTGTGCTCACACAAACTTCAACATTATTTTCCCTAACATAAGAAAAACCTTAAAAATCAGATCCACTCTGGGTTCAACTAGCTATCCTAGGTATCCCAAATGATATAAAACAAAATACAGCCAACAGAGAACCACAGTGAACTCTAAACAGCATTGTCATGGAATGGAACTTTACTGGCTTTTCAACACTCACTAGAACCTGACATATGGATGCACTAAGGGTAAAAAAAGAAAAGATAAGGACCCCAATGACTTCCAAAAATTTTTCTAGCTAAAAATCACAATGACCACAAGTACTATTATACATAATTGACACTAGGCAATTAATTGCAGAGATCAATTGTCACCGGCCCACCCAACAGAGTGGAAGGCAAATTTCCGTCGAAATCATTTCTACTCCATTGTCGAGATATTCAAAATCATACACGAAGGACACAATAAGGGCATAAAATCAATTTTCACCTTCCATTCCATTTGTTTAGAGATGCATGACATTCTAATAGGTAAGATATTAGGAAAGTTTTTTCTTTGTGGGAGAAAGCAAAATCCCAAAAGCATTAGCCAATAGTTAATTCCTCAATCAGTTTATTTCATCCTTAAACTGATTTTTTTCTCCCCGTCCTGGGGGGGGTGGTGTTTGTCAATCTTCTCCTTCACAGTTCACCAACTGATTCTATACTCTTTTTTTCTGCATTTTCCCCTTATTTTACTACCAGTCACGCTCAAGGGATAAGTTATATGCCATTTCACATAAGGAAGAGACAAGGAACTGCATACCCTGACGAACATAGTAATGCATCGTCTGCTTTAGATTGTCTTTCCAGAAAGAGATTATGAAGTGAACATATTCGCATATGTAAGGAGACATGAAAAAGAACACCCTGTAAAGATACTTGCTCATTCTACAAAATGAGTCAAATAAATAAATAAATCAATAAGATAAAGAAACTTACTGTTGCTTTGGTTCCCTTGTCTTTATAGTAATATAGATTCCCAATATTGTCCAGTACAAAAAATCGCCTCTTCCAATCTGCTCTCAGACTTGAAGATCGTTTCAGAAGATATCCTTGTTTTATGGTCTGGACCTATATAAAGCAAATCACATGACTTGAATGATGTAAGATGATCACATTAACTGCACCAGGAACTGTAAAGTAGATGTGGGAAACAGGGACTTCACCAAAAATTTGGAATAGCAGATCTGGGAATCAAAGTTCTCACCTCGCCTTTGGTGGCAGTTAAAATGATCGATGGTATGTTTTTGTAAGAATTCATAGTAACACCATTCAAGCTAACAGCACTTGTCGATGTTTCCATATTACTTGACGAGCGCGAATGATCCAGCTCTTCTTGTGTTCGAAATTCTTGAATTCTTTTAGCAAGTCTATCTTGCTCAGCATTGGCCTGTTCCTTTGATTGCTGCGCATATGATAACACCTGTTCTCAACCAGGAGTAGGAACATGTAAGCCATGATAATTCAAGCAGTAAGTATTTCAAAATAGTACATAAAATTCCAAAATGGCTTTCACCAAGTCTACAAAAAACTGAACAGCATACAATGATTCACCAATGTAAAGGCTTAGAGTAATTACAAATAAGGTAAAACAACAGTATAACACATCCCCAAAAAATAAGGGTTGCATAGCTAGGCTTTGATAGGATTAGGTGTATTATGAGGTAGTGCCAACAGCAACTCAGATAACAAATCAGGGCAATACCAGCAGATCAGGTAAAAGGCACATCACCAAACTAAGAAGGAACAGACAGTAATAGCACATCTGGTTTATGGTGGTGGCAACTATTGATAATAAGTATAATAGGATGACATTAGATGTAGAACCGGGGCAGAAAATAGTAGTCTGTAGCAGGTCAAGTACTGGGAACTTCGGTTATTTATACTTGCAAGTCAAACCATAGGTCATATCTCGAAAAGTTCTAGGCAAGTAAAGTGCAGGAAAATAAGAGAATCCATAGACTCAATAACTAGTGAAGACATTAAGTCCTAATTGAATTCTTTGTTGATCCTTGGATAGAAGAAGAAACAAACAATCAGAGCAAATCAAATGTTACCATTAAAGCTGAACATTTGAATTTCAAAAGACCAAGAAGCAAGAAGAGTCGGAAACAAAAACAATATCAGAAGATAACAGGAAGATGCAAATAATATAATGCATACCGGGGAGGGAGGGAGAGAGAGAGAGAGAGAGAGAGAGAGAGAGAGAGAGAGAGATTCCAAACTCTATAAGAAAAAAGGATTGCAATAATTTATCCATTCTCAATCAACAATTCTTTATATACTCATGAGACGGATATATACCTGATGAATGAATGGTTCCATTTGACTTAACAAGTCATATCCCTGGGAAATAGACAGCAGGAGAATTAGATGTGAGCAATGGATGAACAAGTAGCTGTAACAGATTCTAATATTGTAAACTTACCAGCTTAAAATATCTAAGGTGTGCATCCATTATTGCACTAAAAGATTCCAGGAACTCATATTTCTTTTTAGCCTCAATATTCATGAGAGAATTAACCTGCAATCCTTGACAAAAAGAAGCAAACTTAATTGAACTGCTCAAAACTGGGAAGCAGAGAGAGTAAATTATAGCACAGTGCCACAGCCAGTGATTGCGTTATAACATACTAGATTGAAACGGCTTCTCTCGAACGAAGACTTTGAATTATGAAGGTCCTGCAAAAAGCAACCTCAAAAGTATAAGAAATCCATTCCCATTGCACACAAAAATGTTAAGGATATAGGCACAAGTTCATTGGCATACCCATCTGAAGCTAACAGCTTATCATATAATATATTGGTAGACTACCTAGATATCAATTAAGAAATGCATCAAAACCTTAATCAGATAGACAATCGCAGCCTATTGCATTTAAGCAATAAGTTAAGATCATTTTAGACATGTTAAATACATTCTTCAAAGATAGGGTTGCTTAGAAAACATTTTAACAGAGATCATGATGGGATAGTCCTTTTTGCTAGCAGTAGCGTTCCATTCCGCAACAAAAGTACATTAGTGTAATTGAAAAAGTCTTTTTTACTAGTCGTACACATAAACATGCTTCTCATCGGAAAAAACTTCATAAAGAAAATGAATCAAGATGCAGAAGTTACTTCTTCTAGTTCAGCAACAATATCATCCCTGGTACTCTTCTTCAGTGAGGCAAATTTGTCCCTAGCCTGTATTCATTCATGTTAAAGCACATATCAGCTCATAAAATGAAACTTGAAAGCTAAATATCAACTCACAAGGCCATTACGGTTAACAACCATTCACCAGCTGTCCAATTTTCACTCAATTCTCACACTTAACACCACACAACTGATATATTCAAGAGCTGATACAGGTATATTGTTGATTGGGCCGAAGACTACTTGAATTCATGCATACCTAACCAACCCCACCTCCCCTCCTGACATATCAATAAACTCTGATATTTCTAGAATCTGAAATGTCGACTCTAATCAGATGGACTGTAGTTTGTATTTAGGGATTCAACCAAACAAATTGTTGCATAATATGCTTCTGCAGAATTTCTTTCTAAAATTGAAATCATGAACTAATCAATCAACTAAATCTAGTTTTGTTTCACTTATTTTCAAAACTTGGTTTCCAAAATCTAGTAGAATTTTCAATAATGAATAAAATGGTCAATGCAAGCAGGAACAATTTAATCCTCCTCCCATTCATAAGGAAACGGAGATTACCTGATCATAGTTATAGATTGCTTTGTCAAGTCGCCGACGAGACTCCTGCAAATAACCAAAATCCAAACTGTCACAAAGGTAGGACAATAAAAGTGCCGGACAACATTCAACATTACCAGCATCGTTCTAGCCATCGTTCTGTTATTGGATAGCTTCAAGACTTTCACCAAAAAAAAAAAATAAATAAATAAATAAACCAACTTGGTTGATATTAATCTTTTACCACTTGAATAGTAAAAATCAGCAGAACATCAGTTTACAGCATACATAAATTATTTGGTATATGGAATGACATTGATAACACACATATTCTGATAAACAATCCTGGAAAATTAGGACCCCATCAATAAGTCTCAAAACTTTTCACCAACTGAAATCGTGCAAGAGAAATATTTACACATCCATAAAGCCACCATAGAACAAGCATGTTGCATGAGTGAACAAAGGTCTCGCAGAAATATTAGTAGTACCTTTGCATCTTGCAAATCAACAGATAGAAAGTGAGTCAGTCGATCAACGAGGACATGCTCTACCTGTAAACAAGATTTTCAGTCATCACCACGACTAAGCAATACAAGATCCACAACAGAGAATGAGCCATACTATAAGGACAATTTAGGAGGAAATGGGCAAGTAGGAAGTAAATTAAGAATATATTTAAGTAGGAGGAAATTAAAAATATGTTTAATTCTAGCTGTATATATGCCTCAAATTTTTCAGAACCTTGCCTCCCCTTATAATTGGGGCTGTGTCGCAAAATCTGAGGCTATATCCTATATTGGAAGGACATAGGCACCCCACTCACACACTTGCACGAGCAACTTATCACTGTCCTTCCGGAGTTCATGAAGAATAGTCTAAGAATGAGGAATTTCGCAACGTTGTAAAGCAGGGAGTATTAACATGGAGCCAATTTATGGCTCACATGTTCATGTTACGCAACTGGAGTTTCAAGGAATTTCAACTTAATAAATCTAAATCAAACAGACAGCCAATTACTTGTGATGTGATGATACGTTTGCATTCAGTAAAAACTACAGGTAATATATCCCCCCTGTTTTACACAATGAAAATCATGATCAACAGGAGGGGCTGATCAGTAAGAAAATTAAATTTTTGGGGGGTCCAAAAGAGCAAAGAATAACCCTATCAAAGCTGTTATGATGCATTTGCAACTCCAAAAAGGTTCAAGAAACGTCCCAAGAATTGTCATGACAGTTAATACTATACACAATGCAACATTGACATATAAATTTCAGGACTGAACCAGAATAGCTAAAGACAAGATTAAGAAACACTACACAAAGCTTAGTTCAAGCTGAACTAGCTCTTAAGGAAACTATGGCATCTTACACTTAGCATCAAAAGAAAAATGAAGCATTCACTCACTTGAGAACGAAGAAGTTCCTTGTACGTAGCAAGCTCACGAAAGGCATTAAGAAACTTTGACATGATTGGACCTGCAAAGATTTTGATTGAAGACAAAGAAACATTCATAATCAATGTTACATTACTCCATATTCAGATTGACACCAAACTAATGTTTCTACTTAACAGCAATGTGCTTATTCGAAAAAAAGAAACACAGGGAATGAAATTGAAAAGCTAATAACCTCCTATTGATACGCTCACTGGATCATCTCTTCCACCACCAAATGCTTCTAGTGATTCTGCAAATGCAACGTCTGCATTGCAGGCCTCATCAAGGGTTTCTCTGGAGACATACAGAAAAAAACCATGGAAATGTTACTAAGTTCCAACTTGCAGGAGCCTGCCTGCTAAGTGTTGATCTTTGTGAACAAAATCCAAATGGGGCAATAATTAACTTGATTCACCAGTCAAAATCAAGTTTAAAAAAAAAAAGGACTAGCTTGACTAAGGCAAGTGAAGAACGTGTAAAAAAAAAAAAAAGAATAGCTTGACTAAGGCTTTATTAGTAAACAAATTTCACTTAAGTTTTCCCAAAATTTTTTGCAAATGAAAATGCTTTGAATGTTTTGCAACCAATTCAAGCAAAGGAGTGAAGAATTTCAATACACGAAATGTCCACCAATACCAGCAAATGAAAAAAAACTACAAGTTTAAGAATAGACCAGAACACAAACTTGTCAAAAGAGATATCTTAGCATGTGCCTATTGGTTGTACAACCATTGCATTCCTGATAAGCGTATCAGAATTTTTCAGATCTCCGGGTCATTTACGTTTCAACAAAAAGTTTATCCATTTATGATACTTAGACCTCAAGTCAAGAAGGCAATTGTGCTCGCACTATCAGTACACACACCTTACTCTTATTGTGTAGTGCATTCTCCAAATTGCTAGTGGCATGGTCCAAAGCTATAGGACTATACAACCTTAAAAACTCAGAAATAAACTCCAATCAAAACAAAATAAAGCTGATTTTATCTCAGCATTATCATCCAAACGCTAAGGAATTAAATCAAAATCATCTCCACATATCCCATAACGTGCATTCACTAACAAGTAAAATTTGACAATTTTTCAGTAAAAGGGGAGGGGGGCGGGACTCCAAATCCAATTAATGCAGTCAAAATCTAACAAAAAAATTCAACAAAAACAAACAATTCAATGCTCAAATAAAGGGCAATTTACTCACATATACTTCTTACTGCCTTTATAGAGCTTTTGGCACCTGTCCTTCAGCTCCTCCGATGTCTGTTCCAAAGATCTAATCTGAATTTCAACAAAAACAATGTAATGAGATGAAATGAGTGCCGGATTACTCATCTTGCAATAAAATGACCACATTTCTGAAGAGATCAAACCTGCTTCTGGAACATTGGCGAATCCTCGAGCTTGATGAAAGTGGCCATTGTCTCCAAAGTCTGTTATGTCCGACGATTTGATTTAGAGGTTTTAGATCGAGAAGGAGACAAGAAGCTGTATTCTGAGTGAATACGAGGAATCAGAGTATATATCATGAATCGAAATCCAACATCCGAAAGACAGAGCCAGCAACTTCTCGAATGGGAAGTGCAGTTGTGCTAAAAATAAGTGCAGTGAAACGGCGTCGCGTAGCGTCGACATTTGTACTAGAGTAGATAATTTAAAGATAATTTTAATGTTCTGCTCAGTCATGTCCAGCAGGCCTTTTTTAATGATGATTTATTTTTTCACATTATTCTTGGATCAATAATTATCAACAGTACAGTGAACATTTAACAAATGTTTTTTTTAAACGATCATTGATCCAAGACAAAAATAAAAATGAGATCTTTTTTTTTTAGCTAATCATTGTTCACTGGACAAAAATAAAAATGGAATCTTTTTCTTTTTCTTTCTGAAGAAAAAGATGTTTCCATTCATCAATTAACTGTTGTAAGAGGTCTTGTACAAAGAGAGTTCATTCCAAAAGGAAGAACCGTTCATGCTTCTTCTTCGCTACTCTCTATGATGACACAGTTTTTCCTCGTTTTCAATCTTTTCGAAGCTCTTTCATTTTTGCTGTCATCTGCTGCATTGTCAGTCGGGTTGTCCACCTCGTAAGCTTCGATTTCCTTGAGAATTCTGAGGCCATATTTATCAGTCTTCAGCTTCCCAATGACCTTCTCCAACTGCAGCAAGTACAATATATAAGGTAAGATGACTGACCCCACCGTGCTTAAGAGTAAAGATTAAGAACCACAATAACAATGGCTAACAAATGTAGTTAAACAAAGCCTATATAGAAAATCAAAGCATATGATAGGGTGATAAAGGATCATTCGCTTCTTAAATTGCTGGCTTCATAGTGGTGACACAAGAGCAACCTAAAAGGGAGTAGACATCTAGTTGTGTTAAAATTTACAAGTACTCACCTGTTGGAGTGATTTAGGTCTTTGATCACTCAGGGTGGTAATCTGTTGGGTGGACAAAATGGAGTGAGGAAATATCCCCCCATCACTAGAGGCAAGATCTTTCCGCAGCTCATCAAGCTTTAACTCCAACCCGCATAATTGGGTACGTACTTTATGTTTCATAATGCTTGAGCTACCTTTTTGTTCACTGGAAACCTCAAGCTTAATAACTTTCTTACCTGATATAATTCCATGACCAATAGTAGTTACCATCACGGAAGCCAGACAATGGTTAAAAAATCAACCAGCAGGATGATGGAGTCTGAACTTAATTACATATTGCCTTGCCTCTAGTGTTCACAGCCTCTAGTGTTCACAAGGCTGCTACTACAGTACAAAAAGAGGATCTCACACTCATTCTTACCATGCAACACATACTTTGATAGCAGTCCAACCGTCACGTACGCATTTGTGGTGTAAGCAGTATGCTGGAATTCCTCTTTCTGAAATCAGACAACGCATAAATAGTACGTAAAAATGAGTCCTAAAATACTGAAGTGATAGAGTTATACGTAGTTGGGTTCATCAAGGTACATGGGAAAAAGTAAAAGTAAGCGTCCATACCAATACACGGTCCACAATCAGCTGAATAACAAGTTGCTCTATTTCATCTCTCTTTATTTCAGGATCTGTGCATACAAAAGGTATCACTTACTTTCAAATTTTTGTGCATGACGAATAAGCCAGAGGAAAACGAAAATAAGAACTCCAATATATATAAAATCATGTCTTAGGCATGGCATTCTTTCTATCCAACTCGTAGTACCATGTCTGGGTGGGGGGGAACAATAAATCAGAATGAACTAGAACCACAATATAAATAAGATTCTGCACCATTAGTATTAATCAAGTGCCTCTGTGCAGGAACAAAGAAGGAGAATATTAAACCAAATGATATATTGCCGTGCTTCTCAACATAACACGTCGCAGGCTTTATGGAATAATATTGTTGAGAAACATCATAGGAAAACATTATAGGCCTTCATCCAGTTAAGCAACATAAGGACTATTTGCAACAAAATTTGATACAAAGAAATATAACATGAAATAGGAAGTATATTTACTGCTTGTGCAAAACACGACTTTAGACCTGCATATGAGAGCATGACATCTCATTTCACAAATTTACACAATATGAAGGAATTGGGGAAAGGGAACCAGGTTCAAATGTTGAAAATTTTTAGCTCAGAAAGAAAAAAGCGAGCAGTTATTGCCCATTCAAGATCATCATTCAAGTTCTTAGAACTAACCGACTCCCTTTAGCTTAGCCTTCAACTTGTCCACTAGTTGCAACATTGTAACTCTTTGATCATTTTCTTGAAACTCTTGCAATAAGGATATTATGATTTTTGAATGAGCTGCAAAGTTCAACCAAATAAGTATAAGTGGCACATTAGTTAAAGAACAAACAGCGAAAAATACTCAAAAGAAAACTTCCCAACAGTCCTCGAATTTTCCCCTCCAAACTCTGGTGTCCTTACTTAGGACAGTGCTAATTTAAAAATAATATGAAATGATGAGTATTTTAATTTAAAATTTTTTGGAGAACGGTGCAAATTACGTGGTAAGTAATAAGATAATAAGTACACAAAGAAATGTACCAGAAACATCCAATTCATGGACCTCAGTGGAGAAGGCACAGTTGTCGCACATTCCTGACCATGGTGCAATCAAATTTAGCAAACAACTGAGAGTAGAAGATATAACGTACGCAGTTTTGAAAACCATTGGTTACAAAAATTACCATTACAATCTTGAAGTGGCTCGGCAAAATGTCGGAAAAATGCACTTCGACGACATTCACGCTTGGACTACAAATATAAGAACGATCATTATACTGCAGAAGAATGTAAATATAGCACAATGACAACCAAAGGGAAGTGCTAGGCCACTTTCACAATTGGGATCCTTCTGAGGTGCATCGTCGTTACCTGACAGTAGCGTACTATATCATAGAGGTTTTGTAATCCAGCATTCTCGTAGAAGACCATTGAGCTCTGTCAAGAAATAAAGGGAGCTGGTAATAATTATAGTCAATAATAGCAGATAAACAGCAGACATATCAATTTTCGTTAGTTTAGTTACCTGCCTTGGAACATCACCAGGTCTGAAGTACAGCACACACTCAGATGGCAGTCCATCTCTCCCAGCTCGTCCACTTTCCTAATGAGAAATTACAGCAGAATAAGTGAACTTGAGGGAAAAATAAATAAATAATACACGTTTCTATTTTTAGGAAGGTCCCACATAGTTGGATTTTAGCTTAGTTGTTTTGTGGTAGATAAATTTCAGGGAGTTGCTAAACCTGATAATATGTCTCCATGGATTTGCCCAAACTGTGATGGATGACAAACCTGACTGCAAGAAACTTTCTTTTGTTAATAAAGCTAACTTAGAAGTCCAGTTATAGGGATAAACTAAATCAATGAAGAAACATAACTAGCTGACTTGGCATAAAACCCATACTGACATATATACTAACAACCTTTTCAAGGGCACCGAGAAAATCCAAAAATTGGGAAAGGATACGCAAGATTTTCTTTATATTTTTCCTTTTCGGGAATACTCAATTTATCTCAATACAGAAATCTTTTGGCAGTTCATCCCAATCTTATTATGGCAAAGCAGGCCAGATGGTAGATCTAGATTTATACGTATGAAGCACTATATATACATATATATATATGGGTGTGTGTGTGTGTGTGTGTGTGTATTTATATCTAAAAAAGTATTTAAAAAAAGAATCTGTTTAGTTCTTTCAAATCACTCAATCAATTTTGAACTAACTGGAGCACCATTGAATCCAGATAAATCCACCTATTATGTCCGGGAACTAAGCTTAATTTTACAGTTGCGGAAATCAATATATTCGCCTTTTATTTTACTTTGAAAAACTACAAGTTGAAATCCAATACCAATGGAAGATTGCAGAAAGAATAGAAACTAAATTACAAGCAGGCCAGCTTTGTTTCAACCCCAAGTAAGGGACTAATAGGGAGGAACTAAGAGTTAAAATGAACCTAGAACAGTTAACTAACCATCTGGTTTGTTGATTCCCATGCCAAAAGCCACCTGAAAAAGAACAGGTAAATGAGTCAAGTTACAAACTTGACCACAACATATGTCATAATGAGAACTCACAGTGATTTAAACTGCATTAACAATAAATAAACAATACTACTTACTGTTCCTACAATGACCTGTAACTTTCCCTTGCTCCACCTATGACATCAAATTGAAAAAGATTAATCAAATGTTTGTATGAAACAAAGGGTTTTAGGTACTTAAAGTCCTGATAACAATCTGCATAATATTTGCTTCTACAAATAAAGGATAAAAGCTTGTAGTGTTATCTCCAAGGGTAGATGTATCACATGCATCAAAGCTAAAGTTGAGTTAATTTTATGAGCAGACTGCAACTATGTTCTCATGAGAAAATGACTTTACCGGGAATGAACTTTCTGCCGGGCATCTGCATCCATATCTGCATGATAAAAATCAGCAGAAATTCCTTGTTCGCGCAATTCTTTAGCAACCTACAATTCTTGAGAAATAAGAAGATTCACAATGAATGAGGACCACAATGCATTTACAATCTATGGACCACATCTTTAGTTGCAATACAAAAATAAGTATCTCAAATCACTTGACCACACACTTCAAACTTAACAAAAATTTTACAGCATCATCGAGAAGCTGAAGGATACGCACCTGCTCGCATTCCCTTCTGGAGAAGCAATAAACTATTCCAGATTCATTATTTGGGTAAGATAGTCGCACATATTCAGCAATTTCATCTATAACTACCTTCCCAACAGATGATTTTTCTCTTACCTACAAAATATATACTTGGATTGTAAGATAGCAGTAAAGATCCAATACAATAATAATTTTAACAAAAAAAATTAAAACCAAAAAAGAATAAAACAGTGAAAATCAATTGAAATTGAGTAGGGACACGTGGCAATGGACAAATGATAAGACACAAAGCACCCTAATGAGAGCCCCCCCTTTTAAGGAATGCAGTTGTTTTTTTTGGTGCTTTTGGGTGACACTGGATGATAGACACTATCGCTATCATTTTCCATAATGAAAATTGACACAGTAACTATACCAAGTAAAAGAGATTAGGCCTGTTCACTGTGCTGACAAACTTGACACATTTTGTTATATGCAGCATCTCCATCAAATCTGCCTGAACTTTCTTGGTTGCTGTTGCCTGAAATAAACAGGAAATGTTCTCAGGAGAGAAGAAAGAACAATTATACCACTACATAAAGTTTGAACACATTGTAAAAGTGGCATACCGTGAGAGCAATCATGGGGACATCAGGGAATTGAGTCTTCAAGATACCAAGGTTTTTGTAATCTGGACGAAAATCATGGCCCCATTGACTACAGCAGTGTGCTTCCTGCATATTTCTCAACTGGTTAACGCAACAGAAAAGACCAACCATATGAGACTCTTCAATAAACCTGAGTTCTTCCTAGCGGTTTACAATACTTTTGTTAATTTCTGCATTGACAGTAAACTTCCAAGATCAGTTTCACTTACAACTCAACAATTATGGTCTATAGCCTCAGCCCGATAAAAACATGATAGACGTCAAATGTTGCAGATAAGTCATATAATAAGCATTATGAATACCTTGCCTATCCACTTACATCAACAGAAATTAGAGAGAGACGGCCAGCACGATGACATTTTTCAAGTTTTGACATGAATCTTTTGCTCTTTGATATCTTCTCTGGAGTAACATAAAGAATTTTGAGTTCTCCATCACCCTTTTCAAGAGCCTTGTATATGAACTTCTCATCTTCCTTGTTAGTAGTTGATGTTAACATAAATGCTGGTATGCCCAAAGCGGCCAAGCCCATTACCTACAAAATGAGGGAAAACTTCTAAGCAAAAAGCTATGAGATATAATGCAAACATAAAACCGCTTAGGCATGAATGGAGTAATGTAAGAACCTGATCTTGTATAAGAGAAAGCAAAGGACTGACGACCAGAGAAACCCCATTTCTAAGAACAGCAGGCAGCTGATAACAAAGACTCTTTCCTCCTCCAGCAGCCATAATTACCAGGACATCTCTTCCACTCATGACTGCATTTATTATCTGGTGGCATGCAGCCCTAAAAGGTTAGTTTAAAGATGAAAAAAAGAACCAGCAAATGAGAATAAATAAAGCTTGCATGTTCTTGAATGAACCAGAACCCACAAAAAGGCCCAGAAAACAGCATATAATAGAAGCATGCTAATAAGTAAACAAAAATGCTAAATGCTGACTTCAGCAACCCTTAATCAGTAACCTAGACAGCAAACTGTTTCTTCTGATAACAGAAAGAGTAGCTCACCTAATAAAGACTGAATATTATAAAAGACAGGAAAATTGAAACCAACCTATCTTTTTAAGCAATTGGAAGGCATTTATAGGAGAGAAAACATGATAAAACTAAGGGAGATAATTCTGTGTCACAGTATAAGGAGAGTTCAACCACACTAACTCCGTTCTTCCTTCCTGCTCCATTTCAGTTTCTTTCATTAACACATTTTTTTTTCCACTCTTTCATTAACACATTATGCACACCCCAAAACCAAAGAAAGAAAAATAAAAAAGAAATGCAAACAAAATATATTTGTTAAGGCAGAGAGGAAGCCAATGCAAGAATTGGATAATACTAGAAGACAGCTGTCCCAAATAACTAAATGCTCATTTACAAAACAAGACACTCGATACACTGATACGGCCATGACCAAGACCAACCTCTCGCTGATTTGCTCGATATGTAGGTATTCCGAAAACATTGAACCGAATATCATCAGCTTGAGAATCCCACTCAAAGTTCCCTGACCAGTTCTCTGAGGAAGCAGGTGTGCCATCACTACCAGGGCTTCCTGATGATTTGGAACTTTCCAACAAGGATTTCAGTTCAGATTGTCTTTCATATAACTTATCTTGTCGTCCCAATAATACATTTAATTGATCTGTACAAGAAGCCAAAAGCAAAAGGAACACAGACAGCATCAGAAGCACAGGTAGATAATTCCACTAACAAAAAACTAAAATGAAAGTCTAGGTTTAACAGTAATCGACACAGCTTTTTAAACTAAGAAGATGACGCCACTAATATTCTAGTAATAATATCAACGTAAACATGGTACAGGAAAATTCTCCACAATATTTCTTGAACTGCAAACCCTCACAACACAAAAATGTTCAACATTGTAATATCGAACCTCTAAGCTGCAAAAATTAATTCGAAAAGGAGATACAAATTGTGAAATTCAGTTGGGAAAAAAGAAAAAAAAAAACAAAACCTTGGACATCTTGAAGCTCAAGTTCAACACCGAGAAGTTCCTCTAGGATCGCTTCCGTATCAGAGGCAGCCATCGCTAACAAATTCTTGCGCAGCGAAAATGTGATTTCGTTTGGTTTTCCGCATTCGAAATCCTTCTGGCTGAAGAGTTAGAAAACTAGAACTAGGGACTGTTCAATTTTAATTGGTTCAAGCAGAGTTACTGTGCGGGGCTTTTCTTTTTTTCTTTTTCTAGTTTGAGAGAAATTACATTTGAGCTCCCTAATATTTTCAATTAGTTTTTATTATTCCAAAAAGTTCATAAACTTTATCAATATCACCCTCAGCCAGTAATAGACCTGATCGGCCCAAATTGCAGCCCATAAAATCCCAGAATAAGAGGACTTCTACCAAAAAAGCCAGAGAGAACCTGCTCGACGAGAGAAGACCACAGAGGAGGTTTACCCGAGAAAGATGGCGGAGACAGGGGATGAGAACGGCGGAGCTAACGGAGGAGAGTTTTACTTGAGGTACTACGTCGGTCACAAGGGGAAATTCGGCCACGAGTTCTTGGAGTTTGAGTTCAGACCCGACGGCAAGCTTCGATATGCCAACAACTCGAATTACAAGAACGACACCATGATTCGCAAGGAAGTCTTCGTCACCCCCGCGGTCCTTAAAGAATGCCGCCGCATCGTCGCTGACAGTGAGGTGAGCGTGCTCTTGAAGCTTTTTCGATGCCTCTCCATTTCTGCCCTAATTTGATTTTATTTATTACAACCTCCAATATTCTGCCCCTTGGGATTAGATGCAACTAACTAGGAATTTTAGTTTAATTTGATACCAAAATTACAAGGGTATTGAAATTAAAAGAGGTTGGAGAGATTAACTTTTAGTTAACAAAAAAGAAAAGCTTAGAAATAAGAGGAGCGGTGTTTTGATATGAAGTCTAGTTGTTGGCTCAGTTTTTGCTTTATCTGCTTCTCTTCTCTTCAAAATCTGGTTGTTCTGTTGTGAGAGAGATTTGTGGAAAGAGGCGCACAGCGGACTGAATCATTATAATGACAGGATCAGTTGTAGTTGTTGCAAGCGCATTGATAAAGAGAGTGTTCTTTCAGCTTCATTGGAATTAGGGTTTTTTTTCCCTTTGCTATTTAAAGTTTAAGAATGGTGGAGTTGTGCATGAAGTGAGCTACTGATAACCATGGTGGGTTTCCTTTGACATGGAGTGTGGTTTCTCTGACGCATAAGTTGATGAGGGCATTTTTAATTCTTTATCTGTGTTTGTGGTGGCTTCATGCCTCCACAGAGAACAGAATTTTACGGGAGTATTTTAACTTCTTTTTTAAAAAAATAAATAAATTCTTGGTTCTGTAGATAATGAAGGAAGATGATAATAACTGGCCAGAACCTGACCGTGTGGGAAGGCAAGAGCTGGAGATAGTGATGGGAAATGAGCACATATCTTTTACAACTTCGAAGATTGGGTCGCTCATGGATGTGCAGACCAGTAAAGATCCTGAAGGCCTTCGTATTTTCTATTATCTTGTGCAGGTATGCACTTCAAACATTTTTCTAGTAATTTTGGGTATGTTTGTTCATTGTTCTATTATGTTGTCTCTTTTCATTTCTGATGCTAGTCTAATTTCCTTCAGAGTTAAATAGAGCATCTGAAACATGTAAATGCTGTTTCCACCTGTGGGAAGCTAGCTTATCAAATCCTGTATTTCATTTTGTATCTTTTTCATTTTAGTATGAATGAGCAATAAATCATAAAATCTGTTTTTAATTAGGGGGTAAGATATTCTAGATGGCGTGTTCTTTTCTGATATACTTCTTTAGTAGCTCATGTGGTTTTTGATTAGCACTTTCAAGATTTGTATTGAAGTTCTGGAATATGCTAAGACTTTGATGCTGGAATTCATGCTATGAGAAAACATGGAAAATGGGGAGCTTTACCATTAGGGAATTTTGACTTTTGAGTACTTTGTCTATTGGTTGCTTCCATTTAGGTCTTCCTAAGAGTAGCTTTTAAGTGGAGAACAGTGTAGATTATGTTGTGATGATTTAAAACTATTGAAAGAAGAGTTTTTCATTCGGCTGTGAACACCCCCTTCCCCTGCCTTTACTGTTTCCTTAAAACCTTTGTCTCATGGAAGCTATTCCTTTTTGGTGCTCCCGATGGTGTCAGATTTCATTCTTTTCTGCTACTTGCCACACCTATAGGTGGCTGGATACTGTTGATTTTATCATTTGGTTCCCTGTATTTTTAGCATGCTCTCAAAACTTAGGATCTAACCCAGATTTTCTGTTACCATAGAGAGGCTGGGTATTGCATTTTAATACATCGATGGTCTTTTATGTAAATACTGCTTATGCTGGTGCTAGATTTGGTCTTTTATAGAATCATTTTTGGTTTGATCATTCTGGAAGATAACTTGTGCCTTTTTTCATTTGCAGGATCTGAAGTGCTTTGTCTTCTCTCTGATCTCTCTTCACTTCAAGATTAAACCCATTTAAGAATATGCCATGAGACCGGAAGCTAGGAAAGTTGTAGCTAGTGAAGTTTGTGCGGCTGCTTTGTCTCTTGTTTACAGCAAACTGGTTATTGTTATTTGATTGAACTTCTAAGTGGTACTTGGTTGAGCCGTTCAAGTAGGAGGAATTGTGGTGTAGGTTTCTTTTTGTATTGAAGAGTATGCCATTTCCTTTGCTCAAGTTTTCATGTCTTTTGCCGGTAGAAGGTTCCACTCCTATCTGGCTCTATTCTGGCAGTTGTTTTTCAGTCTTGGAGTGATGCTGGGTTTTGCAACAAAGATGCTAGAACTTAAATTTGTTTTCCAATCACTGATAAATTGATCAGCACTTCCCACTTTATGTATCACCTACAAAAACTGAAGTGAAAATTTGTACTCCTTCCATTTTAATAGTACACCTTGTTAAAGTAGTATGGAGTAACAAACTAATCCTATGATGAACTCAATTTAGATATGTGTTTAAAAGTAAATGCTGGCCAAGATCACTAATAAGGTTCAGGCTTACATGTATCAGTACAACTTTTATGAAACCAAAACAATCAGACAAGTAACTAGCAGTAACTTACAAAGGATCCCAGCAGAAGCCAATTTCCAAGTTTTCACCAAAAAAAAGTATGACAACAATTGGAACATCGGGCACCAGCATAATTTCTGGTATCTGATTACAGACAAAGAGGACACGGTGCTAGCTTTTACCTCCTTCTGGACAAACATAAACCGGCTAGCCTAAACCCTTTCATCTTATGCCGTTCTTGTTTTAACTCCTGTCTTGGGAATTTCAGACTTGACTACATTGGTCTCTTCAGGCAGAGTTGATAGCAGAAACTTCTTGCTTGAGCCTACTTGGTTACAAAACTGCTTTAACATATTACGGCCCCTCATCCATTTGAGCATCAGTTTCATGTGAGTCTTGCTATTTAATCCATTGATACCAGCTTCCTAGAAGCAACAAAGACTATAGCTCTTTAAAATCACAGGAATGATCGAATACAGTATACAAAGAATCCAGCATGCAAATTAAGGACTCGGAAATAAAACTACAAACACTCAACACTTAGTGTATCGACCACTTAAACCAGTTCTAAACTTGTTTTGAAAATCTTCTTAGTGTTATGGACGTCTCCCAATACTGTCAATATCAGATTGTCATCACAGCCACCATGCTGAAACCATATTAATCACGACATACAGAGAAAGTACCGCAATATAGCCATAAAAACTACCATAAAAAGACAGCCCCAGAGAATAGAAGCGCCACATGTTTGTGTTTCCAAGAAGGATAGAGGCATCATATGCCTTGCTTCTCCACGGAGTGAATCAACCACATAAAACTGAAAATAGGGACTCAAAAATATAGTTACCATGGAGTCCTGTTTCCGAACTGCTTGTCAAATTTAATCAATACTATTGACAGATTTAGTCAGTACAGTCAGTATCAGATTGTCAGTACAGTAACCAGCGGTGCCAAGGCCTTGGTTCCATATTACTAACCAAATACGAGTGACCATACTAGTCATCCAGTAAAATGGTACAGGATAACTTATGAAAGATTCACAACACATAACAATCCTTAATTTTAGAAGTCATCGTGTGTGATTTTTTATCTCTTATACCATTCCAGAAGACATTAGTGTTTTCACACAGAACCTTACTCACTAAAAATGCCAGTAATGAGTGTGCTGAATGATTCCTTACTCATTTCTGTAGATAGAAAATGCAGGTAATATAACAAACGGCCCATCCTATAAAGCAAGTTTCTGCTCAAATTAATTATGAAGCCGAACAAACAACTCTAATTGCCAAACCAATTTAGACCAAAACCAAAATGATTATAGTACTCCCTCTGTCTCAAAATTATTGTTCAGTTTGAGATTTTACTTTAGTACAATTTGAACTAGAAATGAAAACCCAAACTGGACAATAATTATGGGACGGAGGGAGTACTTATTACACCCATGTCACTGTATACAGAACTAAGACCTTTAAATTCAGTCACTGGATCGTATGAAAAACAGAAAACTATCACTAGACCACAGTATTATAGTAATCAAACTAAGCATAGTAGCAGGAGAAAAGAAAACCAAAAAAAAAACACACACACACACAAATAAAACAAAAGGAAAGAGCCGCTAATGAACTAATACGACCTTGGCGTGGTTCCAAGTGTTGGAGACGGTAAGAGGTCCGTTTTTCTTTATAATGTGATAGAGAGCTTCGGCTATGGAAGCCGCCTCTTGCTGCGAGACCTTTGGATTTATCTTTCTCAGGTTCACAGCACGTTCTCTGGAGAAATTCCGGACAAACATCATCATAGCGGCTTTTGCCGCCGTACCACCATTTCCACCACCCGACCACCACATTTCTTCCGGCGATCGATCACTAAAACCCTTGAAAAATTGTTCCTAAACTGGCCTCAAACTGAAACGAAAATGTTATCGACCATGTTGGGCTTTTTTAAATTGAAGAGTTAAGGTCCAATTAAACATCCCAACTTGGGCTGAGAAAGAAGTTCATTCCTATTGGGCTTCATGGATTTGGTTCCTTTTCTTTTTCTTTTTTCCTTATGGTGGAATGTTCTGGAAGCCGAATTTTAGGGCGCCCAGCATTGCATGGGGGCTAGGTTTCCGACATGTAGAACTAGAGATGGACTCTCTTGAGGTGGTTGAGTTTCTATCGCAATGAAACTCTACTTTTGTAAACAATAATGTGTTTAGTAGAATTCGACTCTTATTTGAAAGGAACTGGCAAATTTTGATAAGACATACTCGACGGCTGAACAATAAAGTTGCGGATGTCTTAATGAAATTTGACTTTTCTTCTCCATATGGAGTACATATTTTGTCGATGTCTCCGTCTATAATTAGATAGACATTAGAATTAGAACGCACGTCATCATCCCATAGAATGCGAGTTTTTTTGTATCTAAGCCTATGACTTCCTTTGTATTCAAAAAAATGGTGGAATGTTGGAAGTTGGAACTTTTGATCACTAGTACTTTTGTTATAAATACTTTGATTATGTATTATGTATGTCCACAAAACTTTTATAGCTACTGCGCCTATAAAAGAATTATTAATATGTGAATCAAGAGATATAACAACAGTTCTCTCCACTTATCTTCTCTATCATAATAATCATGTACTCCGTCCGGTTTTCATTACAGTACATTCTGATTTCTCATATGTTTTATTTATAGTGTTTTTTTTTAAATAAAAATTAAATTTTAAAAATATTTTATAATAATTAGAAGAACATAATAAATATGAAAATAATATTTTTGTATTTTATTTTTAATTAAATAAATGAAACATAACATAAATCAAAATATCTTGTAATAGACTGAAAGGATATGTACTTGCCATCCTCGTAGTTAATTTTTTTTAACAATGCTGACATTTTTTGCATTATTGTTGGAAGCAGTGTTTCATTTTACTTTAGTCACATAAAGACAACAATGTACCATTCTATTTTTTTTTTAATCACAAAAGTACGCACGTAACTAACAATTTTGTGCGTTGTGGTATTTTTTTTTTTTTCATTTTTTTCGTGACAAGTGAAAATTGAGATGGAGTGTATGTTTGCCTAATGCTACTTTGGAATTTGGATAGCTACAGAATACTTTAATTTAAATAATAATAATAATCAAAACCCTAACAAACGTTTGATATCAAAATTTGATGAGTTCACATGAACGTGATATACATTATTTCGTGTATTATTTCAATTGTGTATTATTTGGGCTAGTCAATAATAGAGACTGCAAGGCTCCTGGACAAAACCCAGAATTTCAAGTATCATCACTAATCACGACGTACAAAAATGAATATTCATTTGAATGATGTCATACAATACCACCAACACGCACTCACGCAGTGATTAGTGATACTCCCAATTAACCCTGATTTTTTTTGTTCGTAAAATATCTCTTCTTTCCATTATAGATTTCCCGCCAACAAGAAGTTACCAAACACCGTAGATGTTTTGCAGTTTTTCCTTTTAGTAGGCGCAGCCCTCGTGATAGTTTTCTGTTTCAGGCTTCCTGCCAAACCAAAAATTTTGTTTTCGTATCAACAACCTTTTTATGTCATGGAATCTATGCCAATTATTTAGATACCCTGATTTACTGAGTACAGTAAAATTTTGCTCTTTGCTTTTCAGAATTTATAGGATCATAAATTGTTGTCTCATCACATGTTTTTATAACCCTTTTTTTGGTTTTTCATTCTTTGCAGTAAAAATTTTTGATTTGGAGGAAGAAAATTCAGAAACATGGATGATGCTGCTCGTCTTACAATCAGTCCTGAAAGCGAGAATGGAAAAACTGAGCTTCAAAAGAGTTATTTTGATGTATTAGGTATATGTTGCTCCTCTGAAGTGCCACTGATTCAGAGTATTATGAAGTCTCTGGATGGAGTTCAAGATGTTCAAGTCATTGTGCCCACCAAAACTGTCATTGTTCTCCATGATCCACTGGTTATTTCTCAATTGCAGATTGGTAATCCAAATTCCCTTTCTTTTTCTTTCGTTTTCTGGCAAAATGATATAGATATGAACAATTTTGTAGGGTGGGGTAGAAAATGTTATTATACCTTATAAAGATTATATTTTTAGGCAATGTTACTTTAGAATGCTTAATTATTGGTTTGTTTTTACATTTTTTGGTTTTGTTTTCTTGATCTGTGTAGTTGGAGCGTTGAATAAGGCAAAGTTGGAAGCAAGTGTGAGAGAAGAGAGGGGAAGAAGCACAAAGAAAAGATGGCCTAATCCTTTTACAATTGCTTCTGGTGTATTGCTTTCGATTTCGTTTCTCAAATATGTCTACCATCCACTTCAATGGCTTGCTCTTGGAGCTGTTGCTCTTGTTATTTATCCCATTGCTTTGAGAGCGTTCACCGCTGTTCGCCACCTCACGTTTGGGAACATCCACATTCTAGTTCTAATAACAGGTTCCTTCAACTTATTTTCATGTTTACTGTGCTGTGTATTGCAGTTCAATGATATGACATTTGTGGCATGTTTTAGTCTTGAATATGGTAGACTGACTGAATTGTATGAATTCCATGAGCAAGATGCTCTGCTGCTGAAATTTTCTTGTTCTGTCTGCCCCTACTAAACTTGATATTATGATGCTTTCAATTTTAAATGTTTGATGTCTGTTTTGTTCTTGCTGTTTCTTTGTAGTTGTGGGATCAATTGCCCTCAAAGATTACTTGGAAGCTGGTGCTATTGTCTTCTTATTTACTATAGCTGAATGGTTAGAATCACTAGCAAGCGAAAAGGTTTGTGCTTGACTTCAAGTACTCCTCTACCTCTGTCTATTTTCTGGTTTCTGCATGTCTACTTTACCAGCAAATTTTTCTTACTTTTCTCATAATCATTACAAAGGTAACTAAGCAATTGATGCTTCTTGAAAATAATGCGTACCTGATCCTATACTTCAATTGATTCTGTAGGCAAATGCTGCTATGTCATCATTGGTCAACTTACTGCCGCAGAAAGCTGTTTTAGCCGAAACTGGCGAAGAGGTTGATGTAAGCCAACTTGACATAAATACTGTGATTTCTGTCAAGGAAGGTCAGATAGTTCCTGTTGATGGAGTTGTCGTTGAAGGTAACTGTGAAGTAGATGAGAAAAGTTTGTCCGGGGAATCATTTCCGGTTTCCAAACAAAATGGCTCCATGGTTTGGGCTGGAACCATAAATGTAAATGGTAATGATTCTCTTCATCCATCATTTGTTATTTGCGCATGGCAAAATCAAACTGGGACGTAGCCTGATTTCTATTTTCTTTCTGTAGGGTACATCACTATGAGAACTACAACTCTGGCAGAAGATTGTGTGCTTGCTAGGATGACAAAGCTTGTAGAAGAAGCACATGGGAAAAAATCTCAGATCCAAAGATACATAGACAAGTGCTCCAAGTATTATACACCAGGTATGCATGTAAAAAGTTTTGAGAATAGGAAGAAAATGAAAAGAAGCAAAATCCTTCCTCTTGCTATTCATGTTACGTTCCTGAGAACAATGTGCAGTATTCTAATGCTCAATTCAGATTGTGCTTGTTGTTTGTGACATCCTGATCATTTCTCATTATAAGGTTTACCTGAATGACCATTCATATTTATTCTTTTCTGAATTTGGAACTGATGAACATTTCATAACTTTTGCAGCAATTATACTGATATCGGCTTTGTTGGCAATAATTCCTGCTGCACTAAAACGTCACAATCAGAAAGAATGGTTCCACATAGCTTTAGTTCTTCTAGTGAGCGCTTGCCCATGTGCGCTGATCCTATCTACTCCCATTGCCATGTTCTGTGCACTTACAAAGGCAGCCAAGCATGGTGTTTTTTTCAAAGGGGCCGATTGTCTTGAAACCCTTGCTAAAGTGAAAATCATGGCTTTTGACAAAACTGGAACAGTGACCAGAGCAGAATTCGAGGTTATCGAGTTCAGATCGTTGTTGGATGAAATCAGCTTGAACACCTTGCTGTACTGGTAATTCCTTAAGTTTATTACTGTCGATAAGTTTTGTTTTTTATTGGATGCATCATCAGAAAGGCTCTGCATTTGGAAATGAAGTTGAGGCTTCTTCCTTAGTAGCATGTTTGAGTGATAATAATAGGAGTTGAGGATTGAATATTTTTTGTGAGAACTGAAGATAATTCAAACGACTAAATTTTGTCACAAAGTATCTCCATTCATGCACAGACTTAACCTCTCTATAATTGGCCTCTTCAGGGTTTCTAGTATTCAGAGCAAGTCAAGTCATCCCATTGCTGCTGCATTGGTTGAATTTGCACAATCAAAATCAGTTCAGCCAAAACCTGATGAAGTCAAGAACTATCAGAATTTTCCTGGTGAAGGGATTTATGGTAGAATTAGTGACAGAGAAATTCACATCGGAAACTGGAAGATCTCTGCCAGAGCAGGATGCAACTCAGGTGAATTTCCTACACTTTAAAAGATTAGTGTAATTGTTGTTTAAAGACCAAAGTTGTTTGATAAAATATATGATCTGGATAATATGTCACCTTAAAAGCTTCACTTTCAGCTCCAAAACTTGAAGGAGATATATATGAAGGGAAGTCTGTTGGCTATGTATTCTCGGGGTCAACTCCTGTAGGAATATTCTGTCTCGCTGATAATTGTCGAATCGGAGCAAAGGAAGCATTAAAGGAGTTACAATCAATGGGCATCAAAACCGCTATGCTTACAGGAGATTGCTCTGCAGCAGCTAAACACGCAGAGGATCAGGTAACACAAAAAATTATCATTTCAGAGGCTGCTTGATAAGAGTTTTGAATTTGTGCTTCCACATTGCAAAGTTTTCTTCTTCTTTTCCTTTTTTTCTTTTGTCCCTTTTTTTTTTCTTAATTTCGGTGGGGATGGGGGTGTTGGGAGGGAAATTTGTTTGAAAAAGTGTAAGTTTGACTACATTGATCTGAAATTTTTAAATTGAAAACATTTCGCAGCAGTTAGGAGGTGCTCTGGAGGTTGTCCATGCAGATCTCTTGCCGGAAGACAAGGCTACGTATATTAAAGATTTCCAGAAGGTATCCAGGACAGCCATGATTGGTGATGGTATCAATGATGCTCTTGCATTAGCTACAGCTGATATTGGCATCTCAATGGGGATTTCTGGATCTGCACTAGCAACAGAAACTGGTGATGTGATTCTGATGACAAATGACATTCAAAGGGTACCAAAAGTAGCACGCCTAGCAAGAAGAGTAATAAGGAAAATACTTGAAAATATGATCGTTTCAGTTGCTGCCAAAGGTTCAGTGATAGCTTTGGCTATAGCAGGTCATCCAGTTGTTTGGGCTGCAGTGTTAGCTGATGTTGGTACATGCTTGCTTGTGATCTTAAACAGCATGCTTCTTCTAAGAGATAGGGAAAAAGGTCCAATGGACTACTGCAAGTCTGCTGCTTTATCACATGCCCGAGAAGACATGAAACGTTCAGGAAGTGACTCTAGGCAGAGTAAGAAGCCTTGCTGTGGTGAGATAGGCTCGCAAGATAGCCATGAAGCGCTGATATGCTCCGTCAAAAATAGTAATCAGATAGACCCTTCCTGTGCATCGAGTTCAAACTCACTTGCTGATTGTGAAAGATTGTGCTCCAATGAGAAGCAAAGTTGCTGCCAAAATGGTAAAGAAAGTCGAAATGTAAATTGCTCAAATTCGGCTGGAATAGTCAGATGTTGCAACTCAACCAATAATCCTGGGGATAGTGCACCGCTTGCTGATGAATTTGGCGATAACCAAGTATTAGGCTCCAATGGCAAGGAAAGATGCTGTGGAAATCGTAAGCAAAGCCAAACAGCAAAATGCGCCAATCCACTGGAGTAGTTAATTGCTGTAACTCAATCAAAACGCCTGATGGTGATACATCGCTTGCCAAAGAATTCAGTGATAATCAAGTATTAGACTCCAATGATAAGAAAGGCTGCTGCGGAAACCAAAAGCGAAGTCAACTGGCAAAATGTTCCAATTCGGCTGGAGTAGTCAAATGCTGCAACTCAATCAAAACGCCTGGGGATGGTACATCACTCGCCAGAGAATTTGGCGATAATCAAGTACAAGACGCCAATGGTAAGAAAAGCTGCTGCGGAAATGGAAAGCAAAGCCAAACAGCAAAATGTTCCAATCTAGGAGAAGGCGAATATTCAATCTCAATCAGTAAGCAGGGTGATAGCCAAGGATCAGGCCTCAATGAGAAGCGGAGTTGATGTGCAAGTGGAAAACAAAGTTCTTCTGGAGTAGAGAATCACGCGAACTCTATCAATATCCCGGGCGATGATGTATCGCATGCAAACAAATGCGGAGATAACCAAAGATCAGGCAACCTTAACAGGCAGGCCTGCTGTGGAAGTGCAAAACAAAGCCAAAAGGATAGGTGCTGCAATTCTGAACAATTCTGTGGCTCAAACTCAATCAAAGGGACTGCTGCTAGCGCCACACTTGCCAAAGGATTTCCTAACAAGAATTCTGGACACAGTACATTAAATGTGAATCGGCCATGTTGTTCTAAAGGGAACCCTCAAAAGCTTGAAAATGTGCAGATATGTTCTTCCAGAACTATTGCTCCAGCATGTCATCAATCAGTTGGATCTTGTGACGACATCGTAAGGGAATGCTGCAGCAAAAAAGGACATTGTGGTGGTAAATTTGAAGCAACATTATCTGAAATAATCATTGAGTAATCTCAATTTCTATACTGTGTATATATACAATTTTAGTTATTATTAACTATATTTTCAAATAAGATAAATTGTGAAACGGCCGAAATGTCACCAATTAATGGAGATTCGCAGTCTCATTTTTCAACAACCATGTCTATTATGCCCATATTGTATTCCATGTTTTACAAAGTTCAAGGCACATAAAATAAAATCTGGTTGAAGACATTATTTGCTGCACACTTGCGAATTACTTATAATTTAGTTTATAGGATTCTCATCAGCATCCTCAGTCTGCGATGCACTGTACCTCAAAAAAAAAATAAATGTCGATAAATTTCGATAATATAATAATTTTTGTTCCGATATGAAGTTGTTTACATCAATCATTGTGAACGACTCTCTCTCTCTATGTACATTAAAAAATGCAAAAAAAAAGAAAGAAAAAGAAAATGTTCTAATTGAAAAACGGAAGGATTTATCTTCAAAGTATGAGATCATCATAATTAATGTGTTTCAATAAATAAACTAATGATGTTTCAGTAGAGATGTTTGAGTACCAAATATACACCTAATTAAGACTATATATCTCATGGTTACCACTAGAAAAAGACATGATTTCAATCTTAAGGCTCTTTGAAATATGGCGACAACTATCAGTCAATCAAGACTGTACGATATTCAGCACTCTTAGTGAAATATTTTTTTATCCTAAAAAAAAACTTCCCTTCTTCACTTTTAAATTCCAAAGGGAATAGCTAACTCAATCTTTTCAGTAAACATGCTGCAATACTTCAAAATATTGCCATTACAATTACCAAACGAAAAATGATGAATTCCAGACACCTTTTTAATAGAATGTTCATTGTAAAACATATTTCTAAAAAGTAAATTAGATGCCCCTTTTCCGGTTATCGAAAACGAAGTTAATTATTACTACTATATATTTTGGCCCGTGGGAAAAAAAAAAAAGAGTACTTTGCAGTGACTTCACGTGAAGTGAAAGGCACGTGTCCGTGAGGTTTTAAACGAAAGCAGCCCAAAAGTTGTGAAACCTAGAAGAAATGGAAAAAGGAGAAGTTGCTCCAGTAATCAGTAAATTCACACTAGTATCATGAATCTCTTGTAATTATTGAGGTCCATTCCATCAAATCAATACTGTACATTTTATTTATTGTTAGAATCATCAAAAAAGTATGGTGTAATTCAAGTTACTATTATTACACCACGAGACTTTACCTAACAGCAAAAAATGGTGTAATAATGTAAACACGTCAATTGACCAAACTCAAAGAACACATTACATAAACCTCACGGATGATTTGCTACTTTAGAATTACGGGAATGCATAATTGATTAATGAGCAACTAGTAATTTAATGCACACACTCTTAGTGGGATTTCTACTATACCATTTTTAGTAATGATAATATATGAGGAAATAAATTATTTAAAGACTGGAGGAAACAAAATGATATACTCCCTCCGTCCCATAATTATTGTCTACTTTGCCTAAAAAATTTTGTCCCAAAATTATTGTCCAATTTGACTTTTTATGGATCGAGTTACACATTTGTCCTTAGTAAAAAACATTATCCATAAAATCTTAATGGTTAAATAATTACTTATGTAGGGGTATATCCGGTTGTTTAAGGTAAAATATAATTAAATTTGACCAAAAATAAAATCTTTCATTTTAGTAAAATTGGACAATAATTATGGGACGGAGGGAGTAATACAAATTGATCAAATTTTCTCCGCAAGAGGCATGGTTATGATTTACATTCCCTCCTCATTAACGGGTTGCCCAAGTGATTGTGGGCATGGCATAAAAAACTTGAGGTCCCAATAGGTCTCACGTTTAAACCCCACCAGGAGCACTTTAGGTGTTGTCTATACAAACTTACAACCAGAGGCAGTCTCGGAGGTCAGCTTGCAGCTCAAGAGGGCACGTAACAGAGACGTGCACGCGTAGAATCTCTCCCTAATATTAGTGTTCCCTTCCCCCACTAGACCCCACAAATGTAATAACCTAAAATACCTATAATTGTATATAAAAAAAAATAAAATTTTACACACCCTCAAATTAATTTTATACCGTGCCTACTAAGTCAATTTTCCGTTGTAACTACTAATCTACCACCACCTCATATACTATCAATCATCATTATCTATAAATTAATGTTATCTTAAAAACGGTGATAAGAATAAAGGGAAAATAGACTGTTTTGATAATTCGTGGGTTTAAAACATTTAAACCAAATCATTTTTGTCCCACAAATTTATAATTTGAGTACCTAACATTTTGTTACTTTTGCCATGTCATGGAAAGTTCAAATTTGATGTACATCAACATGCAAGGCAAAGAGGGGGAAAAAGAATGTAAAAGATTAAAAAAAAAAGTGGATTACACCAAAATCAATAATGTAACTAATATATTGAAGCATATTTTGAAAGTCACAAAACACTATGAAGTAGCGACTAATTAATTAGTGTTAATCTGAGTGCAACAACTTTGTTATATCTCGCCTACATGTAATGTATGGGATTCCTTACATAAAAAATAGTAATAAGTTCTTTTATTGAGTTAAAACAGTATAACGAAGATTATTTGTTTGAAGTAGAGAGAGTACATGGATGATTTGACAGTGTCTCATGGAAACATCAAATAAGTGTTAGCAAAAACAAAATAGGATGTTTTAAAAGATAATTGACACCAAATCTCCATTATAAAAGTACATACTCCCTCCGTCCCATAATTATTGTCCAGTTTTACTAAAATAAAAGATTTTATTTTTGGTCAAACTTAACTATATTTTACCTTAAGCAATCGGATAAGTAATTGTTTAACCACTAAGATTTTATGGATAATGTTTTTTACTAAGGACAAATGTGTAACTTGATCCATAAAAAGTCAAATAGGACAATAATTTTGGGACAAAATTTTTTAGGCAAAGTGGACAATAATTATGGGACGGAGAGAGTATTATTTAAACAAGAAAGAAGGAAAAGAAATTTCAATACTTTCTTTTTGGGGTACAATAATAAGACATGTAAATGCTGAATTCCACATAATTAAGATGTTAATACTCTCTCCGTCCTAAAATTATTGTCCAGAATTAAAGTTGAATATTTAAAATGAATTATAATTTTAGGACGTACAGAGTATTACCTTAGTTAAAAATACCAATTTCACTGTTTTCACACTCTTAACCAAATAATCATACGACCTGTAAAATCTATAGGTTGAAAGACGAAGAGAAATAATTTGCTTCTCTAAAAAGATGAGGGAAGAAATTTCCGTATTAAGTGAAGCACAAAATAATGAAAATATATAAAAACGGGGCAAAACCGAACTTTGAGGCCACAAAACAAAGAAACACACACACACACACACACACACACACACTTTTCTCATCACTAGTCTCACTCTCCCAGTCACAGTCGGTCTGTCCAGTCCACCTGCACTTTTTCCATCTCTCTCTCATTTCTCTTGCCTTGAGTCCCTTGTGTTTGTTTTCAATTCCCTGCACAGTGAGTAGTTCTGTTTCCATAAATTGCCACATACACTCACTCACTCCAACTCGTGGTCGAAATTTATTTCCTTTCACTTCCGACTACGCCAGAAATTAAAAAAAGGCTAGACCTGTATTAATTCGTCACGATTATCTTTGGTCAAAAACTCAGGCGTTTGATAATGACACTAATTGGATTTGGCGCCTTCCTCTTCCCTTTTTTATTCTCCTCAACCCCAGATATTCACAATCTAACTACAGATCCCATTGTTCCATTGTTTGGATCTGAAGCATTGTTCATCATCCCCACCCATGTACTTGATTCTCCAAGATCACACATTTTTGAACCCTCCCAGGTTCATCCCTTCTGGATCTTTTAGTCTACATTGATGAAGTTGAAGAAGGAGAAGAATAGATTGTCATTGTCATTATTGTACAGCGGCAGAAGCAGCAGCAGCAGCAGCAGCAGCAGCAGCATAATTTCGGAGTAGTTGTATTTTTTTTTTTTACTGAATGCCATCATTCATGGCTGTGCTACTTGTTTCAAGGTACTTATTGTTATGTTTCTTCTCAGTTATCTCCATTACTTTTATTGTTCCGGTAAGATCAGGGGATTTGGAGGCGCTTTTAGCACTGAAAGCATCTGTTGACCCATTGAATAAGCTCAGTTGGGGTGTTGGAAATGGTAATGGAAATGTTTGTGATTGGGAAGGTGTGAGGGAATGTAAAAATGGAAGGGTCACAAAGCTGGTGGTGGAGAGATTTGGTCTGATTGGGGAACTGGATCAAAACAGTTTAAACCAATTAGATCAGCTTAGAGTTTTGAGTTTCAAAGAGAATTCCATTTCCGGTCAAATCCCCTCCCTTTCCGGCTTAGTCAATCTCAAATCTCTATACCTCAACGACAACAACTTTTCCGGCGACATTCCCTCCACAATATCTCGCCTCCACCGCTTAAAAGTGGTGGTACTCGCCAACAACCACATTTCCGGCCACATTCCCGATTCCCTCTTAAAACTTCCCAGGCTTTACGAGCTCTATTTGCAAAACAATTCGTTGACCGGCGAAATCCCTCCGTTTCGACAATCCGGTTTGAGGTTCTTCAATGTGTCCAACAATCAACTCTCGGGTTCGATTCCGTCTACCCCTGTCTTGGCTCGTTTCAACGAGTCCTCATTTTCCAACAATGTCGATTTATGCGGCGACAAAATTGATAAACCCTGTAAAAATCCCACCGATTCCCTTGGCCCATCGATTAGCCCTTCATACCCAATACTTCCCGAAAATCAAAACCACCACAAGAGGACCAAGAAGCTGATAATAATACTTGTCCCCACCATCGTCGGGGGCTTGATTTTGGCGGCCGCGGCGGCAATGGCTTTCGTTTTCTGCATCAGGCGGAGTAGGGATAGTACAAGAGAGTCCAGAACCACCAAGTCGGCGGAGGCGAGAAGAGGGGGAGGATCGGAAGCGGGAGCCACAAGTGGGTCGGGCGGAGAAGGGAAATCAGGCAGCGGCGGCGGGGGATTTTCGTGGGAGGAAGGCGGTGAGGGACTAGGGACGCTGGTGTTCTGCGGACCAGGGGATCAGAAAATGAGTTACAGCTTAGAGGATTTGTTGAAGGCATCGGCGGAGACGTTAGGGAGGGGCACAATAGGGAGCACGTACAAAGCGGTGATGGAGTCTGGATACATCGTGACCGTCAAAAGGCTGAAGGAAGCCAGATATCCAAGGATCGAAGAATTTCGGAGGCACGTGGAGCTGATCGGGAAGCTCAGGCACCCGAACCTGGTCCCACTTAGGGCCTACTTCCAGGCTAAAGAGGAACGCCTGCTCGTATACGATTACTTCCCTAACGGTAGCCTTTTCTCGCTGATTCACGGTACGTTTCCCAGCTCATTTATTGAAGTGCTACAAAAATTAATTACTTAAATAATGCCATGAATTATTATGCGTAGATTTTATTTAATTTGTTGGTCAGTTATATGATGTATAGTAATATGTTTATTTGTCTTTTTTGTTATTGCCATGATAAAGTTTGACACGGATTTTGTGGTCCTTAATTTTCTACGCTTTGGCACGAATGGATTGTGATTTATAAAGTACTAAGAATTTTCTACGCTTTGACTCTGAGGAATAGGAATGTGATTTTAGCTTGGTGATTAGGCTCTAAGTCTACCTTTAAAGTGGGATTTTCTAATAATACCAAAGGCTATTTGTCTTCTTCGAAATTATGCCCCCAACCAAAAATAAAAAATAAAAAAAATGGCAACCTATCTAGTAATTTAGATTTGTGTATAATCTATGAACTAATTTCAAATGTGTCCCTAAAAGAAACCTGATCCAGCTTTCAGTTTTCGAAAACTTTGAATTGGAATTCATATTGTAGGATCAAGAGCTGCTGGTGGTTCCAAACCCCTTCACTGGACATCATGCCTAAAGATAGCAGAGGACTTGGCCACTGGATTGCTATACATTCATCAGAATCCTGGCTTAGTGCATGGGAATTTGAAATCATCCAACGTGCTATTAGGCTCCGATTTTGAGTCTTGTCTCACTGATTACAGCCTCACTTCATTTAGGAACCCGGATTCACTCGAAGAATCCAGCGCGTCGTCTCTCTTTTATAGGGCTCCAGAATGCCGTGACACTCGGAGGCCGCCCACTCAACAAGCTGATGTGTACAGCTTTGGTGTTCTTCTTCTGGAGCTCTTGACCGGAAAGACTCCTTTCCAAGATCTTGTTCAAGAGCATGGTTCAGATATCCCGAAATGGGTAAAATCAGTACGCGAAGAAGAGACTGAATCGGGTGATGAACCGGCTTCTAGCAATGAGGCGTCCGAGGAGAAACTTGCAGCTCTGTTGAGCATTGCTATGGCTTGTGTCTCCCTTGCGCCCGATAACAGACCGACAATGAGAGATGTTTTGAGAATGATAAGGGAGGCAAGAGCCGAGGCACAAATTTCTTCAAACAGTAGCGACCATTCGCCCGGAAGATGGTCCGACACTGTTCAAAGCTTGCCAAGAGACGAACATTTGAGCATCTGATGAATGAGGCGATGTTCGGCCGCTGTTCATTCGATTTCACAGAATTTTTTACTCCACGTCTTCATTTATGCTTGAATTTGTTCACGAATTAGGAATTTTTAGAATGCGAAACTAGTTGTGAAGAGTCTATTCTTGTAAACACTCATTGCTTTGATTCTTTTCCAAGAGAGGACTTAGTCTAATCTTGCAAAACTGATCTTGCTCCAGTGACAAAGGTTGTAGCAACCGGAAAGCCAATTTATACAGAGTTACAGACCACTTAAAACGAACCATTAGCCCAGTGGGACGTCAAAGAATAAAAGCCTATTCGATTAACCCTCTTGTTTGTTAAGTGAACAAGAGAGAGATGATACCCTGATGAGATTAATTAGTAAACGTCCATCTAACTCTATGATGCTAGCTGGCTTTGATTTTTATAAAAAAAAAACAAAAAAACAAATTGACTAAATTGAGTACAAACTTATTCCACCCAATTTATGTCGAATGCTTTAAGCTTTGTCAACCACTTTTGAGTGTTTTGTGAAACATGAAGCTTGGATTGTGATTGGTCCTGATCAATGGGTGCTAAAACATCCATTCTTCTCTCTTTTGTCGAGTTTGTTTGTCTATTAGGATACCTAACCTTAAGCGACAAAAGCCTGGAAACTTCATGAACACCTCCCCATTTCTCCAAAGCACGAGCAATATCGTATCGACCTTTCAAAACCAAAAAAGAGAATTAAAATTGAAGCAACTTATCTAAAAAAATTTTGTGGTTCTCATGAATTAACTGAAGCAGAAGAAAATGCATGCTTTTTGCTTTACCTGCACGCTCAAAAGCTTTTCTGCTGGGCATGAATGATGGATCCATTCCCCAGTTCCTCTGGAACCAAGTTATCTGCAGGATTATATTGTATCAGCAGTAATCATATTATAAAGTCAAGCAAAATTCAGACAGAATTAAAAAAAAGGTAAAATAGGCATTCCGCATTCGCTGATTTGGATGTTGGAACAACTGACCTCTTGTTGCAAATTTTCTAGGTTATCCCAGTATCCTTTTGGCTTACGTTGCTTGTAAGCCAGGGAAAGATTCATTGTTGCAGCGATTCTTCGAAATCCTCCCATTCGTGTGATCGCCTTCTCAATGTCCACCCTCCCGTGCTTCCTTAGTTGCTTTCTCATTGGCATGAATCCCTCCTGTCCATGTTCACCTATGAAATTTAAGAGTTCCGATTTGAGAACTTCAATGTCTCTTTGCAGTCCTGGAACCTTGGGTCTCTGCCTTGATGAACTTGAACTACCACAGTTTGAATCTTGATTAGTTGGGTCATCACGATCGGTGGAATTGACCTCAGAAGATGAAGCGAGATATTCATTTGAGTAAGCTGGGTGACTGAATGGATCAGCAACCTCTTCAGCATAATTTGAATAAGCTGCATGACCGAATGGTTTAGCAGTCTCTTCATCACCCTTATTCTCGATGTAATCCCGAATGGCACATAAATTTGAGGGGAGATCTTCATAAATTACCTGCACAGTTCCACCAGAAATTTTGACATGAACATTCCATCATAGCTGACTATCCTAATATGAATAAATGCAGCTGGGACAGGAACCTGACTCGTCCATACAAGTAAAAGCAATATAAACTAACCTCTTCCATAATAGCTTCTGAAAGAAATGAATTCTTGTGCATTTTGGACTCCACGGTGTATTTCAACAGCGTATGATGATTTCCTAATTGCTCTAAAATCCATTTCCCACTGAATGAATCAAAATCGCCTTCGACCTGCTCAAAGCTGATCTCCTGCTCAAGTACTTCACACAAATCAAGGATGACACGGGCGTGAAGTACCATATAAAGTAAGCCTTTGCATCCCTCCTGAAAATACAAGAAGTTCAATTGCAACTTATTAGATACCTCTATTCTAATCAGTTTGTCAAGGAGGTTACTAAAATTACAGGAGATTCAACTTTACAAGGCCCTTCAAATACCATTAGAACCTAATATAAGAATGTAAATGCTGCAGAAAAGACATTCTGATGCAAACATTTTACAAGGAACAACAACATATGTGTTGATGGAAATTGGTAAAAGGAGAGTAGTTGTTTCCACACAACATCATAGATTGTATATTGTCCGTTAAAATTTGTACCTGAAGAATGCGAACTTTATTATTCTCCCTTGATATAACCTTGCTGATAGCCAAGTTCGGAACTATCCTGCACTAATTAAATGTAAAAGAAAGCTCATGAACATCGAAAATAAAACCAAAGCAACCCAAAGAAAAAGGAAAAAGAACTAAGAGGTCCGTAAAGAATGATGGTCACAATTTTGATGGTTTGGTTTAAACAGAAAAGAACAATCATTCAGGTTAGTGAAAAGGTTCAACGACTAAGACGTATAGGCTAAAAAGATACAGAGATAAGGAAAATTTAGACGTTATTACTTACTCAGGGAGTCTCTCATAAGCGGTTAAAGTATTCCAAACATCACGCATAGGAGCTTTGACAGTTATACTTGCAACAACACAGCGATGCACACCTCCATTTTCCTTCATAGATAAGACTACACGATCAATCACAGCTCAGTTATACATGGCTTTCACAATAATGCAAGGTTTCAAATAGTGCTATCAGTTACCAATAGGCCATCAAATCTGCGAAGATGAACTTCATCCACCGTACATGGCCTATCGAGCTTGCAAACTTTCCCGAAGACTCCCCAATTAGTGTTGAACTCACTTGTTACAGGAGACGAGGTGCTTAAAGTAGCCTTCACATACTTTTCCTTAAGTTCTCCCTTCGAAAACTTATTATAATCAGATGAAGCACCAGCAGTATCTGAACTTGTAGTAGGAAGGGAAACCATAAGTTTTGCAACTGGGGATGCTTCATCACTCAATGGATTCTGGCTTCCCTTGAAACTACCTTCAGCTCTGCAGGCCAAGGCCTCAAGATTTACTGGTAGATCAGAACTGATGATTTTCTCCAAGAAAATGGTAGGGAAGTTGAACGTTGGAATCACATTGAGTTCATAGCTTACAGTGGTTTTTGAGGATCTGCAAAGGCGCAGAAACATGTATGAATCCTGGTTACGAGTAACTACAACAAATAATTTCCCAAAAGTACACAATGTTTCAGCTGGTGACTGACAGTGTACAAATCATTTCTTTCATTCATGTAATATTCACCTTCGAAAACATAGTGCCTTCTAAAGGGTAGGAATTTCTGTTCAACCTCAACCGTGTTTGAGCACATAGGCCTCAAAATCACCAAAGATATACATGACAGAATAGGAATAGGCAACTAGAAGTGACTCTTCTAAGTCTCTAAGCCATTCTAAGAATGCAAATTATCAATTTAGAAAACAGTTTACCTCATAAGAGATTTGACACACCACTTTCCTTCGAACTTCTTAAAATCGCCTTCCACCATGGAAAATATGAGTTCCCGATCATGTTCCTTGACATTAATGATTAGAAACAGTTACCAACTCACAAACTGAATGCATTGAAATTATGGCAAATCAATAATTCAATGACCCCATGTAGAAAGTCAGCCACTCATTGCTCAAATTATCACTGGACACAGCCACTTAGTTCATGAAGCTTACTGAATTATATAATTCTTGAAGATCCAAGACAACCCGAGCTTCTATATGCCAATAAAGAGCTCGCTGCAAACCTCGTTGCTCCAACCATATACGTCCAGGATGTGGACAAGGAATTCTACCACTGAGAAATATGGACACTAATATGAGACACAAACCAACTACTGGCATTACAGTTTTTCATAATTAATTAGATAGAGATTGATTGTTCAATTAAGTAACAACCAATGAAGTTCAGAAATTTTAGAAATACATAAACAAAGTGTACAAGATTTTTCTTTACCTACTTACAAGATTGGGAATGAAATCAGCAAGCTTCTCATAGTCAGTGAGAGAATCCCAAACAGAGTTCACATCTGCGTTAACAACTACTTCAGCCTTGATTCTCCTTTCACGCCATGAAATCACCTCAACTTCAAACTGAACTTTTCTCTGTTTTTCCTCCTCCCCGTAACCGTTGTCATCATGACAATGATTCCTGAGATGGGTTCTTCGTTTACTGCTTTCAGAATTCCATACGGGTCTTTCATTGCTCGAAGAACAAGAAGCAATGTATTTATCCCGCAAACAATATCTGGGCCATTGAAAATTTATAGTACTCCTTCTTATCGAGTCATTTATAGTAGTGAAATTGAAACCCAATGCAACGAAGATCAAGTTGGAACTCTCTCCAATGACCCCGATCATGGAATTTGAGCTGGGGTGAGCTTCAATCTCAGCATATATTTAGTGTTAATTGGCTAAAAAGCAACGTAGTGTTGAGAAGGAAGCATCAAAGCTCTGGAAAATCATGAATGATAATGGAGTCTTTTTGTTTAGAGAAGACTGAAAAAATGGATAAGGGGCCGTAACCCCGTAAGGCCCGTAACATATGGTCCATTCATTTGAAAAAATAATGCTGTATTGAATCATCTGCTATGGATTCTTTCATTTTAATGCTTACTCCCTCCGTTTTGAAATATATGTCGTTTTAGGGTTTGGTGAATTTTTTAAAATATACAATATGTCATTTTCAAAAAACGAGGTATATTTTATCATTTTTTACTAATATTACCCTTGCCTTAGCAATGAAACAATATTTATAATAAATTTTCATTGGATTGTAATGAATTATATAGAAAATAAATAAAGGATTTTTGTATTTTAACTACACTAATTAATGTCTTCTTAGTTTTGATAAATTCTCTAAAAAAGCATATAAAAAAGAACGGAGGGAGTAATAAATTTCTTTTTTTTTTATATATTTTTTTCGAGAGGTAAACTTATTTGATATTTGATATTACTATAATTTTATTTGGGTAGTAAAAATAAACTACTATAGAAATTCTGTGTTTTTGACCATTCACCATCATCATTCATCAACAACAAATGAGATTACTTACCTCCTTCATTGTACCCAAAAAAATAAATAAAACTAAATGATTTCTTTTTTATGTTATCGACATTTCAAATTTTTTTTTCAATTTATTCATGTATCCGGATAGCTGTTAAAAATATCGTAAAAAAATATACAAGTTCCAACTTCTAACAATAATACAGACTTTTCAAAATAAATTACTTTCATTTTTTCTTATTTTTTAATTAATTTTTTTTGGAAGTTCTCGGTGATTTAATTGGCACTATGCTTTTGGATAGTTATTAATATTTGCAAGTTACAATGAATATGGATGGACTAGTAGGACAAATAATTGTTATTAATTTTTATTTTTATTAGATGAGTGGGTCTATGAGAAATTAGATAGTACTACTAAGAGGAGACTCCACATGTACATGTCTAGTCCACTTGTCCACTCTTGAAAGAGCTTCTCGTTTGGTTGTTGATACCTCCTATGCTGCAAGAAAGCATGGCTAGTGTTAAATCATTGCTATGGGGTTCGAATCATCGCAGGTGAGTGCTAAAGCCCCTACCACTGGGCCAACCCCTCATTGGCAATAAACTAAGATTTTATTACTTAATTCTTTAATAACAAGCGTTGAAGTTTGGGTGCGAAAATCACTATAAAAGAAAGAAAGAAAAAAAAAAAAGACTTGATTTACCAATTCAATATGAAGCCGTTTGGAATCAAACGCTCTCTTTTCTTCGTTCTCTACATTTCATTTTTTTCTTTTCCAAACTAATCCACTCGAGAGATTGTAAACAAGGCAAATTCTTCCATGGATTCGGTTTCATGGAAGGAGTGGTGAATCCCATCTTCAAAGTTAGACATTTGCCTAATTTTTAGGGATCACATGGGGATTCAATCAATTCTTGACAGATTATTTTGAGTTTATTGTATTTTTATTTTTTTACGAAGGGGGTTTTTTTAAAAAAAATTAAAAACCAAATTTTAAAAATATCCAAAACTTTAAAATAATTTTGTCTATTGATTCGTAAATAATTATGAAATTGTTATGAAATATTTGATTTGATTTGATTGAATATCTATAATTAATATGTATTATTCTATTCACAATGAAGGAGATATGATTCTGTAATATTAACATTACAGACAGGTGATTCATTTCTCACAATTTGATCTCCTACTTCCTGTATAAATAGGGAGCGGAGCTCATTCATGCTTCAAAATACATCTGAATACAAGTATCTTATCTTTCTCTACTCTCTTGTCTCTTTCTTGTTCTAATGCTTAATTTCATATTAGTAGTTTAGTATTAATTTTATTAGATGTTAAACTCGCACGATGTGCGGGTATGTTACAATACTTTTATGAGTTTTCTTATGAAATATAAAAATGTTGGTCACATATGTATAAATCTTGTGAAATATTAATTATTAAAATTTTGAACAAAGTAAAATGTGATATATGAAAAAATAATTAACTAATGATTACGAAACATTATGGAAGTTTCTCATCATAATTACATGTCATAAATGGAAGTATGTAATAAATTGTACCGAAAAAAAATTACCAATATAGTAATAAATGGTATCGCATAATCAAATTAATAATATCTCAGTTTCTCCAATAACAATTTATTCAAATAACTTAAAGATAATAAAATGACATTGGCATCATCCACCATACTTTTAGAGAAACTCATTGTCGTGGCTCGCGAAACATGTTTAGAAAAAGAGTTTGTATAGTACTATGTCAACAGCCTCTATGAGAATATTTGTCCTTTTTAAAAGAATAAATAATCAAATTAAATTCATGATAAGTTTTACCTCTTTTTTTTTACTTCTTCAAATGCAGCTGTTATGACCTGAAATTCCACCTTTATCACAAGTCAACATAGAGGCAACAATAATAAGAGAGAGAGAGATTAAAATTTTACCTTCACGATGGCACGTTTTGATTTGGGTATATATAGCTTTGAAAATTTATTATCCCTAAGGTTTTTAGTATAATTGAATTGGACATTAATTATAATAGACGCGAATTTGTAAACTGTTTGTATACATGTCTTTGATGGAACTCATTTTATCTTTTTTTTTTAAAAAAAAAAGTGGAACTCATTTCATTCTCAATTATCAATGTTTAATTATTTTTTCCTCCCATTATGAATCACACCGTTTGTTAATTTAGTGACACGTGCCACGTAATTAGACAGTCAATACAATTTATTATTAATTCATCACTAGTCATTCATTAAACCGTAAAAATTAATTAATTAAATTGTTAAAAAGTTACCTCAAATTTTTTTTTTAAAACTTAATTTGATTATGAAGAACTTTTTGTCTTTCTTGTCATCAAATCTAAATTGCCGAGATTTTGGAGCTATAATTAAGGTATGTATTAACAATAATGAAAAATCAACAACATCGACATTGCACTGATTTTTTATAATAAATTTAATAAAATCAAAATCCGGTCAAAAATAATAAATTCGAGTTATTAACAAAACCGTAACACTATCTATTCTCGAAACCCTAAGCCCCGCACACAATGGTTTTGTGGCAAAGGTTCACAGGAAGGTTCTTGTTGAAAGCTTTGAGTGCTGTTGTGAATATTTCGCGGGACCAGAAGTTGGCTTTCTCGGACAAAGAAATCTCCTTGTGCAGCTACGATTTTAGCGGGAGAAACATGGTATCTTTTTTTTTTTTTTTTTTTTTTGTTTTTTGTCAATTGTGACGAATCTAGCCCCGATTTCATTGGCAGTAGCCTTTTCCTCCGGGTGAATCTGAGGAGGACGCTTTTCTTTTATATCGCAATCGGGCTGATGATGACGTCACCTACATCTCCTTTCTCCGAAGACGACCCCTATCCTCCGCAAGATCGATTGAGATTTGAGTTTTACAATGTTTTCAGTACAAATTTAAAAATTTAATGTGAACTATTTTTTTTGGGACGAATATTTTTTTCCCTTTCTTTTGAATATTCGGAGTTTTTTTTTTCTCAATTGGTTTTGGATTTATTTTTTTTCCCCTAAATTTTATAATTAATTAATTCGCTTCGCTTCTCTGTTGTTGGATTATTAGAGAGTACGTGTCACGATGAAGCGGTGCCGTACGTTGCTTCTTATGACGACACGATGTTAGGAATTGTGGAGTTAGATGATGACGCGATTGTGAAAATGTCTTCACAGATGATGTCCAGCATCCTCTTCCAACTTGGCGATAAAGCTGAGACGGATGACATCAACCGCCAAGGTTAAAAATGGGATTCATGGAATGTTTTTTTTAATTTTTAATTTTGATGTTTATTATGGTCCTGTCTTTGCTGAAGGCTAACCATAACAGCAATCTTTTTTTTTTTTTTTGGAGTTTTCAGTTGTGATAGCTGCGACCAAGAACTATACTGAAATTCACTAGCGCAGGTTCTGCTTTTCAGGTACTATATTTGAGACAGGGAGTAATTACTTAGCGATGCATTATTTAATTCCCGATTGCAAATCACACACTCTTTGTCATGGAGGAGGGATGGATTATTTGATGTCTTCATATATATATGTATTTCCAGGTCACAAATGACAGTGTCATCACATATCCCAAGTATTCATGGATAGGTGGAACTGCCAGGAAACAGGATAAACCAGTCACTACTACTTCTGTCATCCAGTTTAAGAAGCCAGTGTCTTTCACCATTGATGCTCATGATCTTTATGAATTTGTACAATATCCTTGCTCGTTGGCCGACTCCGTAACCTTGCGTGTCTTTCTCCTTTCTGTCCTCTTGCATTGGAGTTCAATAAGGCCGATAAGCTTCGCATTGTTTTCCATTTGGAAGGAGACGACGCTGTCGAGGATGGTGGACAGGATGATGATAATCCGACGAAAAAGTCTAAGGCAGGAGACGCTGTCGAGGATACAACATTTTTGGATGCCGGTTCTACCATTAATCAAAGCTTTATGAACACTTTATCAAGAGAACCGGACCAGTCTATCGTTGATCCTCCGCACGCACGAGTGGCGGCCTGATTCGACACAACAAGTTGATCAACTCCGAGAATCAATCGATAAATTGACCTCTGCGATTCGTGAATTCACATCTGCAGCTGATAAATTAACATCCGCACTTCATCACTCTTTTCCACCAGAGGACGATGAAAATGCAAAGAAAAAGGCTAAGGCAGGGTGAAAGTCTATGTCTATTTTCCCGCATGTATTTTCACTAGTTCTTGGTGCGTCTATTGCAACTCTGGGTTTGTTGATAGAGGTTTAAAACCTCTCGAATTTTTGTAGATTTTCAGTTGACTTTATATGTGATTAAGCCGCCGCACTTAGTCTGTTATAGAATGATATTCTAATTTTTTTGTTTTTTCTATGAATCGTAGTCTCGCCATTGAATTAACCCTTTTTAATTGTTTTTTTATATATATAAAAAAAAGGATTGATAGTAATTTTTCACTTACCCTAACGTAAGTGCAAGTGGTTCGTCAAAGGAGATGGTTTCCACTTCTCAAAATTGTCTTATCCTGATCCCGTCGCCTGTCGGATCCCGGGTCTATGAAGAGGTTACAATGATGGTGAGAAAAACTTCACAAATAGTAGTAGTTCATCTTCCCCTAGGATTTAATTTGGGAAATATTTATAATCATTAATTTGCTATAGTAGAAGATTGAAGATGTTGTTTTGCACGCAAATAATAATTTTCCGTGACGATATCGAATTATTAACCTTGATTCGCTACGGTCAAAATTAAAATTATGGTAATAATTTTTCTTGCCGTCTTCAAATATTTTATGAAAATAATTACAAAATATTACCTCGTACAAAATACATTAAATCGTTTTGAATATGGTTTCTAAAATCCGACTCCTTCTCTAGACTGCAAAGTGACATATTTAACGATTCAAATTCTAGTTTCATATTTTCTTTACTGTATTTATTTTTTTGTTACTCCTCATGTTCTTCCGTTTTTTCGAAAAATAAAAGTTTATAAATTGGATAACTTTAATATTTCACTTTGAAAATTTAAATAGAATACCAGATCTATTTATTAATAGATTTATAATAAATTATGGATTGTATAAATATCATCTTCAGTTTTAAGATTTTAATTTCCAAAAAATTGGAGTATTTTTTTTTTTTGGTGGGGAGAGTCGCATATAAAAAAAAGAAGAAAAAAGCAAACAAGAAAACAAAAGGCAAAGGCGAAGCAAAACCCCTCACGCTTTCTCCCGAAATAAACGTGAATATTGTATTTAATACTACGAAGAAAGCGTAAAAGCAGCAGGGTTGCGCATGCAAAGGCGCGCTCTCTGTTTCGCGCTGTCGTGGTGGCATTCTTTCTTCCGAAGAAATCCAAAAATTCCGAATACCTCTTCTTGTTTCCTCTCCTCACGCAATTGATCAATCCAAAGTATCGTCAATCATCAAACCCTAAATTTCTTCAAACCCTAACTTCTGCAAATTGGCAGGCAGATTGCTGGTTTTTGGAGCAATCGATTTCTCTTCCCCCACCGAGGAAGTTGCTCAGGACGATATTTTCTCCCTGAATTGGGCTCTTGATTCTCTATTTATTATTATTATTTACCTTATGCTCTAGCATTTGGCGGGTTAAAGGGCCGGTTTTTCTTTGGCCTCTTTTGCACGTTGAAGCGTCTATCTACTCCGTGGATTGCTCTGCTGAAGCTCTGGTTAGTGACGGCTCAGGTGTGACTTGGTTTCTGTTCTTAATTTTAATCTTACCAAGTTTTTGTTTTGGTCCCTTTCTGATTATAATGAGTTTAATTTTGATTAAGAATTCTACTTTGGATGAGTTCAAGGGTTCTAAATTGTTGCCGGGTTATTTGTTTAGGTCGTAGTTAAGGGTTTTGATTAACTTGTAAATTGAGATGGTCCCGGTACAATCTGGTATTGCGAATAACTTCTTGTTTGCTGCACGAAGAAGGCTATTTGATAATACACCATGTTGCCTACAACATTGCGCAGGCCATCAATGATAGTTTAGTTGTACCTGTAGTAGTGATTTTCTAGTTAACTTCACACAAACTGCTCATAGAAACAATCGCATGGGATTTGAACATTGTGATGAAAATCTAGATTAGATTATTGAAGGCTGGATAAGTCATCTGTTGTCAACTTTGGCCCGAACTACAAGATGTGTAGACAAATTTTGGTGCTTTATGACGTATAGAACTTAGGAAGAAACTATTTATCTCGTAGTTTATTTATGCCATCTATGTTTTTTTTTTTTTTTCAAAAAGAAATTCTGTTGGTGATTCTGTCCCACACATCAGCTTGCTAAACAACTAATGCCTTACTGATTTTATCTTTAAATTATCCATCCAGTAGCGATTGATTGATGTAACGGACCAACTGATATGATCCTTAAATTTATCCATCCATTGGCAATTAGTTTTCAGTTGGTTTGATGGACCTGCTTGTTGATGGTTTCAGTTGATTTGAAGTAAATTTATTGAAGCTATCTATCTAGAGCTTGTGGTTTCTTTGCATTTTAGTCGAAAAGTAATGTCTGTCTTTGAGAAGGATTTTGATAAGAATGGCTGGTGTGAATACAGGCTGTTATACTAAAATCCTGATTCTTGTGTACATTGACTTTCTCCACAATGATGAAATGGAGGTAGAAATGATGATCTTCTTCCTCTTTTTGTTTTCAGTTCTATGCTTTAGGGATTGAAGTGCAGGGGATGGACTTATTGTCTTTACCTATATTTAGTGCGTGTGAATGATGTTCAGCGGGCAGAAAGGTCCCAATGCTCTGAATCTATTCAACTGGAAACGGCAAGGTGATTCATCCTTAACGACCGGGTTACTTAATGTGGTACCCCCAGAAATCGAATTATCTGACTACCGCAGAACCCCAAGTTCTGGAAGTGAAAGTCCTACAGGACTTCTTAATGGCGAGGGCTTGAATGTTGAGCCAATCGCTGATCTAGATTTGTTTTTTGAGAGGCTTTATAGTTACTATTGTGAAAAGGGGCTCTGGTGCATAATTATAAAGTGGATATTTGAACTTCTGAGTCTTGCATTCACGATATGCTTTTCTGGATTCTTTCTTCTCGTTGTTGATTGGAATGGTCTACGCAATGCAAAATGTGGGATGGATGCCGTAGAATCTGGCATTAAACCCTGTGATTTGTCCAAGGAAGCCCTTCATCAGCATCCCTTAACCCCTTTTACATTGACCAAAGCTATAATTCTTGGGTATTTGGGGATATTCTCCATCTACTGGACATTTTGCTTCTTCAGGTTTTTTGCACAGTTGAAGGATACCCTGAAAATTCGAGACTTCTACTACAACAGGTATTGAAAGTTTTAAATGAAATTAACCAAAAAAAAAAGCAATTGAAGAATAAGGAAAAAGACTTAGTTGCTGAAGCTTGCTATATCACCTGAAATATTTGTAGTGTGTTCCCCTTCTGTAGTTAATGACAAAATAGTTTCTCAAAGTCTGATGCTTTGCATCTTTATGCAGTCTGCAAGTGACTGATAATGAAATACAAACTTTGCCTTGGGCGTTGATTCTTGAAAAGGTTGTTCGGGCACAAAGTTCACAACAACTATGTGTGGTAAAGAATCTTTCCATTCATGATGTGGTGATGCGTCTCATGCGAAAAGAGAATTACTTGATTGGAATGCTCAACAAGGGAGTCCTTGCTTTCCCTATTTCTTCTTGGGTTTTTGGTGCTGGTCCCACTGTCAAATGTGGTCCCAATGGCGTGCGGTATCGGTTAATTCTGACGCAAACTCTTGAGTGGACCTTGAATTGGTGTATATTGCAGAGCATGTTTGACAGGTACTTCCTGCACCTCCTACTGTAACCTACTGAAACCCAACACACACCCACCCCCTCCCCCCAAAAAAAAGAAAAGGCAATGAGAAACTGCTGAATTATTCCTGAAGGGGCTTGAGCAATTTTCTGTCAATACTACGTATTTTTCTTTTCATTTAGTTTTTGGTGGTAAAATCTTTTTATTGTAATAATTTGGTTTATTTATCAAACAGAAATTTTCGCATTCGAAGTGAATTTATCTCTGATGCTAAAACTCTGAAGAAAAGGCTGATGATAGTGGGCTTAACAATGCTTCTACTTTCACCCTTTCTCGTCATATTCATGCTGGTGTTCCTCTTCCTGAGGCATGCTGAACAATTCTATAACCATCCAAGTACGGCATCATCTCGAAGATGGTCAAATCTTGCAAAGTGGATCTTCAGGGAGTTCAATGAGGTACTTTTTCCCACTTGATAATGACTTTAAATTTAGATAGATTTCTGTGACATGCAAGTTAGGTTCATTTATTATGTTGTTGGTTTCTGTACTTTTCTTGTTGTTTTTAATTTGTCTAGATTGAAGTGTCAGAAAGGGGAATAGTTACGAATTTGCATTAGAGTTGACGAGGAAGTGACACTCGAAATACATGGCCTCTTGGTCTTCTTTGACTTCGTCATATGCTGCAAAAGTTGTTGCCTAGCATATTTTTCGGTTTTGATTGATCCTGTTGTGTGGAGGTGGGGGGTGGGGGTGGGGGGGGGGGGTTCTCTCTAGTCTTTCTGGGAGGCTATCTTGGGTCTTATATCGTAATTTCTATTTTTAGATTTTCAAGAGGATTTGCAGCATTGATGTGTTTTATCTTTCTTGTAGGTTGATCATCTGTTCAAGCACAGAATCAATAACAGTGTCGTTCATGCTTCTGAATATTTAAAGCAATTCCCGTCGCCTAAGATTTCTATTGTTGCAAAGTTCATCTCATTTGTATCTGGTGGCTTTGCTGCTATTCTCATCATTATTGCTTTTCTTGAAGAGTCCTTGCTCGAAGGCCATGTAAGATGTCTTGTTCTCTATGATTGAGTTCTCTATCTTGAGTTTTGTGGACAAATTCCATGAAAGATAATCTCAAAATTTTGCAGATATTTGGTCGCAATTTGTTCTGGTATGCAGCTGTTTTTGGGACTATAACAGCTATTAGCCGTGCTGCAGTGACAGATGATGTTCTTGTACTTGACCCTCAGGGAATGATGTCACTAGTGGTCCAACATACCCACTATATGCCTAAGCGATGGCGAGGAAAAGAGAATACTGAGGCTGTGAGGATGGAGTTTGAAACTCTATTTCAGGTCTGTTGAGTACTAGTGTTCCTTTAATCAAGTTCAACTTAACCTATGTGGCACCTTCTCTTTACTTCATGCATATTGGAGACATTGATTGCATTAAATTTTAGGTTTGTGAATGTCCTTAATCATTTGCTTTCATTAATAAGTTCTATTCCGAACTAATGCTATTGCTTTTGCAGTACACAGTGATGATGTTACTGGAAGAGATGGCTTCAATCTTTCTCACACCGTTTCTGCTCTTGTTTGTTGTCCCAAAGGTTTTATTTTCCATTTTCAGAGTTCTCTTCAGTATGTATCTTGTAATTGCCAGTGTAATAATATTTTAGGTATTGAACAGAACATTCTATTATTTGCAGCGTGTGGATGATATTTTGCAATTTATTGCTGATTTCACCGTGGATGTTGAAGGTGTTGGTCATGTTTGTAGGTGAGTGTTTTACAGTTTATCTCTTGAATGTTGGTCCCAAGATTTTGCTTAATTGGAGGTAATATAATTTTTTACTTCTTTTCATTGCAGTTTTAGTGTCTTTGATTTTCAAAATCATGGCAATGGTAGATATGGTTCTCCCTTTAATTGTCCCCATTTTCAGAGGAGTTCCCAGGGCAAAATGGAGAAATCTTTCTTGAGGTACTACTGCCGCACTGACTTCACTAACAAAAACTATAAATTTTTTTGTTTAATGAAATACTGTTGTTGCCCATGATTGTAAGCACACCTGTTCCTTATTGCGGGCTCACCTTGGTTTTACCTGACTGCAGCTTTCAGAGTAGTTATCCTTCATGGGAACCAAATGCTCACGGAAAACACTTTCTGGCAAATCTGGATAAATTCAGAGAGCAAAAGCTGCAAGCTCAGGCAGTTAGACCAGCATATGGCACTCCTAGGATGTCACCACTCAACCCGAGTTTTAGGGTTCCTGTTGACAGAAACAGCTTATTACCGAGAGAATCGCCATTCAATAATGTCCGTACTGCCTATCAGTACGGTACAGTATTGCCAATGGATGGTGAGCAGAAGGATTATCCTTACATCCTGGACTGGTATTATGCCTCGCATACTGCGAACAACTTGGGGGAGATTCCACCAAATGTTCCTGGCCGTGTTGAGGAACGGGAGAAGGGTTTATGGTTGCCATCTGATTTGAGACCAGATATAGCAGCATACGACGAGAACTGGAGACAACATGAAGCAGCAAATGAGGAACCGTGGGGACAATCATTTCAAGAACGCTCCCACAGTCAACTTGATGCATCAACATCAGCTCCTCACTTTGGTGAAAGTGTGTTGCAACATAATAACTTGCACAATGTGGGAAACCCTTCGACCAGTGGCCAATGGTGGTTCAGGAACAGGCCACAAGGTGCAAATCCGGAGACAAGTTTTATGGAACCCCCAAACTTCAACCGTGAAACGGGGTATCATCATAATGATAATGACGATTACAGGATTATGGAGGAAGAAGAACAGTTGGATTGGGTGAATCCGAGTAGACTATCTAGAACTTTCATAATGGACGATGACGGTGGGGATTTTGATCTTCCATTTGACGATATCTATAGAAGACGTTCGGAAAGCCCGAAAGACAATTGGGATCCTGCAGATATTGTGTAATGTAGTATATGAATCAGTTCTACTATCTTAAATATCATTGGTTATTGATAAGGGTTAATATAGAGATACATGTTCGCTTGATTCTTTGTTGTATATAAGTTCGGTGTTAGAGACAGTTGAAAGGGTTCGTGTTGATTCATCTATCCTTTAGGCTGCAAAATCACCATTGATCTTGCAAAATTGTGTAAAGAAGAATCTGACACTGTTCTCAATGGAACATAGTTTCAGATTTTAAATTTCCATGGTGTTTTAAGCTGGTTGTACTAGAATAAGATTAAAATTTTAAATTAACACGGATCATACTGGTAACTAGCATTTAACTGCATATGGTGCCTTTGATGACAAAAAGTGTGTTTTACATATCGAAACGTGGAACGGTGGAAGACCGAAGCTAGTTGACACATTTTCACCATGCAAAATCTAAACCAAACACTTGCCAATATTTTCAACTCTTGAGTTTGCCACGTTGTTGTTGTTGTTTTCTTTTCTTTTTTTTTTATTTTTTTTAACTGATCTCACATGCATGTCCTAATAAAACACCGCTTTAGTTTGTCCGAAATATAATTCATTGTTTCTCCCAAACACACACACCAAAAAAGAAAAGAAAAGAAAAGAAACAAACCTTAAAAATGGGCAAGGTGATCATGTTTGCTGCCTCTTTGGTGTTGCTTTTTGCAATAGCGGCGGCTTTTGACATGGAAGCAATCATCCCTTCATATCTGAACTTCATGGGGAAATCCCAAGGTTGTGAGAAACAGCTTCAGAAACAGCAGCTGGACTGTTGCCAGACCTACCTCAGGGAGAGCAGCAGACCAGTCTCACCATCATCGGTGTCGATGGTGGTTGATGATGATGAGGATCATAATCAGGGTACTGGTCCTTCTTCTTGGAGGGATGCATTTCCAAGGTGCTGTGATCAATTGGAGCATGTTACCAAAGAATGCAGATGTCAGGCTATCACCCAGGTAATCATCAATTTCTTCTTCTTTGTCCACTTATTATTATTAAATTATTCATCTCTCCGTCCTGTTCCCGAAATTATTGTCTAATCGAAATTTTTATTTTTAGTATATAATTTTGTACTAGAAATGAGATCTTAAACTGAATAATAATATTATCAAATCAAATCAATTTGAGGAAATCTGAAGCCCTGAAGTAGCAACAAGGACACTGAATTCAATGAAATCAATTTTTTTTTTTCCTTAAGAAAAAATGTATCAAGTTCAATTGCATGCATGCATTAATAAGTGACACCACCCCACCGACCAGATGGGACGACGATGGGAATGGATCCATGGACCTGTGATGATAATCGTGTGATTTACTAATGGATGGAATTACATAATAATACAGGCGATTCAACAGCAAATGCAGCAAAGGGGACAATTGCAAGGGGTAGAGATGCGGGAGATGCTGCAGAATGCAAGAAGTCTCCCGGTTCTGTGCCGAATTAAAAAATCCCAGTCTTGTGACATTCAAATCCCTACTGGTCCTTCCGTTTTAGACCATCTTTATTGATGATCTTGGCTGATATTACTTATTTTATGAATAAATAAGAGCTAAAAGTAACATCAAATTCACTGCTTGATCTTCTTTTTTTTTCTCCTCCTGTAAGTTTGCCATTGGTGCTTGGTGGTGAGTTGGTGTTATCTAATTAAGGAATGGAGTGAAAATGTAACTCGTTTCGGAGTTGATTGCTTATTTACTTCTGGTGTCTACTTATATTGAATTGAATTTTATTGCACATATATGAAAAAAAAGGTAACACATACAATACCAGTTGGGCAAAATATTGAGCACCAGAGGCAAACTACAACACAAAAGTCCAGTTATTTTCGTTTCTACCAACATTCATTAGATTCGTCTCACTTTAATAATAATTATTTATTCTTTATTTTAATTTGACGATACCCTCTGATTTGGTTCTTATTATAAGGCATTTTGATTTTGTCAACTTGGAAAAAAAATTTTAAAAATAAATTTTTACATTCGTCGTGTTTTGGAAAAAAATTTAAAAATAAATTTTCACATTCGTCGTGTTTGCTTAAAAAATATTTTAAAAGTTTTTAATTTAATTAAAAAAGACATTTTAAGTAAAATTTAGAATAAATTTAAGACAAATCAAAATGTCATGGTTTTTTTTTTAATTCAAATAAGTTGGGACTATGAAAGTGAGACGTAGGATTACTTCATTTTTTGTGTAATTTTTATGTAATGATGACGTTGGTAAAACTAATTTTCGTATGTCAAAGTGTAGCATACGTATCAAGGTTACGTGACGTTAAGAGATTGTCGCTATTACAACCCCCAAAAAAAAAAACCTAATAAAGATGAAATTGAGAGATTTTGGGCAAGAACTAAACATTATATTAAGAGTCATTAAAGATTTATCATTATCACGCCGTCAAGTTGAACATATTGTTAGAGTTTCCAACTTGATGAACTTTAACCAAAAAATATCCCGATGTTCAATGGCACATTTGGACCCAAACCACACGGACAATCGGAATACAATTGAAAAGCAAATGAAATTCAACCCCAATTATACGAAATGAAATAGAAAAAAGTCATTTTCAGCAACTAAAACAAGGGAATAAAATAAATAAATTTGAAATATATATACATATATTTTGCATATTTGCAGGGTGTTCACCGTCGGTAACAATGACTAATCTCCACGCTGAATTGTAGACACTTCAATGGGTGGGACAGCTGGCCAAAGTATTTAAGGTTGCTGGAGGAGTACTTTCCACTTTACCACGACCACTTGAGTTAAATTTGAAATATATTGTAATTGTACATTTAATAGTTTCTTTATAAATATTTAAATGGGCTGTATAATAGCCCAATATTTTTAACCTGTTTGGAGAGGGTCGTTTCAGTCCAATGATGATATGACTGGATCCAACCAATTTATAATTCTTCCCTCCATTTCGTTTATTGGATAAACAAGAAATTTCGTTCCCTCCATTTCTTCCCGCCAAAAGCAAAGTCGCGCTCACCTGCACAAAACCACATCATAGTCACCATCTCGTCGGAAACCTAAGGAAAAAATTCAATCTGAAATCGGACCACCAAAAGTAAATGGACAAGAGCGGCGGCGGCGCAGCTCCGACCGGATGCTACAAGTGCGGTCGGCCGGGTCATTGGTCTCGAGACTGCCCTTCAGATCCCAGCACCACCAACAACAACAACGAAGATCTCGAGAGTAATCCAAACGGGTCGGCTAATTATTCCAATAAAAATTTCAATTCATGGAAGAATAGTACTCCAAAGTCCGCTCCTGAAGCAGAGAAGCCCAAAACGCTTCGTAAACCCAGGCCTACCCTGACCCCAGATCTCCTTCTTTCAAATGATGGAATTGGCCACATTCTCCGCCATTTCCCCCGCGCTTTCAAATACCGGGGCCGCGGTCATGAGGTCGGTGTTTCTATTTTGACTGATTATTGAATTTTGGGTTGTTAGCTGCGCGAGATTGTTTTTGTTGTCTTCTCCTCTTTCTGTAAATTACTTGTTGAGATTTTGAATTTGGTGTTTACTTGGGTGGCTATGTTTAACGTTTTGGCGATTTAATTATCTGAATATTTTTCATGGCAACTTTTGAATTTGGGAGTACCCTTTTTGAAGGATCAATTTTAGGGTTAGTGTTAGACTTATCTTTATAATTAAAAATTTTAAGATTGTATGGTGTTTTCGGATTGTTAAAGTGGAGTTACTTCAGTATTATCGTTGCTCAAAATTCAATACTTTCTGTTGTTGTTTATGTTCAAGTGGAAGCATTATTGGAAACTCAGGATCAGGGAGAAGAAAAGACAATGGAAAATTTCTTATTCAATAGTCTTGATAAAGTTGGATTTCAATTGTTTGTGCTTGTTGACAGGTTAGTGATCTTGGAAACCTGCTTGGCATGTATGCAGAATGGCACTCTCATTTACTACCATATTACTCCTTTGATCACTTTGTGCATAAGGTGGAGCAAGTTGGTGCTAAAGTTCGTGTCAAGGTGAGAGATCTTGCACGCTCTTTTACATACACGCGTTCGTCGCTTTTATGTTTAATTTTCCAAATGTTCCCCCAACATAGCTGTGATGAGTCTGGGCTGCAGATATAGAATTTATGTCTGCCTAAACTTAAATTAGCTAAGCAATTGATGTTTCGACTTTGTCTTCAGTAGGGATACATATTGGTTGTTGAAACTCAATCTGTTAGGACTTCAAGAACAACTTGATTTACAAATTTTCTTAAGCAATTTGTATTTGTACGAGAAGACAGTGATGGAATTGTACAGTTAGCAAATAGTATTCAGATACTTCCACATAAACTTGATTTTCTTAAAATTAGTATCTCTAATGTCTCAATTCATTTTGTACTGTTATTGAGCAGAAATGTCTCCGAGAATTACAAGAGAGAGTTGCTAGTGGAGTTGACCCAGCAAAGTTGCACGAGTCTCAAAATCAAGAAGGCATCTCAAACCATGATGAAGGTATTCTAATTTGATCCGACTCATGTTGTATCTTATAATGGGACAGAATTACTTATTAATGCGGACAGAATCTTATAAACACCTTTTGCTACCTTTGTAAATGTTATTCAGACTTTCTGAAGTTATTCTTATCAAACCTGAAATAGAAATATAACTAAGCAGCAGAATCTCATTCAGAAGTGTTGCCGAAGAAATAATTCACAAATGCATAAATGTTTGAGAATGGAGTCTGAAAAAACTTTTAATCTGTTTTTTTTCTTTTTTAAAAAATTTTTCACACAGTGAGAGAAGCAGTGGCCTTGGAGATGCAAAATACTCAGGAGGAAGTAGCCTTTATGCAAAATCCTGATACTGATATTCATGAGGAAAGCAACTTTGATGACATTTTTGGAAATGCCATGGAGGTCAGTGTACTGCTAGTTCAGACTTGGCTTTATCACTTTTGAAGTTCTGATTATTTATATATTATTTCTTAAAGTTTTCGCTGCATGTGCGAGTTATTGGTTTTTTTTAGTGTTTATCATGTTGGTTTGATAGGGTGGTCGTAACATCTGTCATCTAATCTTTGCATTATAATCGCTAGCAAGTAGTGTTTTATCTAGTTCATTATGCATTGGTGTTTGTTCACTAATCGGGACCTTTAAAACTCATTTTTTCTGTGAAGATTACCCCAGTTCACAGCAGCTGTATCTGCCCCATGAATCGACTTTTGCCATCACTCATATTTTCTGCGAAGATTACGCTAATTCACAGCAGCTGTATCTACCCCATGAATCGACTTTAGCCATCTTTATGTTTCTTCATAATCTCATGTGAGAGGGAATTTCTCTTTTATCTTATAGGTTCTTTCAATTGTTTTGACAGGACTCTTTGGAGCCTGCAAACTACCATATAGCTCCAGCCAATGTGTCTTCGGTTAACAATGAGCCGCCAAATAAAAAGATTACTGGAGCTGCCATGACTGAAGAACAACGAGCTCGCATGATTGCAAGCAGATTGAAGGCACTAGAAAAAGCTGCCGCACGAGCACAGAAACTACAAGGAACCTGATGCATTCTTTCATGTTCATGACCCAAATAATCTACCTGTTGGCATGCTTAATCTATTGGCATCTTTTCGATAGTTGAAGGGAGACGAACTAAGGTGGGAACAAGATTCGATTGGCAACATTTCCTTAACATTTCCTTCTATCAGTGGTATCATTCTTGGGATGAGGATAGGGTTTCTTATGTACACATGAATAGTTGAAAATTGTGTAAGAATTCCAAATGTGGGATTGGTTTGAATTGAATTCGTCAATGTACTACTCGTGAGTTGTGACATGGCGGTTTATGTTCTATTTTGACCAAATCAAGAAGCAGAGTACGTACACTTCATATCATGACAGAACTGTGAAAACTTTTGGTCACATATTTGGACTTTAGTACAAAAGCTATCATCCAATCCTTAAATTTTTCTTGTTTGTATACAAAATTTCAGTATACTGCATTCCAAAATGCAAGCTTCTTCAGATTTTGGAAACCAAACACGAGAAGCAACAAAAGAGGAAGAAGCAATTTTCTTCTAGCCTTGGTCTACTACTCTATTGTAATGATTCTAATCTAATTATTCTCAGGAATTTAATGACCAATCATAGCCATGGTAAACAATATTTACAGGGCCACCATCACTTAAAAGATGGGTCAAAAGACCTGCCTTGGTAGCATCTAAGTAACTTATCATCCATTTTAGGATCTCCTTTTCTTGGCCAAAATCTGCGCTGTACCTGAATAGAACGGATTGGAAATTTAGAAAATTTATAGTGTTTCCGAATTTGTGAACCTTATTCATAAAAGCGAAAGGAATCATTTCTCTGGTGATGTTGCTTTCACTCACCAACTAATTATGCGAGTGAGATAAACAGTCCTCTTAGAAAGATCAACCTGCATCGCATCATCCCTGATGAAGAACTCTCTAGCAGCACTTCTTAGTTCAGACTCAACACCTTGGGGAGTGAAAAACTTGACAGCCGGACTCGATCTTGTGCCATTGCAAAGACCAAAATGACTCAATTGGTTCACTTTCGGAAGAGCCAGCTGATAAGAGCAAACGTAAACTGATGTCAGTCATACACCAACTATCAGTACTTGGTACCTCTGGACAATTGATACAAAACAGACACTTCAGCTTAACTTTCTATTTAGTTGTCACCTTAACCAAAAATAGAAGCATGCATTTTCGTTTTAGATTATACATTAGATTCATTTTCATCCTTTACGAAAGAAAAAGCTTTCTCAGAAGAAGTGAAAAGAGCATTACGAAAATGAACTAATAGCAGCTTAATGAAGTTCAAGATTGAAGCCAGGGAGGATAGGGTTATAATTCATAATCTGTGAAGTTGGGCTGCAAATGAAATTTTAAGATGGCACTACATAGCGGTTCATTGATCACCTGCAGACGCTTGTCTCCACCACTGAAGGGTTTGACTAATGAGAAAGGAGCTCTTCGATTACTTCTGAGAATTCCATTTCTGATTGCTGTAAGAGAAAATGGATAACCCCCAATGACATAAATGAAATCGGAGAAAAATGATCTTCTGTCAATGATTCCCCCAGGATGACCAATCCTAATCACTGCATGTATCGCCATGGCATTGTAGATGTTCAGAAAAAAAGACAACTTCTCTTCTGCTGAAAGATTAAAGATGTTGACTCTTTGGAGATCTTGAACTACATGAATATATCTGAAGAGGGAAAAGAATATCATCAGAGGGAGACCTTTGATTACCAGATCATCAGAGTTGAGGAACAGAAAGATTCATATTAGTAAATATTGCAAATGGACCTGAAAACCATATTTTGAACGAACCAACTAAAACAGTAGCTTCTAGAAATTTACCTTCGAAATTCTTCGCTTTTGCTTATCTTCACATAATCAAGATGCTTATGATCATCAGAGGCATAGGCCTCAAGGATTGCAGACATAATCCTCATCAGTCTCAGGTTTAGTAGAGCTGCAGCCTTCGGCTCAGTGTCATTTGTTGCTCCCCGAAAATTGTAGCATTTAAGAATAAAAGGCTCGTGCTCAAGGAATCTATAGAAGTGATTACCATCCTCAAATTCATTTTCCCTGTTGTGCAATTGTAGTTTACATTAGGTCAACAAAATGTTATTACAGTGTTTAGCTTCAAATGTTTATAAGCATATGCTTACCCGAATACATGGTGAATGAAATGTTTACGTGCTAGCTGCTTCCCAATCTCAACGGCCTACACCAAAACAATGTCAGAAACACCATTAAGGCATGCTGTGATTCTTATAGTTTTTAATAATATTGATCACACATAATCAATTGTCAATTGAACGGTGTTACTGGTTAGCTTGAAGCTTTCAAACTATTTGCCTGGTCAAGATTTACTTGTTCATTAAAGTCAATTCAGTCCATAGTCCAACAAGTTGACACAAGACCAATTAAAAAAATGGATAATAGAATATGACAGTGTCATGAGAATGAAATGACCAACTACCGGTATAGGACTCTTTCTTAGGACGAAGGGAGTACTATTGAACATTAAGGCTGCGGTAAAGATTGCCTCTAGAAATGACATCAGAAAATTGTATACTAAACATGTGACCATAATACAGAGATGTGGTAAATGACGTCTAGATTGTTACATTAGCACCAGGATTTCCTCGTCCATCCAACTGCTATCTTTCAATTCCATCCCAAAAATTGATCTAACAAACTTCAATTTAACTTGAGGGCGCGAGATAATTATTATTAGGACTCAGAAGGAACAACAAAGATAGTTTAGGAAATGTATTTCCTAATCAATAATTAAGATAAATTAAGTCTCATCAAAGCTGGAGCTAGAAGCTAATTAAGGCCAAAGCTAGATAAAGAAAAAATAAAATAAAATTAACCCGACCAGATGATGAGTTGTGGGACAAAGTCTCGTAAGCTGTTATTATTATGAGTTGTACTGGAAAGCTAATTAAGTCCACAGCGTGCAATGAATGAGTGCATACATAAGAAAGAAGTGAAGATGAACAAGGGCGGGCGCATGGTCTTATTATTAGGGGGGTTTGCCTCTGCGACTTTGTTTCTTTGGTTCTTGTGTCTCTGCTCACGTTCCTCAATTAAATGCTGTTTTTTTTTTTTGTTTTTTAGTACTAACATCCAAGTTCCCTTAACTCCTAGTAATAATAAATTTGGATTCCGAAAGAACCAGTGTTCAGTGCTGGGTCCTCCTAATTCTTCATCCTCTCAAAACAAGAGAACTTTTTTAATTTTTTTATTGTGGGATATAAAAGAATTCAGTGAAATTATAAGATGTTTTGGGGCTGAGTAGAAAAATCTATGTCAATGCGAGATAGTGTATTATCTTTGACAGCATTGCTAGTTGACCTACACTTGTTGGAATGACGTATCGAAATTGACGTTTTATAAAATTCTTAATAAGGATTATGAGTTTCAGTGAGCTCTGGTGTTAAATTTTAACAAATTTGGTCAACACCCCCATAACGGTAAGCCAACTACTAACAAGGACGGAACTTCCTTTATTTATTTATTTATTTTGGTACAAGAAAAGAAACTCCCTTTATTTTTCTTGTCTCTCTCTCTTTTTTTTTTTATCAGCAAAATGATGATAACATAGTAGTAGTATTTATTTTATAAATCATAGTATAAAGCAATCAATTAAGTACTTCCTCCGTCCCATAATTATTGTCCAGTTTTACTAAAATGAAAGATTTTATTTTTGATCAAACTTAACTATATTTTACCTTAAACAACCCGATATACCCCTAAATAAGTAATTGTTTAACCACTAAGATTTTATGAATAATGTTTTTTACTAAGGACAAATGTCTAACTTGATTCATAAAAAGTCAAATTGGACAATAATTTTGGGACAAAATTTTTTGAGCAAAATGGATAATAATTATGGGATGGAGAGAGTAATTGGTAGTAGCAGTTGTGGTTTTTCTTATGAAGATTTCCTCTAACAAATTTAAACCAAAGAGAAGAAAAAAAAAAAGCCTAGAAGATGAATTCTATCTTTAATTTGTGTGGATTTGAGTCATCGACCAACATTTGGGATTACTACTTCATCCTCTAATTTTGGTCAAATCCCGTCTCTTTCCACCAAAATTGACAAAAGAAACTAGTTTGGGATTACTACTTCATACTCTTGTCCCACACATTACTTCCATCCAAAACTAGTTTCCCTCAACTCACAATAAAATAATAATAATACTACTACTACTACTACTACTACTACTAATAATAATAATAATATATTGATTAAGAAAAATAGTTGTTTTCTTTTCTAATACTCTCATTTTCATCTTATTTTTTGTTATGCCTCTGTTTTATAATATTTGTAATCAGTCAAAACTTTTTTCAGATAGAAACCAACTTTAGGTGTAAAAAAGGAAATATCGGAACCGAATGGGAACGGTCATCTTTTTAATTCCGACTACAATTTTTTTTTTTTTTAAGGTTAATACGGAAATAAGAAACATGATTATTATAACATGAAAGTAATTTTTTTTAACGCTGTTAAATTTCTTAATAATGAACGTAAATTTAGCTTGAATGACCCACTCATATAAAAAGCTTAGGTATTTTTAATGTGCATTAAAAAAAACAGTTAATTAAAAAAATCCTATGTTACAACTTACAAGTTCATTTTGTTTAGTATGGTTACCTACAAACTTACATTTGATCCATTCACATTATTGTTGAAAAAGGATCTCGACCAAATCAAACCAGCTAATCTTAATCACTCAAATTAATGGAACTTTAATTTTGACCTCAAACCAACCATTAATTTTAGTTAGTTATTTAAAAAAAGAATAATTTAATAATTCAAAAAAATTACCTTTGATCGGCCGCAATCCAAGTGGTGTATCAAAATCTCCACAAGCTCACGACCGGCGAAACAATTCTTGACTATCTTCATCTTCATCAGACGGTCCTGAATTGGCAATCTCTGCCGTAACACTCTCACTATGTTCAACATTTCATCAGCCTCCTCATCCCCCGCCGCGGCCACATCATCATCGTCAAACCCGTACACCGGCGGCTCCGGTGCCTCCGGCGGACATTTCCCGGCCAACATCTCTTCCAATTTGGCATCCAAAACACCACTATTCCTCAACGAATTCAGCGCCACCAATCCCCCGATTAACTTCTCGTTGAAGAAAATCTTCGGCACCGTCGCATTCCCTGTCCTCTCAATCAGTTCCTTCTCCCTCGACGGATAAACATCCACGTTAATTTCCACAAAATTAAGGTTTCTTTCCCGGAGAAATGTCCGAACAGCACCGCAATCCCTACAGTTTGATCTCGAGAAGAAGCTTATCCGTCCCAATAGCCTTTTCTCCTTCTCGGCGGTGGGTTTTAAATTCACCACCACTTTTAACCCCGACAAGTTTATCTCCGTCACGTACGACTTCCATTTCCCGCCGCCGGCGGCTTCCGAAGCCATTAGAGCTCCCGGCGACGTGGTTTTGTTGTCTTTCAGTGACGATATCCTCCTCGTGATGGCTGACGAGAGGCTGTTGCTTTTCTCCCGGAAGAATTTCCCGATGGCCGGAATCTCGAAGTCTCGAATCTCCGCCGGCGAGGATTGCGACCGGGAGAAGTCACGTGGGGAAGGAGGGGATGCGCACGTGACATCATTAATAACGCCTGGTGGGGCCTCTGGCTTTGGGAGATGCGCATGTGGTTGTTGGACCGTTTCAACTGATGAAACGGCATCGTTGTACTTGACGACATCTTCAATATGTTTCCCGGCGTGATCATCGCTATTCAAATTGCTGTCGTCGGCTTTTTCTTCGGAAGAAAAACCATTTTTAATTCCCTGATCCTTCCCGGAAACCAATTCAGCTCCGGTAGCACCGTCGGAATCCATACCGTCGTTTAATCTTGATTTCTCTGAACTGGGCTGATGATGATCCTGGGTTTCATTTTCTTCTCCTCTGGTTGATAAATCCATTCCCCTGTTTTCCCTCTGTTTTCTGGTCGGTAAAAAATAAAAAAGAAAAAAAAAACAAGAAGAAGAAGAAGAAAGAAAGAAACGGAAGTATCTAAAAGAGATACAAAGATTTCGGAGAATCTAGATTTAATATCAAGAAAAACATTAAGAGGAGAAAGGAGTTGGGATTGAGAAATCTTAGGCGGTGATGTTGGGAGAAGAGGAGTTGTAGTATTGATTTATATAGATATGGATGGATCCATGACAACGGAAGAAAGGTTCAGACTCGGACTTGGGCAAAGTTTGACAAATGTTTGTGTTTGTGCAGAAGAGATTGTAAATTAGGCTGGCTCCAATTAAGTCATCCAAATAAGTAAACGTAGTTTGTAATGGAAGATTATTTTTCAAAACTCAAAAGTCACTCGAGTTTTATCCTCCAAAAATTTCAAATACTTGGTCATCTCTTCTTAAAATATAAAAGTGAAGATTCGAGCCTTTTAAAAGAGCCCGATATTAGAAAAGAGTAGTGGTCGAGCTAAAGAGCAACCGTAAGGGTGTGGACGGATCGATTCATACCACGGTTATAGAATTCTACGGTCGGTATATCGATTCGCTATGATTCTTATCAAAATTATGTAGATGGCGGATCGCTTTCTATAACAATAACAGATTTTTACAGTTATCAAAATTATACAGACGGCGGATCGATTTTTACAACAATCACACATTTTTACAGTTATCAAAATTATGCAGATTTTTGCAAAATGAGTTTGCATTAAATGCATAAAATCTCTTCAAATCAGTGAACACCGATAGAATCATGCTGTGTTTCTTTATATAAACTGTGCAATCGGCAGTTTCAACAGTTATTTAAAAACTCATTTAAGAAGGCGCGAAATTTACAATAAACGGTTATAGTTCGCGCGAAAAATAATATCGAGTAAGACGGGCCCAACAGTGGCGGAGCTAGGGGGAACCAGCAGCGGTGGTCGCTCCTCTCCCTCGCCGGAATTTTTTTTTAAGTGGTGTTTCAAATTTTTAGTATAAATTAATTTTTTAAAATATTTTTGCCCCTATAAAATAAAATTTTGGACATTTAGCCCCTAAAAATACAAAATCCCAGTTCCGCCACTGGCGCTCAATGCACTCGAGTCATCGGGTTATTTCAACACGCACCGGTAAGTTTGGAAATGATTTATTAGTTAGACTTTGCCCTTCCAACTTTTCACTTTTCATCTTTTTGTATATTTTTAATCACATTATAATGTTCGATTCTTAAGTAAAAAAAAAAAAAGGAGTAATTGATTTTATTTCATAACAGGATCTTTGAAGTGGTAAACTAAGAGTTAAAAAAGGATATATCGTGTACAATTGGCAAGAGATAATTAGCGAAGTTGTCAATATAATGCAAAGAGAGTGACATACGAGGAAGTATTGTTTCTTTTCTAGTAGAGTTCATCCATCGTGTAGATCGGCCAACTAACACAAACGACTTAGCCGTCCTGCCTAGTCCAACAATGAATAACTCTCAATTACTCAAAAGGGGAAATTTTGAGAATGGACTCTATGACTCTATCTGAGCCCCGTATGACACGCTTTTTAAAAGGTTTACACAATAATGACTCGTTTTGGATTTTGCTTTACTCTCTCTCTCTCTCTCTCTCTCTCTCTCTTTTTTTACCGTGTCCTTTTTTTTTTTTTTTTTTTAACGTGTCCCTCCCTTCCTATATATTTCGTGCTCAACTATTTTCTTTTTTTTTTTGGATAGGATTTCGTGCTCAACTATTTTCTTTTTTTTTTTTTGGATAGGATTTCGTGCTCTACTAGTTCAAACAAAAATCTCATAATTTGTAGTGCAATTCTACGTATTAGTGTATTACTTACCTAATCCCAAAAAAATTATCATGTTTATTATATAATATTTTTGTGCATATTGTGTTTTTTTTTACTTCTAAAATATTCTGTCTGAAAAGAAATAATTATTGTATTAAAATAAAATAATTTAACAAATGAAAATATTTTTTAGGACAGAGAAAGGAATCATAAAATATTGAGAGAATTATCTTTTCGGACATAGAGATTAATTAAATATTTTGAGATTAATTGAATATTTATTTATTTAACTTGTTTATGAAAATAAAAAACCTAAAAAAAAGAATTTAATAATATTATTTTTTTTTTGAGGAAAAATATTATATTAGATATTAGCACAAAAAAGATTTAAGCTAGAAAGATGATTTTTAGGACAAAATGCAATATGTAAGTTTTTTTTTTTTTTTTATAATGCTGGAAACCTCATCAGAGATGGGTGTTTCCATGCCCACTGCAATAGCCTGCCCAACTCCTCATTCGCAAAATGCAAGTTCTTAAGAAATGAGTTTTTTGGTTTTGTATCTAGGAAGGCCCATTTAAGATAACGGGGTTACCCATTTTGAAAATTCCTCTAATGGGCCTTGCGAGGCCGAAATTCTAATCTCACATCAGATATTTCTTTGTTTTTTTTTTGAGTAATCATATCAGACATTTCTAATCTGTTGTCATGACCCATGGTTATTACTTATGACCCGCCAATTCTGCAGTTAACTAGAGAAATGATGTGACTTTGGAGTTTTGGAGTATTTTTCTGTTAAAGTAATGAAAAAATCTTGACAATATCGGGTCTAATTATAGAGACGGCGAGACATCTAAAACTTTGATACCGACACTAATGAAGCCATACTGTCACATAATTAATTAGTCTCATGAAATATATGCATAACTTCACCAATCTATTGTTTTTATGCAGTAATCCTCTCATCCATTTCATAACATGACAACGTTAGTATGTCTTACCAATATTTTGTAATATCTTAGAAACGTGACATTTACTTCTTTTATTATTGTATCAAAACAAGAGAAAAAAAAATTATAGTTCATATATAATACGTGAAAACTATTGTTACATTGTAAACAGATCCTCCCGTGGTTAACATTACAGTTGTGTGGAAAATGTTACAATTATCAAATCCAATTATTGTGATTTTTTTTTTCTTCTGTCCATATGTCTTAATCATATGTCGATGAGTTCTTTAATTTCATTCTTAACGAAATCCTCTAGTGGGCAACATTAATGTTGTGTGGAAAATGTTGCAAAGTGCCATCTTACTTCTTGTACATGATTAACTATTTATAGACGAAGAGAACATGTATAGTTCCCAACTTTCTATGACTTCCACTACTTCATAACTTTCTATTGCTATTTTAACCAATACTCACATAATCTGAAATTATGTTACCATATCCCTAAAATTTTGCAACAAAAAACAACGTCAAAAGACTTACTTAAAAACTCAATAAAATAGTAAAAAATAAAACAAATTACTAGGACAAATTATTACTAATAACTCCTCCTTGCCTTAATATTTGTAAATATCTAATATTTTTAGGTATAAATCTTTTCTTTCATGAACCCTTCATTTGTCATCTTTCTCAGTATCACAATAATCTTACTTCTACAACACATCATCTGCATATGAAAACTCCTCCTTGTTCTTGAGAGAATTCTGAAAATTCCCTTTCAATTGATTTCTTTATTTTCATCTTCTCAAATTCTCGAGTCAAGGATGAGAATTTGCAAGCCCTTGAATATGTTATTTCTCTGGTACTTTGAGATCATTCCAGACGGCCTTGATTGTAAACAATTTCATAACGGCAGAGAAAAGACAACCTATAACCTTTGATTTTCTTGCCCTTCTCTCATTGTGTTTTTTTTCTTTATATGTGCCACCGTTGGATTTGAAAGAAACGATGCAAAATATTCTTCTACGGCCTCCCAAAAAAATATTTCAGCAACATAGGCTATCATAAAAAATATGCATGATGGCTTGTGTTACTCTCCTTCCCTAAAGGCCCCTCAAGATTTTGGCTTTGATACCACTTTGTAGTATTAAGGCCCCTCAAAATTTTGACTTTGATACCACTTTATAGTAGTTAGAGACATAAAAAGAAGGCTTAAAAAATATAAGGGAGGAGAGAGAGAAGAGAATCTTGGATATTTAGAATTTTGGAGTAAATAACTCTTTGTACATGATTAACTATTTATAGACTAAGAGAACATGTATAGTTCTCAACTTCCTATGACTTCCACTACTTGATAACTTCATATTACTATTTTAACCACTACTCACATAATCTGAAATTATGTTACCATATTCCTAAAATTTTGCAACAAAAAACAATGTCAAAAGACTTACTTAAAAACTCAATAAAACAGTAAAAAACAAAACAAATTACTAAGGTAAATTATTATTAACATTATCCAATTATTTTGATTGTTTTCTTTCCGTCAATATGTCTAATCATGTATATATATATATATATATGTAGATGAGTTCTTTAATTAAAACCTTTTCCATATATCTAATTACTCTTGCTTCTGTCAACGAAATCACATTTAACAGCAAAAAAAACAAATATTTGGGAGCTGGAATACATGTAAAAACCGAAAGAAAACAATATAGAGAGGCTGCCTTTCAACAGGACCAGTACAAAATTCTTATTGACTTATATAATTCTCAAAGCCAGCTACATACACTTGATCTTTCAATACAAAAAAAAAATAAAAAAAAAATAAAACAACTTAATTTCTATGCACACTTCAACCAAAAGATTTTCTTTTCAAAAAATTTTAAAACAAAAAAAAAAAAACAGAAAAAACGCGGCCAAATTCATGGTGGGGGCTTTGATTAATAAATTGTTTTAGTTGGCGGCACTGCAGGTTTGCCTGATGATCCCGTTTTGACCGGTCAACGGGGAGATGGTTCCCATTTTGATCATGGCGGCGGCGAAATCGTCGGAGAAAGATTTAGGGCTGCTACCGTATCCACTGACAAAGCTGTCGGTGGAGTCTCCATTAAACAAAACTTGGTCGGAGGTAAGGAGACCTTTCTTCTGCATCAGATTTTTGAAGTAGTTGTTATCGAACGAATTCGGTGTTACCAAATCCAAGGGTGACAAATTGAGATCTCCGCCGGTTTGTGGGCAATTTCTTCTGCGGGTGCTGGCGAATCCTGGATCGATATTCGTCGCGTTGCTGTATATTCTAGCGCGGAAAGTTTGGCAACGTGCCTGTCCTAATGTGTGAGCTCCTGTAAAAATTTTTAGGTTTGCATGTAACATTTACATAAAGTTATCAATCATTATATTTTTCGTCCCAAATTAAAGTACTAGTCTTGTTTTTATGTTGGGATGACTTGGATCAATCATATATACCTGATAACGCGACCATCTCCTTGGCGTTGAGATTCTTTCTGGAGAATAAGTCTGTAAGATTCTGAAGATTGGCAAATGGACTAGGGAGATCGCGGTTAGCTAGAGCGCGGCTTGCAGTTGTGGAATCTCTTCTTCCGAGTTGCACATCCCATGATGGACCGCCAACCTAATTCATTCAGTCAATATATATTATTAATTAAGAACCAATTAATTTTAAACCACATTCACGAAAATATTGTTCAAGAGTAGTGTTACATTTGTCTCTAAAGAATAGTCTATAATATTGAGTTTTGTTATTTATAGTACTATATTTTGAAAAAGAACAGTACTCCCTTGGGTTTGGAAGTGAAACCGAGAGTAATTTTTAGAGTTGATTGGTGGACTTGATAATTAATTAAATAATGTATATTCTTACAGCAGCAGAAGAATCTCTGGCAGCAATAGCAAGAATGTCAGCGCATGAAACGACACCAGGGCAAATCTTCTCGACCGCACTCTTAGCATCCTCAATCACGTTGAAACCCCTTGCTGAATTTACATTTGCTGTTGCAGTTTTTTCACTCTGAATGGTGGAAGTTTCATCAAGCATAATTGATGCATCACAACCCTGTAACATCAAGGGAAAGCACATATAAAAGCAATGTAAGTGAACAGTAGTCGTTTCAAGGAAAAACAACAGTGTACTAAAACTGTCTTCCGAGGTGTCAATATATACAACAATCTTGTATAGATTATAAGTACCTGAACGAAGCAATCATGAAAATGAAGGCGAATCAAGGACCCGGCCATCCTACGCTCGCGGGAGACGGCTGATCGGATAACAGTACGGATTGTGGAGAGTGCATTAGGGCATGATGAACTATAGAAATTTTGGGATGAGAGTTGAGCTTCACAGCCATTAATGCTCGAAAGCAGTAGTAATAATAAAGATATAACAGACAATGTCGCAAACACTGTGCTATAACCCATTTCTTTTTTTTTATAATCAAATTGAAGAGATGATGGAAGAGGGTTTTGATTTTTTTAAAAGCTCAAGAACTGAGGTTATAATTAGCTGAAATAGTGATGAAAAATGTTGTGACACAAGCTCGCTTTTTATAGGGGGAAGGGAAAAGATTAAAAGATATACTTGCAGACATTAGGTATAGTGGAGGCTGCTAACATGATTTTGGGTTTGAAAGGAATATTGATGGAACGCTTACTGCTCAGCGGCCTTGATAACTTTTTAATAAGTAGATTTTTCCATGCATGCACGTCAATTAATTGGGGAGCTACGTAGCTATAGCTAGGGATTAACTTTTTCTCAAAAATCTCTTAGTCCGGTCTGGTGGCCCGTGCTGTGAGAAAATTCAGCTAAACAAATTCCATCTATGTGATCAGGAATTAACAAAGAACTGATCTTTTCAAGCTACAAGAAATGTTCAACAACTATCATGAGTGTAATTAAAGCAGCCGTGATAGATTGTAATTTGTGGTATGATTATGACTTGGTTATTTTTAATGATTAATATTTTGAATAATAAATGCATAGTCTGCATGGAGGAAAATGTCTAATGCTTGCTCTTTCCTAGTTTCTACTTTCATGGCAAGCCTAGCTAGTTAAGTACTAGTATTATTCATTTCAGGAAAGGAAGCGGTAGTTTTGTAGTTGAAAAACTAAAGTCTGATGATGCACAATACGCATTATCGATCCTATTGCCGAGCTGGCAACAATAAAAAGACAAAAAATTTCATATCCGATCCTAATTATAAAGTATAAATTTAAATTAATTATCTTATAATTAAGATCGGATAGATTAATTAAAAAGTAATTCCATTGGGGGAAATATAGAGGAACATAATCCTCCAGTGATAACATCATTTTGGTCCAAATATGTATGCAGAAAGCAAAAATGTCACACGTACGCTCAAAAGTGAAAACATTTATCCTTGTCAAAGTTACAAACTTACGTATAGATTTTAATTTATGGAGGTATAAACAGTGGCGGATTTACAATGGGGCACCGGGGGTGGCACGTGCCTCCACTGAATTTAAAAAATCGCAAAAATAGTATATAGTTTTTATTTTAAAATTAATCCGTGTATTTTTAATTAAATCTCTTTAGATATTTTATATTTTGTTAGTAACATTTTTTTTTTATCATTTTAAGTTACCAACTACTAACAATTATATTTATTCATTTGATCATGATATATTATTTTAATTTGTACATAAATATATATATATATATATATATAACTGACATTAGTGATGTACAATTCACATTCAAATCACATGCAAACCATATGTAAATCACGTGTATGTGTATACTTATAAAGTTAAAGAAAAATTGATTGAATGATATATGTTTATCTTGGCCTCTACTAAAAAATATTTTTGGCTCCGCCACCGAGTATTAACATATATAATACCATACTTTCTGGATCACGTCAGCCAGAGGATATAATCATCACGTCAGCCTCGAGTAACACTGTAGTTTTCAATAAAAAAAAAATTATTTTTGGTTGAAATTATTAATATTAACTTGATTAGGGTACGCACAGCAAGATATGTTTGTGGACCAAGTCAGCTATACAGTGGGGCTGATACTATAATTAAATTTCTCTACCTAATATTCAATTTGCCAGAATATATATCATTATTATATTTTTTTCATGCACACGTTTTGATCGAATTGGTTTTGTACGTAACTCCTTCATTTTGCTGAAGCATCTTATTATATTTTCAGTTCGATGAGTTTTCATCACTGAACTCTAGAGTACGTATGTATATTACCAAATGGAAAATGGTATATCTAGTAAAAAAAATAGTGAAAAAAGATAGTGAGTGACATAGAATCTTTTTGGCCCGTAGTTTTTTAACACTTTCCTGTTAAAATTTTATTTTTCCCTAAAAATTATAATTTTGCCATTAATTAATAAGTACACATATTTAGTAAGAATGGTGTATTAGTCTTTTCATTAATTACTATACTTTTTAACTATAATTAGTCACTATCTCTATCATTGCTCATTATCAAATAGTGGGGATTCTGCTACAAAATCCTCATCAAATTTCAGGTTCTGGTTTAACCAACAATTAAGAACTCCACAAGGGTATTGTAAATATACTATCAAGTACTTGATGAGTGACATAGACCATACTCATGTATAACTAGGATAATCGTTTGAATTCTGGTTAATAGAGTCCATAAATTATGCTTTAATTGTTATTATTTTATTAGTTTATGGACTTGGATAGATTTAATTCATTTAGTTTTATTAATGTTTTGTGTTAGGTGCTGAAGATCGGAGTTTACAACTTTTCTGGACAAATTGCTGCAAAAAGGATTACTTGCAAAATTATCAAGCTGAGCAATAGGGAGAAATTTTACTACATTGGAGTACCTAATTGCAAGCATTAAATTGATTTGGGGCGAAAGCAGGAAGTCAAGAAATAGTGGGCTGAAATTTATAATTGGAGAAAGTCTTGGGCCAATTATCAAGAAGCATAGAAGGACCAATCATACAATTTCTACCTAACTTTTGGCATTACACGGCTGACCTAATTACTTGTATAAGCAGCCGTGGGTTTCTTCTTCTTTTTTTTTTTGGTCACCGTTTTTTGGCCGCACTCTTACCTCTAGGGTGGTGCGCGCCTCTTGGCTTTGGAGGTCGGCGGCTGCGTTCGATTTCTCCTGAGTTTTAGTTTTCTAGATTTTGATACTTTGTTCTATGAATAATCAAACTATCATGTTTATGATTATGAGAGGCTAAATTTTTCTATTTTTGATTCAACGGATTTATTCAATTATTCTATTATGAGGTTTTGTTCTTAATTTGTTGTTTTTGCCTGTGATTTAAGTATTTGTTGATTCTTGTCTTAATTTATGAAAGCAGATATCATTCGAATTGATAACTTGATTTGTTATTTACTTTCTAGTGCTATCTGCTAGTTGAATGTTACGTAATAGACACGAACCGGCAGTACTGAGTAGCAATTAGACAAAGTATGTGTATTGGTGAGACATTGAATATGCATATTAGTTTAAATTGGAATCAATGGGACAAACTTACACGAACCGGCAGTACTGAGTAGCAATTAGACAAAGTATGTGTATTGGTGAGACATTGAATATGCATATTAGTTTAAATTGGAATCAAAGGGACAAAGTTTAAATAGTTGCAGCTATCTCAATTGTTTAAGTTTTGGTTCAACTATATTTTCTTGGTATTTATACTGTCATTATTTGGCATGGAACGCTATCGTGCCCAACCGAATTATGATAAGGACTAATTGAGTGCTAGGCTTAGTTAGTTAATTTATGGAGATTAATTAATTTATTACGGCTATCATAATAGATCTTTGGTTGAATGCTTAGATTGCTTGAATAGTTTTAGCAACCCGTGATTAATGAAATAATTGAGTTGTCCGTCCCTTAAGTCAGAAATTTGTTACCTTGATTTTTTTTTTCTTTTATTTATTTTCTGTTAATTGAGTTTCCATTATTATCATAGTTTAAAACAATAATACAAAAATCCATATTTGCATTAGTTTGAAGGAAACAATCCATCGTTCCTTGAGGAGACGACCTTACTTCTCTATATACTGTAGTTTGAAGCAGGTTTATAATTATTTGTGTGGCTTGACACCCCATCACTAGTATAAAACATTTGAAAGTTTTATCTTTGGGAAAAGACACTACAAGAAAAAGGAACTTTAGCGTTGCTAAAAATACGCAGCTAACATTGATAGAAGTGTCACAAAAGGACATTTGCGACAGTACATGCGACATATGCCAAAGTGTCGCAAAAGGTTCCGTCGCAAATTTTTTGCGACACATTTTCAAAAACTGTTGCGAGTAAATGCGACCCTTTTGCGACACTAATAATATGCCTCATGAAATAGCGACATATATCGTGTCAGTTGTTATATTTGACGCGTTAGGATTTGCGTCATTAGTTTGTGTTAGTTGGCTAAAGCTGTATAGGTATTGTGGCACTTTTTTTTATGTTACATGTTAAATGTTACATGACTAGTTGTGTCACCTGTAATTGCCGCATGATTATTCAGTATTAAGTTATTACTATTTAATCTCTTTTTCACTTTTTGGAGCCTCCACTTAATTAGCTAAAATAATATATATATATATAATGATCTCATAGATAATTATTTATGAATTTAAAAGAAAATAAAAAACGATGAAATTCTGCATTAAAATATTGAAATAGCCACTCTAATAAATTTATACAAATAAACAAGAGATAATAATTTTCTAATCTTATGTATGTATCCAATTAGTAAAATCTGAACTTCTAATTCCAATTTATCCTGCATAATAAAGAGAATATACATGTTAGAAATTACTAAATTGATTGATAGATTGAAAGTACCCAGGCTGGTTTAACTAAATTTTGATTATCAAGAACACATGAGGAACAAAACCGTATGAAATAATTCTTTAAGGATCACAAAAATATAATTCCAATTTCACCAAGAATATTAGATCTAGCATGTTTGTTTACACATATTAGTCCTGAATCTGTAACAAGGATGCGATGAATAAAATTAAAAAGTACAAAGCAGGTAAGTAGAGTCAACTTACTCTACCTACCCGTGTATCTGTTACCCATCACAATTCACAATGCCTTCTCCAATATCTCTTTTTGTTGTTCCTTTGTTTCTTTCTCTACACAAATAACCAGGCGCCTGAATTAATATAAATAGTAAATATGAATCAAATCAAGAACAATTTGAAAGACAAGTGAATTTGTCCCAATCAAAAAAAATGTGACCTCTAAATAAAGACGAAACTGAATGAGAAGCTGAATAAGATTGGCGCAAATTTACGGCATTACAGTGCGACACCACTCCTGAAGTGTCGCAAAAGGTCCTTTTTGTTCTAGTGAGATGTCTCTGGCTGAATCCAAAATATTTAAGATAGTAGTTTCAAATTATGTGTGTATTATAAAAATTTAGAAACATGATAGTTAGGAGAAATAGAGATGTATCATTGATGATTCTCTTATACACGTACAACACACACACACACACACACACACACACACATATATATACATAAGGAAAACTCTAATACAAAATTACTACCGTAAATACATATTTACTACAATAATGATTAACTAACATTTAATTGATTCAAAGGGACGAAATAACAGTTAAATTTGTTGAGTTTTTATCCCATTTTTAAATTTAAATTGTATATCCTAAGGAAGAATTCCCCGATCTTTATAATGAATTTTGAATGTGAAGTAGTACTGAACTCTTCTTATGCTGTTTTGCCAATTCAATAGTCCGCCTAATGGATTTGGTCGTTGAGTACTGTTCTGCAACTCTTCGTCAGCCATGACCTCTGAGGCTTAACTTACCATGAATGCTTCACGAGCGTATAGAAATTCACGATTTTGCATCGATTCACAAACTTCTCTCTGTCTTCGATTTTTTTTTCTTTTTACACTTTTTTTTTTTTGTATCTTTTAAGCTTATTTGCAAATATTATTTGTTTTTCCTTCTTAAACCATTTAATTAAAGTACTATCTTTATTCCAATCTACTATCTTTGTTGTGGGGGCTTTTTCAGAATTTAAATCTCGTATGAGAGCTTGGTTGGAGACAGGTTGTCTCTGAAGTAGATAACCTTAACGTTGTGTCTATGGCTAAGGGCGATGAAAAAGTGTTGGGCATTAACGCTGGATTAGTTTATAGGATTCATGACCTTTTGAAGAGGGAGTGGACGGTAGAGCTCAATCATATTTACCGAGAGGCTAATTTTATAGCCGACTACATGGTTTCCTTGGCCGCTCAAGGACCCGGGGGTTTGCAAATGTTTGATAGTCCTCCGTGATGAGTGATACCATAGTTAGAACATGATATAATCGGGATTGCTTATCCCCGAAAAGTTCGATTATAGGCACTTTCCTCCACTTTTTGTAACCAAAAAAAAAAGAATTACTTACTTTAATTTCTTTATTGGTACACAATAAGAGTTTCATTTTTTAAACCGTACATACAATTGATAAACACAGTTTTTATTTGGAAACAGAAATACATGTGTTAGAAAATCTAAAAGTTCCTAGTTGATTTATATATTATATTACTTTCTCTTAGTACTAGTGATGTCTGGTCGCGCAATGCGCGACCCTGGCCCAGTCTATCTGTAGATCTTAGAAATATTTATATTTGAAAAAAAATAAAATTTTGTATTTGTAGCGATATATTTTAGAAATGTTTGAAGGATTTAGAAATGTTTTATAAGTGAGATCATAGAAATATTTGTATTTCACACAAAAAAAAGAAATTGTATTTCGCCATGTATGTTTTAGAAATGTTTTATAAGTGTTATTTATTAAATATAAATAGCCTTAATCGAATAAATTTGTTGAAGTAAATATTAGGTAAAATATAAAAGCATCCTAATAAATTTAAATATTAGTAAGATGATTTATTGATGTTCTTCATTGGTCGTGCCAAATCAATACTTAGTTTTGGAGATTTTTAATAGTTTTGTAATAAGTTTAATCCGAAGGGTATACGCTTAAAACAAAGTTGACACTTTGTAACAAAAACCTAATTGATCAATTCAATTTAAAAAACCACTCTAGTTGAATGAAACATAAAGAAAAAATAAAATAAAAAAAAAAGTGTCACGTAAAGTGCAAAGGGAAATTTAGTAATTTAGTTATGGTTAGACAAAAGGGCAATTTAGTACTTTCTACATGCTACGTGGCAATCATATGAGGTGTTTGAAAGGGAGGTTTTTGTTTCTAATATAGTAGGATATAAATTATTTCTAACTTGTCGCTTCCGCTCACCTCACAGAAATTAGCAAGATGACAACAACGAATGAAAATGACAAGAAAAAAAAAATAAAGACCATGGATATCTCAATCCCTAGAAAATTAAGGACTGATATCAGGAGAAGTTCACATTCAAGGTTTATACAATTCATGTGTCGGAAGGAAAAAAGAGAGAATAATTTTGTGATAAATGAGAGAAGATTATCATGAAACACCATTAAGAAAAGTCTCTAACAACAAAATTGATTGAAATAACAAAAATGAAAAAAAAAAAGAAAAGATTGTGACTGCCAGATTAACCGCTCGTGAAGTGAATCTCGAAACTATAATCGAAAAAGAGCTTCTAATAGTCTATACTAATTTATTGTTTTAATACAGGGTGGCGAAGTCTTTTTTTAACCCTCTTCTCCTTTCTTTTATGTAGCACCAAACTAATTAATAATTAAGCATGTACGCAAAACTATATCTTAAAAAAAAACATAATCTGTACCCAAGAGAATGAAATAAATAAAATAATCAATTGCTGTTATATTTCTTAAAAGGAGTTACATAAAGGGAATGTGGAACTTTTACAAGTAAACACAAAACTCTCGACATGATTAATTTATTGACACATTTGAAACTCTATCATGTTCCCAAAGAACAAAACAATGAATTCAATTTCTATGCACACTTTCAACCAAAAGAATAAAAGAAATAAAATACAAAACAAATGTATTCATATTTGCGGCAACAATCGTGTCGTTTTAATTCACAGCACTGCACGTCTGCCTGATGATCCCATTTCGACCGGTCAAAGGAAAGATGGTTCCCATCTTGATCATGGCGGCGGCGTAATCCTCCGCAAAGGATTTAGGGTTGCTGACATATCCGCTGACATGGCTGTCAGTGGTGCCACCATTATACAGAACTTGGTCGGAGGTGAGAAGACCTTTCTTTTGCATCAGATTCTTGAAGTAGTTGGTGTCGAAAGAGTTTGGCGTAACCAAATCCAATGGTGACAATTTGAGATCTCCGCCTATGAGTGGGCAATTTCTTCTACGGGTGCTGGCAAATCCTGGGTCGATATTCGTCGCGTTGCTGTATATTCTACCGCGGAATGTTTGGCAACGTGCCTGCCCTAATGTGTGAGCTCCTGTAATATTAATTTTAGGTTTACAAAATGTAAGTATACATTTTTCGTCCTAAAATAATAGTCTTATTTATTGATGGAGTACTAATATTGGGACGATTTGTATCATACCTGATAACGCGACCATCTCTCTGGCGTTGAGACCCTTTCTGTCGAATAAGTCAATAAGAGACTGAAGATCGGCAAATGGACTAGGGAGATCACGGTTAGCAAGAGTGCGGCTTGCAGTTGTGGAATCTCTTCTTCCAAGTTGCACACTATATGATGGACCGCCAACCTAATTGATCATTCACAATTACGAATTAATTCCATGCATGCCCGTATATTGATTATTCTATTTGCTTATTAAGAATACTAATAATGTAGTTCATTAAAATGATATAATTATTATTATTATTATTATTATTATTATTATTATTATTATTATTATTATATACTAACAGCAGCAGAAGAATCTCTGGCAGCAACAGCAAGAATGTCAGCGCAGGAAACAACTCCAGGGCAGATCTTCTCGACCGCACGTTTAGCGTCCTCAATCACGTTGAAACCCCTGGCTGAATTTACATTGGCAATTGAGGTTTTCTCACTCTCAATGGTGGAAGTTTCATCGAGCATAATTGATGCATCACAACCCTATAAAGAGGAAGTATAATGTTAAAAGGGACTATTAGATAATTACTAACTTATATAATTGGATAGAAATTAAGCAGCAGTACTGATGTACGTAAATGTGTATCTTTTTCAGAGTGTCCTAAATTATATAACAAGATACCTGAACGAAACAATCATGAAAATGAAGGCGAATCAGGGATCCGGCCATCCTACGCTCACGAGAGATGGCTGATCGGACAACCGACCGGATGGTGGAGAGCGCATTAGGACACGATGAACTGTAGAAATTCTGCGATGAGAGTTGAGCTTGACAGCCAATGCTTGAAAGTAGTAGTAATAAAGATAAAACAGAAAATGTGGTTGATAGTCTGTAATTGGACTCCATCTTTATTTGATGAACAATCTAAATCACTCAAAATCCCAAGAGAGAAATATATAATGAATATATGAATGATGAAAGAGGGTTTTTTTTTTTATTTTTTTTAAGAGTGCTAAAAAAGCTGAGTTAATTTGTTGAATTGATGAAAAATGTTGGAATGCAACCTCTGGTTTTATAGAGGTGTGTGTGTGTGTGTGGAAGGTATAAGCAGATTAGGTAGCGGCTGCTAAAAGTCTTGGATTACCATGGAATGATCTGATCAGCTGCCGTACATTAACTTTTTATACAGAAGATTTTTCCATGCGTATGGGCTGTTAATTGGTTGCCAATAATTGTGAGAATTTTCAACCAATAGACAAAGAACTGATCTTTTCAAGCCAAGCTACTCAATTAGGAGTATTATTTATTTTAGGAAAGGACGCGCTTTTTGCTGCGTAAAAGTAAAACCAAACTTTTTTTTTTCACTTGATTGATTGGGCTCCCCCAAAATTTTATACCCCTCTCATAATTATTGTCTAATTTGGTTTTCATTTCTAATTCAAATTGTATTAAAAGTAGAATCTCAAACTGGATAATAATTTTAGGATAGAGGGAGGAAAAAATACAGATTGTCTCCTAATGCTTGAGGACATACATAACGAGTATCCATTTGACGACAGTCAGATGAAAGGCGAGAATGTTTATGATGAAAGAAACATTCATGCACGGTTTTGGTGATTAATTTGTCGTTCCCAAAATAAGATGGTTTAATTATTGGATACCGCGGAAAAATGCAATATTGAATTAGCATATAATTCTGTCCAAATTCAAATGTGTTTTGAAAGCATGCATATTAATGAGTTAATTTGGTCCAAACTAAACAATAGCTTTTGAGAAGAAAATGTGCATTATACTATTGACCAATCAAAGGGGTGAATTATTACTTTATTTAACTTTTGGTCGGCGATTGGTAATTTGTTAAAAATCTAAGGGTTATCACGAAATCCAACTGGACTATTACTTCCTTTTTCACTTTAGGTGGTCAAAGACCCTGAGTTTGAAAAATTATTCGTCAGCGAATTTGTCGGCGATCTTTGTGATTGCATGCAATAATATACAATTACATATAGTAAGTACAATTTAGAGAATTATTCATCAACTTGGGTTATAATCTCATTTCACGAATGTATGACATAATCGCCAGTCCCCATTTGTTGTAGCCAATTTCAACTTTTACTAACTCAGGTATATATATATTTTTGTTATATAAACCATTGGCTCATATCATCAGCTTGAAATTAAAACATGTCCTCCCCAACCGCTTAGTGCGCTGAACGCAGAGACGAAGAATTAGTCCTCTGACTATCGGTGGAGGGATACTTTAGGAAATAAAAAAAAAAAATTAAAGCGTGTCTCATTATAACATTTTATAAGTATACACGCAGTTAGTCCTCTCATATGCAAGATCAGGTTTCTTGAAACCAAACTTGTTCAGTGTCTTGCATAGAAATTTTTTTGTTCCTCTTTTCTAAAGGAATTTTTTATTCGTTTAAACCTTTGCTATCTTCTTTTAATTATCCTCCCGTAAACCAATAATGTACATACTATTCAGCTATTTGCCATTGCAATAGTCAACCACATTTTATTTGGGGCGTATTTTGCCATTTCCATGATATCAGTCCGCCTTGAGTCTAACTACATCAAATGTATGCTCGGCGGAAACACGATTTTGCTATTACCGAAATTTCTTCAACACTACATCTGCATTTTAAGGTCGTTTTCACACTTTCGTATGTTTTTGGGGTCGCTTGTAACGTTTTTCGATCTTTTGTTAAGCTAGCTAGTAACTAAAGTATTATCCTCAACCCAAACTAGTAATACAGTGTAGTTTCAAATATTCTTTTTTCAAATAAGATTGGAGAAATAACTGACTAATATAAACTAAAAGGTTCTCTATAGTCACCACATAAGACTTGGTCAAGCCAGATCGACAATCAGCTAATTACCATTAGGGGCTTCATTGTGGTGAAGTATTTTTGTTTTTCTACCTTCTTCTTCTTTTTGGTTTTTGAAGTTGTGGTTGGTGTTCTTAACATCAAAATATTCTCTTACGGTTGGTTTACGTAGCTTCAACATATACTCTTTTCGTTCACACAAACAAAATTAAGTACGCGATATGTTATCCTTGAAAATTTCTTTTTGATAAATATAAAGCTTGCCATTCATAAAAACACAGAGGTTCACAACATCACCACCAGAATGTTTCATACTCCTTCCGTAATAGAATAATAGTCCATTTTGTAATACTGTCTAAGTAATTAAGAAAGTATGTAAATTATTATTTTTTTTTAAAAGGAAGGAATATAACTTATTGCTTCATCTTCAATAGTACTCCTCCTATCTCAAAGTTATTGTCCAGTTTGAATTTTTACTTTTATTTCAACTTGTACTAAAAATGAAAATCTAAACTGAACGATAAATTTAGAACGTTGAGAGTATCATGCATATACCTAAAGTCACACAAGTAGTATAAATCACTCTTAGATAAGACCAAATGTGAATCATTTTATTAGTTCACGGCGCTGCAGACCTTCCTTATGATTCCGTTTTGACCCGTGAGGGGTGAGAGATTTCCCATGTTGATCATTGCAGCAGCAAAATCACTAGCAAACGAAGCTGGGTTGCTGATATATCCGGCGACAATGCTGTCGGCGGATCCTCCGTTGAACAAAACTTGGTCGGAGGTGAGAAGACCTTTCTTTTGCTGCAAGTTTTTGAAGTAGTTGTTGTCGAAGGAAGTCGGGGTAACCAAATCAAGCGGCGCCAAGTTGCTGTCTCCGCCGGATTGTGGGCAACCTCTTTGGCGGGTGCTGGCGAAACCCGGATCGATATTCGAGGCGTTGCTGTATATCCTTGTACGGAAAGTACGGCACTGCGCAAACCCTAATGTGTGGGCTCCTGATAATGCAACCATCTCTCGCTCGTTGAGTTTCTTTGCAGAAAACTTAGAAATGAGAGTTGGGAGATCCGAAAATGGACTTGGGAGATCACTGTCGGCTAGAGCTCGGCTCGCGGTTGTCGAATCTCTTCTTCCGAGTTTCACATCCCATGATGGACCGCCAACCTGTTTTGTGATTCATAAATGATTGGAGCATTATATATGGTCCATTAGCTTAATATGAATCTTTCTAGGATTAATGTTGTTGAGAAACAAGTTGGGTTTCCAAGTTAAAAAAATCTTTGATAAATACTATTAAATAATAGACTATAGATCTCCAAGAAACTTATGTATTAGTCAGTAGCTTAGCTAGCGCGGTTGGGTTTTTAAAGCTGGAACGTGGTATCTTATTTCTTTTAACAAATACATCTGTTCTACAAAAATAATATGTATTGCAAATTCACAAAATACAAAGTAAAGTACTGTTTTTTAAACCGGTCGAGTATTATAATTAGACTTACCGCCACAGATGAATCTCTGGCAGCAACAGCAAGTATGTCAGCGCAAGAAACGATCCCAGGGCAAATTTTTTCGACCTCGCTCTTAGCATTTTCAATCACATTGAAACCTCTGATTGAATTATTGTTTGCCAATGAAAACTTTTCGCTTTGAATGGTAGAAGTTTGATCAAGCAATATTGATCCATCACATCCCTGTAAATTCAAAACAAGAAATCATGATGAGTAGTTAATTGTGACCTATATGGCTATCTCTAACTCCGTTTATTTAAATTTCTTCCTTTTGACTATAACAGTAATTCAAATTATCTGTCGGCACTTTCCGAAGACCAAAATTCTTGAAAGAATGTTTACTCTTTTGCATCATTTCGAGACGACATGTTTAGCCTAGCTAGATACGTACGGATTTTTTTTTTTTTTGATGAATTTTTTTTTAGAAAAAAGCATCACACAGTAGTAATTAATGAAAATGTTAGGTACTTTGTCCTGTGCGGTGCTTTAAATAATTAAATCACCTGAACAAAGCAATCATGAAAATGTAATCGAATCAAGGACGCGGCCATCCGACGCTCGCTGGAGATGGCTGATCGGATGACGGTACGAATGGTGGTGAGCGCATTTGGACATGTTGCGTTATAAAAATTACTAGGTGACAGTTGAGCTTCAACGCCAAAGCTCCAAATAAGTAGTAAAAAGGATACAACGGAAATTGTGTTTTCCACTGTGTTGGAACCCATTTTCCTTGATGAAGGAATTCAAGTACTTAATCTGAAGAAAAATTAAAGATGATGGTTGAAATTTTGAAAGGATCGAAGCGATATATGGGTTTTTAGTGCTCAAACTAAGTAGTACAAGTTGATTGATGAAAAATGATTGAGCGCAAACCCCCTTTTTATAGGAGGCGATATATAAGATTTGACATGAAGAGTATGATTCTGGTTGCCAATATATGGCTGCAAAATAATTTTCAAATGCATGAAACGCGTACGTTACTTATCACTCCAGTTCACAACCCAGGCAGGGAGATTGACTTAATACTTCTGAGATTGATATTTCTTTTGACAAAAGAAAAAAAAATAAAAAAAGATTGATATTTCTAGAGTTTAACTTGTTTTTCCAATCCATGATCTATAATTGGATATATATCTAAATTAGTCAATGCGTGTATTACATTAATGATTTTGGAAGAAAAAGAAGTCGATTTCTTTGGATGAATTAGTTGTGTTGAAAATTGATACCAACTAAGTCAGATCCGAACGGTGTATAGTGATCTATTAAAGGAGGTAAAACAAATACAGTACTATTTTATAAACAAAATACCCGATTCATGTGGTAACGGTTTAAGATCAATTTAACTATCATGTTTAAATTACAAGATCCGATATGATCGTGCAACAAGGCTCATTTTTAACCTACCAAGCCATCTCGAATCAATGTGGAATAGTAATGAGTGTGTGTTGTACTATCTGCTTATGATTTAAAAGAAAAGAAAGAAAACCCCAATTTTTATCACAAGGTGGTGAGTCAAACTCAGAAGATCGATGTCGTAATCTTTAATTAGTAGGGCATGCGCCACCCCTTCTCTTATTTTAACTTCATCTCGTTGAATGGTGTGTGAATGGATGAATATTCTCCATCTATAACCACTTGCAATGTATTGAGACAAAGAATTCCACATCGGTGTCGTGAAAGATTTGTCACATGTTTATAAGTCAAAAGTCTCACTCATTCCCAATTGGTTTTAAAATAAGAGTCCAAGGTAACTTTGACATGGTATCAGAGCCCACGATCTGTGGACCTGTGAGACCTGTAGACCTGTGATCCCCGTGTGTCTGGAAAACCATGAATTATGTCACCTGTTTATAAGTGTCAAAGGCCACCGCACTCATTGCCAATTAGTTTTGAGATGGGAGACCAAGATGACTTTGACACAATGTTCCATTGTTTCGGATAACATGTCGAATTATTATTAACACAACCAGTTTATTCATCCAAAAAAAGTGACATTTATATATCAAAAATAAGAAACTAATTAATGGGAGTAATAATATCAGATATCGGATGCGTAATATATATCTATATATATAAACGAACAGAAAACTAATCATTAAAATTAAGTAGCTAGATAGTGTTTGTGCTTAATCTTTTTATGTGCATACGTATAAAGACTTTGATCAGATAATCTAATTTACCAACGCGTTAAGTTCGCATCGATAATCTAAGTTTGTAATGTGATATTGCATCATGAAAATACCGCTTCTTTGAAGTGGCCGAATTGTTCCAAGGATAGATTGGCAAATAGCATTTAGAATTTCACGAACAAATAAACTGTTGTTTGTAATTTCAATCAGGATAATACAAACTAGTATTTTTAGTCACAAAGGGTAAGAACTAAGAATAATGGTAGCCGAATCCAATTGGAACTTTATGATATGATATAGGTCGTAATCAATGCCACTTTCTTTGATTTTTGTTCCCTCTAAATAAATTTTTTGTAATATATATAAATCAGTTTCCAAAGAATTACTTAGCCGCCTCCAGTTATTTTTTTTAATGACAAAATTATTGACAGCTTATATTTATATATCCGAGTAAACGAGTGTAGTAGGTGAATGTTTATAAAATTAATGAAATTAATCAAAGACACTGAAGATTAATAATTTGTCTGTCTACTTTTTGACTGAATATAAAAATAGCAATGTGGTATACAGTTAATTTGGCAGACAAAATCTCACATAGTCAAATTAGGCTCTGGGTATTTTGTTAGTTGACTTTGACAATCTTAGCCAAACAAAACGAATTAACGCGAAAGTTTTTATACTGGGGATAATTAACGTTGTCGTTTCAGTAAATGTTTTTTTTTAACGAAAAATATGTTAACAATAACCTTTTTGTCAAATCATCTTCTCTCATCATGGACGTATGGTTTGTTTTCTATCATTTACTTTGATCGTTTTTCCAAACTCTGTCAAATCATCCAATTACAAGTTGTAAGGGATAACGAGAATTTATAAAAAAAATAATGATCAATACATACACAATGGAATGTTGATTAGATCGGCTGGTAATCTTTTTTGTTGATTAGATCGATTGGTAAGCTTCTTCTTCTTTTTTCCTCAACATATGTATAAGATAGTTTACATTACTCATTTTGATCCATAAAATAACCCAAATTGTAATTCATGAATTGTATAATGTGAATTATTTTTTTGGAGAATATTTTTAATTGCACTTCATATGATATTATTAAAGAATGGTATGCTTATTATGTCAAATGCTTAAGTGATCTATATTAAATGAGGTATAACACAAAAAAATAAAAATAAAGAATTAACTGATACATAGATTATTACTTGAGCAGAGCAATGTGGAAAATGTTCTCATGGATCCTCCACCTTTTTTGCCGATTCTCTTGCATGCACTTTGCACTTGCTTTGCACGCGAGAATATAAAAATAATGAAGAACTGATACTTTAATTTTACTGTCAGAAAAGTGAAAGACATTTATAATTTCATTACTTTTATTTGTAAAATTGAAAAGTGTCTTTTGTTTTATACATAACTAGATGTTATACCCGCACGATATGCATGATAGATTATAATATTTTTATAAATTACTTATAAAATATCATTCCAAAATATATGTTGTTGGAGAAAAATTTATTTTTTTTTTCAAATTGCATGTTGTTTTCACATTTCGAGGCATATTTTACCAATTTTTTTCAACATTGCCCCTACTTGAAAAATTGTAAATGTATTTTTATAATAGAAGTGTATCAGAACTAAAGAATATTGGAAATAGAATTGCATTGAGAGTAAATGAGAGTAATTTAATATTTTAACCAAGCATTCATTGTCTTCGTAAACTTTGTGTAATTCCTCCAACGACATCTATTTTAGAATGGAGGAAGTACCAAATATAGTATATTGAATCATAATTTTGATATAATAATTTGAAGAAGAATGTCTTTTTTGGCACTGGGAATGTGTTGAGTTAAATTTGATTGATACCAAATCCGCAAGTATCCATTATTTTTTTTAACATGATTTCAAATTTGAATCTCATAATTTAATTGGAGAGATTTTAGAGACATAATTTATTACTTATCAATAATTAATTAGTCAATTAGCTAATTTGATTTAAAATAACTAAACTTATGAAAAATTAATTTTGAAAATCAAAGTAAAAAAATTATATAAACAAATAACACATTTAATGCTCATAATGGTAATAAATTATTTCAAAATTTAAAATTCATTATGAGCCGAGATTTTGCAGGAATGTGATAATGTTTTTGTTTTGGGAAAGTTTGCCCTTTTTTTTTTAATTTTTTGTTGTAATAGGAGGACTTGTTCATAATTTCACTTAGTATTTATTGGGAGGGTATTTGGAAAAATGACACATGATTTTATCCTATGTGACATATTTAGAAATCTTTTTTGTTTTCTCTCTGATTTCTCTCTTAGCATAATACTATATATATATGTGTGTGTGTGTGTGTGTGTAAAAATCATGTAAAAATCACGAACAAATTACTTACAAATCTAGTCACATGCGAATCTATCATATGTAAATCACGAACAAATTTTGATGCAACAATTTAGCATAAAAATTAGAGAGTACGTACTAAGTAGTGAAATCTTTATCACATTATAACCTCTGGTTGCGTTTCTATTCGCCAACGAAGTCTTCTCGCATTTGTTAGAATGTGATTCAAAGTTTACCATGGAAGATTTACCATTGACTAAGTCTTGCTGCAAAAATTAGTTTTAATCTTTCTGTTGCTTGTTTTTCTGTTTCAGTTGTTGATTTTAGGCATGAGATAATGCCAAGATTTTTTTCCTTCTACTCAGTTGAGTTGTTATTCTGTAAAGCCTATAAAAAAGCATGTCATTTCATGAATAAAGTGCAGCAAAAAAAAAGTCTATCATTCTGTCTACATCTTGGTTTTTATATTCCTAAGTTCCATTTTTCTTTTTGGTCATCTGATTCCATTCCAACATTCTGGTATCAGAGCCAGGTTCGATTGGAACTGGGCGTATCACTTATGGCGGCTAACGGCAATCTCGTTAATGTGGCTCAACCGTCGATTCCCGTTTTTACTGGTGAAAGCTATGAGTTTTGGAGCATAAAGATGAAAGCTTTGTTTAACTCTCAGGATCTTTGGGACTTGGTGGAGAATGGCTACTCAGAGCCTGATGATGAAGCAAGGTTGAGAGAGAACAAGAAGAAGGACTCAAAAGCATTGTTCTTCATCCAGCAAGCAGTTCATGAGTCGATCTTCTCCAAAATTGCTGCTGCAAATACGGCCAAAGAAGCATGGACAACTTTGCAGACGGCTTTCCAAGGCTCTTCGAAGGTAATTACGGTGAAATTTCAATCTCTTCGCCGTGATTTTGAAACTTTGCAAATGAAGAATGGAGAATCAATTCAGGATTTTCAGTCAAGAGTTGGAGCAATTGTCAATCAAATGAGAGCCTATGGTAAAGATGTTGTTGATGCAACCGTTGTTGCAAAGGTACTACGGAGCTTGACTACCAAGTTTGATCACGTTGTAGCAGCCACTGAGGAGTCAAAGGACTTGGCAGTGTACTCATTTGATGAGCTTATGGGATCATTGCAGTCTCATGAGGCGAGATTAAACCGACAAGAAGAGAAAGTTGAAGAAAAGGCTTTTCAAGTGAAGGGAGAGACATCGGCTGGAAGAGGTCGTGGTAGCGGAGGTCGTAGTGGCCG